ACAACAAGAAGAATATATGGATGATAGAGAATCTAATAGAACAATAGTACTACAATGAATACCACCCCCAGTCCACAAACCCCACCCCCCCCCCCCTCTCCAGCGCCGACGACCAATCTCGCCTCCTGGCACCCAACACTGCATCCCATGCAAAGACCACTCACGCCTTCAACAAGCCAAAGGAACACCCCAACCAGGCCCCTCCACCCTCACCCACGCACACCATCAGTAATAATAATGCCGACTCGACCTCCCCCTCCCTTCACTCTTCGCCCTCCTTCGACTCTTCTCCCTATAGTACCCTCCATCATCATCATACCTCCGGCCCTCCCTCTCCCTTTCTCGTCCTCTCTCCCGTCCCCTCTCCCTCTCACCATCCTTACTCCCACTCCTTCTCTCTCCACCGCCCCTGAGCAGATACGCCGCGCCGGCCGTCAAAGCCGCGCCGCCCAACCAGCCGCCGATGTCGCGCGTCGAGGTGTAGGAGAGGCCTTTGTCGTGGGATTTTGAGTGTGAATGCGAATGCGAATGCGAGGGCTTGGAGCGCGAGGCGTAGTAGGTGTCGTCGTGGTAGCGGGACTCTTTGGTGCGTGGACTGCTGGTGCTGGCGTTGGTACTGACGTGGTGGCGGGGGGTGGTGTTGGCGTAGCGAGTGCTGTGGGTGGGGGTGGGGGTCGGGCGGTAGCCTGAGAGGCCTGGTGTGAGAACTTGGTGGCGGTCGGTGTAATAGGTTGCTGAGCGGTGGCGGGACATCGCTGTTTGTGTTTGTGTGTGGTATGGCCTCGGTGAGGGCGAGGAAGAGGATGAGGCTTAGGTGGAGGAGGACGGCAGGGCCTCGTGAGAGAGGTGAGAGGAGGACGAGGCTCAGATGATGGACGGTAGAGTGAGGGTGAGGTGGGTTGGTGATGATCGCTCAGAAGTATTGTGTCCCGCTATATACTTGGTCTCTAGTGGTGTCACAAGAATGGCCCGGGGCAAGTTCGTCTCTTCCGGGACGTTGACGAGAACGTTGTGAGACTGCAGGACGGAACTGGAGGGGAGAGTCGTGGTAGTACACAAGGCGATGGCGAACAGATACTCGACTGCCAGGCCGCCCGGAAACGCGATATGTATATACTCAGGGCGTGCCTGAGGCGGGCACGAATAAGGCTGCCGCCATTCCATATTCAAGCAGTCATGCACAATGGTTCGAGTACGTAAACCCACCTTGCTCAACCAGCGAGGCTCAGCTGTCGGATCGATGTCCTGACCAATGCGCGAATAGATAAGTCGCCACATTTGCGGGTCTGCACACCCACCTGGAGCGAAAGTTCGGCCACTGTGGGCTCGTTGCCTTGCAGACTAGTCCTCGCTAACCGGTAAGCGTGGGACAGAATGGCGTAAAGTACATTCTTTCGCTGCGGCGGCGCTGCGGCGGCTGGACGGCCCGGATAGACGAGGATAATGCCAAAGTACCCTTCGCGTCCACGGTCAGGAAAGCCAACCGCGCCAAGTCTTGTTTTCCAGGCTCTGAATTGCCCCCAAGGCGGTCTTCTGGGGCCAACACGGGCTGGTGTCAGGCCGATACTAGGGAGTTGCTTTTTCACTGGAAAGTACGTACCCCTCCACTGTCGTTGTTTGAAGGTAGTGGTATTTCGTCGCCTTGCATGTGAAAATCTATCATGCGATGCGAGGCGCTGTGGATGCACGAAATCGTGCATGATGCAAGGTCTCAGACTCAATATGTGGCGCCGAGGCTGTGCTGGCAAGACCCGAGACACAGAAGTGGCAAGGCGCTATGAATAGGTCACACAAGAATGTTGAGCATGAAGACGAGTGTTCTCGAACACTTGCAGATGGAAATTTTCCTCGCCAGTTCTGGCTGGAATGTGTTGAGGATGGTAGAGTGATGAAAAGAGAGCGTTGCCCATGGTTGCCAGGAGAAGGGGAACCGACGCAGCGCGCGGACTTGCCGATTTCGCCTTGGAATTGTCACAGCAAGCCATTGAAACCTGGGATTGCCTCTTTGGGACCGAGGCTTTCCTAATCGGCAAGCTGTCTCTTTCGAAACGCCGACAACCTCCCCGGCGTCTTGCGTGGGACAGATACATCCTTGCGGACTGTTGCAGCCGCCTCACCAACGGCTCGAAGCTGTAAGGCATCCAATGGAGTCCATGATTGCTGAAGCTACTCAGGTGGTACTTTCAGCAAAGTACCATTACTCGACCCCCCGGGACCAGTTCCGCTCGTTCAGCGGCCAAGAGGCCACAGGCAACTTGGAACCCCGGAGCCTGTGGTCCAAACCGAGACTGCTGTGGACGTCTGACACCCGTAGCACAAAGGCTCCCTTGTAGTACACCGAAGCTTCCAACAGCCTCTCGCTATCTGTCGTCATACGCGACCGTCGATTCGGTCGTCTTGACAATAACCTGTGACGCACGTGCTTCCTCCATCAGCAGCATCCCTCGCGGCTGTCCGCACCGATTCCGGGACGCCTTGCTCTTTCCTCGGCTCCCTGTTCCGCTGCGACCATGTGTGCCACGGGCGTGGTAGCTGTCCAAGGCGTTTCTGAAGAGCGGTTTCAACAACGGCAAACTGCCGGCAATGATTCCCGTGTTCGCCTGGACGACCGTCCAGATGCTTATATCTCTGGAGTCCCTGACCCTTCAGAGATATGCAGGTTAACCCTGGGCCTCTTGCTCTGTCCATACCGGGTGGTGGTACAGTCTAAGCCGGGATCTGACGAATGCACTCAACATTCGTTGGGGATGCATGTGCGTCGTTCGACCTGGCTCATGTCGTTTAATCTCGCCCCAAGAACGGCATTCAGCGATAAAGCGACTGCCGACACCAACACCTTGTTGAACTCCTTCCGGAGCGAACGAACGAGGCTTGGTGACCTGGTGGATCTTGGCTCTGCGGCTGGTCCAACCGCTGAAGATTCGGATTCTATGGATCGTCACTGACGGACCAGTGAGGCCTCACCACCTCTTCGTCCTTCTGCTATACCTACCGATAGTCCCACGATCGGAATAAGCGCAAGAGCCGGAGTCAAAGCGGGCGAGATGGATCTTCTGGTCTTTTGGCTTTGAAGTAGCACTTCATTCACAGATACATATACTCGCTGGACCCAGATATACGTTACTCTGCCGGGAGACAACACTCACACATGCTTCTTTCCGCCCCCACGTAAGCGTACAGAGGCCTGCTGGAATCCGATTCCACTTGCACATCATTGCCGCTTTGCGATGGGCCAGTTCACCCACCTCGATAACGTGCAGCGTACTTAAACAATCCAGGAGGTTCGTTGCAACACTTGATGATCGCTCGCGCGGTATAAGATGGTCTATCGCGGTCCATCGCAAGGCTGTCGCCCGTGCAGGCAACGCAAGATTAAGGTGTGTTTTGTTCAACCAGTTCAGTTGCTGTTGAGGTCAGCCGAGTGGAGCCCATTATCTGCTGACTGCCTGATCGTCAGTGTCCGGCGGAACAGCCAGTATGCGCGCATTGCATCAGGCGCAAAGTTGCTGAGCTGTGCATCTACGATAGATCGGGTTCCGCCTTCGTCGAGGGCCTCAACCGCTCACGTAGAGCTGTGAAGACGTCAGTCGCGTGTGGGTGTATTCCTGAGACGACGCGTCTGTTCACTCGACACGAGGGCAAGCTAACACCGCTGCCAGCCACCCACCAAGCTGAGAGTCCTCTCAAATCACTGTCGCAGGACGATGGCTTCCAAGCACTCTGCTTCTTCACAGCCTTCTACGCCGCCGGTCCACGCGAGTGGGATACCAATGTCTGGGCGCAGGATATCATTCCTAGACTTCCATATACGCACCACGAGTCGGCCCTGACACTAGCCATGACCGCCGTGTCCATGCAGGTCATGGACAAAGAGCGCCTCGGCACTCTTGTGTCTCCCAGGGCTCAGGCGTTCTATACCCGAGGCGTCGTCGCCATGCGCGAACTCCTCCATGGAGAGCTGACATGCAATTACGATGAAGTCCTGACCGGCATCTTTATGCTGGAAATCTACGAAATCCTGAGCGCCATCGGCCTAGAATCCGTTCACAGCGCTGTCCATCAAAATGCGGGTATGCGGATCATGAAGCGGGCTTCGACTCTGAATATCGATACCCGGCCCACGGCACCCATTGCCGTTGCCTTGCAGTCAAGGTATATTTATGCCTGTCTCAGCGCTGGACTTCCGACACCTCTTTGCACGAGGCTTGACGACTTTGTCGCCTTCCCCGGCGTGGGCGGCAAGCTCGATTCGTTTGCTGCCGAAGTAGCTGATCTGCTGTACGAACGCCGCATCATTCTCAACCGCTCCCCACAAGCATCATCCCCAAATACAACATCCTTCCTCACACCAAGCGCAACACCCAAGACACCCGCCTCGTCCACGGCGAGCACCGACCTTGCCCCCTCCACGGCCGCCGTCCTCCTCCTTCGAACCATCTCCCTCCTCACCCGTCTCCAATCCTGGTACGCCTCCCTCCCCCCATCCTGGCACCGGCACCGCCTTCCCCCAACCTCCAACATCCACAGCACCATCCGCATCTCCAGCATTTACGCCGGTCTCTGCGATGTCTACACCTCCCTCCCCATCAGCCACTCCCTAGGCATGTACCGCGTCCTCCGCATCGCCAGCCTCCAGACCCGCCACCTCCTCGAAACCCACCTCTCCCATAACCAGAACTCCTCCACCACGCCGGACACATACGCCGACGCCGACGTCCTCGCCGGCGCCAACTCCCAACCCGAAGTCCAAGCCCTCGTTGACGACCTCTGCGCCGCCGTCCCATTCCACCTGGGCAACCGCGGCCACCCGCTCGAAGCCCTGGTGGGGACGCTCTATCCGCCCACGCCGGACTGGCTGCGGCGCAAAGCGCGCTTTGTGGATCAGTATGGCGCGGCGACGGAGATGACGGATCTGCATCACGCGGCCGAGGCGGCGAGTCGTGGCGGATTCATGATTCTGATGCCGCTGCTGGGGGTGTTGCAGCTTTTTGTTGGTGGGGATGTGGAGGGCCAGCTCGGGCAGGAAGACGCGGAGGCGGAGACGGGTGCGGGAGGAGGGCGAAGGAGGAGGGTGAGGGGGAATCCGTTCAAGTTGAGGGATGGGCAGCTGATGTGGATGCAGGCGCAGGTGATGAGGACGTCGCAGCTTTTGCTGAAGCCGTCGGTGGCTTAGGATGGATGTGGTGGGTGGCATGGGAGAGAAGCTGGGCTGAGTTTGGCAAAGTTTGGGACTCTTTTTTTTGGTCAGCTATCGAGGATATCCCATCATGGCGAGAGAATAGAGGGGTACGCGAAGGAAGCGTTGGAACCAAGAGGTGATAATCTAATAGGCCACATCTAATCGTTTCGAACACGCGATTTAGCGTAAGAGTAGAGAGAGTATCATTGGAAGCATTTGCCCTTAATGCCAAGCCGTCAGTCGCCGCGTTGCATCGGTGGACAAGGCGACAAGGCAACGGGTGTGTGTGTGTGTGTATACGACCCGTCTCAAATTAAAAGCTAATGTCATCTCGCACATGCGAGCTCACTGTGCTCCGTTTCCATTTGCACGTGATAGCACATCCAGATCTCCCTTCATAAGCAATCTGATGCCCCCCCCCCACAACGCGACGTCCACCAAACTACACAGTGCCGCCCTCCCAACTCGCCCCCACTGCAGGCTCCAGACTCGCCCTCCACAGTCCAGCGCAGATCTCTATCTTTGAACGGCTCGAGACCTCATCCATGCCTGCGGCGTCTATGGCTCGGACCGTAAAACGGCGGCCCTTGCGATTCCCTCGGCTGCGACGGCGCTTCACCCCCTGAGTCCGAGTCGTCTCCTCTCGAGCTAGACGAGGCAGAAGAGTGGACCGTCGATTCTTGACCGACGAGGCCCGTACCCGACTCAGTCTCCGCTGTTGTTGTTATTGTCGTCGTAGTCCTCAAGTCACTCGTATCGACATGCGACGGCCCCGAGGCCGACTCCGCCTCCGCCTCCGCCTCCGCCTCGGATTCGGACAGCGCCGTATCGAAATCCGAGAGCGCATCTTCGAATTCGTTCGCCCACGATATGGAGCGCTCGCGCCTCGCCCCCACGGCCGCGCGGTACTGCGCCGCCCTCTCCTCCGGGTCCCCCACATTCCGTGCCCTCTCCTCCTCGATTTCGTCCCAAAACGCCGCCTCCTCCGCGGCGGCGGCCTCGCGCTCTGCGTCCCGTCGCGCCTCGTTCTCCGCCTCGGCCTGGCGCAGCGCCCGCGCGTCGCGGTTAGCCAGTCGCCGCCGCTCGCGCTTCGGGGTCGTCTCGCGGGCGCCGTAGTAGGGCTTGCGGTGCTCTTCCTCGCTGCTGCTGCCGGGCACGGCGAATCGGGTCTTGCGTCTGCCTTTTTGAGGGTCGCGCGGTGGCTTGAATTTGGCTTGTGAGACGCCAGTTTTGGGCAGTTTGCTGCCCGGGCCCTTGTAGGGATCGGCGTGCCGAGGAATCTGGCTGCGGGATTGGTAGTGGCCTTTGACGGGGCGATCTGTGCTGGAAGAAGACTCTTCGGGCTGTTTGGTCGACCCCGTGGTGGTGCTGTCGCCAGAAATGGTTGAAGTGGCGGCGGACTGTGGGAATTCGGGTCGCTGACGGGGAGGACTCATTCGGCCTGCTGCTGTGTCTTTGGACACGACTGATATAGATGCGGCACGTCGCGGGTAAGCAAGAGCACTTGATGTTGTGTCCGACCTTGTCACATCCGTTTCTAAGGTGTCCTGCGTAAGACTGGTGGCCGTGGAAAGATCTGTCTCCTGGGTGGCTGCAGTTGACTCAGACCGGTCATCGCCCCTGGCGTGGCGGAGAGCCTCTCGTGCTCTTGGGAAGATGGCGCCCGCTTGGTTACCTCTGCCTAGCTCTCCTGTAACCGTGTCCTCGTCTGGGGCTGAAGTGCCCTGACGGGTCCTGAGGGCTGACCGTTGTGCCCGGGTCGGCAGCGCCTTGGGTTCCAAGGGACCTTTCTTAGCACGTCGAGTGTCGCGGTCTTGAATATACCGCCATTCATAGTCTCCCAGGAACTTCCATGTGTCGTCAGACTTGCCTGTTTCTACAATCTCATCCTCTGTTCGAATAACATCATAGGGCAGACGCTCGGGATGTCGTTGTTTGGGGTATGATTCCTTTGGCTTCTTGACGCGTCGCTTCTTGAGTTCGTCAGCGCATTCGACATCACACCGAGTCCATTTGGCAGGCTTCCCCTCTCTATCGACTTTGCAACAGTCCCATACGTAGGTGTCGGCGCAGTCGCAGGGCTGATCAACGACCTCGGCAAGGACGCTAATGTCCTGATCTTCGAATCTCGCATAGACACCCCATTCCTCCACAGAATACCACTCACGTAGCGCCTTCTCCTCGAGGCTGTCCTTGCCTGCCTTGGCAGCCTCGACGAAGTCTGTCAGGAGGTCCGTCAGCTTCCATATATGCCATCCGTGGAAGAAGTCGGCCCTGCACAGGGGACAACAAGCGTAGTAGCCTTGAACGAATTGACACATAACGATGGTCTCGAATATTGTAGGACTGGCTAAGCTTGACAAGTTTTGAAGGGAAACAGACCGCTGGATGTATTTCGATGCTTTGTAACAGGACATCTTGAACTGGATCGGTGTTTTTGTAGTTCATGAAGAGGGTGATACCAGGTGCGTGTTCCTTTGAGTCGAACTGGTGAGTCGCAAAGCAGAGTCGATGATAATGGTTCGACCCTTGACGACAGGTCTCGTCTTAATCATGTAATGCGCGTTTGCGAGTACCACAGATTGATCGTCGGTCAGCACGTCTCCGGATTAAAGTGCAGCGAAGGTAACACTGCACCAACTCCAAAGGCCTTCCACCGCTGGTGGACTCAGATCAGCAGCAATCAGCCATGACCATAACACGCACCAATCCAACAATCGGCTGACCGCATTGTGACTTCTGTCAAAGAGACTTGGCCCTGATAAGGAGCTGTGACCGCTACAATGTGACACAGGACGCAATTGCAGTTTGCAACATCAGCAGACATCGATCCTGCTGTACACGGTCAATAACAGTACCTGAAGTAGAGATTTTCCCGATCAGTCAAGTCCTGGAAAGCCTGCCGCTCTCCTTCTTTCTCGTCCAGTTGCATCTCCTCCCGTCGCCTGTTTTCTCTTCTGAGCATCATATATAAGGTCACGGCCACGGCGATCAGCACAGCATAGCTACCAATTATGCCCTTCCACAGCATGGGGTAGTGCTCGCCCACTTCTTGGGTGCGAATCCAGAACGGCCCGACGATGTTGCCGAAACAGTACATCACAAATGTTGCACTCGCCATTGCGCTCTTCTTCGTGTTGCCTGCGACGTTGACCATTCCCATCGACACAATCAAGGACGTGACTGGCGCAAAGAAACCAATCAGGGTATAGCCGGCCAGAGGTGTGGCTGCATGTTCGCTCCAGTCTGATTTCCAGATCATGGCGCAGCCAGCGATGACTGGAAGACAGTTGAGAACAATCATGACCAGGCGAATGTTCTGAATGCGGAGCGAAAGATAGCCGCATAGAAGGATTGTGACGAAACATACACCACCGAGGGGCATTTGCCACAGGATGGCTGTGTATGGATCATATCCGAAGGTTGACACAATCAATGGCCCAAAGGCACTGACCGCTCCGTTGACAGTATATGCGAGACCCATCATAAGCGCGATCAGCCAAACTTTGGGATCCGTAAGGGCGTCAATGATCTGGCTGCGCTTGATGGTGTTGCAACGTACTCCCATCTGACTACGCCGCAAACGCTCGAGAGCAACGATCTTCTCGTCACCCTTCAGGAAGAAAGCTGTATTCGGCGTCTGTGGGAAGGCGAAGAACAGAAACCCATATAGGACTGTGATTGCACCGGCCATGATATAGAGATACTGCCAGCGCTCGAGATTGCCGGAGTTGATATGAGCGAAGGCGTAATTGAACAAAGCACCGATTACCGTCCATCCTCCAGTAGCTGAGTACCAAAGGCATTGCCTCCAGGTCTGTTCACGCTGAGCGTAGAATGAAGAGACGATGACCATGAAGGCTGTAGGAAGCATAGACTCCAGGAACCCAAGAAAGAAGCGCTGAGCATACAGGCCATGAAAGCTGGTCACCAATGCTAACACCAGTCAGTATATATGCATCGGAACTGAACGCGTCGCAACAGGATCGAACGCAGTCCCGTGAAATCCTTTAGACGGTGCCTGAGCATAGAGACAAATACAATCTCCTGACCCCGATCTAGAATAACAAGGAGAGTACTAACCAGTCGCCATACAGACAAGCCCCCACGTAACCACACAAACGCCAATAGTCCTGCTGAGATGGAACCGCTGGAAGGCGTACGTCAAGGGTACCACGCCGGCCAATAGGCCGAAGTAGAACAGGCTCGATGCCCAAGACAGACGTTGCGTGGAGGTTTTTGGCGGCGTCGTAGAGGCGTCGACCACGACGCGCAGGTCGAGGGAGGTGATCATCCCGAAGATCGATGCACCACCAAGGATGGCCTTGTCGTAATACACGAGGCCATAGCCGACCCAGAGAAAGGGTATGACATAGAGGTCGATCTTGCGCACGACTCGGCGCTCGATGGCGGCGTCGTACTGTTGGGCTTCATTGCCCACCAAGCCGGCGGCGACATCGACCCCGGAAACTGTGCGAGACTCCGCCGCGTCCGACGATGAAGCCACTGGAGCTGCTGCTAGTTAGCCAGGAGCACAGGGCTGGCTCTCCAGGCTTGAGACGAAAGGGGAATCGGAGTCTTTCGATGGTAGCCTTTCGACCCGGGCTGTTTCAACAATAGCAACTAGGACTTACCTTGCTCGGCACTAGTCCCCATGGTTTAAGATCGCACACAAACTCGTGTTACTCAGGGATATTCCCGAATTATAGATTGATGATAGAGAGAATCTGAGGTTGTGAGGTTCTGCTAGGGAAGTTCATTTGTGGTGGCAAAAATCTAGCTCTGCCATGCCGGTCTTGGTAAATGGGTTTCTGGGCGAGACTCTTTGCAATCCACACCTGGTCGCGCCATTCCACATGGCTCGCTTAGGTCTTGATGAGCGGATCTGTCAATTTCTGGACAATGTACGCATAAGTGCTCAATGGTCGGGGAAAATTCAACTTTGGTTCATCCGGGAGACAAACCCGAAAATCTTCCTGCTTTAGCGTGGGGTAGGACGGATAGGAAGAACCGCGTGAGGATTGGTAGGCTTGCTGCTCTTCATAACAGTATACAAGGCTTCACATTTTCTCCAGCATCACCTGCATGCCCTCCCAGACTTCCTCGCAGTTTGGCACAATCTGCTCAGGAGGCAGTACGAAACCGAACTCTCCAGTATCCCGAAGCTCGAAAGCCATAGACCACGTAGCGCCGACAATATCAAACAAGTAATCGGCCGAGCCCCCGTTCGTCGCATAGATAGTCTCACACGTCGGCCCAAAGGTGTAATTCGTGCCATACACAGACTCGATTGCCTCGGCGGTCGCTCCCATCAAGTCAACATGCTCCTGACTTGTTGGGGGGTACTCGTCACACGTGTAGCCCCAAGGAGAGAGAATAAGTTGCGAATAACTGTGAAAATCAAGATAGAGCTTGATACCTTGCTTTTGGCCGAGCAAATCCGCAAAACCTGCCATGCCGGCTTGTTCGACTGCCGATCCGGGACTTTCGCCGCGATACGTTTGGGTGCATGGGTCAGGGGAGGAGCCTTCAGGATTGGTGTCCCACTGATTTGCCCAATTCCTGTTCAAATCGATGCCCCAGCAAGGCGCCGACTGATTGCCTCCGGGTGGAGGTGGAGATCGACTCTTGCGCCACAGGCGTTCGGTGGTTTGGGTATACACGAAACCATCTGGGTTAATGATTGGGATGACATAGAAGTCGTACTCATCAACGAACCTGGTCAGGGCATCATCTTTTCCATAACCAGCAATAAGTTGGTAAGACAGGTATTCAACAGTCATCGTTGTAATCCACTCCCGAGCGTGGACTGTTCCATGCCACAGGACAGCAGGCTTCTTACCAGGACCGTCCTTTCCCCAGAAATGAATGCCAGTCTGGTCCCGACCCTCAACAGACTTGCCGGCGCTGAAGATCTCCGAATTATTCGGTAAAGCGCTGGCAAGCTCATTGAGGTACTCGAGGTGATCGTCAAAGTCATGATACGTCTCGTACCAGGACAGGTCCGGCAATCCGTCAGGCTTGTTCTTGCCTAACACAGTCAGTCAATTGAACAAGGGCAAAATCAAGGATTGGCTCTTCTTACCTTTCCAGGGACCCCAATTTCCTTCCTGAGCAATGTCTTCACCAAGGTCACTATGCATCTCCTTGAAGTCGATGCCAAGCTCTTTGAACTTCTTCGCCTCTTCCCGAGACATCGAGAAATCGATATGACGGGCTGAGTCATGGTTCCATTGCTCATAGTCAAGACCTGCCAACTTCTTGGACACCTCCGTCAACTTGTCACCAGTCTCGACTCTGAAGACGTGATAGCCCTCATACTTGGCAGCTCTCGGGTGAAGATGAGGGACCGCCGCGCTGAAGCCGAGCAACATGGAACTGACGATGATGGACCTCATGTTGTTGATGTACAGTCGAGAGTCCCACTCCTTGTCAGTACTCAGCCACTATTTGTAGCCATTCGCGGATCGACCACCTCGTCGCCGGATGGGGTAGGTAGCATCGGACACCTTGGCTCGTGGACGAGAAGCCGGGATATACCCTGGCGAATATAATGATACTGCCCAAGGCTCGGAAGACCAACGTGCTATTGGTCATGTAGAACGGTAGCGTGCAACTGACGATGGGAGCCGGACGATTTCCCCCCCTACACCCCAGATTTGCATTAGGCAGGCAGCCATTAATTAGTGGCCAATTGATGCTGAACTGGAATCACTGGCCATGGCATTTCTTGCTCCTTCCTAATCGACCATAGTCGACGCAGAATGAACGTGCTTGGCGATGGTCCTCGAGCAGCGCGAAGAGAAGATCTGCAAAGACAAGCAGGCAAAGTTGAAACAGACCAGAGACGAGGCTTGCTTTATCTCGGCACAAGCGACTGAGATGTGGGAATGCATTCAGTACAGACAAAAGGGTCCTGCGGCCACAACATTTTTACTAGCAACAAGTACCAGCTATGAACAGGGCACGAGGTATAGAGGGGCGGGCTGCGGTGCCAAGCTTTCCGGTTTCCGCCATCTGCGGGCACCTGAACAGCAACCTGTTTCCTCCGACCTTGTTCGACTCTGCGACTGCGACTCACTTCAGCAGCTCCAGTATCGCGCATCCACAAATCGCTAGATACCCTTGCCAGTCGCGCGCACGCGCAATCCTAAAACATGGCTCCTCACGCCGCGCCCTCCCGCGAACAGCCGACCGCCAGCACCGACCTCGAAGCCGGCCGTGAGCTCAAGCTAGGCGAATTCGCGGACGTTGAGACTCTGTCACTCTCAGAAGCGCGCATTGTTCTGCAGCGCACACTCGAAATGCGCCAGAAGCGCGGCGAGCCTTTTGATGAGTCTGATACCATGGTGAAGACGCGCGACTACCTTGAGATTTTCGCAGTCTTCAAGGATCTTTCCGTCGCTGAGCAGGTCGAACAACTCATCAACTCGCTTGGAAACGATCTTGTCAAATTCGAAAAGAGCCAGCTCAAGAGTCTACTTCCAACGTGTGCTGATGAAGCCAAAGCCCTGATCCCGAGTTTGGAGAAGAAGGTCGAGGATGGCGTGCTGGATGAGATGCAGTTGGACGAGATTTGCAAGGAAGTCCAGAGATTAAAGAGACAGGCCGAGTTGTAGTTGAGTCATGCGACTGGGACACGAGGCTTAACGCACACCCAGGATCACGAATGACGAATTCACCCCAGGGCGTTGTCGGTCAAACGATGCCATCTGCGCGTCTCTAAGCCATGATGGTTCGATGAAGACGTCCTCAGTGAAGGACCAAGAACGACGGCTTCGACTTCCTCAAAATTTACTGCGATACGAGCGACGAAATAGCGGCACAAATACTGCTGAAGCCTGCCTGTGGTATGGAAGTTGGCTTTTACAAGGGACTGCGCCAGCTGAGGAGGCCATCTCCCTGGAGACAAAGGAGAAGTACCAGAGAAACGGAGATGGTTGAGACTGAGGAACGTTGGGTATCGATGGCTAGGCTACAGCCTGCAACCTGGCACAGAGAACATGCTGCAACATTTTGTGAGTTCAACACCTAATGATGAGTGTGCGCTCTTTTCATTGCCAACATGACTGTTCCATGTCGATCATGTAGCCACAGCCTCTGTGCCAGCCCGTCTCACCGGAATACGTCTAATTGACATAGCGTGACAAGGTAAGTGCTACTTTGCGGGTCAAGTCATGCATCTCCCGTTCACTCGCCTCTGCTTCGCTTCTGTGTGACGCGAACGCCTTGCAAGGCGCAATTCTATGTCACGTCACGCCTGCCCTCTGCAGTGCCGTTTGCATGTCGACTGCTGTTTGGAGCTCTTTCCAAACAGCTCACAAACATGTCACCTTCGCAACTACTTAAACGACTCGACGATCAAACCTTTGCACTTGTCCTTGCTCGACACACTGACTTGGAACCGCCACACTTCTACTCATGCAATAGATCTATCCTACATCGAATCACTTCATTCCTGAACCATTCCTGAACCACAATGTCCACTCACTCAGAATCCACCTCAGCGCATCGCGCCTCTAACAGCGGCGCTCCATCGGCTCGTTCTTCCCAAGGCAAATGTGCGGCGGACTGCTCGAAAGGCACCTCTGTGGTAAGATCGTGATTTGTCCACCTCTCAGGCAATACCGCCTCGAAGTGTGTGTCCACTGACCCAAGAATATAGTTCACGGGCAAACCAAACTCGCAGCTCGGTGACTTCAGCGGCATCAGAGCCTCTTCCTCCTCCGACACGGTCTCCGTCAATCAGAAGGCCGCCACCAAGGATCCGATCGGCTCGGAAAGCCTCAAGAAGCCTGGATGTGATGTCGCATCTGCCGACAGCAAGACTAACGACAACAATGATTGGGTTAGTGTCACCAAGCAAGATGTCAGCAGCGACGAGAAGACAGACACAGGTAAGCAATGCGGCCCCGTCTCCTCTTGGATCACAGGCGACCAAATCCTGTGCGCCAGATATTAGGACGGCAATAGCTGAGACTGGCGGGGGTTGTCTGACGACCGCCGGTCCGCCTTTCAATCTGTTGCATCCGCGATAGAAGATGCGCGGAGTAGTGAATCGTTGGTCTCCGCAATGGAAGAGGCTACGCGGTACTCAGATCGTACTGACTTGTGTGACGATGATAGTGAAGAACTAAGTTCTGCCGCGAGGGCTAGACGTGAGGAGACTGCAAGACTGATGGGAGAGTGGCGCAAGAATGGGGGATGGGAACATTGGTAAACAAATAGAGTGGTTCGCACGAGAACATACGCATATACTACAAGACAGCAGCAAGCCAAAAGGCAAAGCGATGTGATATCCCAACCAGCCATAGTCCTTTCTCCCGGGGGTATCAAGACCAAAAACGCACGCACACACATTTCTCTAGAACTCCGGTTCCCCCCCCCCCCCTTTCCCACCTTCCTCTTCAAGTACCCAAGTAACCACTGAACGAACGAACCCCCGCGGGCTACTGATCAGCGCCCATGATCTCGCCGACGCCCTCCCTCACGAGCCGACTCAACTCGCGCCCATTCTCCCAACACTGATTATGCCGACCCTGGACCTCGACGACCTCACTGATGAGGAGGGGCCGACTGCCGCCGCGCCGCCGCCGCCGCCGACGGGCACGGTGGCCCTCCGCATGCTGTGCCTCCTCCTCCTCCTCCACCACACCATCACCACTACTACCCTCCTCAAACACGTCGTGCATGGCCTCGACCTGGCCCCAGTCAACCAGGCTGTCCGTCTTGCTGTGCGCGAGTATCAACCACCTCTTCGTCGGCCAAGCGTCGCCATCGCCCTCTTTCTCTCCTTTGTACCCTTCCTCCTCCTCCTCCTCCTCCTCCTCCTCCTCCTCCCGATCCCCCCAAGCCTCTTCAAACTCCACCCGCTCCCGCCTCGCGGGGCTGACGTCCCCCCACATCCGCTCCGGCACCGCATTGGCCGTCATGGGCGCGTACCCCGGAAACTTCTGATGCAGTTTCAAGAAATCGTAGATGCCCGCGACGCCGACGAGGCCGAGCGGCGGCGTGACGCCCGCCTTGCGCGCGTGCAGCACGGCGTTGAGCGCTAGCGTGGCGCCCACGCTGTGGCCGACGAGGAGGTACCGCCCGGACTCGCGCACCTCCGGGTACTTGCCCTGCCAGTGCTTCAGGGCGGCGAGCACGTCGGCCAGCATGTCGGGCCAGGCGGCGTCGTGCATTTCGTACTGTGGGGTGGTGTCCGGGTCCTGCGGGTGGGCTTCGTGCGGCGCGAGGCGGTAGTTGATGGAGACGTAGCCTTTGACGTGGCGTTGCAGGTCGCGGACGGAGGCGTCGTCGGTCTCGGGGTCGGTGAGCAGCGAGAGGGTGGGGTGGAAGGAGGAGGCGAGGACGGAGGGGTCGCGGAAGTAGCCGCCGTGGATGAAGACGACCCAGTAGTGTGGTGTGGGAGTGTGGATTGCCGAGCCAGGGCTGAGAGGCGTGCTGGCGCCGGAGCCGTGGGAGGAGTCGGATGTGGATGGTGGTGGTTGCAGGTAGAGCTCATAACTCTGGAGGATGTTGGCGGAGCCGTATTGGAGACGTTGGATGTTGGAGGAGATTCGTGAGGGTATGTCGGCGCGTTTGGGCGCGGCGCGGTCGGCCGTACGGGGTTGCGATGATACCGAGTCGACTTTTGGGCGATGGCGGACATTTTGCTGGGGCTCGTGGTTTCGACGTGGCGCGAGATACGCAGCACTGTTGTACTTGTCGTCTGAGTACTGCAGAGCCTGCTTCTGGAGGTAGTGGATGGCTTTCTTCATCTTCGGCGGTCGTTGTGATGTGGCCTGTTGGCTTGAAATCCGGCGAGCGGTCCGCTGCGGTAGTAGAGTACAGCGAGATTGAGGGGTTGATGTGTTTGCCGCTTGTCGATTGGGCTCGAGGTTGGTTGTAATGGGATCATATATCTTCAGTGTCGTGGCAGAAGGGGCGCAAAGATTAATCGTGCTGTTTTGTCTTTTCGAGTCTTACACAAATATGCCTGAAGAGGGATGTATGTGGAAGATCGAGCTGACCTAAGCGTGAGGCAGCCTGTTTTCAGCTGAGGCCGTATTGGACCGGGGTATAGACTGTATCCAGTCAGAGACGAGGACTGGCGCTTGTATACCACTGGTAGATCGAGGCGACCAGGGTGATCCGGTCTGGTCGTGTTCCACGACAGGCGTCTTCCCCAGATTCGGGTGTCTTGAACGAGAATCCGGAACTTTACAGATCAAAGACGGAACAGACTCAACAACGGTCTCTACACAGAGACACGAGGCTAGGGTGGTTGACACTGGCGGAATGTGGGAATGTTGACTTTGAGGATGAAAAGAAGGCTGTAGCCGTTCAGCCAAGCTCGAGGGCGACCAAGATGTGATTAATGACGGTTGAAAATATGTTTCTCGATATCGGGCGTTATCTTCGCTGTGATGAGCGTGATCACCGTGATCACCCTGCTTCGGAGAATCGCGAACTTTAATTCGGCACGGAAAGTCAACCAAATCCCAAGGGTTGGAAATGAAGGCGCAAGATGATGTAGACAATAAGAAGCACCTCGGAAGTCTTGCGCCGGGTAAGTTGATCTCCACGGTGGATCTAGACGGTGGAGTGGACAGGAGGAGTAGTGTCGATGAAACGGGTATGCTTCTGACAACTGAAGACAGTGATCTCGACGCGAGTGAGGATAATCAGAATGAGTTAGATTTCTCCCCCATTCTCTTCATCCCCACGCCGGCTCGCTGATACCCGCCGAGTGATAGTCTTGGTACCCTGGACAACCCGACAATGGGATGGCCGAGTGACCCAGTAGTTGGCAATTGGTGACTCGAGACCCTGGCGGCGGAGATGTTTCGGTGCCCCCCCAAGCACCTGGGTTACCCTAATGGGCAAGCACAAGGCGCTGACAGTTGGGGAACAAGGCTGTCAGGTGCGCGGGTGGCGAGGAGGTTGTTGGGGTACGCCAGCTCAATGAACAGACTGGTATTGACTACACGACGCAAGACGACAGTGATCTTGCGTTCGGGTGTGGACTTGACCGAATGGGAAAGTCTCATTCTTAAACAGTCACCACCCCGCGGAAAATGAGTGATATAAATCGCCCGCGGAGGAATATACTAGCAACTAACGCCTGGCAGCAGCAGTGACTCGCTAAGGCGCCTCTTTTCCCCCAGACTCTTCCTGCCCGCCGCCCAATCCGCATAGGTAAAGCGGCACCGAATTCGGGGTGCAAAAGCCAAATACGGTATCCGATGAGGAAACCGTCAGCGAACCTATGGCACTTTCACCAGGGTCTGGTGACTGAGCGTACTTGTGAAACTCAGATGTTGGAAATCAATGTAGTGATTACTCAAAGAATGCCTAGGCATGACAACACACTCCATCTAGCCTGCGGAAGCCTTCCCTCTTCAGTATCGTTCCAAGACCAGGTTCATAATCCTGCTACTAGCTCTACAAGAGCAACTCGATGAGCGACCCGACCCCCGCCGCTGCGTGCCTTGCTCAGTAAAGTATGTTTGGACGCATGAGGCCCTCAAATCGTGCCAAATGCTCCGTCTGCTGCATCGAAGGTCGCAGCAATACTATCCTTTCTGTCCGTGCCAGATTGTCTTCTGCGCCACCTTTGAATATGTCTCGCGTGCAGATAGCCGGCTTGGGGATAGATTCGCAACATGGTGGTGCTGTGAAATTTACCTGGTTGTCGGGTTGCGTTCCCGCTTCTGCTGCCCATCGCGCATTGCTGATCGCGTGGACACTGCTTACTTCCGTATGGGCCAAATGGGAGTGCTCGTAATCGGTTTGAAGCGACGTAAGCAAGGCGGTGTCGAAAGGGTCTAGGGCTCTTTCGCCGGTCAGGTGCTGCGTCTCCAGCTGCGACATTGTACGGCGTGTACAGTGGTCGTCGAAATTACCAGGTCTTTTGAGCACCTCCGCTTCAACTGGAAGCTCTGTTTCATGTTGGTATGACGGTGGTACGAGATTTGGGTCCAAGGAAGCCAGGACAGGAAAGACCTTCCGCTTCCAAGGTCCATTGCTGGTCCAAGCACCGCCTCCAGAGTGAGACAATTGCAAGGGCCCACCTTCTGCGTCTCCATCCCTGTCCGTTGGTTGTATATGTTGTAGTTCGGCGCTCCGCGGAGGGCTGTTGATAGCTGAGTCATTTACAGCCCATGCAACAGCCGAATCATTTGCAGCGAGCTCTTGAGCAGCATATCCGGCCTCCCTGATCGCCGCAAGTTGCTTGAGATCTTCGAGTGAGTAGCCGTTTTGGAGTGTTCCAAGACGTTCGTTGGCCTGCTGCGCCTGAAGCTCGGGTTGAGGAATGTATCCGCTTGGTGTTAGATTGCTGATCGAACTTCGTGGGTGCACCGGTTTGACAACTCTTGAACTTTGCCAAGTAGAAGGACCGAAGGTGGCATAGGGCGGTCGATGCGGCGAGGCTCCTTCTTTATGTAGCCCACCGAGCGGGTTCTGCGGCGGCGATAGCGACCATGAGGCATCAGATATACAAGTGGCTGATCGCAGGGTATTCGGCGATGGAAAGCAGGGCAAGTTACTGGCTTCATTGCAAGCAGTGGCAGCCAACTGGATCGGCCTTTGTGTCGGTTCTGAGTCATGCAGATGGCTCATGGTCTGGCTAATCGCTTGACCCAGCGGGATGTTGCTGACGGGACGTCCTGTCGTCCTGTGCGAAGGTTTTTGGAAAACTCGCTGTGGCTTTCGAATGGACGAGTGCATTGCTGGTGTGTTTGTCTGCGACCGCCTCTTAGCCCCGGATCCTAGGGTGGCAAAATAGCCGGAGATCTCTTGGGCACCACCCTTGATGTTGCTCTGAGGATGGACCATGGCTCGAATTCCGCGGATTCGAGCGTCGTCCAATTCTCGTTTCTTCGTCAGAAAGGTCATCTCGGAGAATGTGAGATCGGGAATGCCGCGTCCGACGGTCGGTTCGGAAGCTTTGCCTTTGTTGAAGATGCCAGGAAGTGCGTCTTGTTTGAGGGTGAGCCGTTTAGACTCTACGTTGGGAGCTCTGAATTCTTGATCTAACGTCGGACCAGACTTTCTATGGGAACGTCTCTTTTTATTGGCCGACCTCGATTTGCGTGTCGCCCCTTGTGAGTCTGCGCCGCCCTTATACTCGTACCTATCGTCTCTGGTCTTGTTCCTGGAGCGGCGGGCATATTTGAGACGGGGATCGATGCCGGCTTCGGCGGAGCTTGAGGGTAATGCCATCCCCTCGAGGGCAGTCTTTTTGCGGTATGGTGACGAACGACTATTCGGGCGGAGCTGTGATATCTCATGCTGGGGCACGCCATCATCTCTCTTGCTTAACGACTCGTCGATCTTGTGTGCTCTATGCTCGTAGATTCGCCCTGGACTAGAAGATAGAGAACGAGTCGACCGAGGCAGCCGCCTTCTATCAATATTAGTGCATGCACGACTCAGCGCGCAAAGGCCACCAGTGTCAGGTACTTGATGCTCGAGTCTTGCTCGGTGGATTCGCTTCCCAGAGGAATGCCTCTGTTAGATTGCTTGCGGAGTGATCTGGCCGTGCTCGACTTACCCGCCCTTCCGGTGCTTGCGTTTGCGCGACTTCGCGACTCCTACGAGGTGCGACTCTTCTCTCTTCGATTCGTCTGCAACGGATCGGAGCCAATCCGAGACGTACGCATCGGGTGCACAGATCACCGGCGAAGGGGCCATTTCAGAGGACCCATCCTTCTACGCGTAAGCGTTGGTTTGGAGTCATGGGTTCGTGGCGAGTAAGTGTCTCAGCGCTTACTCGAAGTCAAGGTGGAGGGGGTGGTAAATCGTGATTCAATGCAATTGCATTAGCTGCAGATAGGCCTGAAATGCACCTGCCTCAGCTAAGCCGTCTAGATCGGCAGGCGCACAAGAGTCAGTGCTGCTCGTTCGACTCGAATACGCGACGGTGCAAGTCTGGCACTCGCAAACTGGGGCTGAGAATCTGCATCTGAGGGTTGCAGTTGCGGACGCGTCTCACGCACCGTTGCATGGTGGCATACAATCAGTTAGTCAACGTTTCGGTGACGAGTCGAGGCATGTCAGAGATGGTGATGCGGGACGGACGGCTTGGAAGCGTCTTAAGTAAAGGTGCTTATGTCCTGATCGGGCGAACGGCGCAAGCAGACCGCAGAACGATAGCTGCTCTTTGCAAGCGATAATGCACTGATGCTGCGTGCATTTCGGCCGCTGGCGCGTATGCTGGAGTCAACAAGACTCTTAGACCGATTAGCTGCAGGATCTGGACCCTTGTGTACGAGTCGACGACAGCCTTCCAGGATGGTAGAGAGGAAGCATGTTCTGTTTTCGTGGGCACGATGGCGGTCAGCTGCTGTTCTTAATTGGCACGAAGGACGGAATGGCAAGTTGCTGCATGAAAAAGTCCGCAAAAGGAACGGAATATGTTGCCTGGCCAGGTTCACACTCTCCACTCACGAGTCGACATTGATTTCCAAACCTCGGTCGATGGTGACAAAGCGCAGATGGCGAACATGGGTGTCATTGCGCCAGACTGCGGGCGCCGACCGAAACTAGAAACTAGCATAGAACGGCACTTGAGCTCCGCCAAGACGCCAGCGGTGGGATAGGCGAAGCGGCGACCCAACGGCGAGGACGTGGGCTGTCTCGATGAGTTCGGGACCGCACCTTTTGAGCCACGAGGGGTGGAACGAGGGATGTTCAAGCGGGGGTTTTCCTTTCAGATAAGATCGATCCCTCCTGTCACACGCTCCGTTTAGATTGTGTGAGGAACCATGCCCACGTCTGCCAGAACCACTAGCCTATCGCCCTCATTTGCCTTGGTCGCTGTCTGCGCCGTTGCGTGCTTGTAGGCATTTACTGGGCGCGCTCAGCTACTGTGTCAACTAGAGCCCGATCCGTACTGCCGTTCAGGCGAGTGGTATCGATTGTGTTCTTGCGCAGCGTTAGCAGCAGGCGGGCCATTTGTCATGGGAGCGTCTCCTCGCCATTCGTAGAACGTCCAGGTTGCATTGGTGACTGCTTCGTGGCCCATTGGCTGGCGATCGCTGGTAGCTGGTCGAATGCGTCTGAAGCCGGTTGGAGGGGCCCGTCACGAGGCCTGAGTGGCCCAGGCGACCCTAGCACCCAACAGGCGGTAGACTGTCGGTGGAGAGCCTGCCCAGCGGTCCATGTGCATGACTCCTTGGGTTCATTGCGCCCTACCAGGGCCAATTGCTTGCAGAATGCGGCGGAACGAAGCCTTTGATCCCGGCGTCAAATTTGACATCACCGCACCACAAGCACTCATCGCGGCAGTCAGACACGAAATACTTCCCGTAGCGTGAACAAATCCCGTTGGATCGGCAGTGGATGATAAACGTTGCTTGATCACAATCCCCTCCTATGGTTCCCGGGTTGAGCGCCTCATTTCTGCTCTTGTCCCGAGTCGGTCTCCCGAGATTTTGCGAGTGACGATCGAAACAGTATTAACGGCAATTTTCTTGTTTTCGCGGTCCAGCAGGTGGCGTTGAGTCTTTCCCGTTGCCACTGGGATCTCCGTCTGCCTTTGAGCGTCAGTTACCGGTACGGTTTAGCAGATCAGTGCGAAAACTGCCATTGCTCCAAGCGCGACCAATGAGAGGCGATTTGCATAGGATCCCCATCTTCAGGCAAGCATCCTTGACCAGCTGTCAGTCGGGCGCATTGTTGCCTGCCTCTCCCCGCTCCAACAACGCCGCTGTCAGACATCACTGGCACCTTTTCGACTTTGGGCGTTGTGCAAAGTAGATATGGCGAAGCTTTTCATCGGGTGAGTCTGCGCAGAGAGCGGGGGTCGATACGTTACCGCTAACGACGAGGCTGCAGCGGCCTAGCCTGGCACACCACCGATGAAACCCTACGCGAAGGATTCCAACAGTACGGGACAGTAGAAGAGGCCGTAAGTGGTGCCGCGAGTGTGTCAGCGAATGTTCTCCGCTGACAGTGGAACCAAGGTCGTTGTCAAGGACCGCGATACGAATCGAAGTCGTGGCTTCGGATTCGTGAGGTTCGCCACCAGGGCTGAGGCAGACATTGCTTTGTCTAACATGAATAACACCGAGTAGGTGGACCTGACGGCTGCATATCTCTTCCGACGCTTATGATGTTGTAGGTTCGACGGGCGTCTCATCCGTGTGGACCATGCGCAAGACAACCGACCTGGTGGTGGCCAACGAGGTGGGTACGCTCCCAGAGGCGGATATCCCGCAGGAGGACATATGAGTCGCGGCGGCTATGGACCTGGACCGAATCCTTTCTCGTATGGCCGTGGCGGCTTCCCTGCGCCGTACACCCATGAGCGGCCGCCGCAGCTGCAGCAGCCAGGCGGTCAAGGGGGACAGAATCCCTACCAGGGAAGAGGAGGTGGCGGAGACCAGAACGGACCCTGAATACACGGCACCAGCCACGATAAAGAGGCCGCTCATGTGGACCGACAACAGAATGGATATATACCCTCTATGAGATGCGGTGAGATGAGAGGACGGAAAACGTTGTAACGCGGTCGCTTCACCAGGACTCTGTTTGACATACGATTGATCGGTCTCTACTCGGGCTTCTCGATTTCCTCTTGCTGCTCAGTGCTGCTAATTCGCCGCAGACGACTCTCAGAAAGCTGGCGCTGTTTGGTCGAACGGACAGCAGGTGCCATTGCCCGGACCCGGCTAGCCAATTCGCTAATGTGGTAATCGTGACTTGTCGGACTCAGACTTTGCAAGGCCTCGTCCAACTGCAGCAGATACTCACGATTCTCACCACTCGGGCCAATGCTTCGATTAATGGTCTCGGCCACATCTCGAGGATCTTGGGCGCCAAGAAATTGAGGGTTATCAGGCATCCCAATGTAGACCAAGCAGTGCAGGTCTTTTGTCTCGGGGTTGGCCGGGTGAAACGGCGTGTACTGAATGCTGTATCCATTTATCTCCCGAATGTCAAGATACTCCCTGACTTCTTTGACCTTGCTCGGAACGATATGGTAAGCTACTCCCCAGACGTGCTCATTGTCCGGCGATATTTGCTGGAGGGATGTCAGTGGAAGTGGCCGAAAAATTCCCGAGATAGGGAACTGACAGAATCTTTAAGCGTGGCCCAAAACCGGCGTTCGATGAGGGTCACAACACGGCCAGGCGATTCCGGCGTTCCGCGATGGTCCTCGCTGATCGGTGTGAGTCGAGCAAGAATGAGCGGGCTTGGTACCTTACCTCGCCTGCCGTCGTCAGAAGGGCAAAAGGTACGGAACAGTATTCGTTGGCTTACCTGCCAAAACCTCCGCACATATCCCTTGATATAGCCTGGGACGCGTTGATCTGGGTGACATGAGTCGAGCGAAGGGTGCCAAAGCAGGTGCTGAACTGTACCGAAGTGTGGCGGAGGTTTCCAGATAAGACTTCTGCACAGCGTCGGCGTTATACATTGAAAGAACTTGCGAAGGAAACACTCCTCACCCGTACCCAAAGAGCCAGAAATCTGACTCCTCACTCGGAGCTGGCCCCATGATGTATGCGGCTGCCTGTAGCCAGGGATCGGAAAGTGAACATAAGGTGTCCGCTCACGTGGAATCCAGCTATGTGCTGGCAACGGCTGGGGTTGACTTCTTCGTAGCGTTGCTATAGCTGCATACGGCGGAAGAGAGCAAAGAGGACAGGCCTTGCCAGGATTTGTGCACTGAAGGCTGAAGATGTTGACCAATCTGATTGTGACAGATCCAGGTACGTACATGAGCAAAGGCGTTAGTCCCGGGGAATGAAGAACATTCGCCTCTGCTAGTACCAACGGGTCAGGGGTCCCAAAGGGTGGAGCTGATGGCGGCCATCGGCATCACGCACTCTGCAGCTTAGGCTTCGCCATCGTCATCCTCTGGAAGGTCTGATGACATACCCAAATACTTATCCATTATTCCATACTCTTGCTGAATACTTGGATGCGAGGCTGAGGTTCAAGCATCTGACATGATACGAGATTGGTTTCGGGATGCCCAAGGCTTGCGCGTAGTGGCTAAGTTTAGGTCGTGGGGGCTTGGTTAGGCTGAGTGCCTGGAAAGCGCCCCGAGAATCGCGCACTTTTGGTGTTGGAGAACTTGACCTCTCAAAGTTGCTTGGCCGCATTCACCAGGCGTCTTTCCAAAGATTCAGCTCGACTGTCCTCCCCGTTACTCTCGTTATTGCAAACAGAAGACGTACGGGGACCATTCTGCCTAGTTGGTCATTGCGAGGTCTGGTCAACCAACGAGATTCATCTTCCTGGTTCCTGCGCTGAAACCACAACATCCCCATTACCCCATCTGGAGCAGATACGATGGCAGCATACAACAAACCATTCAACCCTGATGCTTTGCCTGCGTAGGCTGTGTCTCTATCATTCTGAAGATAGTGGCTGACGAGTATAGACATGCGGAACCTGAGCAGGCAGCGCAGATGCTGGCCGGCCGTCACACGTCCTCCAACCCTCGTCCAGCCTACTCGAACCTGCCTTCCCAGCAGCGACCACAATCACCTGGGCAAGGTGGCCGCCGCCCGTCGGGTGGTGTGCACTACAGTCAGCAGCATCCGCCGCAACAATCATATCAGCGCCCACCACAGCCAGCGCAGCAGTCATATGGGCCTCCGTCCGGCCAGGGTTATAGCAATATCGGCCATGATGCGCGACTGAACTCCCCACCTCCTCCGGCGGGCTACGGCGCAGGACCTCGTCCCCAGGGCCGTCCTATGCAACAACAGCAACAGTACAACGCGCATTCGCCTGCGCGGACTCCTCAGCCGCCCGATCCTGAATCCGCGGAACTCGGGACCATTTTTCAAGCCGCCAACGTGTCGCGTTCGGGGCATCTGACAACCACCGAACTGGGTTCGGCGCTGGTCAATGGCGACTACACACCGTTTGATGTATCTACTAACCAGGCATTGATGCGCATGTTCTCAACGTCACCGCACGGCCAGCCGCAAGGACCTACACTCACGTACCAGGAATTCCAGAATCTCTGGAGATTCCTTGCCGCGTGGAAAGACCTTTTCGAGAAATTCGATGAAGACCGAAGTGGGCGGATATCGCTGAATGAATTTTCCAACGCCCTAGTGGCATTGGGCTACCGGCTGTCACAACCTTTCGTCGGGCTGCTGTACCAGACCTACAACGAAAAAGGTATCAAGATAGCCAATGAGCGGAGGGGCAGCCGCGGTTCGGTACAGGGCCAGGGAATGAGCTTTGACTTGTTCGTCCAGGCCTGTATACATCTGAAGCGCATGACGGACGTCTTCAAAAATTACGACGATGATCGGGATGGCTATATCACGGTGAGCTTCGAGGAATTTCTGACAGAAATACTTAAATTACGAGACTGAGCCAGAGTGCTGGAGGTCTCTTTGATACCCATCAATGCTAAGTTGAATTCCTTTGGTCGCGTTGCTGCTGTGGATGTCGGCAAGACTATTGTTGCTACACCGGGTCAACTTTGAACCGCTTGGGTATGGTATCATAGGTTTGCGTGCCTCGACTTGTACGTTGAGAAGCACGTATATTCCAGGACAGGTGTGAGCTGTGGGAGGAGAATGGATCGGCAGACAGGTGCGATAATCGTACGGATCAGCAATGTTCTTCAAGTACACCACCTGGTAAGTATTGCGGGGGACGCTTAAACAGCAAGGATGGCGCGAAATGGATTGCAGGGGTGAGCCAGTCGCGTGTCGGATTTAGGCACACTGACGCGCGGTGGGCTCGTGGTCCCGATTCACTTTGGTGCCTCGTGGTCCGCTTCAATTGCGCACGCGCCGGCGATAGAAGCCTGCAATGGCCGATGGAAGCCTTCCATTAGTGGGGAGCGTGAGCGCCGATTTGCTGGCTGCTCGTCACAAGTCTTTCCAACGGCTAAATCTCACATACAACACGCCGCTGCCTGCATAAACTAGCCATGCAAGTTACATCGCCTAAATGCATCCACAGCCATGAGCGGACTCTGCCCCCGAAGCTCCCTGTCTAGACCAGACGTCGCTGCTTTCACTCGGGGATGAGCAGATCTCTCGCTCTCACCCTAAAGAGCACGCTTGCGCTTGCCCACCCGGCTCCAAGCCACCGCCCGCAGTTTTAGTGGTTTCGACCGGGCTCAGCGCCTGGCTTGCCCCATCCCTCCCCCGCCACACAAGAACCACTGGCACCACCTAGCCTGCCTTCTGTTCTTCTCCCTATTCTCTCGATCCTTGACAAAGCTTGCGAATTCGATCTCGTGCATCTACAAATCTCGAAACCCAGACCCGGCTCCAATCCACCTATCGAGTGAACAACGAAACTCATCTACCTGCTGTTTGATGGGTGCCCCCATGCCGGCGTAACTCCCCACCGGTCCGTGATCGGGCAGCTGCATACGAAGCCGCCGCTACCATGAGCTCCTTCTTTTCCAAGATCAAGTCCAACACGGTATGACAATGCCCGCGCGTAACATCTGACGGGCTTACTAACTTCCTACGTAGCAGACATCCGCGGCGCAAAATGCCTCTCCAACCAAGAAGGACCCAAGCGCACCACAACCAACGCCTCTCGAGCGTATGTTGCAAAATGCCGGGCCGATTAGAGGCGACGGGAGCGACAAGTTCTGGGGCATGGAAAATGTACGTATAGAGTATCTGCCCACATTGCTTCGGTCCATACTAAATCGCGTTCGCAGTTTGGAAATACATGGTTCGCCGCCCATTCGAGGATCTCACATACTTGACTGACTCTAGCCAGCTATTGCAACTCCATACTACAATGTCTATACTACTCAGCGCCTTTTCGGGAAGAGATTCTGAACTACCCCCAGCGATCAACGCACGAAGATGTATCTGCCGCCATGAAGACGGCAGAGCCGCGCAAGGGCCCAGACATGCAGGCAAACGGCCAAAAGAAGCCCAACCCTCAACCAACTGCGCGGAACTCTAGCGGCCAGCAGCAACAGCAGAAGCCAGAAGATAAGGATTCTCCAGAATACAAAAAGAAGCAAGCCTTGGTAGCTGGACCCATTCTGAACATGAACTACAAGAATGCTGCTGGCTACCAGATGCCCGAAACCCTCTTCACGTCCCTCAAGGACGTCTTCGAGGCCGTTGTGCTCAACAATAGCAGGAGCGGCATTATAAGCCCCGGCAGATTAATCAATGTCCTGAGAAGAGACAACGAAATGTTCCGATCGGCCATGCACCAGGACGCGCACGAGTTCCTCAATCTTTTGCTCAATACTGTATTGGAGGATGTCGAGGCTCACGATAAAGTACTGAAGGAGAAAAAGGCACTCGAGGAGCGCGAGAAGCCCCGAGAGAATGGCGTCGCAAAGCCAGACGAATCGCAAGAGGACACCGGCGCAGTTTCGTTTCCGCCTTTCTTGCCTGCTCCCTCCCAGGATTCGCCAGCAAAGGTCATCTCCGAACTGTTTCAAGGCAAGTTGACCTCAGAGACAAGGTGTTTGACTTGCGAGAACACTTCTCAACGAGACGAGCCTTTCCTCGATCTATCTGTGGACTTGGAGCAACATTCTTCCGTTACGGCATGCTTAAACCGCTTTTCTGAAGAGGAAATGCTGTGCGAGCGCAACAAGTTCCACTGTGACAATTGTGGCGGACTACAAGAAGCAGAGAAGCGCATGAAAATCAAGCGTCTACCAAAAATTCTGGCCCTTCATCTTAAGCGCTTCAAATACACCGAAGACCTGCAAAGGTTGCAGAAGCTTTTCCACAAAGTTGTGTATCCATATCATCTACGACTGTTCAACACCACAGACGACGCCGAAGATCCCGATCGGCTCTACGAATTGTACGCCATCGTTGTACACATTGGCGGTGGCCCCTACCATGGCCACTACGTTGCCATAATCAAGACCCAGGATCGTGGCTGGCTTCTTTTCGACGATGAAATGGTGGAACCGGTCGATCGCAACTATGTCAAGAATTTCTTTGGCGACAAAGCCGGCCTCGCATGTGCCTATGTTCTGTTCTACCAGGAGACGACTTTGGAAGCTGTCCACAGGGAGCAACGGATGTATGGGAAGCGCCGTGCTTCCCAGGATAATGGCACTAGCATCCCTTCCAATCTTCGCGAATCGGCCGAATTGCACCGCGTAGCCAGCGATCCAGTCTCACCTGGCGACGCTTTCGCAAATCTGGATCATGCTGCCACCGCGCCAGCCATGATGAAAGCTAATGGTCACATTGACCCACCGAAGTCCCCGCCCGCCGTTGTACCTCGTCCTGTCAGCCCTGTTGTACAAAGCAAGAAGGAGAAAGCTAGGGAAGACAAAGCCGCCGAAAAAGCACGTAGGGCTGCTGAGAAGGCAGCAGAGAAGGAGCGGCAGGAGGCCGAGCGTGAGAAGCGCAAAAATCTTGCACAGAAATTGCAAGAGACCCACAAGAAACAAGAGGCCGATCTGAAGGCGGCCATGGAGGCGAGCAAGCAGAGTAAGCTGGACGAGGACAAGCGAAGAGGACATGATGAGAACGTCGCACCTGCAGCCAATGGCAGTAGTCCATCTGGTTTAGACAGGTTTCGGCGCAGTAAGAGTCTGCGCTTCGGTAGCATGGGAAAGAAAGACAAATCAACAACAGGGCTGCCCAATAGTCCATCCACAGGTAGCGGATTAGCAAGGGCGGGGACAGATGTCGGCCAACCGGATGGCCCAAATGCCGCGAACGGCACTAGCGGTGCCATCAACAGCTCAACGGCGTTGGTAGAGAATCGACCAAGCCAGGATAAACCGCCAACCAGTGAAAAGGAGAAAGAGAAAAAACACAGCCGCTTCAGCATCAGAAAGAAGAGCTTTGGTATGCTGTCATGAACAGCCAGCAGCAGAATACGACTTCAACTCGGCTCTGGAAATCGAGAATAGAGGCGGCTGTTCCACGTACTAATCAACTCGCTCCAGAGCACGGAACATCTCCGAAGGCGATCCAAGGATGCGGCGTGGCGGTCAATATGTTGGACAGTGTTACTCGGCTCGAACATGAAGAACTAGGTCATCTACGCCAGTTCCTTACGACAATGACTTAATGTTGTGCATAGCGCATGACGGCCTGTGGCTATTTGCGGGCGAAAACAAGGACATGGAAGGGGTTATGCAAAATCTCCTCTATACATTCGGAACAATGTGTGGATACTTGAACAGGATTTCCATAGTAAAGTAATACCACTGGCATACATTGCAGTCAGCGACATGAAAATGACTCTGGCTTTTGCTTCATCATCGTCTCCTGAGCTGCAACCTCAATACGATTGGCGATCTGAGTCTTTATTCAGGCCGCTATCCACCAATTGCGCGCTTCTGCGGCCATTGCTTTCGTGTGACGGCATCACCATCACAAGCATATGCGGCCTTGCCGGGTGGGTTCCCCGTCGGACCAGGCCTTGATATGCCAACATTGCAACCGGCCGAGTAGACTGTCTTCGGCTTTGACCGTCTGGCTGTCCCCGGACCAGCTCCTCGCAAGTGGCTTCAAGCGAAACACCCGCTGGGGGCACGAGGCATTTCCTCCGTCGGGCTCGCGCTGGACGTCCCCAGACGACCATCTGCACCTCCTGGTGACTGACATGTCAGGCTGAGTTGTTGCGCCTGATCGCCCACGGACCGTGGTCTGGACCCTGCTTGGAAGCGCCTCTCGCTCAGTAGCATGCGTGTCTGCCACAAGGCCTGCCGCCCACCCCTCGTCCTGTTCCCTTCCAAGCTATCTTCTTAAGCATGCCCTGAGAGAAACGGATTTTGCATAACCACGGCTTCGCGGCGTGCCGGGCCCCATCGCGATCTTCACCCCAGCACCAATTCGTATATGATTAGCACAATATTGACCGCTATCAGTGGCACTGTCATTTGTCGTCAGCCAACGCTTCGTTCACCCCGTGTGCGTCCGTGTTGGGGGGGGGGGAGTCGTACCTCTCGCAACCATGCGTATACTGCTGATTAGGTTCACCGCACGGCTCTTCAGACTGTCCGGGTCATTTGCCGACTGCCCGAACGAGGGTTCGGACTGTTGCAGGTGTGCGCGGCCCCATCCTACTGTGTGGTTGTTAGTCACTGTCGTTCTCTTGGGAGGAGGCTGGCTAGCTGAGGCACGAATTCCAGTGTCTGGAGGGGTGAGTGTAAGGGTATCGTACTTCTTGCGAGGAAACGGTCTTCGGAGAGGATAGCGACGGCGTTGAGGAGGAGCACGGAGACGTAGATTAAAGGACCGAAGCCGAAGAGGGAGAGCATTGTGTGGGATTATCGTGGTTGCTTGGATCGCAGGTTGGTTGCAAGGGATTGCTGTGCTTGTCCTAGGTTGCGGAGCCGGCCGATTCGGACGGAGAGCAGGGTCTAACACGAAGTTGCGAATGGCTTCGTGGGAAGGAGAGGGAGGTCGTAGCCACGTTATTGAGATTCTTTCAAGATTCATAGAGGCCAGTTTGTTGAAGTCGTCTTGTGACGAGGCTGGATATAGGGTGGCCGAGAGAGGCCAGCTGCGCTGTGTGCTCCCACCCTCATCGATTTCGTGTTCCGATACAAGCTGGAAACCACGCGTTGGTCGCTACCCTACGTCCGCGTGTCTGACAACGCGGGTATGGGCCCTTTGCTCTGCGATCTTGTGCATGGAGGCTGTGCTGCTGTACCGCGTAATTCACCCGAGCTGGCAATAGTGGCCGGTGCAGACACGTGCCGGTTTTCCGAGTACTTGAAAGATGTTACGGTTCGAGCGTTCGGAAATGACGACATCTTCATGAAACTGGAGACCCCCGACACCGCCTAAAGAGAAGAGTACGATACCGGATAAGGATAGGATCCTGACCGATGGCCGACGGATCGAGTAAGCCGTCCTCGTAAGAGTTGAACCATGCTCACGGAGCGACTGGCACCTGATGCTACTCGCCGGACGCCGTTTGACTCGGACATGTATCAGCTCTATTCAAGGCACGCTTCTCCTTCTGCGGGAGCTCTGTAGCCGCAGAGTAAGTTGATCCAGCAATCGTGACATGGACCGTGCCGGACTTCGTAACTCGACCAACAGCCGAACAGGTACAGAACATGTCGGCTGGAGTGAACACCCCGGCCCCTTGTATCCGACATAACAAAAGGTACGTCACTACCCATGGCGCGGATGGCAAGTCTATATATGCCGAGTCCTACGATCGGAGCTACGCCCTCATGGAGGGCTTGGGCGGCGCTGTGCGCTCTTTCGCCATGGAGAAGGGCGCCTATCACATTCACCGAGGATGCTGACATTGCCAATAATCGGAGTGAAGAGAGTTCAGCCAGCTACAAGAAGTTCGACATAGTGGTACTTAGTGGCGGCGTCCATCTGGTCGTGGTCGACATTGCGCCCAGTGGAAGGTTGTCTATGCTCAGGACGAAAAGTATTGACTTCTCGATCTGTATGTTAGGCAAGATTGAGCATGTACTGGACAGTGTGGAGAGGGTCACGCTGCTTCCTGGGATAAGGGGGCACTTTTGGCTGTAAAGAGCTGCTTGCTGACACGCATCAGAACCATATTGTGCAACTTGGGACTGTGAATCAGTGGGACAACACGATGCAAGAGCCGGCGAGATTAATTGCTGTTACCATCTCAGTGGAGGCAATTCAAAGTACCAGGAAGGGCAAGGTGCTGGAAGACGAGTTTCTCCCACCAATCTACGCACTCCAGTTCTGGTCGGGGGATCAGCTCAACCATGGAGCGTCACTCTGTTCCGGTCCCATAGCTTGTTATCGAGTCCTGGCTCTCTAATCTGATGTTTAGTCGTTGTTTTGGACAGATATTACAAATGTCATCGAACAAGAAAATGCCTTGTATCGTGCCAAGATTAGTACGGCTGCCCTTTTCAGGCAACCGCTGAGCTCCACTTCCCTGCTGTGTTCCGCGTCGAAGTCCTACGCGTCATCTTCGCCTTCATTCACCCAATATCCCATGACTTTTGGGCGCGCGAGACCGCCATGAAACTAGAGGCATGGCATTTCTCATTGCCCATCATTCCATTATTGATCCTTCTTCACCTCTGGGCCGTACCTTTCACCAAGGTTGAAGAATCTTTCAACATCCAAGCCACACACGATTTTCTTGCATATGGCCTGTCATACAACAACGCGGTCGCAAAGATCGATGCCTTCTACGACCATGTCCGCTTTCCAGGCGCTGTCCCACGGACCTTCATTGGAGCTTTAGCGCTGGCTGGTATCTCGAACCCATTCGTGCAGATCTTTGATCTGGATTTACCGGCTCAGCAAATGCTAGGTCTGTTTCCCAAGGATATGATGTTTTGTCTATGCTCATAGGTGTACAGCACGAGGTGTTCTGGGTTTTCTTAATGCCGCTGCACTCTCTTTCTATATCGTTGGTGTAAGACGAGCTTACGGCAAAGAGACGGCCTTGTGGCTCATCGGGCTCCAGGCGAGCCAATTCCACATCACGTTCTATGCCTCAAGGACCCTGCCAAATATGTTTGCTTTTGCTATGAGTATGGACGCTTCTGATAATGCATGAAGTACGCGCTGACCATTTCAGCTACATTTGCTCTTCGATTTACACTTCCGGAACCAGCTCCGTCTTTGGCGCCTATCAAACGAAGCAAGCTTGCACTGTACATGATGACAATAGTCACCATAATCTTTCGCTCGGAAGTCGCCCTTCTACTCCTTGGCCACTGCCTTCAAACCCTCATCCGATCCTCCAGCTCGATCAATCAAGTCGTCTCAACAATACGTAACGTTCTGCTGCCCTCCGTCCTCACGGCCACCGTCGCCGGTCTTGCCCTCACCGTCTCGATCGACACCTTCATCTGGCGGTCCCCGCGCCTACTTTGGCCCGAAGCCGCGGCCTTCTTGTCCAACGTATTTCCATCTCCTGGTTCGCAAGGAGCTTCGGCCTGGGGCACCTCGAGCTGGCATTGGTACCTCAGTTCCGCCCTCCCACGCCTTACCAGCACACCCCTTCTAGCAATCCTCCCGATCTACATCTTCCACCCTACCGCCATCCACCGCCAAGTCCTCGCCCTACTTCTTCCCGCCTTCGTCTATCTGGGACTCTACTCCCTTCTTCCGCACAAAGAGACTCGCTTCCTTTTCCCCATTCTCCCCACCGTCAACACCGCCCTCGCCCTTGTAGCGACCCACATCACGCAGCGCACCTCACGCACCACGGTCTACCGGTTTCTCGCACCGATCCTCGTCTTCACCACTCTCCTCTCCTTGCTCGCCTCGCACCTCATCCTCCTTCCCCTCTCCGCTCTCACCTATCCGGGCGGCCATGCTCTCGGCATTGTGCACGCACACGCCGCGTCGGCTCAGCCGCAGCCCGAACTACACGTTCATCTCACGAACTTGGCCCTGCAGACGGGTGTGACGCATTTCTTGGAAAAGCCGCTGAGGCACTCTGGGCAGACGAGATGGGTATACGACAAGTCGGATAATTCATCCGGCAAGTACACGGAGAAGAAGTTTTGGAATAGATTTGATTATGTGGTGGTGGAGGACGAGGAGACGGTGCCGGTATGGCCCGATATGCGCTTTCAGACTGTTGGGCAGGTGATGGGTTTGGGGAGACCGAGACTTGTGACTGGAGCTAGGGGAGGTGAGACGGATGGGGTGGTGATGTTACTCGGTAGGATGTACGGTGAGAATTTGCTGGGAAGGGCAGCGGCTGGCATCTATAAAGTGGCGAAGCAGCTTGGGATCGGTGTGACGCGTGGAAGATGGCTTGCCTGGCAACATGATCCGGCTTTGGTGGTGCTAAAGAGGAGTCACGATGTGGTAGAAGAGGTGGACACAAGAGGTGTGCAAGAAGCCGGCATGCGGTAGTCAAATATCTTATCGCTTCAGAAGTGCCTGACTTGGGGTATCATTCTCCATATGCTACAGCGCGCTGCCCTGCCACAGCCGATGGCTGTGCTCCTACTTCTGCAATCCCTTGACCCTCTCTTCCACCCCCTTAACGAGGCCCCCGACGACCTCGACATTTTCCTTCATCTCTCCTCTCATCTCTTCCATTTTCTTTTCTGTTGCCTCCACCGCTTCGCGCCATCGCTTCACCTCGGCCTTCATCTCGCTCTGTCGCCTCACCACATCGTCCAGTTCACCTCTCGCTTCCGCCGCCCCGGCGTGAACGATACTCAAGCTTCTCAACCTCTCCAGCACTATCGGCAACAAGGGCTGCAGCTCCGTAATGCTTGGCAATACCTGGTAGAGCGCTGTGATCTTAGATGACTGCTCTGACAGGAACAGATCAGAATGCACGCCCGCTTCGGTCTTTTCGATGGCGGCTGGGTTGGCGCCGACGCCAGAAGCGGGGCGGTCACGCGTCTGTCGAGTTTGGTTGAAACGGAGTCGGGCCTCGTGCAGATCAGAGAGTGAACTCAGAGCTGCCTTGCGGGAAGCGGTCAGCTTATCGGCCTCGATGGTGAGGGCGCGAATGCGGGTCTGCAGAGCATCAAGACTTGATGCCGCAGCTGGGACACCAGATGAGGTCTGCGAGAAGCGGCCAGACGGCGCAAGAGTTGTGGAGAGCGTGGAGAGCTGCGCGGAGAGCGTGTTGAGCGTTGGAAGGACGGACTGAGAGGGCGACGACACGGAGGGAAGTCCAAGGGCGGACTCAAGGGTGGTAAGGCGATCAGCAAAGGCGGCCAGGGCCGGCAGGGCGGAGCTTTGTGATGAGGTGGACTGTTTTGCATCAAGTTTCGGGGCGTCTGGCTTGGCCGTCTGGCTTGTCGAGATGGATTGCAAGAAATCGTCTTCGCTTTTGCGGTTGACAGTCGGACCTGATGGTACTTCTATCCCCTGCAACATCTTGTTGAGCACTTCCAACCCTTCCTCTTCGGTCTCTCCACCTTGCTGTCGCTCCACACTGTCCTTAAATTCACCATCGTCTTTCTTGGCCAACTCGAGCCTCACCTCTTCCGCTTCCCTCTTCAATCTGGCTATCCTCGTACTGACAGTCTCTTCCTCACTCTCGCTGCCACTGCCATCATCGTAGTCTCGCCGTCGTCTCCGTCTGCTTTTGGTTCTGTAACTTCTCCTTCCTCCTGCAGCAATGGTACCAGAGAAATCAACGTCTTTCGCGCTGACTACTGTTGGTTCAAAGCGTTGTCTAGCAGAATTGGTATTTATGCGCTCACGTATGAGGCGCTCATCGCCGCCGTTGTCGTCTGATGGGGTGGGGGAGTCGGTGCGGAGGGTGTCGGTTTGTGTCGTCGAGGCATCGTCGGTCAGAGCAGGGGTCTCATATATCTCCGGAGCAACATCAAGGTCCGGTAGACCAGCATACTTCTTTCCAAGTGCCATGCTGCAGTGTGCAATCGTGTTACAGAGTGAGTAACGTGCCTAATCGGAACGCAACTTTTGGGGCGAGTAGAACGCGGTCGCGAGTAGATAGTTCGAGTCATGTGTTCCATCCGAGCGCCTTGACAATGACTCATCTGACTCCATTCACCTCGACGTCTGACCTGCCGTCGGTTCATCAAAAGGATCACAACATGCCGTAATGAATTCGGCTCTTGTTTCTGATAGAGCACTATGGCTGATCATCCCAATCGCATGTGCAGTAGCTGCTGTCTCGTTCGCTTACCCACTCCGTGACATTAAAGAGGCAGCGACAGCACCACCAATAGAGGAGCAACCTAATGCGAGACGGGTGGACGACGATGCAGAAGATCACATTCCGGTTGGAGCACTGAAGGTGCTGTCCGATGGGCATAGCTTCCATCTGCGCAATGCGGCCTTCAAGATAGCTCTATCTCAATCGCTAAAAGATGTACCGAAAGCAGCGCTCCTCAAGGACCTCTCAAGCAAGCAGCCCGAAAGACGAGATCAAGCATTGCAAGCATTAGTTTTTCTCATTCACGGTCCGGATGCAAGCGATGCTGACTTTACACTCACTCGTAAGCAGCAACATCTGCATTTCCAAAATCTGGCCACCTATCGAGCGTTGGTCACTGCTCTCGTCAACCTTCTACCTTTTCACACGCATACTCCTACCGACATTTGTTTCGCCAAAGGCGGACACCCGCCTTCACCGATCAGGCCCCTGCTTCGACCCACCAACGAAGTGACTCTCATCAACTTGGTACTTGAACTCCTTAGGTCGTACAGGCGCTCACCCATTCCGCCAGAAGGTGGACTTCAGACCTTCCTGAAAGCCGGCATCGTACAGCGGTGGCTTGCCAATTATCCTTTCCCGTGCACCTTGCCTCAGTATTTGAAGCTCAACTTCAGACGATCCGACGTTGTCGAGCTCCTCACAGACAAAGCGTACGCTCGCGATGACTACTTGATGGCCGAGCTGGTGCAGCATCTCTCACGATACCCACCTGCACAAATCGAGCTACGCAACGCTGGCCTCGCAACGAGATCAAGCAAGATCACGGAGCGATTTAGGTCAGATAGCATCGACGATTCCATCATCTTCATCCGCGAAAACCTTGGACCCGCAAATCCACTGACGATGGGTGATGCGGGCAACGACGGCGCCACAGGCTGGCAGCACTTTGATCCACCGAGGATCGATCGGAACGGCATTGATCTGCCACGGCCGAGATCTTCGGACCGCAGCTCTTCAGAGGAGCGGCTACGTCGTCGTCACAGAGAAGCCATCGTCGTTGCAGACCCGGGCCAGCCAGTCAGCAATCAAAACATTCTACAGCGTGTGACTAGCGGAGTTGCGCCGAGCAGGGGCTTAAACAACGACGATACCCAGCACCCGGGACAGATTGGCAGAGCTGACAGCGAGCGGGAGGAAGTCGCCAGCCACCTCTCGTTCTCCGAGGTTAGTGGCAGTGCGACGCCTAGTAGCATGCCGAGCCTGCTGAGCGCAACTGCAGCGAACAGTGTAGATCACGAGAGAGCGAGGAGGGAAGAGTTGGAGCGACGTCTTGGTGCAAGACAAATCAGTGGTGCTGAGGCTGGCCTGACTTCTGACACGACGAATGCACCACAGACGGCCGGGGACTTGTTGGAGATGGCCCTGAGGGCAAGGGAGCAGTCAAGGGCCAGTCAGCCTAGCCAGGGAAGCCTGGATGGGCAGTGATGATAAGCGGCGGTCAAGAACATGCTTCGACGAAGAGTTCCGTGGACTGGCAGGATAGTAATCGATTGGGTCTACAGCAGTGATTTGGAGCATAAAGAGGTGCACGAGCGGCTCTTTAAAGAACAAAGACGAGATGAACAATGACAGACACAGGGAACGAAATGTCGTTTCCAGAGATACCCCGACGAGCTATTGCAAAAAATCATGAGCAGAGCGCCATCGATTCCTTCAATATTCAGTTATTGGATTTTTGTGGACTACCAGCGACTAGCTGATCTTTGGTCCATCATCTTGACGTTGCACTCATCGTGGAATCCTCTTCCCTTAATCCGTGCCACACTTGCTGCCACCTCAATCGTACTCGGCCGTACCATATCGCATGCAACACACATCTTCGCCGAGATTGGAAATCTTGAATCGTACACGCACGTCCCGCTTACTTCAGAGGAATGAACCGCGAAGAGTGCGTGGCACCGATACCGGGACGACCGTGCTTGACGGGCCTATAGGAGATGGAAAACTCGCCCAGGTAGTGGCCAACCATCTCAGGCTTGATTTCGACCTGGTTGAATTCCTTGCCGGAGTAGATACCGATGACGGAGCCGATCATCTCGGGGACGATGATCATATCGCGCAGGTGAGTCTTGACCAGGTCGGGCTTCTCATTGGGCTTGGCCTCCTGCTTGGACTTGCGCAGCTTCTTGATCAGACCCATCGGGCGGCGCTTGAGGCCACGGTTGAACCGGCGGCGGGCGCGGGCATGCAGGATGTTGAGAAGGTCATTGGAAGGGATGTCGAGGAGTCTGCAGTGAGCATTTGTCAGTGTCTGCTTTCTTCGAGGATTTGAAAGTGCGGTTTGCCGCGATTGTGCGAGTGGGGAAATGCAGTAAGGTGCACATACTGGTCGAGGTCAATGCCGCGGTAGGAAAACTTGCGGAACGCTCTCTTTCTCTTGAGCTCGGCAGCAGCCTCAGCATCCTGTAGAAATGTCAGATTAGGCGCTTCATCACGGAGATTGAGAAGTGGTTGGATCGTGGGAAGGCGTTTCTTTGCTGACGGCGGGATAGGTACGTACATATTCCTGGTCGGCCATGATTGCGGGATGTATGAACCTGGGCCTTTCGATTTACCGGTCGAAAGGCGAAGAAGGATGGATTGTTGTCGTGAGGAAGTGGTCAGAACAACGATTCGAGTCGCAGGCAAAGAGAGATCCAAAGTGGTGCGAATGCCAAGCTTCAAAAATCTTGGCATTTTACCGCCGCAAAATGATCATTTTTATGCGAATTACAGCAGGCGTAGATCGTGTATCGTAGACCATATTTGGCTACGAGATTCACTACGGAAGTCAGAGCAGGCTATGAGGCCAATGAGAATGGTATTGTCTGTCATACTGCCTCCGGACGCATGAACTTGCGAATATCTGAAGTACAAATGGTCTGGCGGTGGGCGACATTTTCGTTCAAGCCGTCAACCATACGCTGGAAGAGCGCGAACGCTGAGTTCCTCATTCCACTCTAGAAGTCCTTGCAAGTTTGCCAGCGCCTGTCCATGCAGTTGCGCCCCAGGCAGTCTCCTCTGGATTTCGGAAGGGTATCTTGTCGTGTAGAGCCGCCGGAGGGCGCACTTAGTCGAACAGACCGAAGCCCATGTCCTCATCGGACTCCTCCTTCTCTTCCTCCTTAGCAGGCGCCTCCTCCTCGGCGGCAGCGGCACCGCCAGCGGCGGGAGCAGCAGCACCACCAGCAGCAGCGCCACCGGCACCGCCAGATGGGACGGATGCGAGCTTCTCGGTACCGGCAGAGATCAACTACAAGTTGTTAGCACTATATTCTTGTAGCCATTGCGCCGCAACCCACCTCATTGATGTCCTTGCCCTCAAGCTCCTCAATCAGCTTGGACAGGCGCTCATCGTCAGCATCGATACCGGCGGAAGAGAGAACGCCCTTGACGTCGTCGGCAGATGGGCTCGAGTTGCCAGCAAGGCCAAGGAGAAGGTAGGCCGCGAGGTGCTTCATTTTGTAGTTTGTCTGTTCCTGGTCAATTTTTGATCTGTAATTCTTGATTCGTGTGCTTATTACCGGTGATGAGAGTGACGAACGAGAGAGACAATCGATTTAACCGCGACTTGAGCGGAGACTGGCACTTCAGGTTCTAATAGTCGTGGTTGAGTCAGAGGATGATTCGCAGACCATTCTCCCCAAAATCTCATGTGCGCAACTCTTGGCAGGTCGTCGGATTTTAAGCGGCAGTAAGCCCTAGCGCCAATTGGCGGGGGCGAGACTTCATTCAAGTATTTAGAGGCCGCTTTCGTTGTCGCATTTCTGCCCTCAGCTTGCTTTCGATTGTATTTGTTCTTTGCCGCAGATCATGCGACTCCCTTGACAGCGGACTCATCTTGCTATGACTCGAAGTAACCGCGTGTTGCTCACATAGCTTTCTCAGTTATGACTCTTCCACCTGGCCACAACCGATAGCGGTGATCCAACCACTCCCACACCAACAACAAAGTACCGTGACCATGAGCTTCCTTGGAGGGATCGTTAGCTCCATTGGGGGCGATAAAGCTCCGCCGCCCCCGCAACTTCCCAAAAAGTCAGCAACCACCAACAGCGCTCGAACAGTCACAGCTCCGCCAAAGCCCACCTCTCGGCCATCCACTCCTTCTCAGATGTCTGGTGTCAAGCGTAAGGCGGAGGAACCCGCGAGCGCAGTCTCATACAAGTCCACAAAGCCAGCCTCCGGCGCCGAAGGCGGCACTGTGCCGCACAAACCGGCGGCTCCCCCACTCAACGCACCTCGGCCCCAAGCTGACAAGGCACCGGTGCCACACATTCAGACGGACAAAATGGCGAAAGCAGCACCTGCCAAGCCGTCCCCCACGGCTGCAGTCTCATCACCAAAGCCTCCACCGAGCAAGGGCTCGTACGCCGAGTTGATGGCCAGAGCCAAAGCGCAGAATTCTGTTCAGAAAATTGGAGTCATCACGCATAATAAGGCCGCTCCCAAGGAAAAGTTATCCAAAAGAGCTGAGCAGCGCCGTTCCGAAGAAGAGAAGGCACGCAGGGAAAAGTCTGGTAATGGAGGACCTCGGAAAGCCGACGGTCGACGAAGTGCTAGTCCCATGAAGAACGGCGTGCAGGAAGGTCGAATCTCAAAGGCCTCAACCAAACCTGGTTACAAAGGTACCTTGGGCATGTCAGCTGGTCGTGAACGACCTCGTCAGCCGAAGGCTTCCCGCTACGATTCGTACCTCGGAACTGACGAGGAAGACAACAGTGATGTCGAGGATGAGGATGATTATGGTGATGGCTACGAGTCCTCGGACATGGAAGGAGGATTTGATGACCTCGAATCAGAAGAGCAGGCAGCGTTGCGCTTGGCAAAGGCTGACGATGCTCGAGAATTGGCGCTCGAGAATCAATTGAAGCGTGAGAAGGAAGAGCGGCGCCGGCGACTGATGAACCTTGCTGCCAAGCGGAAATAACGGCGTCGGTCTCTTTTGATGGTCGAAATTGTACCATTTGACACTTTAGCAGTGGCGTTGGGGAATGCTTCAACATGAATTGGGTTGAGACGGATCAGCACGAAGCAACTTACATTAATTGACGGTGCAACTTTAATCACTCCGAAGCTGGCGTCGCGAGAGTTGATATCATTACAAGGTAGAAAAAGACTTGAACTCATCCCATGCTATTGTTCAGATGCTGGATCCCTCTCACTTCTGATCAGTGCTCTTAGTTTCCCGAAAAACCAGTAATTCTGGTCGAGTTGTTGCGACTTATCCTCCATCGACGGGTTGTTTAGGGACCAAAAAACGTATTTCCTGGCTCACTAGAGCATGTTTCCACCACAACGCCCCCAGAGTGCTGAGAAATACACAATATAAACTGTCTACAGGCCCAATAACTGTAAGGATCGTCCCCCACGTGCGAGCGCCGATCGCGATCGACCGCCTCCCAAGAGTTCACCTCTCGCCGAGTCTCGGACATAATCACAGACCACCACACCAGCTCTCGAACGCAATAGCAGCCACGTGGAGGATGGAGTATTTCATTACCCTCCTTAACGGGTCGAGCATATAGGCGGCCCTTGACCGAATCTCAACGTCCATCGAGAGTTCTCCATACTGCCTCGACACTTTCTCTACCACCATGCACTTCACACGCGCGCTTGGGCAACAAGCCGTCTTCGGCCTCGCGTCCCTCACCACCATCCTCGCCGCCAACACCACAGACCAGCAGCACCTGAGCGGGCACATCGCCGCCGACAAGGTTATGACCTTTGTCTACGCCCCCTTCACCGTGCTGCCCGGCTGCACGTCCCTGAGCGTCTACCAGAACTACTCGCTGCCGGCCAACAACAGCATCGACCTGGGCATCTACTCGCCGCTCGGCCTCGACCCCATCTCGGCACTTAACGGGTCCGGCTCCCGCGGCTGGAGCGGCGGCTTCCGTAAGAACTTCACTATTTCCGTTGCGGAGGCGACGCCGGGGTATAACGCGGGCGGTATCGAGGCTGGGGTGTGGAATGTTGTGCTTGGGCCGTACGTCGTGCTGCCGGAGGGGGTGGATTGGTGGGTGGATGTGGAGTTGGTGTACGATGACAGTGTCAGTGGGGGGTATTGGCACCCGAGCTACGCACGCATGGATTACGAGCCGTTGCTGAGCCAGCAGGGGGGTTCTGCAGCGGATCGGGGCCGGGAGAAGTGGTTGCGGGGGGATTTCCATATGCACAGTATCTACAGCGATGGACGATACTTGCCCAGCGAGCAGATGGAGAACGCGCTGAAGAAGGGACTGGATTTCATCTTCTTCTCGGAACACAATACGGACAGTGGGAACAATGAGGTGGCGGGCTGGCGGCCGGAAGGGGCGCAGGATCTGTTGGTGGGGAGGGCGATTGAGGTGACGACCCGCCATGGGCACTGGCAAGCGATAGGGTTGGCGCAAGGTCAGAAGGTTGAGTGGCGATACACGAATGAGACTGATGGCTATGCTGTTGCTGCGCAGGGGGTGCGGGAGTCGGGTGCGCTCGTGTCAATCAACCATCCCTTCATCAACTGTTCGCGGTGCGACTGGACTCTGGATTGGGAGCACCATGATGCCATCGAGATCTGGAACGGAAGATGGAGTGAAGCAAACGAGCAGGCGGTGAGGAAGTGGCATGAAGAGTTGATGGCTGGCAAGAAGATCACTGCTATTGGTGGTTCGGATGCACATCATCCGCCTGATCAGAACGGACTGCCGACCACCGTTGTGAAGGTCAGTGCTAAGAGTCAGGCGGGCATTGTCGAAGGCGTCAGGGAAGGAGGCGTGTACCTTGTCGAAGGACCGGGGATGGAAATCGAATTCGGCGTCGAAGTGGCGGGTACTCGATTCGACGTCGGCCAGGTCGCTGGAGCGTCTAAGGGTTCCGCAGTTTTGGTTGCCCGAGGATTTGGGGACAGTGTAGCATGCTTTCTCTCGGAGCAGGGTTACTTCCACAATCAATCATTGGTCGATGGTGGTAGCATTGAGCTTGCAGTGGAAGGGTTGGCTTTTGTGAGGGTCGAGATCAGGAACTCGACGGACATCATGCTGGGCTTGACGAACCCTGTGTTTTTCGAATAAGTTGTCAGTCAGAGGAGCGAGGATCATACTGGGAACAGTTCTAGTCAAAAGATCAATGAATCGGCGGCCACAATGATAAACATCTTCTGAGCGAAGTTCGAGTTCGAGTTCGAGTTCGAGTTCAGGCTGGGGACGCTGGTTGCTGGTCCCACTTCCGCCAAGCACTAACGCCAGGCCAATTTTCACGCATGAACTCCTTTACATGAAAGAGAGGAGGATCCTCGAGGCATGCAGATTGCCAAAGTGAAGATAGACCAACAATCCCGGATTGCATGACTATCAGCAGTATTGGGCTGAGCTGGTCATCCTGGCACCAGGCGAACTGATACCGCTGCGGTCTGTATATGGCTCGTCCAGGTTTCCGAGGATTCGCAACCTACGCCAGTCTTGCCATCAAGATGGACTCGTCAACTCTACCAGCCGCATTTCTACCCCCAGTCAACCGGTCGATGAAAGTACTCGACAGGTCCTTCTTCCGCAAAACCGTATTGCTAGCCGCAGCGTCCGTGTCTGATGCCAAGCAAATATCTGAGGTTCGCAAGGCCATCGTCAAGTCTGACGGTGCTCCTCTGCCCAAATTTTTGCGAGACGATCCAGACCAGCCAGGGACCAAGTGTCTACTGCTTCATCCCAGACTGAAGCAGGACGATCCCTCCACGTGGTCGACTGCTCTGCGTACGCTATCAGAGAGCGGCCTAGTCAAAGTCCGAAATTACAAGTTGGAGCTAGGGTACGATGACTGGACTATGCATTCCATTCTCGAGGCCATCATCCCCGAAATGCTCGACGATGAGCAAGAGTTGCCCACCGGCTTCGCTCAGGTTGGTCATGTTGCCCATCTAAACCTGCGAAGTCAATATCTCCCATACAAATACTTGATCGGCCAAGTGTTGATGGACAAGAATCCTCAAATCCAGACCGTCATCAACAAAACTCTCGATGTTGGCACAGAGTCCGTCTTTCGCACGTTTCCTTATGAAGTACTGGCAGGTGAGGATAACCTGGATGTCACGGTCAGCGAATCTGGCTGTGAGTTTCAATTCAACTTTGGTAAGGTTTACTGGAATTCTAGACTTGGCACTGAACATGGCCGCATTATCGACAAATTCAGCGAGGGCGAGGCTGTTTGCGATGTCATGGCGGGAGTAGGCCCATTCGCAGTGCCGGCTGGCAAACGCAACATCTTTGTGCATGCGAACGACCTCAATCCGGACTCTTTTGCCGGCTTACAAGCTGCCATCAAGCGCAACAAGGTAGGAGATTTCGTCTCTCCTTCTTGCGAAGATGGGAGAGCATTCATCCGCAAATCTGCCGAGCTCCTCCAGTCGAAGTCTCGAAGCGTTGCTGTCAAGCCCAAGCTCAAGATCTCGCGCAACAGCTCGAGCGCTGAGAAGCAAGCTATTCAAAAAAAGATCGAAGAAGGCACTAAACTCCTACGGGAACCTAAGAGCTTCGACCACTATGTCATGAATCTTCCCGCAACGGCCATAGAATTCCTGGATGCCTTCAAGGGTCTGCTTCAGGGCCGCGAGGCTGAATTTTCGCCGCATACGGAGAGGCATTTGCCTTTGATCCACGTTCACCTATTCCAAGCAAAACATACCACAATACCAGAAGAGCACGACGGTGTGCTACTAAGGCTTGCAGAACATCTCGGTCACGATCTAAGTCCTGCTTACAAGAGAGGCGAAGTGGAGCTATTCGACGTCCGACTTGTGGCACCTAACAAACGAATGTATTGCGCTACCTTCCGCCTCCCAGCTGCCGTGGCTTTCGCAGACACCCCACCTAGCTAAACGCTGCTCCTTGCACCTTTTGCCCTTCTAAATGAGCTCATGGATAGCGGGTCTGGATGGACTACGCTCGAGCGCCTCCCAAACTTCTAGCATGGGCCAAGCATGGCAGCCTTGAAGCTCTTGCGACTGGGATTGCTATAGTCGACGTTTGGGCTTTCTCCATCTCGGCCACTATTTCTTTCCTCCATTAACCCTCCGGGTACGATCCGCGGGCTGAATCGCAACCCTCTCCTTTCCCTTCGAATCCGAACACCGCGAACATCTCAACAGCTGATCACAAACCACGCAAAACCTTGCGCGATTCGTAAAGGCCATCGTCCCGCAAACCTCACACTTCAGACTCGGGTTGCAACACTCAGCACAGCATCTATTCGTCATGTGCAATTTCGAGCACAGCGGCATCGGGCCGTGGTCCGAGTCATTGTCATCAGCGTCACCATGAGGGGCGTCCTTCTTTTTGACTTCTTTGCCGGATCCGCCGCCGTTGCCTTTGCCTTTGGATTTCCCCTTGGATTTTCCCTTTTCCGTCCCGGATGGCGATGAGAGAGATGTCGTCCTATATCGACGGATCTCGATGGTGCTCGGCCGCTCCACGCTGACTCTGAGTCTCGAAGAGAAACCATTGCTGGAATGGGAACGCTGCTCTGCGGCCACGTCGGACCTCCCGCTTGAGCCACTTTCACTGAGTGAAGAGTCTTGCGCTTTCTGAGAGTCAGGACTAGGAGAGTGTTTCTGTTGACGAGGCATCCCACTGCCTAGCATACTGTCAGCAGGAATTGCATACCGGATGGCGGGCGACCAAACCCTTGCCTACGACACGCTCGTGCGTGACAGGGTCATAGTGGACGGACCGGTCCGAGTCCGAGTCTGAGTTTGCGTCGGAGTGAGGCATTCTAGAGGGCGTTGAGCAAATGCTTCCCATCGACAACTGAGAAGGTCATGGCAGCAGCCACTGTTGGAGATGCAGAGAACACCTTTATATGGGCTGCCAAACGGTGGCGGCAAACCGTCGACATCAAACGTTCGGCGGTCTGCGCCATTCTCGATGTTTGGCTAGTGCTTGGCCGAGACTCTACGGTTCTGTGAGTGTCAGCAAGCCAGGCTGTTGTTGTGAGCTCGGGGGTGAATACTTTGTCACTCCGTGACGCTCATGTATCCGGCCATCTGGACCACAGATGGAAGGCGAATTCATCTCAGTTCCTACGATAAGAGACCGGCTCATCGCGAGAGCGACCTATTATGAAAACGACTTCCCACTGCGGCAAACTGACGCCGGGAAATGAAATGTATCAGCAACGAGCTCATCATTTCCCATTTCTCTATCTATATCTATATCTAACTCAACTTCCCCTCCACGATGGACGCCGAGCTCACGGCAGCAATTCATATTCAATGACGACCAGTCCATTCCCAAACGCCAGATCAATGCTCAGAACCCCTCCCTGACCCACCAGTCCGTGCTCTCCTGCAGCTACACTCCAACTTTCCACACTTGTTCCATCCAGTAATCAACACTATTCATCCCCTCCCTCCACTGTGGGAGGGGCCAGTACATATACAGACCGCCCCACCCGAAAGACCATAGGCAGTAGTTCATCTAAGCGATAGTGCTACGCGGCCAGCGCTCCCACCACGGCGGCGGACTGGTGGGCGGGCTACCGGGCTGCCACGGGTACGGACCACGCGTCTGTGAGGATGGAGAGCTGTTCATCTCGTTTGACGGCAGTTAGACCATGTCCCGCTTAGATATTGCAGGGTCGTGTGTGGAGAGGTGAGGTAGTGGGTTCGTGGCCTGGCGGTATTTCGGAAACAGCTCCGCGTCCACGCAGAATTGGGTCTTTGAACGAACGGCACGGGAGAGAGTTACAGGACGTGGTCCTGATAGGAGGTTCGTCTTCTGAGAAGGATCATCAGGTCTTGGGACAGAGAGGGTGTGTGTAGCGTTGGTTCGAAGGACCAAAAGTAAGAACTCTGGGGAAAGAGGACAATCGACTAAGAGCTGAATGGGAAGGGTTACTGTGTCTACGCCTCAACGCTGCGCCCCCCGGCTGTGAACCCCTTCTTGCGAGGACTCTCGCCTGCTGCGATGACATGACTGCGGGCTTGTCATGGCACTGGCAACCGACCAACGTTCACGGCTTCGAACTGAGAGGTCTAGAATTACATTTCGAAAGCTTTTCTCTACATGCGTGCAACTGCAGCAACAACAACAACAACCCGGATGAGGCAGAGTTGCGGTTGCCATTTCCAGATGTGGGACTGGCAGTCACTGTCTTTGAGGCCTTGTGAGACGAATCATGCGCCACACTATGCGTGTGAGGAGGAGGAGGAGGGGGGAGGAGGAGGATCTCGAACAGTCACGTGCCCGCTACTCCCGCATCACGCCATGGATTCCATGGTCCACGGTATCGTCATTCCTGAGATAGACTGTGAGCTGTAGCATTGTCACTTCGAAGCGGCGCAAGGCCTGTCTGCGCCTGCGCCAGTATGACTAATAGGTCCGACGAAATGAAAGCAAATGTCACCGACAAAAAAAATGCGGTCTGCTATGGACGACGAGGCTGGCGATCTCAGGGGGCACTCACTCAGACTCTGACACGCATGCGCGAAATTCTGCGCAAGTATCTAGGTTTGGGATTGACGCTATGATCCGGGCCACCTTGCTCCCGTCCTGACATTCTCTCGGGGCTTAAGACATGCTCTTCAGAGAAATACCATTGCGTGCTGACTGGACTATCTATGTCGCGGCTTGCTTGCCATAAAGTGTCTTCGCTCTGCAAAACTGCTATTAGTAGCCACGCTTGCCGTTCACAGCCAATCGTGCAACGACAAATATATATAGAGCGCTCACTGATCGTACCAAGCTCAAACGTGGTCCTTACACACGAGACTTTGCATTCATCTTGCACGTCTGTTGCGCGATGCTTCCGACCGTAGCTCGTTCAGGACTATCTCCCCCCATCGGCGTGTCTGGAGACGTGGGCAGGGTTTCGGGATCGTCCACGTTGGGCTCCCATACCGATCGCTAGTGCAGCGTGTCGGACGTCTCGTGGTTTATTGTGGCTCTTGGGTGGGTGGCACGGTCATCAGCGGTGGCTGCCTGGGCTGACGCTGTGGCGATGCTTGAGGTGGTGCTATCGGTTGGACGGGTTTGTTCTTATACAGAAGACATTGCAGCGTTGGCTGTGGATGGTAATACTGGGAGAGTAATACTTTCAACCATATCAAGTCAGGCATCTTTATTCAAGGCAATACTCGTGAATGTCAGCTATCGCCGTCACTTGGGGCGCAAAGTTGGGTCAGAGTCTGGGGCACAGCGCCTGGCGAAAGCATCTCGTTGCTCAGTGCGATCGATGTCACCGCTAGGGAGCACACCTAGAGCTCCCTTTGATGGCCTACTTCAAACCTGTGGCCACGGGTACTCCATCCACCTCTGCAACGTCGCATTCCAAGCACCACTCCCCTGCTGAACATGCAACCACTGATTCACAAACTGCAGCCAAACCACATCCCGCGGCAGAATATATCCCAGCTCCTCAAAGCTAAACGGCCTCTCAGGATTAACGGCACACAGCACGCCCGGATGCAAAACCTCCTGCAACTGCGCCTCGACGACATCCGTAACCACGACATCGGCGTTCCCATCCACAACCTCCCGAAAAATAACATTGTTGTCGGCATACACCACGATCTCGGCCGCGTGCAGATTCGCGCGGTCAAAGACCAGGTTGCTGCCGCCGTCGGGCGTCGCGACACGCACGCCGGGCCTGTCGATGTCGGCGAGGGATTGGAATTTGTCGACGTCGGCGCAGCGCACGCAGGCGGCTTTGCCGACGCGGAGTACCGGGGTGCTGAAGAAAGTGGTGAGGGCGCGCGCGAGCGTGATGCTGATGCCGGACATGGCGATGTCGAAGCGCGAGGCGGCGATGTCGCTGCTGAGGTTCGCGAAGGCGGTGGGGATGAATGTCGGAGGCGCACTGAGGCCGAGGGAAGTGGAGAGGGAGAGGGCCATGTCGATGTCGGCGCCGATGTAGCGCGTGGCGGTGGTGGAATTCGTGGTGTTGGTGAGGTAGCTGAAGGGCTTGTAGTCGCCGGTGGTCCCGACGAGGAGGTGGCCCCGGGCGATAATGCGGTCGAGGAGGGAGGTTGAGACGTTGGAGGATAGTGTTAGCGTTGGCTCTTGACGGGGCGTCAGAGAAGCGGCCGTGACAGCGTGCCAGCTGGTGAGGAGGGCGAGGATGGCGGCCTTCATATTTGACGAAACTCGTGTTGTGCGCGGTCAGATCGGTACGGGGTCAACGGTGCTCAAGACTCCTGGTGTATACAACATGCAGTGCCTTGTGGGTGCATGCGCTGAAGAGTTGCAAGCTCGGCAGCTTCTCCGACTATAGTAGAAAGTCAAATACTGCCGCGGTTATATTCATGGAGAACCCTGGACCATCACCGTCAGCACGAAGTCTCCGGGTAGGTCTGTTACCAGCAATACTGTCTGTTCCTAGCACCGTAGTTCGGATTGCAGAAAAGCCATTCAGATCTACAATATGCGCGCTGAAGGAAAGTCTCTACCCGGAGCATTTCTACTCGGTGTGAGGTATACGGCCACGTTGAACGCGACGGCCACGGCCACGGCATCTCAATGAGGGTAGCAAAGCTTTCACAAGACCCTCGAAGAGGTGCAGCAGCTGCTTCATCATATTCACCACTGACAATTTTTGCAACGCAGACATCGTACTATACTTGGTACCGCACTTATTGGTCGAGTGCTCAAAGTGGAGTTTCATTCACTGCCTGGTTTTCCTCCGTCCACCAGCAACACTCAATCCCACGTTTTCCATTGCGCAATTTCGATTCGGACAGTACTGATACTAGCAGTCCGGAATGGCCGCGATAGCCTCGATCTCAATCAGGAAATCCCCGGGCAGCTGTCCGACCTGGACCGCCGTACGGGCAGGCTTCGGGTCAGGCAGGAGCTCGCCGTAGACCTCGTTGACGGCCTCAAAGTCATTCATGTCCGCCAGGAAGACGGTGGTCTTCAGCACATACGCCCAGCTGGTGCCGGCTTCTTCCAGGATTGCGCCGATGTTGGAGATGACTTGAGCCTGTTGCTCGTTAGTAGGATACATAAGTGCGCGGTGACGCTCATAGGTCATACGGTTTGCGGACCAATGCCGCCCTCGACTATCGAGCCGTTCAACGAAGGGACTGTTCCTGCAGTGTAGACGAGGCCTTTGGAAGTGGTGGACGCGCCGCCGGAAAGGATGGGTCCTGAGGTGCCGAGGTAGGTCACAACGGGTTCAGTCTTTCTCTCGATTGGAGAAGCGAGCACGGTGGTGGTGAGAGCCACCAGAGGAGCAAGCAGTGCAGTGAGCCGAACCATTATGGGAGTCTGTTCTGACGGTCAAGTAAATCGTTACGGGTGTCAATCTTGCAGCTGAGCTGATTGACGCATAGAAACAGGTAGCTCCCTCACAAAGGTTTTATAGCTCCGAGCTCTGTAGTTGAACCTACTTGGCATCGCCGAGACGCCGTCCAGTGTCGTTCTTCTCGTCATCTCTGTCTTCGTCGAGGTTACCTGGGCAGCATGCTGGGCGTGTCCTCGGATGCAGAGCCCACGTTGTGCCAAGAGGTTGGTACACGGTTCCTTGCAGTTATCCAACAACTTCTTGCAATCAGAACTCTTATCGAAGACTCTTGGACCATGCTGAACGATCACGGTCCGAGCTACGCGACCCAGTGGTATGACAACGTTGCATTCGCAGATACCCGTACCTCGGTGACTGATGTAAGGCGAAGGGTACATGCAGGTAGTACGTGAGCCCAGAGCACAGCCTCACCGCCGGTCCTCGAGCTCCTACTCTAAGTATACAAGGCGGCAGTCGGAGTGGAACATGTTGAGCTCCTACCCCTGCTACACCATGCGAATTGAGGTGCATTGTTGCGCCGTGTTCGCAACCCCCGCGCCATGGCTAATTGACTACGGGACGGTGGCAAAAGCGGGACGCGGAAATGGGCGCCGTGGAGTCGACTTGTGTGTGTGGAAAGGCGTAGACACAATGATCGAGTTGTAGAAAAGCCGGGATAGTATGGAGAATGGCTAAAGCTGGGGTAAAAGGTTGCGCTGAAGTCGCGATAAGAAGAGTAATGGGCAGATAGCGAATGGAGGTTAAGAATTGGCGCCGAGGCGCCAGTTCATATCGAAGCGGGCCATATCCAGATATGGGTGACTCTGACCAATTAGTCTCGCTCTTGAGGGTGGGCGAGATAAGGAATAGGCGACCGCCCCCGACATAGACCTTAGTCGCGGACCTAACAATACCGTGGTATGGTCTGCAATAGGAAGGCGACTTGCGGCCAAAGAACCAGCCACCGATCTGTCAATGTAGTCAAACCCCACACAGAGAGGTTACCGAATCCAAAAGAATCCGGCTTGGGCCGAACAGGCAGGCTTCGGTGTGGCAACCATACTCGCCGTCGTGAGCAGTCTCGCATGGCAAGTGCTTTGCTCTTGTGTAGCAGCCCTGACAAGGTAACAGGTCTAGTCGGATGTTATCCGTTAGTAAGAAGTAATGCACACGAACGTACGGAGGACGGCGTATTCGCACATTGCACTTGCAAGACGTTCCTAGTATGGAGATGAGTGGGTAGTAGACTCCACGTGCCGTCGACCGAATACGCAGAGCCGGTATGCAAGCGTCGCGAATCTCCATTAGGTACATGCAGCATGGCTGCTCCACCGTCGTGCCGGTCAAGAAGTGGGCTCGTATAGGCCGATATGCGGGTTGGCCTAGTTGAGTCATCCAGCTTGCGGTTCACACGTAGGGATGCACCCGACCGAAGCTGTCGGACCACGGGCAAATTCGTAAACGCTATGTTCCTTATCGGTACGAATATACTTCTGTAGTATTGGGGGTAGAGTCGTTTCCTCCGATGGTGTACTCACACGAGGCTGCCAGAAATCCTTTAAAGAAGCATATGACACCCGTTCCCCGAGGTAGACGGTAGTACTCTCGCCGACCGCAGATAGAGCTCCAACCAACATGATGGTCATTCTGGAATGCGCATCTGCTGCTCTCTTGCTAGCGGGGACTGTCTTCGCTGGACCACTGAGCAACCACGGTGCCAGCTCAGTACAGTTCACAGGGCCATTCGAGGTCGCTTATGACTCTCTACACAATATCCACGTCGACTTTGCGGAGGAATTTGAGGGCCAAATCCGAATCGTGCATGGCGCCTGTGATCTGGCAGCTGTCGACGATAGCCATCACGAGGTCGCATCGACTTTCGTTCGACGGGATGCCCGGCCTGATCGGTTTGTCTGGGTTGTGCCCGAGAATGCCATCCATCGAGGTTGTTTGCACGCCTATGCGGGAACTCGTATAATCGGACGCAGTGCTCCAATTACTGTCGCCGAGCCGCTTCACAAACGGGAGACAATATCCGAAGTTGCCGACATGAGTGGCCCCTGGTTCGACGGTGTGTCAGCCATGGCCAGTGTCCAGCAAACGGAGGTGATAACGGCGGAAGCCAAGAACAAAAGCATCGCCATCGTTGGTGGAGGTATGGCAGGCTTGATGACCTCGCTACTCCTCGAATCCGCTGGTCTGCATAACTGGCACATCATCGAGTCGAGCGGGAGAGTCGGTGGGCGGATTCGCACAAAGTACCTCGCAGGCTCGAAACCAGATGAATATCAGTACCAGGAGATGGGCCCTATGCGATTCCCGGTCTCGGTTGAGTATGCTGACACCAATGAGACACTGGACATCAACGATCATAAAATGGTTTTCCAGCTGGGGGATGCGCTCAATGAGTTGAATGGCAACGACCCGGAGCTCGAGGTCAAATTCATACCTTGGATTCAATCCAGCGCTAACGTACCAGCGAGCTCGAATGGCTTTCGGTTGCCGGATGGCCGTATACCAAGCAGAGCCCAACTGGCCGCTAATTCTTCTCTGGCAAATCCGGCACAAAACATCTCCACCATGGAGGAGGTTGAAATGGCTGGCGAGGAAATTGAGGAGTTCCTCGACGTTACTCCGGAAAGGATGAGAAACGTCTCGCAGAACGTCTTTCTAGCTCACAAAGAAGCAGTTGAGAAAGGCTTGTTCCAATTCTCCGAGGCGGCTTACCTCAAATATGAGCTGGGACTGGATGCCGACACAGTAGACTATGCTGCTGGAGCGGGCCTTTCGCCAATGTGGGGATCATGGTATGACACCGTGTACTTCGCTGCGACGACATGGCGAACAATCGACAAGGGACTAGAAGCCTTGCCTCGGGCATTTTACCCGTTGGTAAAGGACAAGCTCACTCTCAACCGGACAGTGACCGGTCTGACATACAATAATGACACGGGCAAGGTTGCTGTCAACTGGCGTGAAGACCCGTTCGCAATGGAGCCTCTCGGCGAAGAGTATGACTATGCGGTCGTGTCGGCCCCATTCTCCAAAGTTCGGCTTTGGAAGACTCCTCGATATTCAAGTCTCCTTACCAGAGCGATCCAAACCATGAACTACCAGCAGTCTTGCAAGGTGGCTCTCCATTATAAGTCTCGGTTCTGGGAGAAGATGGATCCGCCTATCATTGGCGGCTGCGGAGCCGTAGACATATACGGTATCGGGTCGGTCTGTTATCCAGCGTACGAAATTAATTCGTCCTGGCCTGGTGTCATACTTGCATCGTATGCTTCTGGCACGCCGGCTCGGAGTGTGGCTGCGATGTCTGACGAAGAACATGTTGCCCTGGTGTATCGGACCATGATCGAGGTACATGGAGACATCGCGGCAGAGGAATATACTGGACACTATGATCGACGTGAGTGCAGACTCTATTTCCACCTGATTTGGTGGGCGCCCGAATAGATAGCAAACATTGTGCTAACAGCTAGATCGCAGAATGCTGGGAGGTCGATGAGCACCAAGCCGGTGCGTGGGCTGCTCCGTACGTTGGGCAGCAGGAGCTGTATTTGCCGGCCTACTACGGTGAGTATTCGAACTAGACCCTGCGGTGCTCAACCACGAACAAGGCTGGTGTTGTGCATTGTCGAGCATCATCTAACATCTGAGCAGAGACCGAGTTCAAGACGATCTTCATCGGAGAACACACCAGCTATACTCACGCGTGGATTGTAAGTTTCTAGTACACTCGAAACGTACATTGCTAACTAGATTCACAGTTCTCCGCACTAGACTCGGCTGTCCGTGGTACCGTGCAGCTCTTGCTAGACTTGGGGCTGGTGGAAGAGGCACAAACGATTGTTGAGGACTGGATGGCCAGATTTGTGCGCGTCTGAGTGGGTTCAAAGTGATGGATAAACGAATGTAGATGATGTTATGAAGATACTTAGTTTGGTACCAGCTTCGAGCGGCGTCGAAAATACGGTGGAGCACAAAGCCCTTTCACGCAGGTTCGACTCATCCTGGCCGTCAATCTCGCACCCCTTCTTGTCTATTCACTTGTTGCCTCTGGTGCTCCATCAGAGCCCTCATATGGAGCTTCGACAGAGATGCGGACGGGTATGACGTTTCACAACCACTTTGACAGACCCTAGGATCCCAAGATGCCGGCATGAGGTAGATATGCGCTAGAAGTGCTGGCCGCTGTTGCTTCTTGCCATCCTGCACCCCAATCAAGGTACCCTGAACCCCTGCTTGACATCTTCAGACGAGCTCAACGCGCTGCCCTCACGTACTGCAATGCCTTCTTTGTGGTTGTGCCCAACGACGGCTGCGGTCTCCGTGACCTTGACGTCCGCAATCTTGCCGTCTTCGGCGAGGACAGAATCTCCGTGCTCGTCCAATCTCTCAGCATCCGCAATTCTGGCAGCCCTGTCACGGCGCCTGTCAGATCTCATTTTCCTGATAGACGGACTGAGTGCAACTTACGTCTTCCGATCCAGGTAAAATTTGAGAACCCATGTCATGATAATGAGACCAATCGCAGATCCAAGACAGAACGAAAAGCCTTTGGCGAATCGTGGTGCTTCAACAGTGGGGAATGTCAGCAAAGGTGTCCAGGCCGTGGAAGATTGCGCTGACGATGTTAGCTTCTTCATGTGCTCTTGCTGAAGATCTGCCGAGGGCAGAGTGGGGCCACCGCCTACCTATGATGTTGATAAGGACCAGTGTGAAGGAGCGCTGCTCCGGAGAGTCGCGCAGAAGGTTATTTACCCAGCCGTGGAAGACTGTTGTATGTCAGTCGGATATGCGTGCGAAAGGATACCCTGGGGGCACCACATACTGCTGCTCAAGGCATTGGACCAATATGTATTCGCGAATGCGAACCAAAGCGCCGATTCAGGGACATACCAGGCCGTCAATATCGCCAGACTGATTGCATTGAAGGTCGAACACATGGTAATGGCCCATGCCGGTCCGAGGTACAGGTCCGAGGCGAAGCATGCAAACACTGTAACACCAATGCCGATCCCAGGTGCGATGGTACCAAGTTCATTGATGCGTGCCGCCGAATATCGATCCAGGCTCTTGATCCATAGCAAGAACGAAGCAGTTGTCTTATGGATGCCAGCATTCCAGAACAAAACATCGACCAGGATCACCGTCCAAAACTGAGGTGCAAGGAATATGCCCTTCAAGTTATGTATCTTGAACTTGCCTTTGACGACGTGCCCGCCGCGGAGCAGTCGATTCTTGCCTACCTCGATATCCTTTTCGGTCAGGACCCGACGGTTCGGTTGGTCGACCGTCCCAGGCAGGACGAAGTACCCCAGTATGCCCACAGGGACAGTGATGGCGGCACATATGATGTACATCCATCGCCAACCTTCCAATCCATGGACGCCTTCCAGCCGGGCGGATGCGCCTGCTTGAATCAGGCCGGCGGTAAGGGTGCCTGCTCCAAGTCCGGTATAGAACAACCCTCCTCGACGCGCGATCTCGTGACCTCTGTACCAGCTGCCGAAAACATAGTGCATGGCTGGGAAGAACGCTGCCTCGAACCATCCCACAAGGAACCTATACGCCATGAGCTCCGCGAAGCTTTGTGTCCGATACTGTAATAAGGTAAAGATACCCCACATAATGTCGAGGAAGGGGATCGTCCAGTACATCGGGATGTATGTGAACAAGAACAGGAAAGGGATCTGGCCGACGACTGCTCCCACAATATACATTGTCTGGAGTTGAACGAGCTCGTTCCCATAGAAGCCAAGATCCTCTTTCATGCCAGCGACATAGGCATTGTCTTAACACGTTAGCTGGATGGCATCCTCCGTATGGGTGGCCATACTAAGGTTCGATTGGTCAATGTATTTGACCCAGTATGCTAGGATAGCATAAGGAACGACCAGCAGATCCAGCTTGATGATGAACTTGCGCTCCTTGGGTGTATCATCATCCGAGTACCATTGCAAGTGCCACCACTTTTTCCGCTTCACGACTGTGGTGTTGGCATCTTTACCGGCCATGATGATCCCGGCGGTCGCACTTGGATGATTTGGGCGCGTGTTGTTGGAGCGGCCATTCACGGTGGTCGCACACTGCAGCGCTTCATCTTATAGATTCATCCGAAGGGCAGAAATGCCAACTTGGCAGGCATGCCCATCGATGGCGCAATCAAGACAGTTGTTCGTGCAATGCCTCCAGTATGGAGGACTCAGTAATCAGAACCAGTGAGAAGGAGTGACAAGCATGATAGTCGAACGACAACACTGCGGCCGGCGCCTTGGTATAAGTGAGGTGGGATTTTCCGACCGAGACAAGCAACTGCCATGACTGTAGGGCAGCAGAAACGGGAACGCCCCGAGCCATCGCAGACGGTGACTGGTCTCGACAACCGTTGATCTTGCGCGTGGCCAACGCGGGAGCATTGATAGAGGAAGCGTGCCAAGAAACACCACATGCAAATCGAATTGCGTGCTCGCTTCGAAGATGACACAACTGCATCCCTGGTCGGTGTCGGGACCGCGCAAAGCAAGGACCTTCGTCCTGAACGCCGACAGCCTCGAGATACCCAGGGGATGGCAGAATTGAGCAGATTCGCAACTGCCGCTCCGAGTGCCCCCAACCCTCAGAGCTAGCCCTGCTTAACCCATATCCATGCATTCACACACACGAAGAACCTCCTCTCGATTTCCCGCCGTCACGGCACCGATATAGCACTACCCTTCCTCCCCTTCCATTTGCTCTTCACATCCTGCTTAGCAGGTCTTTGTTCCCCATCAAAAGCGTCCTCAAATGTCGAATCCGCCGCCGACGTAAACGCATTGCCGATCACATTGCCCACGTCAATGCCAGTGCCGCCCAGATCCGCCATACCGCTGACTCCATCAATGGCATCGCCCAGATTCACGCCAATAGCGTTAGACACGGCCCCAAAAGCCGTCTTGGTAACGAGACGTGTGGCAAAGCGCGTGGCGGCATTCTTCTGCGTTGCGTCGTAGGCCTTTTTGAAGCCGGCGAGCTTGCTGCGCTTTTGCGCGCCGGCGGTGTTGTCTTGCGGATCTTCTGGTGTGGTGATGAGGACCTGCGGAGCGCTGACTACCTGGGTGATGGGAGGGCGGTCTGGTGATTGGGACTGTGGTTGTGCGGTCGGACGGCTTTGTGGGGTGACAACAGGAGGTTGCGCTGGCTTTTGAGGTGGTCTGGGATTAGGACTTGGTGGACACGACGCTGCCGTGGTCATGCTCGGAGGTTGGTGAATTGGTTTCAGATTTGCTGGCTGTACAAGTTGACCTTGGTGTGGGCGTGGAGGTTGGTTCTGTGCAGAGACTGGTAGTGCAGGCGATCCTGGACGAGGGCCATGACTTGGCATGTTAGCCTGCGAAGGTCTGGGTTTTGAAGCATGATGACTTGCGTGGCCCACGGGTGGCTGTATGACGGGTGCCAAGTGGGGAGCCTGCATCGGTTGTGACACCGGTTTGGGTGGTCTAGTAGAGACCATGTTCGCATTTGCTGCGGGCTGCTGATGTTGCACCGGTTGTGCCAGAGGTCTAGAGTTCTGAAATGGCACTGAAGTGGCGGATGTCGCCACAGGGTTTGAATGCTGGGTGTGTGCCGAGACAGGCCTCGGAGTACTGCTCGGGAACATGGTGGCAGAAGTTGGTGCAGAAATTGGCTGCCGAGTCGGAAGCAGGGCTGGCGTAGGCCTTCTGCTGGTGAACAGGGTAGCGGAGGTAGGCGCAGATGCTGGCTTCTGGACTTGAGCCGGAGCAGACGTTGCCGTTCTGCTAGGAAATAGTGTGGCTGAGGTTGGTGGGGACGTTGGCTTTGAGTCCGGAATTGGCTGCGGCAGAAGCATGGATGCTTTGCTGGGGAATACGGTGGCCGAAGTTGGTATACATACTGGTGAACTTGCCTCTTCAGGTTGCAATGCCTGAGAATAGTGCGCAGGCTTCTTGCTTGGCGGTCCCGTTTGATGCGGCTGCGGCGAATATGGTGGAGTAGGGGGACTCACGAACGGGGCGTTGTGAGTGGGAGAGATTTGCGTGTATGGCACGTTCTGACCCGGGCTTCGCCGGCGTCTACTGGGCCTGAGGATGGGATATGGCTCATCCGCGTCAGCAATGTTGCTCTGAGCAGACTGAGGATCGGTATCAAGAGACAACGCTGGGTACTGGTAGTTGATGTTCCAGCTAGGGCTGGGCAGTGGACTCGGCGTATGAGAGAACGCAGTTTCTCCCGTGATGCAAGACTCGCTTTGCTGGACCGAAGCTGGAGGCTCTGGAACATCGTCCATGGGAATAATGTGTGACAGAGGCGCATAGCTCGGTTTTGCGTTGCCGCGAGTCCCGCCTTCAGACCACCAATGGGTGTGAAGTTTGCCCGCGTGTTGTGAGCAATGTCCGCACAGTCTGATGGACTCATCACATTGTCGGCAAGTTGAAGCAGATGAATAGAATATCTCTGTAAGAGCGATTAGGCACGTTTGACATGAGAAAAAGGACTGGACACACTCTGGAAGCACATTGTGCACTTGTTCCTTGCGTTGGCGACCATGTCATCGGAACGTCTGATTTTCCTCTGGCACTGTCGATAGGATCGCGCAACCACCTCGTTGAGGCGGGTTTCCGTATGGACAACAGTATAGCTACCGTGAGAGTGCTCTTTTAACTCTTCAATTGAAGACATTGCTGTACAGATCTTCAGCGGGTAACCCTAGATGGCCAATCGAGCCACTTACAATGGGAACACTCATTGCAATATATTCCGCTTGGCAGTCTCCCAGGTTCCGCAACTTCAACAGTCCATTGCCATGGCTCATGGTGCCGGGGGTGGTTGACCTCGGCGGAGATGTAACATCTGATGCAGAAGTATACCGGTTCGTCTGTTTGCAGGTAGCATGTCCTGCACAAGATAGTCTCTTGCCCCAGTGTAAACGCTGTCAGATCTTGCGTTAGTGATACATACATAGCACAGAGAGTGTGTTGGAATGGCTTACAATTCGAACAGCTGCTACAATGGTTGACAACGGCCGTCGTACAGCACGCTCCTGCGGACTTGCCTGGGCTTCTGAGCAGACGTGGCGGCTCAACAATGTTGAAGATGGTGTGTGAATGGGTGTTGATGCCATTTCCGAACCAACAATTTCGGCACGAAACATACTGACATTCGCAGCACGAGTAGCGGAAGGGCACTGACTTGGAGCATCTGGCACAGGTCTCTGTGTCCTTCTCGATATCGAACTCTTGCTTGACGCTTCTGAGGAGAACTATGACCTCTTGGTGACTCGGCTGATGTTCGACTCGACACCGAATACAATACGCCAGGCGACAATAAGTGCATTCAGCGAATAAGTCGTCCGAGAGGATCCCTGTTGCATTTAGTGAAGGCTCTGCAGACAAACGGCGTTTTGAGGGTGTAGACGGACCATTTTGACAGTAAGAGCATACTCTGCTGAGTGGACCTTGGCCAACTTGTGCCACCATCTTGTTGCTTGCTTTACGTCGTTGGAACGCTAGAGTTCGACCGTGAGCAACAGTTCGGCGTGGACCTTCAAGAGCGGGAACAACATCACTATAGAAGTATCGAGACTTGACCAATTGTTCTGAGGAGAGTCATGACTTGGTATACAAGCGCTTCTCGTCACGAACAGAACTTGGGCTCTCAAGTGGGCCCGGGTCCGGCATCTATCGAAGGCTTCTCTCCAATATACGGGCGTCGTGGGAATGATAAGCGAGTCTGGGCAATTCTGCCTTACGCCGAGAAAGATTTGAGAATTCGAAGGCGCTCTTAGCTGCATGATCTCGCAGGTTTATTGGTCTGCGAGGTGAATGAACAGGGGTAGTCCAAAAGCACGTTCTGGGTTACGAAGCTGGAACCCTTAACCTTCGAAGACCGAGCCTTACGGACTTGAGCATGATGAGTCCGGAGGATATCTCCTCGGAGTATCCAGTAAAACTATACCGCTGCTCGTCCCACGGCTTCGGTATTCGTTCACGCTTGTGGTGGTACGGACGCTGAAAAAGAGTTGGATAATCAACACAGCTGCTCAACATTCCGGGATGATCTTGGTCGCTCAATTAGTCACGCGCTTCAATGGATGGTCAGCATCATGTCTTCGCGGGGCGGCTCGTGTTGCGTGGGTTCAGAGTGCCGCCAAATCGTATTGCGGGGATCTGGACCTCTCGGGCTTCGCCCAGCCTTGTCCTCTCCGGGTCCTATCGTGTTCATGCTTAAGATGAACGAATTACACCTCTCTCATTACCTAGTCCAGCTGAGACCATCCTCGGTCCAGTTGCAGACAAGTGGTCAGTGGACGGAGCTCGGGAGGGGCTTTTAGGGTTGGGCTGACGGAAGCGTGCGTTCATCCGTAAAAAGGCATCCAGGAGTTTTCCGAAGTCTCGAGAGTCGCAGCCGTCGAGTCAAAAGCTTGGAGAATGACCCTTTCGCACGCATCACAAACATATTGCTCTTCCAAATACGACGTTGAGGAGGTTGAGCCACGTCGACCTCTGTGACTACAGCATCGTCTAACCTTCCGGATTTAGCATGGTCGCTGCTTGTCACCTTCTAGCGTGATTCCCTGTTTGAGTCGACTGTTTCAACGAGTATCATATTCATCTCCCCAAGACACTGTGTAAATTCACCCTGACGAACTCGCTTCTGCCCCTGCGCATGCAGACTTCATCGTCGAGAATCTATGGCGGGCATTCGATATGATCATCATATGCTTTCGGCTCGTTCGGGAGCGTTGACTTCGGTTTAACATTTGCCGTTGCTCGCTTTCGTCATTGCAAGGCTCTCCTGTTTACACTCACCCAAGCATTGTCTTGGTGCTGAGCCTCAGGCCTTGGATGGCGTTCGTTGATCTCAATGCCTCTCCATTCCATATTTCCAGACTTTATTCTCTCATATCCTCGGGATCAGAAGTCTCAGAAATATGAAACTCCTGAGACCGAGAAGCGCAAGAATCGCAAGCGAAAGTCAGCTACCAAAGGGGCCCCGACTGTATCCAAATGCCTGCCTGGGTACTCAGGACCGTATGATGTCGGCTGTGTCGACATAGAGGTACCTGTCAGCAATCCTCGGACTTTCACCAGCTTCACTCGCAACAAAGATGCTCTTCTGCAGCTCGACACGGTCCTTGTAACCATTTACTATCCAGCACACTTGAACAATGAGACTAAGAAGCAGTTCAAGCAACCAAAATGGCTGGGTGACTCCAGAAGCTTGATAGCTCAGGGTTATGCTCATTTCGCCAGCGTCCCGGACTATCTGTTGGTCCCGTTCTTACGATCTACAACTTGGCGGACTGAGCTCCCTGCGTACGAAAATGCGCCTTTGGCCGACCACTGGGCAACATCAGAGAGCAGCAAATGTCGCGGAAGTGGGCGAGACAAGCCCATATTTCCACTTGTCATATTCAGTCATGGCCTAGGCGGTACGCGAAGGGTTTACAGTACCCTCTGTGGGGAATATGCCTCGCACGGATTTGTGGTATGTGCTCTCGAACATCGAGACGGCTCAGCTCCCCGAACGCTGGTAATGCATAAGCCGTCGTTGCCCACAAGTAAAGCACAAATCGAAAGAGTCCATACATCCAAAGCCACAAGCGAAGGATACGACGTGATCGATTTCATCTTTCCAAGAAGCGACCCCTACGATACCTCGCCTGGTCACGATGTGGACAGGGAGCTGAGACAGGGTCAGGTTGAGATGCGCACCGCCGAAATCCAAGAGGCCTACAAAGTGTTGAGCATGCTTTGTCGTGGCGAAGGGGCTGTGATCGAGGCTGCCAACCTCAGGATTCGCGAGGATAGCGAGCCCTTTGACTGGCAAACATTCACGAACCGCTTTCATCTTGAGAACGTCACCATGGTTGGGCATTCTTTCGGGGCTGCCACGACCACCCACATCCTCCGAGGAATCGACAGCTTCCCGTACATCACACAGGGCATCATTTATGACATCTGGGGAGCACCTGTTGGACAGCGAGATGACGAAAAGGGCATCAGAGTCCATACCCCGGTGCTGGGCATCAATTCAGAGGCCTTCACTAGCTGGCCGCCAAATTTTGAGGTGGCACAGGGCATCATTCAGGAGGCGCTTGACCAGGAGATGCCTGCTTGGTTACTGACAGTACGAGGGTCAGTGCACATCAATCACTCCGACTTCTGTATTCTCTTTCCACACATCGCCCGCGCTGTACTCAAAGCCACCGTGGACCCAGTGCGGGCCATCGATCTCAACATGGACGCCTCTCTCGACTTCCTATCGCGCACTTTAGGTACGAGACTGGGTGAGCAGCCGTTCCTCGAGTTCCTTGCAGGCTCCGATCATCTACTTGACCAGAAATTCCTCACGCAGCTTCCAACCACCAGTAACCCGGAGAAGCATGTCGCGCTCCGGCCCAAAGTATCGGACTCTTTTCGGAGGAAATTGCGCAAGAAAATTACGCCGTCTGGACGGAAGAAGTTCCGGGAGAAGATTGATGAAGCTGCCCGGCAGGAAGTGTGGATTCATATGGGGCCCGGACATCCACCGTCAGACTGAAGCCATCAAGGAACGACAACTACACAATCAAGACCTCTAGATGAGGGTTCCAAGCATGCCGAGTTCTCAACCTGCAATAAATGGGGGTCTGTCTCACATCCAAATAGGAAAGCCCCACGATTCATTCCACTAAATGGCCGAGAGCAACATTGCATCTCCACAGTAGACACTGCAAGCTGGCCTATTCTGCGCCACAAGCTCATCCCTCGATGGGACTAGCACTTCACCTCTGCGATGCTTCGAGACTATGGTGAGCGTGGGGTGCATCCAAGCCTAACTTGCAACATCGTGTTCCTTGCGTGTGAGGTACGGAGTACAGTTTCCATGGGACAGTGACTCAAAAAACAAGATGAGCAAAAGGCATCCTATTCGACATAAAGCCAGCGCCACAGGGGAGCCTCATGATATAACGTTTGGACTCTGTCACAACGTCCACGGCGAGGGGGGAAGCAGGAAGAGGTACACAGTACAGCGAGGATGACATAAGCATTCTGATGCCAAGCGATGATACCTTGGCGTGTATAGCTCAGCCCTACGAGGCTTGTTCGCATTCGTTGCCCTTTTTCGCGATAAAATCTTTTTTTTTTCTGCTAGCAGAAATGCCATTGCATTTGCACTAAAGACCTATTGTCTGCATCAGACTGACTGACTGCCAGTGGACGATATCCGCAGCGGTTGCGAACGAACGACATCTCAATTTCGAAAAATGTCAAACGACCCTGCTCACTTCTGCAAGACCATCTTGGCGGGGACCATCGCCAAAGGTCTCCAAGCCGAAGTCAATGATGGGCTAGCCAAGCTCCGCAAGACGCCGCATCTGCTGGGCATCCTGGCCAACGACGACCCGGCAGCCAAGGTGTACGCCGACTGGACGGGCAAGACGGCCAAGGACAATGGCTTTGAGTACAGCCTGCGAACGGTAGGCAAGGATGACGCCGAGGAGACCATTATCGCCGCCAATAACGACGACGGTGTGGATGGGATTATTGTCTACTATCCCATTTTCAACAACCGCCAGGACCAGTATCTGCAGCAGATTGTGGATCTCAAGAAGGATGTCGAAGGCCTCAGTCATCAGTACATCTTCAACATGTATCAGAACATCCGTTTCCTCGATGACCGCCAAATGCAGAAGAGCATTTTACCGTGCACCCCACTGGCTGTGATCAAGATCCTGGAGTACCTCCATATCTACAACACGATTCTGCCTTACGGCAACCGCCTGTTTGGCCGCACCATCTGCGTGGTCAACCGCAGCGAAGTTGTAGGCCGTCCGCTGGCAGCACTCTTGGCCAACGACGGGGCCTGCGTCTACAGCGTGGACGTGACCGGTGTCCAGCAGTTTACTCGTGGTGAGGGAATCCGTAAGCGTAAGCATGAGATCGTCGAGAAGGAAGGCTGGACCGTGGAGAATTGCGCTCCCATGTGCGACGTTGTCATCACCGGTGTGCCCGGAAACAAGTACAAGTTTCCACTGCACCTGGTCAAGGATGGCGCCGTATGCATCAACTTCTCGAGCGAGAAGGTAGAGTCATGCCCCCATCCTGGTAGCCTTGCTGATCATCATAGAATTTTGCTCCCGAGGTCAAGGAGAGAGCTTCGATATACGTGCCAGCCATTGGCAAAGTCACCATCACAGTTCTTCTGCGGAATCTCTTGCGCATCGTACAGAACAGGGAGGCGCTCAGTCCAGAGTCGCAGCCCACGGCGAATGGAGAATCTTGATAGCGCCAGCCAAAGCCACCGGTGTTTAGTGCTTGACTCTAGAGGGTACTTGTCCTCATGGCGCCTTTGATGAAAGCAAGAAGCCATTCGCCGAACAAGCACCCGGAGAAAGAGATAGGTAACGATATCTCCGAGCCAGGTCGTAAATCTTCCGTGCTCTCGAACCTTTCGCAAACTCGCAGAGAGCCGCCTGCTCATTGCCCAAGGCAATAGCAGAAGTGGTTGGGAAGGACGTCAGGCTGGTGCGAAGATCCAGCTTGAAGGACTCAGAGCACTTGATCAGATCTGACACATGAGAAGACCTGCTGCGGGAGCCAGTAGGGGTTGACTTCGCCCCTTCTGGCGGGAGGACATTGTCCACCAGCAGCGACGACTGTCCCGAGTAATGCAGAATCAGGTTTGCCTCCACAAACCCAAGACAGCCATCGAATGCGAGAAACGACGTGACAGCCTCACTGAGCTCTTCGACGTCTTCTAGCTCCTCGGCCATGAGACTTCGAGGCAGCCGGGTCATGCTGAGCACCTGCCAGAGCGCACAAGTCATCTCTAGGTAACAATCATCGACTGCCGCCCTTGGCCGTTCCTGGAGATGGTGAAGGGTGTGCTTGAAGTGGGCACTTTCGCTAAAGTACCAGGCCGCACAAGCTCCACGATGCAAAACAGCCAGTCGCCGGGGTTGCAGGCACTTTGGTATACTAGCATAAGACGCTTCGGCACACCACAGCAGGTATTGGTCTGCTGTCTGATGGAAAGTTTCCGCCACAAATGCCGAGCTTTGGACAGCCTTGCCGTTGATGAAGAGGACGATATGACCTTCGTGCAAGAGCCTGGTCGTGACCAATGGTGCTGCAAGGCGCTGAATGAGACTCATAAGGTCAAAAATCTCTGATTCTGTTTTTGACACGTATTGAAACAGGATGTGAAGCACGTCGTCGTCCAGTCCATGATCTCCCCTCGCACGCCACTGGTCCGGGGGAATGTAATCTGCCGTACGAAGCCAGAGGAACAGCTGTTGAGACATTCGAAGGTGGGCTTTACTGAGCTGCTTCTCGCGCTGCTTGAAAATCGATGTATAGAGCTGGGCGAGACCATCGGGCACCGTTTGTGTCTGTTCGCGCACCTCGTCCATTGACGTAGCTTTCTGAAGTTCTTCGAGCATGAGTCGGGCAAATAGCCACAAACCACCCTCGGAACTCGAGCGAATAGTACGCTGGATTTCGTCCCGTTCCACGGAAGACAGAGGCAATTCAAGCTTTCGAATGCCATCGGCGATGTAGTCGTGGAGAGGGTCCGTGTTCCGTTGCAAAGACAGGCTGTTGTTGCAGAAGTCGATTAGATCCGTAATGACTGGATCGTTTCTGCTCGAGAAAATGAGCTTAAGGTGTGCATTAATGCTGGTTTGCGCCGCAATCAGGAGCGTGACAAGCCTACTTGCATCGTAGCACTCATCCAAAGCGTCAATAACGACATAGATCTCAGTCTCTTGCGTTTCCTTCAGGACCGTGTCGAAAAGTCTGAAGGACAGGACTTCGGAGTCTGCCGTCTGTCGACCTGATGCATTGTAGATTGGCGCAAGAGGCTCGTACAAGGCTTGCTCAATCTGTAGAAGCTGCCATGCTAACGTGCGTGCCACAGAAGTTGCATAACTCTTGTCTGCATCAGTGCCGCGGCAGAAGAAGTAAAGCACGTTGGTGTCTTCTCTGGCTTGAAGCATCTTGACGACTTGTGCACTTGCCACGGACTTCCCACCACCAGGGAAGGCATTAATACGCAATGACGCCGGCTTGTCGCTCCTTCTGAGTGACTCCATCTCCGGACTGTCCCAAACCCACTGACAGGAGCCGTCTGCGCAAGTAGAGGAAAGGCGGTCCAGATCATCCTCCACACTTGCAGGTGCAAGCCAACGGTTCACATCTCGTCGCAGATCCTCGGCACGCTGACGCTCCTCCCTCTGCCGTGCTTCCTTGGCTTCGACCATGTTGGCACTGTTGGCGGCAACATCGACTTCGGCCCAGTGGTGCCTGATCTTGTCCGAAATCTCCGTGACATCTTTATCGAAGGAGCCAAACGTCTGCCTCAATGGGCTCCTGGCGTGGTGAACAGCGAGCCTGGTGCAGAACTCCAAGAGATCGCAGTACAGAGCTCCAATAGCATGGCGAAGCGCGACATTCTGTTCAAAGAGAGTCTCGTAGTTGTGGAAACGCTTTAATGGCTCTACCAGCCGCTCGAGCAGAACAACGATGGTGTTCAGAGTGGCGAGTCGTCCGTTCGCAATGGTCACAATGGCTCGAATCGGGCCCCATATTGGGCTAGCCACGGTCTGCCAGGTCTGAACCAGCACGTCGATGCTGTTCTCAAAGCGTTTCAGAGGCTCGATCAGTGGCTCCAGGATCGAGACAAGCCTGTCGAACTTCCGATTCCGTGCCTGGGCCGCCTGTAGTATGGTCAGGCAATCGTCAGCGTCGGCAGGAGCTTTGAAAGCGGTCCTCAATTCCACAGGCAGGCGTGAGAGGTATTGTGCCACCGCCACTTGCCAAGCTGACTCCTGAGTGCCCTTTGGAGGGCTGGAAGGGGGGTTAGGGTGCGCTGAGCTACTGCTTGCCAGGCTGTTCGCCTGTGTGACATTCATCTGGACGCCTTGTCGCCTTTCTCTCATGCGTCAGGCGCTGTCCATGCTCATAGCAATTGGCGAGCGGGCAAAGATGCCAGAGAAACAGCGAGGGCGAACGATTGGGTCGGACCGTGGCTGAGCCAGGGGGTGCGGCGGCCCCCAACGAGTGACAAGTTTGAGCCTTGCGTCAGCCTATCGAACCCCGCGAACCCCGCCTGTCTCAGGCGATGGGCCGTTCATGGATTTTGACCGCATCACTGAAGAAGAATTGGGGTCGGTGTATTTGGCGCAGTACCTGACTGCCCTCCTGGGGTTAAAATCGAGTACCACTGGAAGCACTCATCGAATTGTTACAGTGATGCCATGCCCGGGCATCGATCTACAGCATCTTGAACACGAAAGGCTTGAGCGCGGGTCTAATCAGCATCGGCAATTCCTCTGTTGGTGGTAGGTTGACATAAATAGTACGCTGCAATATTCCCAAACCCATTCAAAGTGTCGTTACTCATGATTTATGCGGGTACTCACCGCTGCGGTTTTCGTCCGTAGACGACGTATCTGTGCCGTTGAGTCAGCTTCCGAGTTCAGCACAGAGGAATTGTACGCACATGGGCCAATAGGCATGAATTTTGCGATTCATCATGTCCTTCCTCACTTCCGCCAGAAACACCTCGACTTCTTCTCTGGACATGCCCAGAACCCCCATGAACAAACGCAACGAGCTAGACTCTGGTCAGCAATAAGGCGAAGTCAAAAAGGGAAATCACACTCACAATCCCTCCAAACCAGAAGAGCAATTCACCAGATTCAGGCCCCCAATCTCCTTCATTCTAGGGTCCTTTGGCCATGTGTTGATGGGCCATTTGAATATGAACTGCTGGACGTCCTCGAACCCAGCCTCCTCCAGCCACTGCTTGTAATTCGCCGCCCAGGCCCAAGAGCGGCCGAGGCCCTTCTCCAGGCTTTCCATGAAATACTCGACCCACCGGGCATGCGCACAATCCGGTGACAGCGTGCCGTCGTCGCTACCGAGTGGCAGGCAAATGTCTTGCATTTCGATCCAGCCGCCCGGATGGAGCGCGTCGAAGGCCCGCTGGAACAGTGCCGGAAAGGAACTGACGGAGCTGGCCAGAACGCGACCATGGACAACATCGAATTTTTGTTTGAATAGCCATGGTTTCTCGAAATCGTCGACCACGAATTTGCAGTTGGGCGGCACCAGGCTGGGCTGGATGGGACTGAGATCAGTGCCCGTGACCATGGATTCCGGATTTTCATCGGCATAATCAATTGCCCAAGCACCGGTGCCCGTTCCAAGGTCAAGCACCTCGTGAACTTGATCTTGTACTACTGGAGCGAGTAGCAGCTTGCCGTGGAATGTCTTCTCGAAGATATGGTGCTGCAGGTCAAGGCGGTCCTGCTCCTCTTCGTCCTCTGGCATGACATAGTCCTTGCCGGAGCTAGTCAGATAGCGGTGGTAACCGCGCCCGTTCTCGCGCACACTCTCCAGTAAGCTGGATCTGAGAGACTGGGTATATGCTGAAATGTCGTCGCCGAGCGCCGAGTCCGTGTCGGACGTATCAGCTTCGAGGTGCTGCTGGTCGTGGCGAAATTCCGCATCCATGTTCTCAGTCGGATGACGTTACAAAGCTGTGGTGTCTCGGCGAGATGTATCGTATCTGGACCGAAACAGGCCAGTAACAACACTGAGGTGCAACTTCTCCACGCTGAAAACCAGGTTGGTCTTTTACGGTATGTTTGCTCTTTATTGAGTGCGGTGAATGAGCAGAAACTGTCGGAAGTTGACATGGCTGGGGAGTCTAGGGAGGTCTTGTGGGTTTGACGGCATTGGCAGCCACGGCATTCTTGATCACAGAGCTTCGCGCGGCCGGGGAGTCCCGCGGCCCGCGCCAGGGCATGCATCATATCAATGCGTAAAGTCGGAGTGAAGGTTCTATAGCAACGTGGGCCAATCATGAGATGTTGTCGGCTGGCAATGACTGCATCTTCGATGCATTGATCTGAACTCTTAACATGCAGAGACTTGCCGGTTTCTTGCTCAGAAGGCCGGCGAGCGCGGGCCGGCCTCAGTCGCTGCGACGGAACGTATAAGAGCGGTAGCGATCGCCAGCGACTGTTGCTTTGCTTTCCGCCAGTTGTCGCCAATAGTCGAGTATCAAAGTCGCGTCATGTGGGTCTCGCCAGGCTGTTATTCTGCGACTAGAGCTTCAAATTTCTGACATTGAAACGCTACTGCACGCTCCTCGCCGGCAACCGGGAGCCAGGTTTACAAGGTACCGCTTGCCATTTGTAGGCAATGGGGCCAAAAGTTGGGGTAGGGCCTGGGGCATTCGCCTGGTGCGGAGCCATCGTGGAAATCCCAGATTATCACGTACCTTGACCCATGGGATAGTCAGCTCATTGAATGCGGCGGGGTTGTTCCGGGAAATACAGTTTCCGTCGCCGCAGCATCAAAGTTGCTGCTTTCATTATACATCCTGTAAAGCGGAGCTGAGGCGGATGATGGCGGTAATGCTCCGGATATAGTTGCAGTTGAAGTGGAACTCCAACGGCAGTTGAGTGGCACGGCACCCGTCTCTCGCCAGACAACAATGAACAGCATTTAAGCCTTCATTCCTGATGTTTGTTCACTCGCGGTAGAATGAGCCAGGTGAGTCCAGTGGCACAGATCAGTCCTACGAGTATTGGCTGGAGCACACTGACACCAGATCTTGCGGCGATAAGTCCAGTGATAGCGGGAAAGACACTGCCACCTATTTGTCCAACCACAAAGACGACTGCTAGTGCTGAGTGCTGAATGTGTCGGGGAAACAACTTGGATCCCACGGAGATGCCGGTCGCAAAACTGCGATTGTGGTCAGTTCAAGCCCGTAGACAGAGTGGACAAGGGTAGAAGAGGCGTGGAGCAGAGATAACGAAACACTTGAGCTGGTGCAAGCTTTCCAAATGACTCACAAAGGACCTGAAAAGAAGCCTAACAACGAGATTGTGACGGCTCCGACAATTATGCTGGGAACCAGCCAAAAGAGTAGTTGCAAGGCCAGACAGATCACCACATAAATGGAGATCATGAGACGTTCGCCGAAGCAGTGCGTGGGCTCGGCAAGCACCAATCTGCCCACGAATGCACCGCCATAGTACCCCGCTGGTACATAGCCCATGTCAGCCAGGTCTCCCTTGCGAACATCGACAAGATATGTCACGACCCAGCCTGTATCGGTCAGCATGCATTTGAACAACCGAATCACTACAAACCCACCTCCAGCAGTGATTGCAACGCCCAGAAAGAAAAAGAAGTACAAAGCCAGGATCCACACACTTCGAAGCTTCAGGGTTTCCCGGATCTCTTTAACAGCATTTTTGTTCCGGGACTGGGTATGTGCTGTAGCAACCACGTGGTCGTCCAAGGACCGACCCTTCTTTTTGATGGCAAGTGTATTTCGAAAAGCATAGGCAGTTGCGGCCACGTTGATCACACATAATCCAGTCGGAAATGTGTAGAACAGATACCACTTGCTTACGCTGTTTGCTGAAGCAACGCCTGTGGCGACGAAGGGACCCACCAGGCAACCAGCCATGTACATGGCATGAATAAAACCCAGCCATCTGTGAGCTGCCTTGACAGTCGCAACCCAGGAATTCGCGTGCATATCCTGATAGGCCTGTCCAAGATGTGCAAACCAGAAAGACGCTGCAAAGAGGCCGAAAGGTGGATTCCATGCACGCAGACAATGTGCCACGAGCTGGAGAATAGCCCCGATGGTCAAAATCGAGCCCAAGTCAAATATCTGTGTTAGGTGGGCATTCGTAGCGGCTGCAGTGAACCACCCGAAGAAGGTAACTCCGTAGACGATCGAAACAAAGTTGGTATTGACATGATACTCTTGGAGCACATACGGGATCAGAGGGCCCAGAGAACCATCGTTGATCCCAGAGCAGAAAAAGGCGAATCCTGAAGCAATCAGTCGGATCAGATCCGCCTTTTCCAACTTGGAATTGGCTTGAACTTCAACGTCTTCGGCAGTAGGCATGGATGCATTGTGCTCGTCGGGCTCTCTTGCCAAAGCCTGTGCAGTATTGCTGGGTTGCTTGCTGGAACGATCATGCAGTTCGACCGGGACTGTCACCTCTGCACGCGAGGCTTCGGACATTGCGAGGCGCTGAGAGCAAATATGGTCCTAGGGGCAATGATGTTCGACGTGTTGAGGTATTGGTATTTGGCAGGAAGGATCATTAGCCATCTTTATATTTTGGAGCAATACCAAAGACAAGAGCACAAGCACCCGACATTCAACCGTGCTTCTCGTTCAATTGGCTGCCCCTGCTTGGCGGGTCGACTGCGAATCAGGTCGGATTGATGACCGGGGTGGGCTAGCACGTAGATCATCGCGGAGGAGACGGAGTTGTATCAAATAGACTCCGCCCGGCCGCCCTCTCGACAATGCATACAGAGAGTACGACCATTATCGAGGCAATGCTTAGTCTCTGAGTACGGTAGCGCATCTCCGCCAGGTCCGAGTTGATCGACAGGGTGAGGTATGTCAACGAGGAGGGGAAAATGGAAAGCTGGGCTCGGCCTTATCGATAGTGGGTCGCAGTTTCCATGTTCCGATGTCCGCGGCCAGTGATGTCAAAGCAATTAGTATTTTTTCTTGACTGCACAAGAATTCGCAACGCATTGGAAGGCGCGGTTGGCTGCACGGGCAATGCAGCACTATGGCAAGCTCAGACACGCGAGACTACATTCTGGCGGTTGAGAGCAATAAAGATGGCGCTCTCCAGATCGCCCAAGACACGGCAAAAAGTATGTTCGCACGAACCTGTAGGGGGGCTGTATTGACAAGATTCAGAACTGCAGGCGCGCCAAACCACGTTGATCGAGGTGGTGCAGTCGCTCGGAGAGTATATCAACGATGAAGACGACAAGATTCGCGCCCGAGCTGTCTCGTACCTTACCGCAATTATCTCGAGCCTACCACCGACCTTCCTCTCGCGACAACAGATTGATGTGCTGTGCGACTTTCTGTGCGCCAGAATTGAAGATGGCGGGGCTATCGAGGGTCTATCCAATTTGCAAAGCCTGGATAGATTCACCAATAACATGGCACAAGCCGTTGTGAAAGCGTGAGTGCGGCACCACCACGCGACGGCTGTCGGAAGACGAATCCCACCAAAGGTTGTCGGACAGCTCGTCTTCCATAGCTGACACTGACTGAATTCAGAGTAATCGATCACTTCTCGGATCTCCAATCCAGAACCCAGGGGGCTCGGTACAAAGTGCTCCAGCTTTTGAACGAAATGATGCAAAATCACCGGAAAGGCAAGCAGATTGTATGCGAGGCAAGGATCGAAACTGACATGGACAGGCGTCCGCGACATGGGAGATCAGTCGCTGGTGGGAGTTGCAGCAGTGGTTGGAGGGGAGAAAGACCCCCGAAACCTCATGCTAATATTCTCAATGCTCCGGGTCATCATGGTCGAGTGGGATATCTCCCGACACAGCGATATCATGTTCGACTCTGTTTACGCCTACTTTCCGATCACATTTCGTCCTCCGCCCAATGACCCCTACGGTGTTACGGCACAAGATCTAAAAGATCGCCTCCGCGACTGTCTGGCTTCGACCGGCGTATTGGCACCACATACCATGCCAAACCTCCTCGACCGACTGGACTCCACATCTCCTACCGTCAAGAAAGACGTTCTTCAAGCGTTAGCCGCTTGTGCCAATAACTACGACACCACTACCATGACACAATATTCCATCACTCTCTGGGATGCCGTCAAATTCGAGATACTACAATCACAAGAGGCCGAGCTTGCCGATGAAGCCTTGGATGTTATCAAGAGCATCGCTGCGTGTCTGTCGCGGAGCCAAAATACTTCTCCAACATCATCCCCCCTGAGTCAATATCTAAAGCCCGTAATCAAAGAGTGTCTGGAGCATCTTCAGCAACCGGCCTCGAGGCAGGCCAAAGCTTCTGGCCAAATCCTACAGGCTGTAGCATCCGCATCCATCAAATCATTCGAGTACATTATGAAAGGAGTTGGTCCCTCGCTTCTTACACTACATCAGTCGTCCGATGCAATTCTACAGCAACGAGCCGTTCTGGAAGTCACAAATCAGCTTTGTGAAGCCGCTCTTGAAGTCTACGGCTCTTGGACAACAATGAGCAAAATGAATAACGAAGGACGAGAGAACATTCTCAATGAGTTCAAAGACAAGCTCGTTGCAATTTATAGCCAAGCCTTGATGGGGACAGTCAAGGAGGAAGTATCCTTTCGCCTGACCGCAGCTAAGGGCTTGCTCTTGGTCTCCAAGATGAGGTCGTTGCTACACGACAACGAAATTGGCCTCATCGTTCAGTACTATGATGACATCGTTCTGAAAGAGGAGTCATACGGCAAAGACGAGCTCAAGCAGACTGCCATGCACGCTCTTGCCGAGATCTCAGCCTTCAAACCCGGGTTGATCGCAGACATCACGTTCCCTGCCTTCATGGCCCAATTGCCAGACACCGAAGAAGAAGCAGGATCTTCCAAGTACCAGCCCGTTCTAGAAGCTCTGTCTGAGATCAGCATCGAGAAGGATCTGCTCGAAACTATGATGAGACGCCTACTAAACAAGCTCGACATACTTTTCCGGTCCGAGGGTAGTGGACGTTTCCCCTACACTTCCGCAATAATTGGTACTATACGCTACGTGCTCAACAGAAACGTGCAGAAACAGCAAATATCGCTTCAAGGATACTTCGATCGAGTGGTCATCGGTCTGTCAAAAACAGCAACGGAAAAGAAAGCCGGACCTTTAGCCGACGAAGTAGTACTTGACACACTGGGTCGAGTCATCAACATCGTCATACGAAATTCGCCCCCGGAAAGGATACAGCAGGCGGCAGACAATGTCTATACGCTATTCCGGGATTTTGCCTTCAACAATCAGGAAGTGCGACTGGGAGTTCTCTTCAACAACTCGGCATCGATCGTTCTATCAACTTGGGTGCTGGCAGCCTTGCCTCGCTCTGTACAAGCCAGCATCCTCCAGAGAGACCGCATTGGCATGAGTATCGATGATCTTGTTCTGTTCGCGGAGAAATGTGGTTCTCAGGTTCTTGAATTAGACTCCCTGCGCCAGATTGCGCTCTATATCAACAAACACCTTTCCAATCCAGATTTGGATTTGGCAAATTCAATCCTTGAGAAGGGATTGGCAAGTCTGCAGCAGACCCAGGATCTGTTCACTCTGCGGCTATGCTTTTTCATCTGCAAGGCGCTTGTCCTTCGGCTAGCTCCGAAAACGAACCAATATCTCGAGAGCTTGATCGATCTCCTCAGTTCACCATCTCCTGAGGTGGCTCGTCAGTCCGCGCTCCTTTTCCGCGCCATTCTTTCGGCGGATGATGTCTTGTCAAAAGACAATAACGCTCAAATACGGCTTCTTGCACCACAACGCGTGTTCCAAGGCCTTGTACCCCTCATATCCACCAGGTTCCGCTCGTCCCAGTCATCAAGTGAGAAAGAGAACTATCTTGTCGCTCTTAGCGGAATCCTATCCACCGTCCCCTCCGAAATCGTCATGCCAGAGCTACCCACACTTCTGCCACTCTTACTCCAATCACTGGACATTTCTGATCAGACAGTTAATATCGCCACTCTCGAGACTCTGGCTATTGTGATCACCCACAGCCCTGCGGCGATTGAGGAGTCCGGGCACGTTCCTGCTCTAATCAAACGTTTATTGGCTTCGGCTACTCTGACCAAGAATCACTCAAGCAAGAGCACACCCGTAGTAGCACAGCAGTCTCTGCCTCGGACGAGAAGGCTGGCCACTCGGTGTCTTTCCCTGATGCCAAAACACATGACTGGTGGAAGTTCGAGGGCAAATCCGCTACTAGCGCTCAAGCGAGACGTGTTGCAGGGATTGATGGTCGTGCTGGATGATCCGAAGAGAGATGTGAGGAAAGAGGCCGTGGACGCACGCGCCAACTGGTTGAGAGGAGTGGATGATGCCGAGGATGAAGATGATGATTAGTGAGACTAGACATATCTATTATCACTCTTTGGTTCGTTCGCACGAAGCATGATAAAGACAAACTAGCGCGACCAAAGGTGCTACTCTGCGAAGTCTCTCAGACGAATAGGGTAGTAGAATACGTTCAGGACATGTTGGGAGTAGTAGGCCTCTTTCATAGACGCCTGCTCTGGTCTGCTGCAGGTCACAGAAGCCTACAAGTAATCCCAATGAGATCTCACACCGGCTTGAGAATCCTGCTCTATCATATACACCCCTCAGCTCTCGGGTAAGGTAGACTGCCAGTAGTGGCCTGCTTACCCGAACGCGCCGAACTTAGCAATTATTCCTCTGCACGAACCTATCTCCTCCAGTCGTGCGTGCTCAAGCGTCCTGCTCGAGCGCAACATCCGTCGCCGTGGCCGTCCGCGCCTGGGACAGTGACGGACTCCCACCCGCTCCTTGCCCGTCCTCGGTTCCCACAGCCGCGGTACTCTCGCCTTCTGGCCCCGCTGCGGCGGCGGCAGTCACGGCCGCGGCCTGCTGGAGCTGTGCTGCGGCGTTCACGGCTCCCGGGCCGGTGGTGTCGTCTTCGGCGTCCAGCATGTAGAGGAAGGTTTCCCAGAGCTCGATAAGCTGTGGAAGTGGGCTTGTCAGTTCCATGTCGTGTACGTTGGAAGGGGAAGTGCCAGGTGGGATTGGATGATCTGTTGGGTCTGGGAAGGGATTCACTTCGCAGCAAGAACTCACCTCCTTCTGCGCCTCTACCGCCCCTTCCAGGAACGTCTCGACGCCGCTCTTGAAGTCCTCGACCTTCTCGCGCTCGAAGCGCTCGAGTTCGCCGCGCATCAAGCGGCCCATGTCCTCAAACAGCAGACGAGCTTGGTGTGCCTTCTTCTCCGCATCGCTAACACCGGCGCCCACCTCATTGAGCTTGTCCTGCTGAGACTTGCCCTGGCGCAGAAGTTTCTCGTGCGCGGCGCGCCGCTTCTGCAGCTCCGATTCAGCGGCGTGCCAGCTATGGAATGCCTTTTGCCGCTGACCGAATGCCGTCTTGACGCTGCCGATCAGCCGTATGTATTCGTCGATCGTGATGCCGAGCGTCAGCACGTCCTGCTGCGCCTGCCGCGCGTACAGCTCTTGTATGCGCACCTGTACGTCGCTGAGGCCCTGGAGGGGACCTGAAAAGTCCGGTGACAGCTCCACTTGTCCAAGGTTGCCGAGGCTCACGGCAAAGTCACCGGCTGCGTCTGCCAGGCCTTTACGCTGCACGACGACGGTATCGAGCGCCTTCATGAGGGATTTGAGCTGGTTCTCCAGCGCATCGAGGTAGATCTTGCGGTCGTGAAACCAATCATCGTGCTCGATAAATTTGCCAGAGGATGAGCCGCCAACGTTGATACCAATGCTGGACAACATCCCTTTTGACTGGCCTAGGTCCGGTTCGCGGGCCTCGCGGTTCTTGACATCGACGTTGAATGCCTCTGATTCGAGGAATATCTTCAGGTCCGCATCGTGGTGAAGAATGGTATGGGCGGCGATCTTGTTGAGCATGCGCTCTAGAGCTTGTCTACGGGACTCGACGAACTCACTGTCAAAGCGTCCGACAGCTTGCTTTTCGGGAGGTGGGGGCACGACGACGCCAGGGTTGTTGTTGTGTAGAGAGTTGTAGAGCCATAGAAAGTCGCGGTAACGTCGAGATACGGTAAATTCGGACTGTTTGTAGGCTTTACTGCTCGTTTTGGTGGAGACTTGGTAAACTACATGCGAGGATGTGAGGTCACCGACTTTGTGAGGGTCGCCAACAAGGATCTCGAAGGTGGGTTTGGCGGCCTGCTCCACAGACACGCTGGGTTGTGTGGAGCGAGGAGTCGAGACTGGGGAAGGCTGCACAGGCGGTGCGCGCTGCCGGCCTATAGGAAGGTTCAAAGCATCGTTGTCTGCGAGTTCGCCGGCAGGCCGACCAGGTCTTGCGCCTTCCTTCCGAGGTGGTGTGGGAGCCTGGTCGGCTGTGGGAAGTGAAGTTGCGGGCGCTGAGTCGCCTCCTAGAGGACCTAGTGGGTCAAAGGCATCACCCACACTCTCTAGACGTGTGGGCTGAGCGCCGACTTTGCGGGCAGGCACTTTTCGGCTGCCGCGGGGAGTGCTAGTGGAGGTAGAGGAAGGTTGTGGCTCTTTTGCAGCGGTTGAAGATGCTGTCAGTCCGTCAGATATTGTTCCCTCTTCTCAAGGGTTCCGGACGCACTTGTGGGTTCGTTTTCTTTCTGCGGACCAGATGTAGTATCAGCGGCGGACTTGGATGGGATGTCTGCGAGAGTCGTCAGCTTGAACACGAAGTACGTTGGCGCAAGAGCCTACCTCCCCACGGTGAGTCGTCCATATCGGCCGGGTAGTAAGCTCCTACGTGGAGCTACCAAGACGTGCTGCAAAAGATATGTGGCCGCGCTGCTACGAGCAACCAATGCAGCCTGGAGGAGGGACGTTGCGGCCGCGCGTGGCAGTTGGAGGGGCTTGGCGCAAGCGGGAACGGTGTTTCATTTGTCCGTGTATCAGGCAGTAAATATGCCCGAAGCATAGTCGTGCTTGAGGGAGAGCCTCACCTTGATTGATACAGTCTTGGTGGTTTATGGCATACATTATGCAAGAACGCAAACCTCAAAGCCTGGTACAAGATTACGGAAGGAGAGAAATGACCAATTTCGATAGTATACATTTTTTCAATACTAGGCTATTCGCTACAGGTTTTACTCCCCGAATCAGCTCACACCCCAACTAGTTTAACATGCGCGCGACTTCAGTCCGGGATGTCCATAACTGGAGCCTGTTCCATACCAGCGACAAGCATATTGTGCTGCAGTGGCACATTGCACTGCTCAAGCACGAGGCCGCGAAGTAGCATACTCAGCCATGCTGTCCAGGCGACATGTTGTGCGCCGAGCCGCCACGTCGGTCTCAGCATGGATCGGCAGAAGCTCTCCAACCCCATTCGCGCTGCTGCGCCAGGCGAGGTGCGAGTGGGATCTTGAAGGCATGGTACTCTCAGATCACTGGGAGCTAGATCATTTCTTCTTGCCCTTGCCCTTCTGCGGGGGCGCGTCCTTCTGTCGGATATCTTCCTGTCCATAGCTGCTGATCAGATCCAGCATACTGGCATCATCATCCCCAAAATCCCACCCATCATCAATCTCCTCGTTTTGTAATTTCGGCGCGGCCTTCTTCACTTGCGTTGGCTGCGGCGTATGCTGATCTGCTTGTGCGACACCTGTGAGGCCTTCGGAGCCAATCTCTCCTAACGATTCTGCGGCTGGGGGAGCCTCTTGCTCGAAGTCTTCCGCGTTTTTCTGTGCGTCAAAGGTGCGTCCGTATCTGGCTCTGAAGCCAGCCAGTCGTCCTGCTTCGTCGTCCTCCACGTTCGTCAGCTCTTTTGAGGAGGGATTCCACAAAGGCGCGTTGCGAGTGTCACGCGTGGAGCGATAAACGGGATGAGGAGATGTGGTGCGCAGGGTGAAGGCGCTGCCGTCCGAGAGCGTGATGAGCTGCGTGAAGGTGTATGGCCGCTTTGGTCTTCGGAGTAGGCGTGCATGGCGACATGATTGACAGATGTAGGTCGTAGATATGGATGATGACGAAGTGGATGAGGAGATGGGCAAAGAGGGAAGGTGTGATGGGCGCAGCACCGGTCGGAGGACTGTCGACATGGTTGGACTGCGTCGCAATACTCTGCGCAACCGCAACCAATTTTATCGAGCTTATTGAGTCGAGATGCAGCTCAGCGAGTAGAAAATAGTGCGAAAATGAGTCCGTGTCTGTTATGCTAGTTGTACGACCACGAATCTACAACACGAAAAAAGTGTCAGGGAGGTCGCAAACTAGGTCGATCCGAGAAGCAAAATGCCAAGACGGGCGGGATCCGTCTCAAGCCCAGGGTGGTTGGAAGATATAACCCAGCATTTTGGAGCTCCTGCATCAAGCCGAGCATCACCCCTCCATCATCAATTTGGTGAGCCAAACGCTCAAGCAGATTCCTTATGGGGCGAGCCAGCAGCTGAATTTGACCATGGATTTTCGCGGAGGAAAAGATCGGAGCCATAATGAACCTCACGGCAGCTACGCCTCTTCGGCTTGTTTCTAACCAGCTGGCTCGACGTTGCTTCTCTAGTCTGGCTCACAGGAGATCTACGCGGAGCAAAGGCGCCATCTCTTCCTATGCTTGCTCAAATCGCTCGCCGCAAAGCTCAACAGCGCGCAACAATGTGCCACGGTTTCGGAGCCGATCAACAGCTGCCCGAGCGCCAGACCTCGCAGACAGCGTACGCAAGTTGATGCGGCACGTCCCCCATCCCGTCGCCATAGTCACTGCAGCACCAAAAGCGACATCACAAGCTACAGCCAAACCATCTCGTTGGCGTGGCGCAACCATCTCATCCTTCGTCACCGTAGCCCTGGATCCCGAACCCGTCGTATGCTTCAACATCAAGCACGACTCGTCCACCTTCGCCACCCTGACATCGTCTGCGACCTTCAACGTCCATCTGCTCAGCTCCAGTCCTGATGCGGAGACTATCGCAACGAAATTCGCCAGCGGGAATGCCTTGGAACCATTCCATGATGGTGAGGGAGAGCTGGAGTGGTGGGTCAGAGAACCTTCGTCAGATGAGGGTGTGGCTCCTGTGATTCACGGCATGAGGGATGAAGTTGAGGCGGAGGGTACAGCGCAGGACAGCGTTGTGACCTTCCGCTTAACGTGCGCCTACATGGCGGATAAGACTGTGGCCGTTGGCGATCACGTCGTTGTGTTCGGGCGAGTAATTGCAGTCAGCGACGGTTCAGACCTGGGACATCCCGAAGCGAGCACTCGGGCGGCGTGTCTGCTGTATGTCGATGGCGGCTACGGGCGGACGGCGGGTCGGTAGCAGCCCTTCGGCCGTCATTTCCGTATTTGTTACATATTAGTGTACAATATATTTCAGTCATGTTCTAGCTTCCCTCCGCTAATTTCATGATCCGGCCCTTCAAACCAGTCTGTTCGGCAAAACCACTCCCGAAGAACTTCATGCCCAAACCACGAGCACCGCTCACCACATTTGACATGATGCCATCGCCTGTGCCAAGCTGGTACATCCAATTCAGCGCGTCCACGCCTCCACACATAAGAAGTCCCTTCCCGAATCGGTCGCCGCCGTAGCGTTCCAACGCCATACTGTCGCCTATGTCCATGCCGTGCTCCACGCAGTATGCGACCGTCTCCGCGAGAGATCTGGCATCCGCCAGTCCGAGATTCAGACCTTGGCCAGCGAGTGGGTGGACTGTGTGCGCAGCATCGCCAATAAGTGCGATCCGTGGACCAGTCAGTGTTGTCGCATGGCGGAACCGGAGCGGAAAGGATGCCACGGAATTTTCCTGCACTGACAGAACTCGGGGCAGCAACGTCAGCCCGTGTTGGCCCACGACATGTTTTTCTCTCCATTGAAATTCGTCCAGAAGCGTGATCGTGGACCCATTGTCTTTGTTGAGCATAAAGGTCAAGTCAGTCTGCTCAAGCAGCAAGGCAGCATTGACCATAGCCACAAATTCTTCTGCAGACAGTGACTTCAAAAATGCGGCGTTTGCAGGGGTTGTTGACCACACCAAAGAAGCGTGGCCATTAGGCAGAGGGAGAATGGCAATAGGGCCTCCTAGCTTTGGTAGGAAGCGCTGATAGGCGACTACTGCGCCAGCGTCTTGCAGAACTTCTGAATTGGCGACTTTTATGGTTGCAACGACACCATGTCGATTGTAATCCCAGCCGTGAGAATTGATGCCGGCAAACGCCCTCACCGGGCTGTTGAATCCGTCAGCTCCTACCAATAGTCGAGCCGCAATTCGGGAAAGGTCTGAACTGTCGGAGGAGGATTGCAGAGACAATACTGGCCAGTTGGAAAGGTCTAGCCCCTCTGAGTCATCCTCGCCCATCTGAATTGAGGAAACTTTGGTGTTGGAAAGCAGGCTATCAAGGGCTCCAAGTTCTTCAATGCGCTTCAACAAGCCGGCTGTCAGGTTAGCATTCTCGGTCATGGTGGCTACACTTCTCGGGGAAGCATTGTAGCGCTGTGCGTCGGCCTTCCAGTCGAATTGTATGGAGGCGTCGTTGCTAGCATCCCAGACTTGCATCGCGTTGTAGGGTTGAGTGCGATCTGGATCGACGTGGGCCCAGGCGCCAGAATTCTCTAAAAACTCGACAGAAGAGGGCGTCAAGCTGCTTGCCCGATTTGAGTACTGTTGAGATGGGAGTGTCCATTGAGATTGCTTGGCCAGATCCTGGGTCTCGATCAGGGCGGTCTTCAAATGGCTGGTCTTCGGTGACGATTCTGCATATTCCATTAGTAGACTGAAAAGTGATATTGACAGGCATACGGACTCAATGCCATCAGAAGCGCGAGTCCAGCTGGACCACCACCAACAGCGACAACATCATAGATGTCAGGTGAGGTCGAGGCGTATCTCTTCAGGCCGCTCCGCCTTGCCACCCGACAAGCAGAGCATATGTATGTACTCACACGCTTAGCAGACCTCACCTGCATATTAAAGACAGTCGCAACAGTTCTTCCCGATGAAGTCGAACAGTGCGCGATGATGGTCCAAGGTTGATTCCGGAACCTGGGGCTTTCCCAACAGCGTCTAGCGCATCATTTCTTGGCAAGTTTGCGCCCGTCGCAACATCAAAAGTCGGCACCCGCGGCTTCGTAGATCTGCACTTTTGCTCGTGTACCTGGATCTGGTGCCCTACTAGATTCTTTGATGGCCCAACTTCGCTGGTCAGTTCGCAGATGAGTGGTGTGTCGGCCGCATGCTGCACGCGCCAAGAAGTCGTCGTGATCACGGCTGCTTTGCAGGTTGTGCGTGCGTGCGTGTTCGTGTGATGGGAAGCTTGTTGAGCATTGAATTTCGCTAGCTCAGCTCTATCTGTTACAGTCCGTGGACAATTATGCAGCCGCAATTACGCATACTCGACTCTTCACGTAAAGGCAGAAGTACGGATACAACGCTTGCTGCTCCGAGTGATCTAGATGGCATGGAGACTTTGTCGTCGGCCCGGACCCGCCTCGCCTCAATGCCACGCCACATAGTATCTATACGAAGCGAGCAATTGCACGTGGCAAACAGCGTATCCGTGAACATATTTCCGGTCTCCAACTCGTGTCGAGCTCGAGGTACCTGAATAGCTGACTCGAGATGACTCGCGGGCCCCTCACGTGACCGGTAGCTTGAATCAAGCGAGCTCCTTCAACTGGCTGGGTCGCTCATACCTGCATACGAATATGCACCTAATACCTCGCGTCCTAAGCTTGCACCATTTCAAGGGGCTTGCACAGTGACATCGAGATTGTCGCTGTAGTCTGGGCGATTTCCTGCAAATTGGACTCCACGGCAATCCAGTTTTGCTTTCTAGATAAGGAGCTGGCCATTCTGACTTCATGATGTCGTCCACCACCTGGAATCAAGCTTCCTCGCCAAATGATGTTGGGCGCCACCGAAGACCTCGAGCAACTGGCTGAGACCTGTCTGGCCACGGCGAAAGTCATCAAGGATCATCTTTCAAAAAATGGCCACCCTCAGATGAGCTTTGATGAGAATGGGCCACCAACATTTCCAGAAGTCCCGCCGAACATCCAGTACGCACGTCTCACCCTTAGGGAATCCGCTCAGCGTCTGCTTGACCTTGTTGCTGGTCCTGAGGAGAATGTCGGCTTCTACAGCTACTACATTGTAAGCTGCGCGCCGACATCCCGCTGCTCTTCTAATTATGACAGGTTCACGACTTGAATGCGTTTCGCTACGTCCACAGATACGGCATTGCCTCAGCTATTCCGTTCAACGACACCATCACCTACAATGACCTTGCACGAAAGTGCGACGTCGATGCAGGCCAGTTGAAGCAGATGCTGAGACAACTTATGCAACTCAGAATATTTCGAGAGTCCGTCCCGGGACAGGTCGGCCATACAGCTGCATCGAAGCACCTAACTCATCCAGGGGCATTGTACTTCAATCAGTATTGCTCTATTAACGCTTTTGACTATGTTGCCAAACAGATTGACGCCTTGGAGAGATGGGGACATGGATCACAGGAGCCCAACCAGGCAGCTCTAAACTACGCCCACGACACAGACAAATCTATGTACGACTACTATGAAGAGAATGGGGAAGTTCGGGAGCGATTCAGCAACCTCATGACTTATGTTTCCAAGATGGACGCAATGTCGAATGCTTATGTCGCAGCAGGCTTCGATTGGGCAGCTCTGGGCGAAGTAACCATTGTCGATGTTGCTGGGAATATGGGGCATTGCAGTGTCCCAATCGCCAAAGCCAATCCAAAAGCAAAGATCATCGTCCAAGATCTGCCAAATATCATAAAGCGCGCGAAAGATCCGGAAACCTGTGTCGTACCTAAGGAGCTCCGTTCAAGGTTCGACTTTATGGCTCACGACTTCTACGACCCACAGCCAGTCAAGGTTGATGTCTTCTTCGTAAGGATGATCATGCACGATTACTCGGATGAATACTGCATCAGAATCTTGAAACCACTTGTGGCTGCATTGAAGCCTGGTGGGAGGATCATGATCATGGACTCGATCTTGCCTCCAGTTGGAGGCGCACCGGCACCAATCGAGCGCTTCTTGCGAGCCCAAGATCTCCAAATGTTGGTGTTGACCAACGCCAAGGAGCGAGACTCTGAGCAGTGGAATGATTTGATCAAGGCTACTGATCCCGGACTAAAAATCAACAGCGTTACTCTCCCACCCGGGAGTGCAATGGCAATGATCGAGGTCATTCTGGAGGCCAAAGCACATGGCCAGGCCGCCAAAGTGCGAAGCAATGGACGTGCCTGAAAGGCAGTTGAATTCACACTCTCCTCCGCACCTCTTGGCAATTGTGCTGCTGATCTTGGTCTGAGTTTCGACTCACTACAGACACACTCTCGTTGAGAGGTGAATGATTGACCTTCCGGATCCGAGTGCAGTGAATGAGCCTCACTCTCCGCGCTACTTGAGCCCCGACCTGGTCTTCTTCGTCTCCTTCTTACTTCTGCGTCCACCCAGAAGCTGGAGTCTTCTTGAATTCTTGCTTCCACAACAGACCTTGCCCATGCCTTCTCCGCAGCCTCCTGCTCGAGGGCTCCGAAAGGAGGAGATCAAGAAGGGATATGTCTTGTGGCTGCCAATTGAGGCTAGAAGCCTGGACAAGGTCGCTTACGACCGGTCTGGCCTGCACATCGAAGCCTGTGATCATCCAGTCTTAGTCATTGATACCTTGGACCCCTCTCACGATCTCGTATGGGTGCTCATCGTAAGTACACCGAGTCCACGTTGGCAATCATCACTGATTGATGCAGATGACTTCCAAATACAGTTCATACCACAAGAGATTCCCAATTCCACCACACGAATGGGCAAGCGGCACGATTGGCATAGAGAAGGTCTACGAAGTATCGCTTGCAATGCTAAGGCCAGAGCGCAATGAGCCAGGGCCCGGAGATTACCAGTTCGACGGACGCGCAATGGAGGGAGTCATAGAAGCAGCGTCTTCGGCATTGAAAAGCATGGCTGCCACATCTCACGCCCTCAAGATCTGCCCGAGGTGTCCTCTTCTCTCCTGCGAGAAGCAGACTACTCCAGCAACAGACTCTAAAAGAATCACCGATCACCAAGACTACGGTATCAAGTCTGCAACGGACGGGGAGTCCTTAATTTCCACTGCAGCTTCGGTTTCAGCTTCTACCGCGAGCTCCAGCGCAAAGCTAACAGACGCTACGATGTCGCAACCGAAGTCAGCCCCCTCTGAAGCACTTTTCAGCACCATCACCAAGCTCTCGGAGCCGGCCACTGTTGCCAATTCGCACGTTACATCCTCAAGCTTGCGTAAGGCGCCTGAAGTCATTGCGATCTCCGAAAACCTCACAGGTGCTGAGAAGTCTCTAAACAGCATTGCCTCGCACTCCGCAGGCACGACACCAAAGGTAGTCTCAATCAATCCTCAGCCGAGATCTTCGCGCGACAATATGATGGACGCAAAGTCAGCACTTGCTGCGCTAAAGGCTGGAGCCAGGAGGTTCGAAACGAAGCGCTCATTCATGGCCCGGACAACAGGCTTGCCTAATCATATCAAGCCCGGTGCCATCCTGTGGAATTGTCCTGGCCTGTATAAGGCTAACGACCAGCCTCTCCTGCATCGCCAAGACGTCAAGGACCGGCCGTGCGTCGTGTTGTTTCCGTCAGAGACGACAACCCTCGTCTACATTCTGATAGTAGGTCCTCTGATCGATGCAACAGATCCCAGGTTGGCTGACCTTGTGCAGATGACCACTTTCGCTAGCAAGCCGCTCAATGAAGTTCAGGGTATCAGCGAAGCTGAGAAGTTAAACTACCTCCCCGTTGCCAAGAACGGCCATGCTCCTTCCACCGATGTTCTAGCGCTGCATATTGCTCAAGGCAAAATGTTGCCTGGTAATCGTACCAGCTACGTCAACACTAACCGAATCGAAGCCGTTCCAGCTCATTGGCTGAAAGTCATGAACGAAGGCATGCGCTACCTCACCGCGGCATCTCATGATGTGGTCGTAAGAATCACGGAACGTGTCTGCGCCAGAAATGCGGCTGTTGCTTCCCTTGAGCGCTGCGACGTAGCCCGTCCTGATTGTGGAAAGAAGGAGCCTCAATCGAAACAGCAAATATTGGCGCAGACTCCTTCCACCCCTACATCATCGGACCTCCGAAGCCAGCCGTCTACTTCGGCTTGGACGACCTCAGTCCCGGCGCAAGTCCAGGTCTCGGCAACCTACAATCTGGCTACCAAGCTACCCGCGCAGACCCCAAGTACGCCATCTCGCTCTGCCGTCACTCAGTCCTTCGTTGCTCAGGCAGCTGGTTCGAACAAGCTTAACATAGAGTCAGACGAGGAGGTTGTTTTCAAAGGTCGCAACGAAATCGAAAATAATCCTCGCTTTTGCCTGTGCAACCGCCAGCAAGGAATGTAGGACGTTACCTAGACGCACGTTTCCTCTAAGAAGCTCGCTCGCCAGCGAAGAACCAGCTGCTGGAGGCTCCTCTTCTCTCCTAGAAGCTTTGTTCCTTCGCAGCTCTTGGTGGTAAAGCCGAGGCTGATACACCAGATACCAGGGTGCTGGGGGACGCATCGGGAAGCAGTGATGATGGAGAATCAAAGGCGAGGGGCTGATATGGTGGTTGCAGACATGGATATTTGCCTTTCTAGCGAGAAGCTCGCGGGCGAAATGCATGGGCATGAAGCAATGAGTGATGCTTCCAAACATGTACATTCTATCGGACGGTCTCCAGATAACTGTGGCTAAGCGGAGGACGACTTGCTCATTACGAGAAGACCTAGCAGGAGGGAAGATAGTTGCTCGCGGGCATAAAGGCGGACAGAATGAACGGTGCTTAAAGACGGTTTGCGAGAGCAGGAACGAGGTGGTCTGGGGTGGAGCGGCTTTTGAGAAAGCGGCCAATCGGCTTTCTCGATATAGAACGTCTAAGACAACGTCGACCACAACTCTCAATCCCTCCTCTCAGTAGACATCCTACATGAGATGAGATCGATGCATCGTAGCAGGCGTCCTGGTCAACATGAGCTGCGGATCGCTGCTACATGTATCGTCAAGACTGGCTAGCTGGCTGGCTGCCTTCAGCAATGCCTCCATTATACAAGCTCCAAGATCACAAGGGTGATCTGGGCATATCCGGTAAGTCATCACCGCTCGCTTCACGTCTTTGATCACCAGACTTCGGATCGTCGTGGTCGGGAAGTCTTCATTTAACTCAATGGAAACATTCCTCTCCGTTTTGGAGCCATAAGCTTCTACCATGGGGGACTCTGATGTGTTTCCGCGCCAATACATCGAAACAGCCTCTCAAACTAGCCGACGGATCGATCTTGACCTGTGGAGACTTGGAGAAGTCCGAAGGAGTCATGTTCGGGACTTTCCCGCAATGTTCTGCCTCCGATTGACGCAAATGGTGGGCTCGGACCAGAAACCGATCTGCGACGGTAAGGGGAAAAGCCGATTCGACGAGGCATCGGTAGCGATGCAATGCCTGGGAAAGTCGAGACGAAGAAAGTGTTGGTGGGCGGATCGGCGCTCGAGATCGAGCATGAGCCGGTCAGAAGAATGAGAAAGGCTGAAAGCAGCACTGGCCCCCCCAGAGCCGACAGTGACTGATCTTGACTGTGCCGCCCAGTGGCGAGTGTCAAAGACAGGCACGATGATACTGCCCAGTCAGTCCTGTCTCACGCACAGATGAGGCTGACTTCAGGCTGCATGCTTGATGTACGCTTCTTTTGCGAATCAGATTGCTAATAATTCTTTCTGCCTTGGCCGTAGGCCGTACAGTGAAGGGCGCCTCGATGCTGAATGCCTTAGACACGCCGCATCAATCCATACCGACTTTCTTGTCTACGACAACTTCTTATTTTCCGGCTAACCCATCCTGTTGGAAACTCTCACGATGACTTTAGATCGTTTGGGCCGCGAGAGATGGCATCCTGTTGAATCTTCCATCATCAAGTTCGGTCTAGTGCTATGGCTGCACCCTGACGCCAACATCAAAGCTCGCGCGGCCTTCAAGGAGTCAGGTCTGGACCCACCTGCACTTGATCACCCTGTGCTAGTCGTCAGCAGTCTCGACGATAACAGCAAGACACTGCTCGTTTGTCTGGTAAGTGTGTTCCCAAGGTGGGCCAATAGAGACTGACCGGGGTAGATACGAGGCCGAAAGCAGCTTTGGCGTGGCGACATGGAAGTGGATTCTACTGCAGTCAACAACGGTAAATTGCGGCTTGACACAACAACAGAGATCTTGCAATTTGTGAATGATGGAGCAATGCGCAAGAGATGCTATGTGGAGACGGCAAGGGCGTACAAAGTCCATCTGGATATGCTCTCAACTTTGAAAGGGCCCCCACGAGTCCTTACCCTGCGGTCTATGGTATTGTTCATGGAGCGAGCGGCGCCAGCCCTCGAGTTCTACCAGCATCGTCCTCAAGGCCCTCTACATCCTCGGACAAAGCGTCGGTACGACGGGCTCGCTCACAACTCTGCCTGTATGGTTGGGGAAGGCCAGGTAGTCTGGTACGGATCATCAATCGAAGACGAGAATTATATGGTCGAGGCACATTCCACGGCGTTGAAAAGTGTTCATCAGTCTCACCCGCAAGGAATGTACCTGGTTCAAGACGCACGCACGAGTAACACATTTAGAAGCATCGTGTACGCCTGGCCGGTGAGTCTTGTCGTCCATCTGTCGAGAACAGTAAAGTCTTACGAGAGATGCGCAGATCTTTGCCCTCGGCTCCGGAGAACTCCATAACATCGAAGGCATGGACTGGTACTGGAGACACTTCTTCGTGCCCCTGGGCTTCGACGGCAACTCTACCTGCCTGGCCAAGAAGCCCCTGACCTTCCTCAACCCCGAGATCCTACGAGTTCAGCGAGAGCGCTGTGTCGTTCGACTCAGCAGTCTCTGCGTCCTCGATGCCTCGCTGGTAATACCGGCCTCGGATCGAGGAAGACTGTTCCGCCGTGACGGGCAGTCCCTTGAAAGACTGCGGCCCCTGCTTGAAAAGGCGGGGGATGCAGTCAGACCCCCACGATGCGGCTGTAAGGCTGCGTACCTCCTCAGCATGTCGAAACCCTCGGTTGAGGAGAATCAATCCTCTTCCGTCAAGACGATCGAGGCGCCCGCAGAGGATGAGCCTCCTCCGCCTGCGCCTGTGAGGATGCTTGAGCAGCTGGAGATGTGGCTCCTCAAGGTCGCGCGCTTTCTCGTGCGCTGCGCCTTTTGTGTCGGCCACTGCCTGCGAGCATTGCAGGGATTCTGGGTTGGTCGTGATGGCGAGTAGGGGGAAATGAGAACAATGGCTGCTGCTCCATTGGCTAGCATGCACAGGCGAGGACTGGCGCAACACATTGACCTACGTGATCACGAAAGCAAATCGATATTGGCAAGTTAGAGCTTCGGGTGGCAGGACGGTGGTTGCGGTCGATGCGCCTTGAGCATGGTGAGGAAGTTACTGGGGACGGAAGACAGAGATAAGATGGACCAAGAACATGAAGTAATCGACCACTCTTCCTCAACAAGTTATTTCGCTCTCTACTCACACGTCATACGGAGTCAAAATCCATGGGTCGAACGAATTACTGAAGGGATGATTGACGAACCAAGCTCGACCCTCTCGCGAGGGGATCCAGTGCCCATCTTCCCACCAGGACAACTCACCGTCTGACAGAGAGGAACTTAGCCCAGCCGCGAGACGCGGGGACTGGACCCTCCATCGACCAACTTCTCACCACGAGATACGTCCTCCGTGGTCTCATAAGCAAATAGTGCCCGTTTCTCCCTGATTAAACATACTGTGTAGTGGCTTCGAATTGGCCGCTGTCTAGCCTGGGCCTACCCTCTTTTTATCAAAACCATTGCAAACACCTAACGCCTCGCTGTCTTGCCTTCAATGTTGTACAGCGCTCATACCTGGCGAGCATCCGTGGCACTGAATCTCGAAGTCTTTTGAAGCGATCCGTAATCTGTGTCCACGGAACCGCAAGATCACCTCGTACGGGGTATCCGGGGTCATTCCTCGTACATCAACTCCAGTGTCTTCCCCACAGATTTGGCAGCTTCCATCATCTCGTCGACCTCGCGAAACTCCTTCTTCCAGAACTCATGAGTCAACTGGTCGTCCTCTTTGGTCCACCTGTCGCGCAAAAGCTGGTCAATGTAAGGCGAGCATAATCCAGCCTCAATATAAGATTGCGGCTTGGGCCACTCGAGGCTAGCAGCCCACTCTTCAGCCTCTCGCATTTTTTCGATCTCTTCTTCGGTCTGTTCATAGGCCTCTTGCATCTGCTGGCGCCCATCGTCCAAGATGCCAGAAGTAAGAGTATTACTGGGAGAAGAAGATCTGGATCTCGCAGGCTCAACGTTGGACAGACGAGATGACTGCTTGGGTTTATATTGCTGGGCCTCCTGCCGAGCTTTGTGGAGACGTTCGTCCGCATCTGGTAGGGAAGCGTGGGGAATTTTCGGGGCACTAGGCACAGTCGCAGGTTGGGAAAGCTCCTCCTGTGTTGGAGTGTCATCACCGTCTGGTACGCTAAAGTGACCATCCGGGTTCGTGATGACCTGATGAGATGGAGTTTCTGTCCCAGGTGTTCTGTCCCACCAAGGCTTATCGCCTCCCAGATTGAGCTGATTCGTAATCTTATTCCGATACGTATTGTTGTAGGTGCCCTCTTGGTCGATCTGGGATGGTGTGGTAGTCGATTGCGTGTCCAACGAGATAGCGCTGGTGTTGCTGAAGGCGTTGTCGTCTTCTGGAGTGTAAGGCCCAGTATACGTAAACAGGCTTCCGTTGTACTGACCAGCCGGGCCGAAATCAGGCCATACTTCCTTCGTGGAGGTGAGGGAGGAGCTGAAACCAACCTTCTTTCCTGGGTTGGGTTTGGACTTCATTGCAGAGCGTAGCTTCTGGCCTGAAAGAAATTGTCCTCTCCTCGAAAACGATGGCTCGAAATTGTCCAGACCAGTGCCGGTTGGAGTTTTCGTCGGTGGTTCCTCAACTGGGAGTCGAGGGTATTGCACCGACTGTCCATTATTTTCTTCATCATCTTCTTCGTCACTGGAGATCTCTAGTTCCGCATCGGTAATACCATACGAGCCCGTGACCCTACCGTTTTCATCAGCGTTCAGCATCACCTTCTTGGGAGGTCGATCCTCGGTTGCCGTATCGAGTTTCCTCTTGTTCGTGCCAGTCACTTGCGTGGTCTGCAGTTCATGATCATCCTCAGGAGGCGAATTCTCAGAGCCCTCAACTGTCGGCTGTTTGGCAGTTGAAGATGCTACGTCGTCAGTAGTCGTCTCAGATGATTGTCTGGCAAGTCGTGCTAGTCGGGATATCTGTGCGGCACGTCGGGGCGCGATTGGGGCAGCTTCGAATGGATTTTGCTGCGGAGTAGGACTTTCGCTTCCTCGAGTGAAACCAGGGCTGTCGGTGCTGCCACCAAAGATAGTCTTCCTGATGCTGCCAAAGAGGCGGCCAACAATCCCTTGTGATTTTGTCGGAGTGTCAATTACAGGCTGGCTAGTCTCCTCCTCGGGTTTCTCTGGCTCTTGTGGTTTGGCAATGGAGGCTTGGACGTCGAGCGCACGGGCTGCAAAAGGATTCTCGGCTCTGTAGGGTTTTCTGGCGGACTGCGAGGCGGCAATCCTGCGATTTCGAGATATCGAAGCATTCTTTCGCCCGGGAGTGAGCTGACTACGGCCATGGGCAGGATCGAAGAGGAAGGTAGAGCGGGCTCGCGGCTCGGTGTTGACGCGTTTCATGGATCGTTCATCGGCCGTATCATCGTCATGGTCTTCGTGTAGACGCTTCCGGGGAGTCTTCACTGCTGTGGGCATTTTTAGAGAAGTTTGGGACTTCTGGATCCTAGGCTTACGCTTGGGAGTTGGGAGTTGTTGATAACCGCCCTCGGGCGGGCCAGCGGCGCGAGTACGAGGCATCGCGGCACTGTAGGTTTTCAAGCAGAATACTGGGAGTTTCCGTTCGGAGGTTCGTGCGGGACGGCCTAGAAGTAGAGACACTAAGTGACACGAAGCGAAAGAGGTGAACAGCGCGCAGTGGAATTGACTAGTAAAATATGTCCAACTCAACTGAGAACGACCGGCATTGACAATAAGTTGCGGAGGCCTCCTGGCACCTTTGTTTGCACAAGGCTGCGTAAGGCTAAGATTAGGGCTTGGCGTGTTGAACCTCTTTGTCGTTGCCAGCATTGATTCCGCAGGCCGACGACCCTGTAGACTTGCAGACACGCTGAGGCTCGCTTAGGGCTAGACAGAGATCTTCTACTATTGCTTCACCGATATACAGAACTGAATACGATTACGGCCAGCCGCGAACACCTGCAGTGGTCTCTTTCGGGCAACATCCCCGTCCGTTTTCGCTACCGTCGATCAGCCTGGACGTGGTTTCCTTGATCTTCTCTTGCGCTGCAGTCGCCACGTCACACAGACATGTGCGACGATCCACGGCTGCTTGCTGCTCTACAAGTCTAGATGTTACGCCGAACAGGTTTGCCGAGTAGCCCTAGAATAGCGACGTGGCCGCTTATACCCCAGATCAAGAGACTCAGCTAGCACTACAACCATACGGAGCCCTCATCTAGCGCCTACTTCGGCCTTGTCGCTGTTCTCGACCTGGCACACCGAGAATCACAGCTACCAGAGCCTCAAGCCACCAACACCTACGCAGCGCAACTACATTCTGATTGGTCGATCCGGGGCCCATGCAGCATTCAGCTCGCCACGAGACTCTCTCCCATTGCCAACATCAATCCCCGAGATAGGTAAGGATGAATCAGCCATTGAATACTGCGGCATCGCCGTGCCGCGTCCTGGACCTTGGCCTACCAGTGGCTCCTCTCATACGGCTGTTAGGGCCGTGTATATTCTAGGCCTTCAGCTGTTTGTGTCGCTTAGCCTCGCGTGCGAAGACTTGCCAGAAGAAGCCCCTTGTACAGCCAGCCTTGTTGCTGCATTGAGAGCACATTCTACGGTACCGACGATATATTAAAGGTAGGCAATGCTCCAGGTAGGTGACAATGGCACCAGTTCTTCCCAGCAAAATGATCTTCAATATCTTTGAATTCATCTGTGCATTTCTCGATTTGGCCACAGGCCTGCGAGATACGCCCTTTGGGCAATTCTTGCGCCTGATAGGCTTCAAATCGTATCTTCACTATCCAGAGGAGATATACAACTTCCAAGCACCTTCCTTCTCGACTATATCTGCCAACGACAATGCTGTCGATGAAGAACCTAAGCTCGATCTAGAGGCCAAAAGGACCATGTCCAGGAACTCATATGAGATCAGCATCAGAGAACCGGAGACCATCCGCCGCCTCTCGTCCAAGAACATTACGACAGCCTCTCTTGTCACATGGTATTCGGAGGATGACCCAGAAAATCCTCGCAACTGGAATGATCAAAAGAAAAGTTGGGTGATCATTGTCATGACCCTCTATACATTTGTGGTCTACTGCACCGCTTCGATCATTACCCCTACCGCCGAATACGTGATGCAGCAATACAACGTCTCGATCGAGGTCGCCAGCCTCGGACTGTCACTCTACGTTGTCGGATACGGTGTCGGGCCGATGTTCTTCTCACCAATCTCAGAGATCCCATTCGTAGGACGCAACCCTCCCTACATCTGGTCTTTCGTCGTCTTTTTCCTTGTCAGCATAATCATCGCAGTCGTTGACAATTTTCCCGCCATGGTCGTCCTCCGCTTTCTACAGGGATTTTTCGGCTCCCCTATTCTTGCTTCGGGCGGAGCGACCATCGAAGACATCTACGATCCCTACTCTGCCCCTTACGCCTACATCTGGTGGATAGCCGCCATGTACTGCGGACCTGCCTTTGGGCCTCTCTTCCCTGCCTGGGCTGTCGCATCCGACTGGCGCTGGGCTTTGTGGATAACAGTCATCATGGCCTCAGTCATATTCGTCCTGCTCCCTTTCATGCCCGAAACCTCACCGACAACTATCATCCTACACCGCGCCCGTCGTCTCCGCCTCGCCACGGGCAATCCGTCCTACCTCGCCCCCAGTGAACTGAAGCCTCTAAACCTCGGAACCACTTTTAAACTCGCTCTCAGCAAACCCGGAGAAATCACGATCAAAGACCCAGCGATCGCCTATGCCTGTATCTACGGAAGTATCATATACGGCACCTACTATTCATTCTTCGAGGTCTTCCCTATAGTCTTCCTGCAGCACTACAAGATGTCTTTACATGGCCTAGGACTAATCTTCACCGGAAGCATCTGCGGCGGTTGCCTTATTGGCGTCATCATCTATTACAAGTGAGTTACAACCCTATCTATCCTCAACCTGCCAGCACATTCCCATGGCGCCCTCGTCGCGCCCTTCCAAATCTTCCGCTCCAACCATGTTCCCCGACGCCTGCGGCGTCACTGACATGCCCCTCCAGCTACATTCGCCATTACTTCATCCCCCGCGCGCGCCACATCCTGCACGTCAGCGGCCAAGCCGTGCCTCCCGAAGCCTGGCTCCGTCCTGGCCTCATCGGCGTCTTCGGACCGCCCGTGGGCCTGTTTCTCTTCGCTTGGACCGCCAAGCCATCCATCCATTGGATCGTGCCGACGGTGGGGATCGCCATCTTCGCCGCAGGCAGTTTCGTCGTCTTCCAGGGCCTGATCTGCTACATTCCGCTCGTGTACCCCAAATACGTGGCCAGCTTGTTTGCGGCCAACGACTTTGCGCGAAGCATGTGCGCGGCGGCCATGGTGATGACGTCGAGGTACATGTACGAGAACCTCGGTGTGGCTCGTGGTGTGACGCTGGTGGGCGGGCTGAGTGTGTTTGGGGTGGTCGGCCTGTGGGTTCTGTGGTGGTATGGAGCCGGTTTGCGGGCACGGAGTCGTTTTACTGGTGACTGATTTGATCGACTCTGTGTGAACTGAGCACGGACCTGGTATACGCTGTCATCGCAGCCAAAGCCACTTGGGAAGAACGAGGTGCAGCGGCGTTTCTTGATTCATCGCGTTCGGGCTTGGGAGAAGGCAGACCTTGGGTTGGGGGCTATCTGGCAACCTTATTTAGAGAGATGAATATCGACGCTTCTTGCGTGCACCAAATCAAAGTCCAATAGCCAGATCTATGACCCCTTTCCGACAAAGCTGTCGCCGCCGACACTTACTACGGGAAGCCCGATTTCTGGTGGAATTTGAACGTAAATTGGTGCTGTAGTGGTTGCCCTCACCGTCATATCAACACGGTCGTTCGGCAGCGCCATGTTGTCGCTGCTACGCCGCAACACGATGCCCATTGATTCGATGGAAAGGTACGTCTCGCTATCGCCTCCAAAATACCATTAGGCCTGCAATGAATCGCGCCCCAGTCCCCGGCGAAGTAGCTCGAAATAGTGCCAGCCAGATAGTGCTGGCCGGCTCAGAGCTAGCGAATGCGAGAGATATACATATATACCGGTAGGGAGCCAAAAAATGAATGGTCGTTGCTAAATGCACGGCAACTTATCTTGGCATCGAATGACAGGATGGAGGGAAGGGGCCCGGGCCGGCACGACGGGAAGGCTGGATGGCTCGCAAATCCCTAAAGGGGGCGACGAAAGCCAATTGAGTATCAGACCATGGCTTGCAGCAAGTAACAAAGGTTTTGTGGACGTGGTGTGATATGCAAGCACGCCGGTTCTCTATTTGGGTATCATCTTCCGGGCTGTTCTTGCCAGCCAATGCTATATTCCATGCTTGCGTGTCTCCATCGCCTCACGGCTCTCTCCCTCTCCCCGTAGCCGATGGTGTGGCACGTTGGCTGGTACCTATATGCCGGGTCTTTCCGGCGGGTACGTCCAGCGCACGTTCTTCACCCACGGGCATCCCTCGGTTATAATCATCATATATTCATAAGTCGTGTCGTTGTATTTTCCAATGCGGAGGCCTTTTCCCCCACATATCCTGTCCCTTCGCTAAACGCTGCAATCCGTAGAAAAAAGTAGGGTATCGACTGAACAGCTGAACAATCTTGAAGAGAGCATGGACACAGAGATCTTGCGTCATTTGTGTCATTTGCGTCCCCTATAACGCCTTAGCCACTGCCAGCAACCCAACGAGCGCCAGTTCGGCAGTGTTGTTCGCTGGCTTGGAATTGTAGATCTGCTTGGCCTTCTGCCACTTCGTCTTCTTTGGCTTCTCATGCCCTTCATCTTGCACAGATCGTGAGGATGGAGGCACACTTGAGCCTTTCCGACCGGACTCACGCTTGACCGACCCGGAGCGCAAGGCACCACCATGGCCCCAAGTCTCGGCACGGACTGGGTGGGACGGCCGGGGTGGATCAGCCGTCGGGGGTTGGTAGGTATACCTGGGTGGCTCGTAGTCGCCTGGCGGAGGTGAGAATTGCTGCTGTGGCTGTTTGGCCACAGCTGAGCCCAATGTTGGCGACTGTGGAGGTAGAGCAGGGTGCACGTAAGGACTTCGGTAAGGTTGAACTTGCTTCTGCTGTGAAGAGTTGTAGTAACTAGATGGCGGGAATGTCGAGTGTCTTATAGGCCGTACTGCGTGGGGGTGGTATGAAGACTCGCCCTCGCTATACGGATCCTCGTCATCATATCGTGTTGCTACCGGGAGATACTGTGCGGAGCTATGTCGCCGCTGCTGTTCATTTGGCATCGGCGGGTAGGCCATCTTCGTATTGGCGTACATATCTGGTTGATGTTGTTGGTGATAAGAAGCTGGCCGTGTGTGCGGGGGCTGGTCGCTCTTGGAGTAGCGGCTAATGTCGAGATCATCATAGGAATCGGCGCGATGGCGATGATGATGTTGGTGACGATACGGAGTGTGGCGCGAGCGAGGCCTTGTATAATAATCGTCGTAGTATTCTGAAGGCCGGGGCCGAGAGTGGGAGTGGGAAGATTCGGAGCGGTGAGGCATGCTGGGCGCGAAAAAGCAACGCTAGAAAATTTGGGGGAAGATTCCGTTTGGCGGTCGCAGATGGGGTTTCAGACACATCTGCAAGGATGCGATGCGCCCCGTTTGCTTTTTGTTCACGAGCCAGGTCATGAAGGTGTTGAAGATTGTGAATTTGCAAGTGCACGGCCGATGCCTTTCATATGTGAGCATTCCACGTCAGTACCCAGACCGCCGAGCCAGGACAAGATCGTGGCAACCTCCAGCAAAGCCGTGTAGCCGTTTGCCGCGCCTCGTGAATATCTTCTCCGCTCCGCGCCAGGCGCTTCGACGCAGTGGCCCAGGGTTCCATCGACGCACATGCGGCCCCTTGGCGTCGGTAGCCTTGCTCATGGGCTGCTGCCGACATTCTCCGACGTAGCGAAGACCAACTTGAAACTCATCTCATACCGCCACCTGCTTGTCACGAGTCTCGAAGATGTCGCCGCAGCATGTCCGTGACCTTGCTGTCACGCGCATGGTTAACCTTCAAGAGAAATAATTTGTAGACGATGCAACCCGCGTCGGGGATTGAAGGCAACGCCTGAGCGCAGAAATACCGCCCATCTTGGCTTCGCACGTTGAAAAGCGCCTGGCTCGAGCTTGCCCCGGGGAAGACGTAAGCTTGCAAAAACCGGGGGGCGGTGCCCGATGACAATTCAGGGCCACCAGACCTTTGTCGACGCGTACCATTTTCCCAATATTGCGGGCAATTATGTCGAGAGCCATTTCTGTTGGCGGACTAGCTGCCTTTGTTCGCTATTCACGGAGCATAGTAGCGGGGCGCAGATCGAGCACGAGTCGTCTGACTGACTCCGAACATACAGTGATCATCTGCAGACGCCCCCGAGGTTCAAGATGAGCATACGCTGCGCGAACCCTGCGGGCGAGAACTGTGCATGTCCGGCTTCGAGGGCGACATGTTCTGGCAGGCTTAAGAGTCGCCTTGAGGCAACTGCCTCGTATCAGCCACGGACATCGCCCTCAATAGCCGCATTCACGAGACAAGAAATACGGCTGCGTTTCTCTGCGTCTAGTCTAGACACTAGCAAACAACATCTGTATTTTCTGACATTGTTCTTCTGACCGGCGACTTGAGCAGCACTTGCGAATTGGTAACTGGTGCTTCGCTCACATAACTCACCAATTTCTTTATAGGGAGATAGTCTGCGAAGCTCACCGTTTACACAACGAAGGCCAGAACGGGTCTGGCTGAAGTGGCGGTGTGAACGCAGCCAAGGTGCGAGCCCACCTCTGCGTTCATCGCTGGCCAACACGTCCAGCATGTGGCAGTCTCATTTGACTGATCTGATTTGGGATCGTTGATGGCCGGGTTATCCGTTGTGACGGGTGCTGCTCACGGTCGGATTGTTCGGGGCCGATGTAAAGATCAGGGCAGTGAGCGCTCGCCGATCAGCTCTCTGAGGAGACCACATATGGAGCAGACTGGGTTATTCCCTAAGAAGTCTGGATGCATGGTTCACAAGAAGCCCCGTCGCATAGCAGATTGCGACTGGTAGGTAAAGCTGCCGCGCTCCGCCCACTGACGCGACAGCCAATTGAGCATAACCGGGGAGTGGAGCAGAAGCCCTGGTATTCGAAATATCTCAAAGTCTGCTCACACAACTCCTCATGATTTTCGACTCTCGCGATTGCTGCAGAATGCAAGCAGAAACTTGCAACAGGTGAGGACATACTTGCAAGCTTTGGTAAAGCTTTCATCTTGCTGGAAACCGACCCCGAGCTTGATGGGCATATCTCCGATCTTATCACCCTGAATAGGGTAAGGAAGCACCGGCTTGTTCAACTTTGTCTTGCTTGGACTTCTTGTCATGTTTTGGGCGGTGTGGCTTTCGGGCTCATTCGTAGTACGCTCAACATGGTCACCTAGTTGCGCTAGACAGTCCAGGAAAGCAACCATCCCAGCATCAAATTTTCGATGGTTGAATACACGTCCAATGGCGGTCTCGCCGCTACTAAAAAGTTCAAGCGGAGTGACCTTGGGCTGTGGGCCTTTCGATCGAGCTTCTCCAGGACCTTGGTTCACATTGGGCGCTTGCTGAGGATACTCCAGCTTCTCGATGCGGGACGTGCTGCCCAGCGGCCGAAGTCGGTAGCCACTGAAAGTATAATTCAGACGTTCTGCAACTGTCGCCAGCAAAAGGAGGGTTTGGCCCCATGCGGCATTGATCTCAGCCCATTCAACATTCTGTCCAGGTAGTCGTCCTAACCTTAGTCCGTTGATGGTGGCGAAGAGGCCATCATGGCCAATACAGAACGTGTCGTTGTAGACGTTCGTTCGCTGTAGTTTGTCGAGCTGCTGCTGATCGTGGGCGTACTTCTGTTGCAGGGAAACTAGTTCGGTGTTCAAGTCGTATGTCTCTGTCTCATAAGCATTCCTTGCGGCCCAAAAGGCCTGTTCTTCGCTCTGGAATCTTCGACTGTCTTCCTCAATATTGGCAAGCTCTTCTTCGAGAGCAGCCTTTTCCGCCTCCAGCTTGAGCAATTCGGCGTACGCCTCTTCGTCTTGACGCTGGAGTTGTTCAAGTTCCTTATCAGCCTGGGCCTCTTCATTAGGCCCATTAGACGAGTTCTGCTGTAGGGATTTGAGGAACCCAGCGTATGCGTCTCTTTCTCGGCTGGCCGCCGCGAGTCGTGCTGTGAATGACTGCAGCAGCAGTGACGTGCACTCGGTGCAGATTGGGTGATCGATGTCAGAATGAGATGAAAGGATGCTGAACAGCTTTTCGTTCTTGACCACCTTTGAGTGCATAGATTCACCCTCGGGGGCACTATGTACAGGACGGAGAGCGTCTCCGTGGGCGGCTTTGTGACCATTTACCGTTGATTGCGCCCGTTCGGACCCCACAATCTGCGACTTACTGATCTCGATGAAAGACATGTCTGGCATCTTGGGGCGTGTAGCTCCATCTTGAGACTGATCTGCCTCCTCGTCGTATGGCGCAGGTATGGTACGCTTGTGTAGAGGGGACGATGCTTGACGTGCAGCTCGATCGTAGAGCTCCTTTCGCTCGGCTGCATAGTTCAGTTTTGAGGATGGTACCGCGTTCTGCTGAGATTTTACCGCAGAGCCTATGCTGCCTGTCAGTGGTTTGTACCCTATGATGAGAGCGCCGGACCTATGAGCAAATCGAATGCAGCTGGATTCAGATCGTCAAGCGAGCTGTCAACCTTCAGCGGCGTGCGACATTTTTGACAGTACATCATGCCGACGTATCGCGTTCATAAACTGGCCAGGATACATCCATAGACATCATCGCCTGTGTGTCGTTTAGAACAACGGAAGAAGTGACGCCTTGAATTGGGGACAAATCAAGATGCCTACAGCCTTGAAGTTGGGGCTGCAGCCTTCCGGTGTGACCCCTCAGCCGCCAAGCCCCTTAGGCAAGTGGCGCGGGGAGTCGCGTGTCGCGTCCTTGCCCTTTCGATCTAGATGATATGCAGCAAGCCTCGGTCTCGATTTAGCCACGAAGAAATGGCTGCACGTTTACGAAGTCATTGTTGAAGTCGGTCGCCCGCGCAATGGAGCCCCCACTCAAGAGACCACGGCTCTCCATCTTCGCGAATGAGCCGCCGAATGTAGAGCTGGATACGGCCCGCCATTACAATGATCAGCATTTGAAAGGGCGCTTTGAGGCAATCTTCGAAAAATACGAGCGAGACTTTGCCGGTGTGGGCGATGAAGTCGATCTTGCCACCGGAGACATCGTCGTCGATAACGGTCATCTGGCCAGTCTCGCCGAGGACACCGACACTAGGAGTGAGGCTGACGAATCTGATGTTGAACCCTCGCCCGCAAGATCGGCCGTGGCCTCGGCTCAAAAGAAGCTGATCACAGATGGCCGATCAATGCTTCGCGCAATGACTGTGGCTCCAGACCGCGAGGATGCTTATTTCGACAATGAGAACGCAGACGATGTCATTGAAAGCATTGAGATGATCGCAGAAAATGCTGGTCTTGCTGAGGCAGCAGATGCCGATAGTGAATCTGACGAAGGTGAAGCCGACAATGCTTCTGAAGACGATCATCGCAATGACTCTGCCGCCGGTTCTGGTGAAGGACCAAGGATCATACATCAAAATGTGCCCGACACTGCAGACTCTGATCACGACTCCTTGTTTGGGGTCCCGGATGAGCGTGCCTCGAGCCCTGATTCACTTTTCGAACAGCCTACCGCGGCCAGCTCTGCTACACCAGGAGAAGAAATTCGGTCGGTGGAAGGCTTTTTTGATGATATAGGAGATCTCGATCACGAAGCCGTGATTGCAAGGTTCGGTCAGAAGGCGGGTCAGGAAGTCTTGGATCTGATCCAGAAACGCGACAAAGCAGAACTGCATATCGAAGCTGCGTGGCGAATTCCTGTTCAAATTGAACGAAGAGCAGGCTCTGTAGGTACTCCCCCTAAGCTGCCTGGCTTTCAACACCCGTCTGCTGGAATTTTTCAAGGAGATTCGACGCCCAAGCAAACCACATCCTTGTGGAGTCTGGGAAGGCAGACAAAGAGTCGGTTGGAGATTCATCAAGATCGCACTATGAGAGTGATCCGAGCTGAGTCTGAGGATCCGCTGCAGGAGGGCTTCGGCGACTCCGGTCATGTGGAAGTTCGTGTCGCCGAAATGAGTCTTGACCGTGCGACGCGACTTCTCAAACGAGGCATGTGCCCATTTTGCAAGGAAGAATATTTCAATCTAATTGCCGTCACCGAGCATTTAAATGGGCAATTGGCGAAGCTGGAACATGGAAGTACAGACGCAGAATCCCACAGCGCGGATCGCATAGAGGAGCTTCTGTCGAATTTACCTCAAGCCAGTGGCCATGAGGAAGAGGACGATGATACATCGGAAGCCGAGCCTGACCATGATGAGGACGCCGAAAACACAACCCCAACTCAGCAGCGACCGGTCGTTCAAAGTGTGGAGTCTGATGTGAAATTGATGGATGATGGGATTGTGCCCGACGAAACGCCTGACGGGACTGGAGTGGTCTCTACTTCAACCGTTGGAACATTGGTCATAAGCGATGATGCAGAGAGCGACTCCAATGAAAGCGTCGATGACCTTTTCTTTGATGCTGGCTACTCCCAGACCAATCTTCTTGCCGGCAAAGGCGTTGAAGCCTCTGTTACTCCCAAGGAACAGGCGTCGAACGCGTTCTTCGAAACGAGACGAGCAGGCTCAGGCCTTCGTGATGGTGTCCCGGGTGCTTCTCCCACTCCTGCCCGCTCCAAAAGATCCTCGAATCGGCGTCAAAATCGAAGGTTCTTACGAGGGAAAGAAGCGGCTGCAGAAACCCGCCCTTCAGGAGGGTTAACACCAGAGTATGAATCTCTGGGCTATCCCGAGTTTCGAGAGACTGCAGACCCGTTTGACCGGGATGGCTCCCGCAGCTACCGGGGCCGAGCTACCGAACTGGAACAATCACTGCTCTCATTGAGACCGCGGAAAGCTAAAAGAAACGTCTCATACACTATTGCAGCGAAACCACCGGCCCAGAAGAAGGGCAAAAAGCCCGCAGCGGAGGCGAAGTCGAGGACAAAGGAGAAGGGAAAGCCTGCTTCCGAGCCCTCAAGAAGTAGCTACTCTAGCAAGGCCTTTGGCCGGACTGATGCGAATGATGTGGACACGACTAATACCCGAGGAGTCTTGAGCAGCGGTCCCCAGGGTGCAGCTTCAGACCCTTCTAAAAACGAGCAGGACACTATCAACGCCGCCTTCGAGGTCGTGGATTCCGAGCATGACACAGCTGTGCTCCATCAGGGGTATAGCCAGGATTCTGGCAGCGACAGAGAAGACTCTGCAGAGACAGATTATTCCCCGCCACCGGTTTACCATTTCACAGTCTCAGATTTCAAATGTCTAGTGCTGCACCACGAAGCCGAATATTCCGACCTTGCAGCCTTCGGCGAGATCATGACGAACCATTATTACAACTACCGACTGCCTGTTGATCCACTGTCTCGCACCGAAATGCAGTCTGACTGGTCAGAGAACGATGAAGCACTACTTCATAGCCTCAGCCGCAATCCAGAAACACTCATGGAAACCATCAAGCGAAGACTGCATCAACACAACCAGTTTGACATTGGCAATCGCTTGGCGGAGCGCTGGCTCATGGAAGCGTCAGCAGGCATTGACGCGCTGCCAGAGGTTGTTCCTGAGCCTCGACTTCTGTTACCGGGTCAGTCCTCTTTTGTCAGGAGAGGCAACACGCACCAGATTCTAGATCTCGCCGACTCAGATGCGGTGATCGACAACTACGACGATGTATTTGTATCCAGGGGGAGAACAGCAGCACGTGAGCCGCTCAGGTCGCGCATTTGCCGTGAAATGAGTCCCAGTGGCATCTGGCGAGGCTGTGGTAGAGTCTACTCCCAGCGATCCGCCGTGTATCGACATTGGAAGACCACGAACCGAGCCTGTATGTTTTCTGGCTACAACACTCGATTGGAGGCGAGGCAAAAGCAGAGAATCCGTGCGACGAAAGAGGACGGCCATCCTTGCCGTTCGACGAGTCCTGGAGGCACTGTCCGCGGCTGTGAGAGGAGGTTCCGGCAGAAATCGACTCTCTACCGACATTGGCGAACCAACGGCGTCAAATGTCGTCCTGCTGGTGTCGCCGCGTCCGACCTCAATACTAGCGACGCTGAGGAAGTTCCAGAGTCGGACCACGGGCAGGGTAATGCCATCACAAGTTAAGCAACTACGGGGCATTGATGTCGCCCGACACTGTTTCGTTATCGCCACGCTCTCTCAGATCCCTCCCCGACAGTATGTCGTCCAATTCCACCTTGGTCTCGCCGCCAGGATCGCCTATCTGTGCCCAAAACTTCGATAAATGCCGCATACCACTGTCACACAGTATCGTCACGATTCTATGGCCCGGTCCCAGCTCCAACGCCGTCTTCAATGCAGCAACACCTGTACATAGCATAGTCAGCATTATCATCACGAACATAACGAATCACTCCCAAACTTACAGTTCACCGCACTACTCCCCCCAACGAACCACCCCTCATGCTCCACCAACCACCGCGCCATATTCTTCGCCTGCGCATCCGTCACCTTCACCGCATCATCCACCACCCCTTTCTCACTCCCCACCTCCCAATTCCGCGTGCTCCTTACCAGTCCAATCCCTTCTATGACAGTATCGACCTGACTGCGCCGCCTCGTGCCCTCTCGCTCATACTCGCTCCAAAACACCCCGTTCCTAACCTTGTTATACAGCCCACTCCCCTGCGGATCCGCCAGTACCACTTTACACGCCTCGTCCTTCTCCTTCAAGAACAATCCCACCCCACTGACCGTGCCCCCCGTCCCCGCACCCGCCACAAACGCATCCACCCTCCCCGCCATCTGCGCCCACACCTCCGGGCCCGTCCCCTCAAAATGCGCGCGCCAGTTCGCGTCCGTCTCGAACTGATTCGCGAACCAGCCGCGCCCGCGCACAGCGATCGCCTGCCCGTCCGGCAGCAGCAGGGACGTGCTGCCCGCCTCGAACGCGCGTGTGTGCTCGGCGGCAAGGCGGCGCGCCACGTTGACAAAGTGCTTCTGGTCGACGATGGGCGCGGGCGGCACGCGCGTGACTTTGGCGCCCAGCTTGCGCAGCAGGTTGGACTTCTCGATGGCTTGGTCTGAGGGCATGATGATGTGGCAGTGGATGCCTTGGGCGCGGGCGAGGGTGGCGAGGCTGATGCCCGTGCTGCCGACGGTGCCTTCGTAGATGGTGTCGCCGGGCTGGAGGAGGGGTGGGGGGTTGGTGTTGGTGTCACTACTGGGAGAAGGGTTGGTGGCGAGGGAGGTGAGGATGGAGAGGGCGACGCGGTCTTTGGGGCTGCCGCCGGGGTTGAGGAGTTCGAGTTTGGCGTATATGGAGCATTGCGTGAGGCGGGAGAGGGTGGGGAGGAGGACCAGGGGGGTGTGGCCGATGGTGGAGGCGAGTGAGGGGGATGCTGAGGGTGGTGGGGTTGGTTCTGATGATTGAGGGTTGTCGGAATGGGAGTGTAGTAACGCAGGGGAAGTGGAGAGATCAGTCGTGGTGTAGTGTTGGCGAGCTTTCGCGAGGGTGTAGGCGAGGATGGCTCCAGATGCCACGGCCAGAAAGAGGTGGTGTGTTTCCCATGCTGGCATGCTGACGTCTCTCAGCTCGGCGTTAGAAGCTGAGGATCTATCGCTGAATCCTTTTTGAATGCTGGAGAGCCTATTACCGACATAGAGCCATCTCAGGAGCGAAAGCTGGATAGACAGACCAAGACAATTTGAGGAACCTTGAAATTCACTGCCTGTAGTTTGTACTCTAGGGCGGCCTCCAGGATCCAACATCGCCGTTCCACTCCACCACCGCCATCTGGCCAACGCGACGACACGACCGCTCTCCTTCGTAGGCCACCTTCGACCTCTACACCATCGCACCTCCCACCGATGCCATAAACCCCCAACCCCCTCATCGCCATCATGCCCGACAACGACACCGGCGCCCTCAACTGGCGCCTGTCCGCCCACCCCGTCACGCTCCTCACCTTCCTAGGCTTCCGTCTCGGTATGCCTTCACCACCCCGTCATCCCTACGCCCCTCCCAAAAACTAACCTCTCCCACCCAACACCAGGCTCCCTCCTAATGTACCTCTTCGGCGTCCTCTTCATCCGCAACTTCATCCTCGTTTTCATCATCACCCTGCTCCTCCTCTCCCTCGACTTCTACTACCTCAAGAACATCGCGGGCCGCCGCCTCGTGGGGCTGCGCTGGTGGAACGAGGTCGACACCGCCACGGGCGACAGCCACTGGGTCTTTGAGTCGCGCGAGACACAGGCCAATACCGGCGGAGGAATACAGAATCCCACGGACAAGCGCTTCTTCTGGATGGCCATGTATGTGGTGCCCGTGTGCTGGGTCGCGCTGGCGGTGCTGGCGATCGTAAGGCTGCAGAGTCTGATTTGGTTGGTGACAATTGGTGAGTTTTCGCGCTCTGTTTACTTTTTTTTGCGTTCTGGGATACTGCGTGGCATCCTGGGGAGTCAAGAGGAAAAGGAGGTTTGCTAATGGATAGCAGTGATTGCGCTGGTGTTGACGATCACGAATACGGTTGCCTTCTCGAGATGCGATAAGTTCAGCCAGGCGAGTGGATGGGCGGGCAGTGCTTTCAGTGGCAGCGGCCTCGCGCGCGGCCTGGCGGGGAACATGGTTGGGCGGTTTTTCAAGTGAGAAAGAATATGGCTTTCTATGAGGGCGTGGAAGCAAGTGTATCATAACAATAGCTGGGGCGCAAAGGAGCTAGACGGGTAAGAGTATAAGAGTTGCTGGCGAAATAGTGTCCCAGTGCACGAATGCGAAGCGCTGACGGGGCTACATCAACCCCTCCACTGTACATGGGTCGAGTGTGTCCATCGCTGTATGCATCCTTCGTCACTAACCATCTAAACCTCTTCAACATGCTCGTGCCATGCACCTGCTCTTTCAACGACTCTAGTACTTGTCCGGCAACGAATTCTCCAGGTCCACCAGCTCCGTCGTCATGGTCTTCCACCGGTTGTCCTCCTCCTTCGTGGGTCGCGGCAGAGGCCGCCTGGAGTAACCGCCGTAGCCGTAGTGGCCCATCATGGCGCTCTTGGTGCCCGGCACGCCGCCCGCAATGACAGCCCAGTCACCACGCGCAACAATGGCCTGGAGCTTCTGGGCCTCCTCGACCTTGCCCTCCGCATACAGGTCGAACACCTTGACGCACGCCCTGGGTGCGACATTGGCGAGGCCGCTGATGATGCCCGAACCTCCTGCGATGAGGGTCTGCAGCGTGAAGTCGGCAGAGCCGCCCATGCACATCCATCCTGAGCCAGCTGCTTTGGGCGTGGCGGCATTGACGCTGTTTGCGATGCGGTTTAGCTTGCCGGTGTTGCCACAGGTCAGCTTGGTGCCGACGATGTTGGGGTGTTGGGCCAGCTCGATGATGGCGTCCGAGTCGAGGTCTACACCGGCGACGGCGCCAGGGTAGTTGTAGATGATGATAGGGATGGGAGAGGCGGAAGCAAGGTCTTTGTAGAATTGGAGAATATCTGACCGCGAGTAAGAGGCCTTGTAGTAGCAGGGTGGGAGTGTCATAGAGTAGTCGGCGCCCGCTTCTTTAGCGTCCTTGCAGAGCGAGATGGTCTCGCGGGTCGATTGTGCGGCGCAGCCGGCGACGACAGGAACGGATGTGAATCCAGCATCATCGAGGGCTTTGCGGGCGGCGGAAATAATCTGCTTGCGCTCTTCGGCGGTCAAGTGCACCGCTTCGCCGTTGGACCCCTGGCAGGTGATGGCGGCCAAGCCGGCCCTGGCCATACGAACAGCGTGCTTCGCGGTGGCGGCGACGTCAACGTCCTCATTGTCGTCGAAGAAGGCGACCATGGGCACATTTATGCCAGGAACGAGCTTGCGCTCGGGGCTTTGACCGTTGACACCGTTGGTCGCCATGGCTTCTGTTTCGTTTCGTAAGTGTGTGGTCCGGATATGTGGTGCGCTGCAAGTCAGGCGGTGAATTTCCTGAGGCGGAGGTATCAATAAAGGCGAAAAACGCGTCTACAGCTCCGGGACGGGTTGATTATAAAGTGTCTGTAAATCTGGCCGGCGTGACAACCGATTCCCTCCTTATTACAACACCGGAGAGGCTCTTTAGAGGGGCGCGAGGGGTGCAGAGGCGACTTTGACTCCGCAGAATGTGGCAGGAGTGGGGGGCACGGCGGAACTGCGAGCGAGAAGAGACGGGATCAATTCGCGGGGGCGTCCATTGCTTCCCCTCGTCGTCAGATGCCACACCTTGTGCTGGTCGTATGTATGTTGGCGAGACATGGCCGGCTTGACTCTCTGCTGTCTGTGACCACCAACTACCTTTCCTCGGCAGCACATACCTCCAGAGCTCGATGCACGTTCTGTAGACAAGGCAGGCAGTCGGTTGCGGTCAACGCCGCGTTCGGATAGAATCGTGGGGGCACCCCACGACCAAAACTCCAATGCCTGAGATGTGGCGTTGAGATGATCACTGCCTGTGTAGGAAATGTAGGGCATCGCCCCCGCACCGCAGCCCTGGCCCGGCCGAGGATAGGGCTTTATTCTTGCTGGAACCGCCGTTCTCGCCGCCGAATGAGTTCTGCAATAGGAACATCGTCTTCATCGTAGAACTCTACGCCCTCATCGACGCCATAGTCTTCCAGTCGATTGCCGCCGGAGTCTTGCCAGCCTTCTTCGCCATTAATGTCGTCGTCGCTCTCGAGGTCGTCGCTTTCTATAGGCTCGTTGGTTTCCTGATCAAACCGACCGCCGAAGGCTTTGCGGCGAACTAGATCCGCCTGCTGACGTTCTTTGAAAGCGCGGAGCTCTTCCTCTGGGGATAAACCATTGTGACGGTATGTGAATGCGTTCTTCGCATCAAGTGCCCGTGGCGCACGCGGCATCCGATCCGGATCTGGTGGTGGCCAAGTCTGTCCAGGATCTTCGAAGCCGTTGGTCTCGAATGTGAGGCCATCAGTTTTGACTCCTGCAGCAAATGGCCAGAACCAAGCCAGTATGTTCCATGTGCCCATGTTATCGCGCAGGTTGCCCCAGAAGCCGATGTCGTAAGGGAACTCATGCTTATCGATCTTGACTCTGATACCGTCCGGCCCATCCAGGTAGCCTCCCATGACACGCGCTCGTCGTAATAGCTGCTGATGTCTCTCAATCTCCCAACCTTCGATGGTCGTGACGTTTGTGGTGATCATATAGATACCGCGGCAAAGCATGATGCCGACCACAAACAAAGTAAGCGAATTGGTCATGATCAGAACGAAGAGGTGTACCAGTTGCCAGACTGTGGGTCCGTGGTACGCCGGCATGTTTCTGGCATCCCACACTTCTGCTGCCCGGATGTAGAGGAAGTACTCTAGGTAGACCATTGAGGTAGTAGCGTAAAAGAGAAAGCGCATGAAATGAGGGATGGTAAAGTGGGACACACAGTTACTCGTCCAGGGACAATGATGGTCCATCTGGGGAATACATCGTTTGCAGACCTTGCAATGATGTGAGCGCGGCGGCTTGATGGCATCGCATTTGCGGCAGTAGCGGGTTCGTGGCTTGCGCTCAGCATCAGCCTTTTCTTCCGCCTGGTCCCGTAGCCAATACTCCGGCACTCGGCCAGGGTCTGTGCGGCATGTCCTGGCGTAGGATATCCAAATACATGCGACGAGAACGTTAAAGCGGATTTTTTGGTGCTTGGACAATGGACCAGGCGCGAGGTACTCGAACAGCAGCTGTGATGAATATGACAGGAAGGCAATGAGCACGACCACTCCCGGAACGGCAAGTCTGGCTATCCATGGATTGTCATACTTGGACATCCTGTACGGCCTGTTCAGCGAGCAAGAGATTCGAGATGAAAGAAATGCAGTGGGAGCAATAAGACTTTAGGAGTGTGCTCAGGGGTTTCGAGATATTATGTAAGCACGCCAACGCCGCATTGGGAATACTCCGTCGCAATCATCTTGAGCCTTTGATCATATCCTATCATCGCAGATACACTTCTGCCATCTCATATTCCTCCTCAAGCCGGTTCAGCTCTCCTCCTTTTCCCCCTCATGTGACATCTAGCTCGTTCAGCCGTGTCAGGCACATCCGCGTGTAACGCAAGCCTACTCACGATAACCGTCCACGGCCAATGTGATGAAACAAATGCTTCGTGGCATATTGATACCAGGTGGTCGAAATAGTCGACATGCCATCGTACGTGTCGGGGAATATTCACGCCTCATCTGTGTCTATAGCACAGACTGTCTGTGGCGTGGTCTGTAGTGCCCTGATCTTTGCTTGTGGTCAAGAGAACGGATCGTCACACCTGACATGACCGTGCTCTGCGTCGATATCGTCTCGTCCCAAGTCTAAGTCTCCTGACTGTCTAGCCCTACGTGGATCCGAGCCCAACGGACCGCCTCCTCGGCCACACCGCTCTCACGAGGGAGCTCTTGCGAGATTTGATCGACCAATCTCTTACCGGTGAAATCTGTCCACCAATTCTTCAAGCTATGCAGAACCACACCCCAATGCAAGGTAATCATCAGAGCCATCTGGTCGCGTTCCTTGAGCATTTGCACGAAAACGTCACCAATCTCTGCTGGCCAAGCGATCGACATGCTCCTTGAGCGCATGGCACGTTCTTCGAGCAGCTCCACTGCGTGACTGAACATTTTGAATTGTTGCGTGTACTCGCGACCCGCATATTTGGATCGTGCCAGCAGAGACGTCAGTCGTTGCATGGGCTGTCTCATGGTCTCGTCATACATTTCCGGGTCATCGCAGTTGTCGTAGGCTTCTTTGAATGGACCGTGGCGCAACCAGGGTTCCGCAGCTGTCATCAGAGATACAAGGCAAGAAATCCATTCCGAAGATATGACAATGCTTTCTAGTGGACTCTTGCCAGTATCTTCACCACCGGTGGGTAATTGTGCCAACACGACAGACGTTGGGATGTTCAGGATGGTGAACCCGAACAAGGCGTTACAGTTGTCGGCGCAGACGTTCAATAGCTCGGGCCGGGCGGCAATGACTGCGCTGTTCTGGTATTCAAGGGCGATACTAGTGTAGGTTGAGCGTGCCTGGGCAGAATCTGCTTCCGCTGCGATCTGAGTAGCCGAAAGAGCTAGCATGACATCCATTAGGAAGCTAAATTTCAGACCGAGATCCGTAACGACGCCTTGCCAGATGTGAGCATCCATGCTACCTTTCCTGTGGAATGATTTGGAACTTTGAAGACACCATTGGCGCATGAGAGCGAGCTCTTTCAGCCTGGGGTTTGACGGTGTTGAACACTGATCATAATCGACGCTGGTGGAAGTGGAAACGTCTGGTGAGTTGGAGAACAGAGACGAGCGGCCTGAGCTCTCGGTTGCACTAGGTGGCTGAGATTCTGGCCTCGAGCATTGCGGTGCCACATGTTCGATGTGAGGTTTGGAAAGCGGCGCGGAGGGTGGCACCGTGAGCGTTATGAAGCCATCGTCCCGCCGCGTGTATTGACAATCGAGATGTCGGACCGCACATTTCCCGCAGGGTGGTCCCGTTTCATCGCATTTAATCCGGCGAGTACGGCAGACATCACAGCCATTCCGAGACTTCGTGTGGGTCCGTCTGGAAGGCATTGCTGGTGTTTTAAGCCGTTCCTATTGCGTTTGCGGAGGACCACATGTTCGTGTCAGATATCAGGCATCCGTGAATAATGATAAAGGCCAGAGTGGATCGCGTCATCCGCCACGTCCCGGAACTGAAGCGACCCGGGAACAGCAGCCAATCAAATCCATTCGTGGCTCGTGGCATGAACCAGAGGCGCGCTCGAGACACTGTTCATCTGTGGCTTGCATTCGAGGATAGTGGTCGATTCACGTTACCTTTGGACATTGGCGATGCCGATGGCCATATTGAGACGCCAGCAAACAAGCAAGTTGCAGCGGTGTCGCTAGCAAGTTGTGGTACCGGTCGGCCCCAGTGAACCTGCAGATGACATGTAGGTGTATATTTGTCTCCATTCAAGATCGATATAGTCCACATGCTGAGGGTCACTTGAGATGCATCGCAAGTCTCGCGGCCAAATGGACTGCATGTGTGTTTAGTATACATACCGTTCAAGCTGGATCGGCCTCGGCAGGACCGACTTTCGGCAAGACCCTGCGTTCTGCTGCGCAAGCGAATTCCATATGTGTTCGGGAGTTCCAGTATGAAATTTATCATCACTTTATTCGATGATTCTGCCGCGGGTCGAGGACGTGCATCGATGAAAGATGTCAATTGAATTAACAACTTGGTGTGCCAAGGCGGCGCGACGGAGACCAGAACGCGCTTTCCTGTCAACCCAGAATGACGCGTTCTTTCCATTATGATCCTCTGCTGCCTTAGACCGGCGTTTCGTGCATCTCCCCAGCCATCTGCCCTGGTGGCCTGCCTCCAATGACAGAGGCACGGCAGGAACATCCTGTCTAACGGATGAACGATGCCCATCTCGGCACTACCCCAAGACACCGCACGCGTCATCACATCAAGCGTAGCCCTCAACGATGCCGTGTCTCTTGTCAAAGAGCTTGTCGACAATGCTCTCGATGCGCGAGCAAATACAATCGCTGTCGAAATCTCTGCCAACACCATAGATGTCATCCAAGTCAAGGACAATGGTACTGGTATCGGCGTTGAGGACCGACAATTGCTTTGCAAACGAGGCTGCACCTCCAAAATCAGAACTATCGACGATCTTGCATCGCTAGGTGGCAGTTTCCTGGGCTTTCGTGGTGAAGCTCTAGCAAGTGCTACTAATATCAGCAGCTCCCTACTCATCACAACGCGCGTGGAAGGGGAGGTCGTGGGATCAGCGCTCAAGTATGGCATGAATGGCAAGATGATCAGGTAGGTTACCGTCTTGCATGTTGGCACCATCTCATTCTCAACCCCCTAGTTCGGCGTCTGCATCTCACTCCGTTGGTACCACCGTTCGCGTCCAGGATTTTCTGTCAAACATCCCTGTACGAAAGCAGACGGCCCTTAAGGCGGCGGGCAAAATCCTTACCAACGTTCGCAAGCTTCTGTTCACCTATGCTTTTGCCCGACCTGAAGCTCGATTCACGCTCAAAGTGCTCAAGGGGAAGAATGACAAGGCCAACTGGAGCTATGCTCCTGGCAGCGTCGGCCCTCTTCAGTCTGAGACGGCCTCCAAAGTTGTTGGCCAAGATGTTGCCATGCAGACGAAATTGCACACGATTGCCTCTGGTGAAGATTCCGATGAACCGGACGACCTATCCTACCGTATAGAAGCTCTGCTTATAGACCCGAGCCTAAGTATGCCTCTCTCGTTCCATCTCAAGCTTATATTAACCACTGTAGCTGTCGCCAAAGCATGCGGTGCAGAGCAATACTTCTCCGTCGATAAGCGGCCCATCAGTGCTGAACGAGATCTCATGAAAAGGATATCAAAATTGTACAAGAACTACCTACGCGACGCTCTCCCGGCGGACGACAGCTCAAGCGTATCGAAGCCATTCATGTGTGTACGAGTCTTTTGTCCTCCTGAGAGCTATGATGTCAACGTTGAGCCAACAAAGGATTGCGTTATGTTTTACAGGCCGAATATCGTGTTCGATCTGTTCGAAAAACTGCTGAGGAATGCATATGGAGAGATTCGCCCCTCAGAGGCAGCTATCACGACTCCTGTGGATGACGTCGGCCCGGTCAAGCCTGTCTCCTCGTTCGACATCCTGTTAGCCCGTAAATCCGATGCCAGAGAGCAATCCAACAAACAGTTCTCGGCGTCCGCGGGGGATACTTCGACTGACATACCGATTCGAGAGGCCGAGATGGCGATACACCCACAATCCGACGATGCGAGGCGTGGTGGCAGCATCTCGGACGAAGAAGCAGGTACCACACTGGACAATCCTTGGACGAAAGCCAAGATGAATGTGCGACTCGTTTCTAACAATGGCGACGCTTCGACAGATGTTGATTCAGGCGCCCACGTGATCTCAGCTGCTGAGAGCAGATTGCAAGCATCTGTCACACCAAATCGATTGCCCCTGGGCACGAGCATCCAGTTACCTACGCCAGACCCATCTCCTGGAATAACATCTCAATACCAGAATCCGGGTCCGCCAATCCAACGCCGCACAACACGCAATACACACAGTGATGATGACTCTCCTCCACCCACAGAACCTCGTCGCGATACTCTGCTTGATAGCTGGGTGCAAGCATCGCAAAGAGAATCTCCTCGTGGCCTTCTGGATCGCCTTCCATCATCGCCAGTTCCGCCTTTATCCAATATCGAGCTAGGACAAGCTTCCTCGACTTCTCGTCAGATGAGTGACGAGAAACGTACGTTGTCATCAAGCCACCGGCTTTCCACAGGTGGTCAGGCTCTCGAGCAAGTCCGGCGGCCACTTGTGCCGCCATTCAAAAGACCGCAGCCTAGTGATTTCTCCGAATCAGACCATCTCGGCGTCAGTAATGGCTCAAATAAGGGCTTTCTCGAGCTCAGCCATGGTCACCTGCATCCAAGGAGTGCTGGACAACACGAGCAAGAGCTAGACGAGATCTTGGAATTTGAACGCCAGAAGAAAGCTGTTTCACAACAACACAGAGCGGCCATCAAGGGGATGCGACAGCGTTCAGCCAAGCTCAATTTCGAGTCACCTGCCGATGTGTCAGTCGAGGCGGAGTACCAGCGGAGAGAGGCCTTATTGACGACCCTGACCGAGGAAGGCATGCCAGAGGACTTCGGTGCACGCTTCAATGAAAGAGCTGATCTTTCTACTAGGTGTGACCAGAGTACATTGGTCAATGGAAGTGCTGGCAGCACTCCAACCCCTCATCGCAACCGTGCCATTGCTGCTGTTAGATCTCTCGGCCATGCTCATCCTAGCTCGGACAAAGCCAACGACATCGACCATACAGAAGGTAGGAGCAGCAACATGGTCAGAGACCACGTCCAGAGAATGCCTGACACAGACCCTAGGTCTTGTCTTATACGTCAGCGTGGTGGCCGAGGCGTTGGTAGTGTGGGATCGACAGGCACCAAAGTCAGCAGGGTTAGGACGACCAACTTGCCTTTCGAGGTGATACCGGAGGGCGAAGAGTTGTTCGACTTAGCCTTGATAGCAGATGTGCACGGTACTGAGTACACGAATGCAGCACAAGCTGCAGCAAACCTCTGCAATGCTACCAGCAAGCTGTTGCAGATCGACGAGTACGTTCTCCGGGGCTGCGTTGAACATATACACTGGATCCCCAATGGCAAAGATGTGGAGTTATGGGAGCAAAGACTTCAAATGCTGGTACAGACTCGATATCAGCCTAATCGCCTCGTAGGGGCCGAGGAGATCGAGTCCAGCTCACAGCCGCGCAAGCCGCAAGCCTTCGCCATGGATCTTGCACTTGGCACGACACTGAAGGCTCACGTTGATGAAAATGGCGTGTGAGCGAGAGAGCAGTGAGCACACTGTTTCAGTGGTCTTCCGACGGACTAGATCTTTACCAAGATTCGCGACTCATCTTGGACGCCTGATAGACGCAGTTTGCCCAGAGTGCCGAGTACCACTGCTAGCTACTGCGTTAACAAAGCGTGTTGCTACTTCAATATGCTTGACAAGACCATGGATTAGATGATACAATGCCAATTTTCCAGCTTCGGAAATCCACAACTGCTATGCGGTTGTCTTGATCGACTGATTCGGACCCCTGAACAGGCTGACTAGATGGCCACTGGTCTTTTGGCCTAAATGTACTGCTCTTGCGTATAATAGCTGCACGTCAGTGCTTCGGGACGCCGCCATAGTTTATGTGAGATTTTCTTTGTCCTGTGCAACAGGTCTATCCAGCCGAGACATGAGCCTGAGTGCGAACGCGGGTTCCTGATCAAGTGATTCGCAGACGGCTTATTCGGCCCTCGATTAGTGCACGAAACATCACTTCCTTTCATTTGGCGACAATGTCTAAGTCAGGGATCCAGTTTTTGCAACAGCAACCCAAATAAATCGCGACTTTTCCAATGCAAGGAAAAGGCGATGGCAACGTTGAATGCATCGACCTACGAGAAAAGGCTCCTTCAAACCACTCACTATCAAACCGAATAGCAAACGTTTCACACCATACCTTGCACTACCGCGCGTAAATGGCCTTCCAAGTTCAGAGCAGCACAACATCTCAGTCAAGAAGAGATCCAGATACTCGTACTCTGCCATTCAATGATGATGAACAACAACGTGCCTATGAATTCCAGATCGTCAAGCTGCGCCGCGACCTCCGAGCCGCGGAGGCGAGGTGCAGGGTGCTGCAGGAGCAGAACCATGCTCTTATGGCTGAGATCATCACTGGGCCGGCGAAGACGGCTTTGTCGGCGACTGTGCTGGAGAGCTGGCCCGCGAGGACGGGTGGGAAGGCGTGCGGAGCATGGGATTCAGCTGAGAAGGTGGTCGCGTGGTTTGGAAGGTTGACTGAGGGTGGAAAGAATAGTGATGGGGAGAGGGAAGATCGACGGGGATCTAGTGGATGTCGGCATGTAGGCCGTGGTTGGCGAAGGGGGACGCTTGTGGTATAGCTGGGTGAAGGGGATTCAGTTGCGGTTGATTGTAACATCAAGTGATAATACCATAGACTCGTCAATGCCATCAGATCCGTGCGGAAGCAACCCCTGGCTCTTCTGTTTTGTCGAGGAGGAGGGTTTGAAAGCGTCTGTCATGTAATTTCTTCGACCTCTATGGATGAGTGCCTACCATGAAGCCAATTGCCAGCCTCTCCCCAGTCCAAGTGAGTTATGGCGGAGTATTCAGCTTTGCTCCATGGCGAAAAGCTCTCGCGAATCGTTCTCCTGGCACAGATGACAAACAGGTGTGCCAGCAGGAACAAAGGATAGAGACAGTAGGCGGCTGCTATTGTGGATGACTGTCTGAGTTTATCTCGGGCCATTGCAATATAGTCAGAATCAGTCTCAAGCTGCTGACGCGCTTTTGCAATCTAGTGCCGACAGTCTCGGGCCCTTCTTTGTTAGTGTCTCTGGTTGCTCCGTGTGTCTCTAACTTGCAGAAACTCTGAGGAGAGATACTATAAGACGAGGAGCTGCTGGTATCGACAGGACAAGCCATCATCCACCTCAAATCAATTCACCTAGCACATCACGTCAACAGACAACTCATCACGCTACATCCAATACTCTCTACCACCATCAACGCAAACAAAGCATACGCAATCAAGTCGGTGACCCAACTCCAGTACCAACAACATGCATTCCAAAGACAACCGAGACCCCACAAATGCCTTTCTTCTATTTCAGCTGCTGCACCCAGAGGGTATATGCTCCGAACAACGAGAAAAAATCGAAAAGCTCGAGAAGATCATTCATGAGAATGAGTCCACCATTGCCGCGAAGGACGGCGAGATTCAGAAGCTCGAAACTCAGAAGGATCAGCACAGTGTCGGCCATGGCAAGCATCAAGGGCTCCGGAAGAAAAATGAACAGCTCGACCTTGAGGTGTCCAGTCTCAAACGCGAGCTCAAGCTCTATGAAGATTTGGAGAAGAAGCGGGAGAGGGAGGCAAAGAAAGTCGAGGAAGAGAGAAAGCAGCTGCAAGCTTGCAGATCTCGGACTGAGCAGCTCGAGCGTCAGGTCCTTCACCTTTCAGAACCCACCAAAGGCAGCCGTGCCATTGCGCTCCGTAGACACAGGAACAACAGGAGGTGAGCAAAGGGTTGAGTGTCGCCACGCTTATTAGTGTTGGCGGTGGAACTCTACCATGAGACATTCGACGAGCAGGAGACCGCCGCGCATGATGCCGGGCGGACGGCGAAGGCCAGAGCATCAGAAGTGAGATCTTACAGTAATAAAATGGCAGGACAGATCTTGGCAGATGGAAAGAGAGAGTAGCAATGTGCTCGACTGTAGGTGGGAGGCTATCTGCTTCATAGACCAAATATGCAACACTGAGATTTACTGCTCACGTTTTTCAACGTGCCATTGCGGAAATCGAGCAGAAGAAGGCGACAAGGCAACCAAAGTTCACTGCCTGAAAATACTTGGCATGCTAAAGCTGAGCCCGTGTGCAGCGAATCAGTATTTCTCGATTACTTTTCCAGAAGTCTATGGAGGCGCATCGGCCTGGGGCATATTAAAACTCGATATTCATTGTGCTTAGAGGACAGAAAAATCGGATATCGGCCAGCGTATTCGGTTGCTTGAATTAATGCCCTGTCAAACGACTGCCCCTGCCACTTGCCCTCCGTCTTCTTTGGTTCCCTATCCTCCCTGGGGTCGGCGTTGTCTGGACAGAACAGCAATGCACCGTCCGGTGTTCCTCAACCGCTTCTTCCGAAACCTCTTTGTTGCCTTCCATGCATGGTGTCTCGGCCGGCTGCCCACCATGCTTCCAACGGAGAGCCTAGGCGATGCGGTCTCTGGACTTCCCGTGGTGTCTAAGCCGGATCCGAGACTTCTCTGTCCTGACTTGCGCAGAAAGTGAGCCTGTCTTTGGGAAGGTAAGACATCAACCAACCTTCGCCGGTCGCATAAAAAGCCTGGATGCCACCAGTCCAGTCACCGTCTTCCATCTCGAAACGACAACAGTCACATCTTACCGAATACCCTCACCACATACATACATCCATCACCCTTTCTACTTCTGTCAGAGTTCAAGCAGCACTCACGATGCAACCATCGATCGACAACTCTCTCGTCCATGAGACCGAGCCCAGCCCACCCGGAAGCGCATCCAGCACACTCGTCCACCCGCCTTCCTCGCCCAGAGCTATATCTCCCGACCTTCCACCGCTGTCACCATTCACATCGCCAACGTCACCTTCCCCCAGTCCACCATGGGCGTCCCCCACCAACCCATCGACTCCCTCGCCAGCCACATCATCCCGTTTCTCCACCCGACCCTCCTCCCTCGATGCGGACAGCCCCTGCTTCGAATGCCGCGACAAGCAATGGTACACCGACCACCTCACAGCGAGCGTCGCCAACCTGACCATCGCCACCTCAGCCGAGCGTCAGAAGGAGGTGCGCCTGCTGGCGGAAAAGCTCTCGGCCTGCTGTGTAGAGTTCGAGAACCTGTGGAAATGCTACAAGCGGTGCTGTAACGAGAGAAATCGCGAAAGGGAGGAGGTCTGGGTCCGGGGTGTGAAGATTCTGCAGCAGGAGGCACTGATTGCGGAACTGAAGGAGGAGATTGCGAGGCTGAGGGGCCTGGAGGTAGGTAAGCTAGGAGATTGGGTGGAGGGTGGGAAGGAGAAGCTGGAGTCGGATCGTTGATCGTCGATCAGGAGATAGTCTGCCCACGGGCGAGACTGAGTGATAGGCGGGCAGATGTTTCGACGTCGGGGTCACTGGAGTTAGGCAGGGAGATGGCGTGTGGCGTAGAAAACGAAGAATTAGAAAGGATAGGAAAATACAAGTTGGCGGCGGAAAATTGTTCGCGTTTGTCACTATCAGAATCTTCATGGCCTGATCTCTTACCATTGCAGAACTGAGCGTTGATTATCGCTTGGTCAAACATTTACTTCGACGCTTGCTAGAGCAGATCAAATCTTGGCTTGCGCCTTACCCTCGCCTCTCGGTACTTTCCTCTCAATGCCCAAGCTTTCCAGGCTCTTCTTGTTGTAGTAATGCGGCGCAATCTCCATCAACCACTCAGGCTTCAGCGGCATCACGCCTCGCATGTACTCTTTGCTCGTGAGCACCAGTTCATGGTACAATACCCACTTTGGATTGACTTCCATAAGTACACTCGAAGGATGGATGTAGATGACCTGCCCGTTCTTCACTTGCCGGTACGTTGAGCCATCTCGCTGCAAGCGTGCGCTGTTCGGGAAGAACCCTGCTGCTATTGATTTTTGAATCGGTTCAATGTTCGATGCGCCACCGCAAGACTTGGAGGCATCGACCTCGACTCGGTCGCAAAGGCGGGCGAGCTGATCACGGACATCGCGGGCGCGTGTAAGTGAGCGCTGTTGTAAGAAATTCTCCTTGGCCCAAACGATGGAATAATCGGTGTCGACCCACTCGTTCCAGACGTTCAATAAGCTCAGGTGATCGCCACCATCCTTGTTGGTAAAGCGTGCCCGAGCGGAGTCGGCATGAACCTTCTTGTCCTTCGGTCGGAAGAACAGGGCGGATGACTCGCCGAGCATGGCAATGATGGATAGAACCTCGGAGACGCAGCCATACTTGTCTGCAGCCAGGATCGCTCTAGCGAACATGGGATCGGTAGGAAATTCAGCCATTTGCCGTCCGATCTTGGTAAGTTCGCCAGCATTGTTGAGAGCTCCGAGGGCGTAAAGTTGTTCAACTGCCCGTACAATTGTATCGGTGCTCGGTGGGTCCATGAAATCGAAGTCCAAGAGATCGTTAATTCCCAAGCTTTTCAGGAGGAGGATCGTGCCTGTCAGATTGGTGCGCTGGAGTTCGGGCATGGTGTTTGAATCAAGCTCGTTCTTCCAAGCCTGCTTCGTGTATAGCCGGAAGCATTTGCCTGGCCCAACACGACCTGCTCGACCTGCTCGCTGCCCAGCAGATGCTCGCGAACATGGCACAACCACCAGCGACTCCATGCCTGTTCGAGGATTGTATTGGTTCTCTTTCACGAAACCCGGGTCAATAACGTAGACAATGCCGTCGATGGTCAATGAGGTTTCGGCAATGTTGGTGGCCAGAACGACTTTTCTGGCATTCGGAGGAGTCGGCTCGAAGATCTTTGCTTGCAGATCGGTCGGTAGGTTGGCGTAGATCGGGCAGATGATCATCTCCCTGACATTAGATCCGAGCTTCCGGGCTGTCTCTTGCAAATTCGCTTCCATGGCTTCGATTTCTTCTTGACCTGTCAGAAAGACAAGGATGTCGCCTTGTGGCTGGGTGATGTGGATCTGGAAAACAGTGGTAATGGCGGCAGCAAGATAGTTCGCCTCCGGCTGGGCGGTGTAATGAACATCCACTGCATATCTTCGGCCTGGGATGTTGAAAATCGGGGCATTATCGAAATACGTCTGGAACTTTTGTGCATCCATAGTCGCTGATGAAATCAGAAGCTTCAGGTCTGGTCGGGCTTTGGCGATGTCTTTAAGCAGACCGCAAGCAATGTCGGTGCTGACTGTGCGTTCGTGGGCTTCGTCAATCATAAGAGCTGAGTACTCTGATAGCTCGGGGTCTGTGAGCAGTTCCCGAAGAAGCATACCGTCCGTCATGTATTTAAGCACAGTCTTGTCGCTGGTGTTGTCCTCGAATCGAATGGCATACCCGACTTCGTTTCCGAGACGCTTTCCCATTTCTTCCGCCACTCTGGCTGCGACGCTCATAGCAGCCACTCGTCGCGGCTGGGTACAACCGATCTTCATGCCATCTTTGGTGAAGCCCGCTTCGTGGAGATACTGGGGTAATTGTGTCGTTTTTCCGGAACCTGTCTCTCCAACAATGATCAGAACTTGGTGGTCATGCACGGCCTGAATGATCTCGTCACGGAATTGGTAGATCGGCAGGCTTTTTCTTGTTTCTTCGACGCTCTTAGCTTTTGCTTCGGCTGCGCTGAGTCTTTGCTGCATCTCTCGCTCTTCGCGGCTCCTCCCCTTTCCAAGGTCGCCCCCGAGCGTCTCGCTCGCCACGAATTGCATTTGTTGGCTTTCGTCAAAAACATAGCCGTAGTCGCCTTCATCGAAATATCCAGACCTTTTGACCTGCGCTTCTGCTCGCTTGGTTTGCTCTTGCTCCCATTCTTCGTGCTCGGTGACGAACTTTTCTCTGCCGCTGGCATCGCGATCTACGTATCGTTTGTACAGTGCTTGTTCTTTCTTCCGGCGATCCAGCTTGCCTTTCTCGGTGATGTAGTCCTCCGGCAGTGCATAGCCCTCAAGATGGTCGTCGATCTCAAGTCTCGCCTCTGTTACGGCTAACAATTCCCTGTTGCGCGCAAATTCTTCTTTTTCCTTGTTTGACAGGTCTGGATTATCTCTCAATTCGCGCTGTTCGTCTTCAACTTGTTGTCGAAATAGCGCAAGTCTTTCTGCTTCTCGTTTCTTCAAGTAGTCTTGTCTTGACCGTAGTCGTAGGTCCGGCATGGCCGCATCCCGTGCCTCTTTGTCGTCTGCAAGGGCTCTTCGCTGTGCTGTGACACTATCTTTCGCCGCTGAGCGGTCTTCGAGTATTTTCTTAGAGCGTTCTTCGTCACGCTTCGCTAGACGCTGTGCGAACTCGTCTCGTTCACGGCGGTCGATTTCTGCTGCGCCAGCCTGATCAACTCCTTCCTTCGGCGTCTCATCGCTGGCGTCTGTGCGGCCCGCGGATTTGGCTTCTTCAGCTTGAATCGCTGGGCCGCTGTCAGAGGCAGCTTGATCGGATCGCTTGATGCGTTTTGGGGGAGGCTCGGGGAAGTCTGGTTCGGCGCCATCGGAAGCTGGTTCTTCGTCGCCCCAGCGATCGTCGAAGGACTCGTCGGCTCTGCGTCTAGCATTGGCGTGTCTTCTGTATTTGCCGCTGGCGTTCGCCATTTGGGCCAACTGTAAGATGTCAGAATGTCGAAGCGATGAAGCAGAACAAAAAATTAGGCAGTTGGAGTTCCGTAGAAATGCCAAGAAGGCAACATACCCCGCAGGCGCCAAGCGAACAGGCAAACCCAAGACCAACGGCTTCGCCGTCACGGGCGCCACATCCTCCGCATCGCTCTGCTCGTACTCGCCCTCCTCCTCCTCCTCCCCCTCCTCATCTTCCTCCTCCTGGGAGCGGTAAATGCTCTTCACCTATAGTATGTCAGTTTCAGTTGAGTGAGGGCGCCAGAATGAACGAAATCGGCCGTGTGATTGTTGCAGATCGGCCGTGAAATGAATTTCAGAATTTGGGAAAGATTGCGAGTTGGGCTGCTCTCGTTTTCGGGAGGTCTCCTGGGAATCTTTTGGCTGTTGCTGAATGAGTCGCTCTCATGATCTGGAGGCCTCCAGGATATTCTTTGAGATCTGCTGGAGGAGCCTCCATCATGGTCTGAAGCCCCCCTCAGCATCATTGACTCTTGCTGGACGAGCCGCTCTCGTTGTCTGGAGGCCTCCCCGGGAGTTGTTCTTGGAAGCCTCGACCTGTGATCACGTACGGGCCCGAACGGGTTTCGAAGGTTGTGGCCACTGCTTGCAAGGAGAAAAGAAAATGAGACGTACCACTGAGCCGGTCCAGCCGACTCGCGCCACCCGCCGAACCAACAGCCCGAAGCCATGCTGAAAATAAAATTCATCGACGGGCCAGCTCAGCTTCTCCCACTCCTCCTCTTCCTCTCTCAGCTCCCGACAAAACGCAGCACGACGGCGACCCTAGTACTTCTCTCCGGCGTTTCCGTGGAGCAGCCAAGCATGCACGAATTTCGTGAGCTTGCGACTGTCTCCATCGTTGCGCCAGAGAGAGCCACCGGGGTGCCGCTTGTCGGCAAAGCGCAGGATGTCTCTCATGACCAGGTCGTAACACTCTGGTTTGAGCTGCATCACTTTCAAAAACTCGGCGCACTGCCGGCGGACAGAAGGGAAGCGAGATATCCACGAGTAAGAACTCATGGTGACGAGTTAACAACGTGGTAAAGATTTAGGATCGAAGTGAAAGAGAAGGCGGTGCAATGTTGAAGAAGAAAAAAGCCAATGGCAACTTGAAACTGCGGTGACACGAAATATTGTTATTGTTCCGTCAATTTCGGCCTCAGTCGCACGTGAGTCTAGCCTTGCCTTGCATTGATGCACGCTTCAAAGCAAGCTTAACATCGTATATCCCCCACTGTACGTTCGAATCATGGTCGCAAATTCGCGCCAAAATGACTTCTGTGGCTAGATTTCTACCTCGCCTCTTCTTGATTTGTGGTACAACTCAGTCGTTGACCATAGTAACGCGGTCAGGGCAGTTTAGCATCAGCAAGACCAAGAAAAAATCACAAGTCTAGAGCTGGACTCGAACCAGTGTTGCTGTAAGCACGGGTGGCCAAATAACCAGAAAAAACCAAAAAACCACATTCAAGAGCTGTATACATCTTGACCCGTACTACCTAGATCGCCTGCAAGCAGGGTCTGCACCACACCCGCGAACGAGTGGGCGGGCTCACTCGGTCAAGCCTTGACTCTCTGTTGTGGTTGTTAACAAATTTCATGATTTTTCGTATTCATACATTCACTTCGGCAACCAATCGAGGACTGCTCAGGTGCAAGGCTGGCGTAAGGCAACAAGGCGCCGTGCCAAGACCCCCAAACACGTTGCGCTCTTGTGGCGATCTCGGGCAGAGAAATCATTGTCAATCGACATCATGACAAGGCCTAATTCTGGAACTCAGTATATGAATCGAGGTGTATCATGCAGGTTCGTTGATGACGGAACCATGTGCGGGCCAACCTCTTTCCGCTGCCTGACAGACGCGAGCTCAACAGGATAAGTACCACAGATCCAGGCCATGGAAGATCGATCCGCAGCACTGAGCATTGTTTGTTCCGGATGGTCCTTCTGAATACACTCGCAGCGACCGATGCCGTCGATGAGCAAGACTTTTACCTTATACCGTGATCCGCCTCTCCTGGGGCCCAGTTTCTCTCCACGATTTACTAGGGACACGCCCACCGCTAAACTGAGCCCATGACCCTCTCTTAGTCGAACTTTCGCAGATTCATAATCTCCGAAATGTCGCATACGCTCTTCCTGGCCTTGTTACAAACGCTCCAACCGCAGCAAACATTGTCATCAGTTGCTTTGTCATGCGCAAGCATCTTTATCTACTTCTTGCCTCCCATAACAGAGCGCTTCTGATGCCCTCAGCTTACTGAAGAACCAATGCAAGCCTCCCTATTTCAAGCAAAGGAGATGGCCGCCAGCAGCCATGAACCCCCTGCCCAGTTCACACAGCCAACAAGAGCTATACTCCCAACCTCCCACCACCCAACCCTTTGCTTTGACAACACATACATGGCTTGCAACGGCGTTGTATCCCGAGAGTCCATAGCCTGGCGCGGCGGCGACAATGAAGTCATACAACGAGCGCGTAGTCGAAGAGACGGAGATCCTGTGCCGTTCTTCTTCGCGGACGATAGCGATGATAACGGGATAATGCTCGGTGCCTTCGTCGAGGTGAGTCCTGCTGCTGCCTTCACGATTGTCCTTTTGAACACCACTAACCTTTTCATAGGAAGACGACGAATCCGACTTCCTCCCATTCCCATACTCTTACGCAACATCCAAAAGTGCTAGTCTCCCCGCTGTGCCTCAAGCCAGAGTAAGTGGCACCAAGAGACGCAAATGCAGCTTCACGAAGAACATCTCCATGCTCGCGCTCATGAACCCAGCCCGAGGATCCTATCTCAATCCCATGACCACTGTCAAAATATCAGCCAGAATAGCCAAGACGCTCGCAAAGCTGCGGAAACCATCTATTCTAGTCGCTCCTGTAGCATCAAAAAAGGAGCCAGCTCTCACTCCGTCCACAGGCCATTTAAACCACATCATTACGGTACCGCCTCGCCAACAGTCGTTCACTCCTATGTGCGTCCAGAACTCACACTCCAATGCCGCGATCATGAGCATGATCAAGCACCAGAGACTGCTCACAAAGCGCCAGCAAAGCGGCAAAACCGTCGGTCGCAGGTTGCGGTCGGCGATGGGCACGGAGAGGATTGCTGCGTACGAAAAGCCTAAGAAAGGGATGGGCACGACCAATGGCCGGGTCGCGGGCGGCAGCAGGGTGTTGGGGGAGATTGAAGACAATGATGCTGGACTGGAGGGTCACCGTTGAAGGCACTGGCAGGGCGGTGTGCATGGGATAGGTACCGGAGGACACGGTCACGGTCACGGTTACGGAGAGAAGCAAGAGAGGATCATGAGGCGATGGAAGTCTGATGGGCAAGAGGAAGCCTAGGTTTCCTCGTATCATGAGGCCAATACTCTTGAGCCTCGTCAAGGTAGAAAGCGTCAGATGTGCCCACAGTACCACAAGGGACTGAAGTCTCTCTCGACGGGTGCAACCGAAAAGATCGGAATGACATAGGTCACCCGGAGATAGGCCCACACAGAAGTACGACGGTCAGAAGAACAAGAAAAAGTGGTCATATCATATCGTTGAGCTCTTTCTTCAGACCTGCATCACAGTTCCGCAGGTCAAGGAAGAAAAAAGCTGCCAGCAATGGCGTGTGCCTCCTTCATCACCATAATCTCCTGGAGGCAATATCCCCTTCCACTCATTACCGAGTACCTGCCTTCCATCTCCGGTTTCCTGCAAGACATGTGCCATTGAGAACAGGGTGGGAAACGCTATCCACACCAGAACCCACAAGGGTCGCTTCTCCTCTCCTGAACTCCGAATCCAGATCCACATTCCGCGGCACACGGCTATGTTGTCGCCTACTCCGTTTCCCATGCTCAAACTAGCATCGAGATGGCTGTTGTCACAATTCCCATCTCCTCTGGAGGACGGTGTCACATTCTCCCATAAACCATGAGAGAAGGTCTGTCTTGGTTGATTCAAAAAATCAAAACTCGCTTTTCGTTGAATGGTCGGCCGTGTTGACCGTTGTTTTTCTTGCAGAATGATCGTCGTCACAAAGGTGATATCTTGGTTGCTAACGTAACTCATAATTGTAGCATAGCAGTGCATCGTCGAAGAACAATCGCAAAATCTTCCTGTGGTTCGAGGTCTCGGGTAATAGCACTGGACGTGAATAAGGCGTCATACTGGCTTTTCGCTGTGTGTTGCGCTGATTTCCAAAATCCTACCCAGGTGGGATAGATTTGGCCGGATAGAGACGACTAGACGTCGATCATCTCCGCGTCTTCCGCGAGAATATCATCAGCAGGGCCCCAGTTGCCTTCATAGACAGTAGCGCCGGCACGTCTTCTAGCATCAACGAACCGAATTCCTTCCTCTTGTAGTACCTCTGTGATCAAGGGCCGATCAGCAGGTGCAGGCCGCATCATCCGTTTCACAACATTGTCCAATGACGCTGGATGAGCGCGATCCAGCATGAAAGGAGGTGGCAGAGTCAATTCACCAGGTCGAGCTGGAGGCAATGATGGCCGCTTCTTCTCACCTTCGTCTGCAACATCCATGGCGGTGTCTGCATCGGTGATCTCCGGGCTGTCGATGGGGTTGCCAGAAGCGTCTCGAGAGAAAACACTGCTTTCGGAATCCCATGATAGGGTGGTGATATCGCTCCAGTCTCCGTTGCGCAGCTTCTGCCACGACGTGCCATTGTCGGGCAGCACAACGTTACCGGCAATTTCCAGCATCATAAGACCAAGCGAAAAGACATCGGCAGGTCTGTTGTATTGGCCTAAGAGAATCTCCGGTGCAATGTACTCTCGGTCGCCTTCGCCCTCGATGCCAGGTTCAGCAGGCAATTTACTAGCCATGCCGAAGTCCGCAATCTTCAAAACGCCCTCGAATGAAATGAGAACGTTGGCAGGCTTGAGGTCTAGGTGGACGTATCCCTGTTCATGAATGTGTTGCAATCCCTGGTCTTTATTAGCATTTAACACGAACCAGAAAGGAGCAAGAACTTACGAGTGAAAGTTCCAGCACAATCTTCCAGATGCGAAAGTCGTCAAGTCTGGCTCTCGAGCCCTTCTGATCCACGAAGGAGCCTAGGGTGCCCTCTTCGCAGAACTCGGTCTGAATATACAGGTGGTTCTCGTTCTCCCAACTGTCAACAAAGCCAATGACGTGGTCAGACCGGCCGAGTACTTTCAGCGCTTCGACTTCTTTCAGCTTTCGCTGTCTGTCCTTGACGCCAGCATAGGGATAACGAGACTTCTTAACCGCCCAAACATACTCCTGGAGCGAGCCGCGAGGTGTCGTGCGTCCGCTCATGCTGTAGATCTTGTGGTACGGTGAACTCTGGGGCGGCTGAGAAACCCTGTAGACCTGGGAGAATTCGCCAGTCCCGATTAGGTCAACTTTTTCGAATCTGGCTAGTAAGCTACCGTCCAGGGTCTTAGTGTGGGCCGTCTTGAGATCAAGGCTGGGTCTGTTGGAGAAGTTTGCGAAGTAGTCGCGCGGACCCGTTGGTGTAGCTGGCACGACCGTGCTAAGACCATTTCTGGTCGTCGGTCGTTCTCCTCGTCCTGAGATGGTTAGTCCGCTAGGATCGGGTGGGAAGACGCTCTCTTGTGGAGTATGGGGAGACAATCGCGATTCTGGCCTATTTCCGAGGGGTGTGACTGGGAAGACATTTTTAGCATGTTTCACGGCAGGGATGCGGTGGGTGGATTGAAAGAGAGTACTCCTCGCCAGCGGAGTTGGGGAACTCATATTCTTGAGAAGACGACCTTGGGTGAAGGAAGTCCCTGCCTCAAGAAGTTCGCGTGACGATTTATGGCCCGTGTTAGCGGATGGCGAGCCAGCCATCGCGCTATCACTGTCCTCATCGACGCTTTCTGGAGACTGTTTGATGGGAGACAACTTACTACTCGGGAATTGAGATCCAGATAATGCGGGCACAGAAAGGTTGCGACCATGATGCGGTGAAGGCGAGATTGAGCTCCCTCGAGACGGCTCGTCGAAATGCTTCGTTGGAGTAGGTGGAAAGCCGGAGTCATTCGTGGATTGACTTGCATTGGCCTGAATAGGTGATTGAGAGGACGCTTTCTCATCGAAGTCAATGGAAGCAAAGCTCGCTTTCCGGAGGAGTCCATTTTTTGTTTGCCGCGTCGAGAAGAGCCCCAGGCTCTTGGCGAAAGGTAAGGGCTTGATACCTTGAGACTCGGCAGGCGTGGCGGGCGTTCCGAAAGAGACCCGATTACGACCCGCACCAGCTTTGGCATCTGGAGGAAACATGATAGACTGCCTCTTGCAGGGTGTATCTGGCATGTGGGCCCTTGGTAGGCCAGCATTTGGGTCGTTGATGTTCCTATTCTTCTTCGAAATCAATCCAGTGGACATGAAAGCAGCGGGTAGCGGTCTGGCCGACTTGTATGTGCCAGGAGTTGCGAATGAGCCTTGGGATGAGTTCTCAGACGAGTCCCGGGAGGGCGTAGGTCTCGTAGATCCTATTGGCAAAGATTTTGAGAAGTCGTGGGATGCTGGTCTTGTGGGGCGGTGGAATGGCTCATGAGTCGGAGAGTCGCCCGTTATGCTCGACTGCGAGGACGACTGCGTGATAGTCCGAGAAAGAGGGTGACGAGCTGTGGATGCAGCGTTCTCAACCTGACTGTTACCTTTCGGTGGGGCAGGGTGTATTGAGGCGCTGATTAGATGGCCTTGGGCGCCGAACGGGCTCTCTCGCGACATAGGCTCGAGATGGTTGTCCAACGACATGCGCAGTGACTTTTCAACCTTCGCAAAGGGGGTGGCATCGAACCAACTGTTCTCAAGCTCCAAATGCTGGTTGAATCTCATGTTGGAGCGCTCCGCCTGCCTTTGCTGGATGGTCGACTTGCGTAAAGACGTAGAACGTCTTGGAATGGTGCTGAACTTCGTAGCAGGGCTAGCATGACGAAGCCAGTCGCCTTCCTCCTGAGCACGACTGCCATAGGCATTATTCGGAGACTCGGACTCGAAAATGCTGAAGTCGAGCCCAGAGCTGGGTCCATGAAGACTGCGACGTTTGGCGGACGGGCTCTTGATCTCGTCCTGGTCCAACACCATTGGCTCGGAGCGCTTCATTGGGCTCTGTGGAGCGACAAAGCTCATCAAGCTGCCACCACTTCTACGCTTCTCCTGCCTAGTGTAGACATGGCGTGCACCGAGTCCTTCTTCCTGGCTCGAAGAGTTCTCTTTGTCGCTACCACCAAATATCGTGTTACTAAGACCTTGCTCGCGGTCAGCCTCTGTTGAACTTCGTTTACGGAGGGTAGCAGGAGTAGAGTTGCCGCTATCGGAGGAATCGCTGAGAATCTTCTTGGAGGGACTCTTTGGAGAGGTGCGGGCTCTAAGGTTGTTCGACGGCTGCGCAGATCTTCTCAGACTTGGCCGTGGTTGTCGACTCGTGGGATTACGGCTTGCGAAAGGCGAGGCCATGGTTGTGGAGTTTGAGAACAGATCCGAGGTCGATCGTCTTGATGGAGATAATGGAGAAGGATTGGCAGGTACATTTCCCATGCTCGGTGAGATTGAGCGCAGACTGTTGCGGAAATCTGCTGTTTTGGAAGGTGATCGTGATAAAGATCGCTGGATCTCCCCGATAGCAAGACGCGAATCGCAGTAGCGCAGCCGATGAGGAGAGTGAAGGTGGACAGGACTTGAGCCTTCGTGGTGGGGAGAGCAAGTTTCGATCATCTTGGACCGGATCGCTGCGGTTGGTGGTGGGTTTTTGATTATTCGTTAAGAGGCGCGGCGTCCATTGAAGTGGAATCACCAGAGGAAGATTACTCCCGTGTGACGGATTCGAGGCGAAGCGCAGTGCACATGAATCAGATCAGCCTGGGCTGTGCTTCCTGAACAGTATGTTTGTTGCCTAAACGGATCTTGTGGCGATATTATCCTGAGTTTCGCAGGTGGCGGATCGCGGTGGAGAGGTGGCCCGAACAGCCGGAGCGCTGTGGTGGTGGTCTTAACCGAGCAAAATGCTCGTGTTTAGTGGAGGCTGATGTGTTCAACGCCGAAAGCCTGGCAACATAACTTGCAGACGGAGCACCGGCTTGAGGAAAGTATCTCGTGAGCAGCTGCTAAGAGCCGCTCGTCGTGTGAGGTGTTATGGTGAGGTGACGCGTCTGCGAAGAAGGTTACAAAGGGTCGCGGTTTCTAAAGGGAGATAAACTGCTGGACAAGTCTCGAGAGGAAGATGTTGCAGTGAGTGATGAGGTACGATCGGGCGATGAGGATAAGAAAGGGTCCAGACGTTCACAGAGGCCCTGATCAACTCTGGTCACAACCAACTTTTTAGAACGCGCGCAGTATCGTGCCAAGGTAAACAAGGTGGCCAAACACGCGACTATTGGCCGATATCCTGGTAGCCCCACAAAAGACCCCCACACAGGATTCGGCTGCACCCGGAGTGCGCGTGGCAGTCAGCCGTTCGTAGCACCTTCCACGAGCCTCACTCACAATGCCTACTGCACAGTGACGTTGCTGCTGCCTTGCATAATTCTTGTACAGATAGTTCTGTCCTCGTCCCTCACGTTCGCAAAAAAGCAGAGCCGCACTAAAATCAGAATGTCATCAGTGTCTCGAACAGATTGCTCAATCTTCCGAGTGGTGCCCGGAAATCAAATCCTACAGGGGTCATAGCAAAAAGGGGGTTACAAGCTCACTGCCTTTTCGGGGATATTGATAATAAACACGATTGAATTAATCTTCTGCCAGGCATCCATCATGAACGCCTTGTATCGGTACTGGTACATCCCACTGGGCTATGCGGAGCTGCCACTGGTTCGTCGATTGGACATTCTATCAGTTCTATCGATATGGCCCATAGGCGAGCCATTCGCTCGGTGTTGACATTTCGCTTCGTCGGGTTTTCCCTCCATCTGGTGGCCATTTTGGCTGAATATCAAGTGCTGCCACAGCATGTTCCGGCAATCAGGGAAATCATTGCCAATGTTAGCGGGAGGCAACACACAATACCCGGCCACGTTCGCGGTCGGCAGTGAGGCCGCCAGGGTTTCCGGCTTTCGTAGTCTCCGCTCCTGCCAGACCCCTCAAGTTTGCTGCCGGAGATCTTCACAACTTATGCCAGATTGTCACCATTGTCATTCCGCCGCCTTGATTCTGCTGATGTACGCGTCCCACCCGGCTTGTCGATACTCCTGAGCTGCGGCAATAGGATCCCGGTTGGCATAAATCCCTCGGCCGGCAATCAGGAAATCAGACCCTCCTGCCATCGCCGTTATCGGCGTCTGGTACTGCTGCCCAAGAGCGTCGCCCTTGTTGGCCATGTTGACACCGGTAGTGAAGATGATGAAGTCTTCATCTGCAGCCGTCGCAGGTGCGATATCAGCCAGGGATTTAGTACACACGAACCCCACAACACTACCCGCATACTGCCTGGCAATGTCGACTGAAGCCCGTGTGTAGTCACCTACCGCCAGGGAACCCTTGGAGGTCATCTCGGCCAGTATCAAAATGGCGCGGTCGGTCACCTTCTCTTTCAAGATGGTTTCATCCAGGGCTTGAATGACTCCCGGACCAGGCAAGACACTCGCATTCACGATGTGCGCCCACTCATGGATGCGCAAAGCACCTCCACTGTATTGCTTCTGCACAGTGTTGCCGATATCGATGAATTTGCGATCTTCGAAAATCAAAAAGTCATGCTTTTGTGCGATTCGACTCAGCCCCTCCGTAGTCTTGCTGCTGAAGTCAGCGACAATGTCAATGTGCGTTTTCAGCACCGCAATGTGCGGCCCGAGATCTGTTAGTCACTATTAGTCCTAGACTTGTACCAGTATGACATCTACGGCCATCTAGTGGCACCCACCGTCAGCTATCTTCAGCAGCTCGCCGGTCGTGGTGAGATCTGCAGAAAGAACAATGTTGGTTTGTTTGCGCTCTGCAATCTCGAAGAGTCTCTTCGCCAGCACGTTCGGATGGGCTTTGGCGCGCTGCGCGAACGACTGCTTGCTCTTGGAAGACATGTCGGCCAAAGATTGTGGACGATGAGCAGGGACGTGGGCTTGATTCAGGAAGTAACACAGTTTTCTTGATCGCCCGCGGATTATGCTTAGTCATGCACAGATTTCGATGTACACTCACACAGATGCAGTCTCTTGAAATGCTCTACACTATTGCCTCGCCTCATAAATAAGATCCATGTACCTCAACCACTGCGTTAATATGCGATATAAGCTTACGATAATGCTTGTGCGGGTTCCTAGGCAATGTTTGTTCGCCTAAAGATAGTCTTTTTGTCGCCGTGCAATATGCTGAATATAAATCACCAACACGATCTACGGGGTAGCAAAATCAGACGACAATCTCCCCTAACTCACTGCAGATGCCTCTCGACTACAGCATTTCCCAACATCATTCGACAAACTGTAATGCTGTCCAGGCTTACCGGTATTCAAGTGGCTGAGCCTCGTCTCGAACGATTGTAGGTTGCACCGTGGCCACAGCTCCCTTCTGCAGCCCAGATAGGTGCCTTGCAATACCTATTGTTGACCATCAAGGCTCAGAAGATGCGTACCCGTAGCGTTCATGTCCACCTCTCGCTCCCTTCCATAAGGTCGCCGGGTCATAACATCGACCCGTAGACCCGTAGCGACACAGCATCACAGTGCACATGCCGGTACGTTGAGCCCAGAATACCTACCTGGACAATGGGGTATCACAGGCCCCCTGAAAACCGATGCATCCAAATATCCACCTCAGGTATAGAACTGCTCTAAATGCGATACGAATTCGGCACACCCATAGCGAAGGTTGGTTCCAGCGCAGGCTCGAGTACCGACGTACCTACCTACCCATTTGGGGTGAGGATTTATCGACTGCCAGGAAGCGCATGGACGGATGAAAGTACCAACTAGTCCGGGAGACTGCTGAAGAAACCTTGATTCAGGCATGACCTGGGTCACCTGGGTGACTCTGAAGCACGTCCCCCACATACAGTAATTGCCGCTGTAGCGAGGCAATTCCAATGGGTTGGGGCGGTTCGGGGCCCGGCCATCGTGCTTCACCGCTTTCGGTCACTAGGGCGTTCAGGAACGACGATTTTAGTGTTAGAGGCTAGTAGTGCCAACACTCAAAGCCGAATGGCCCGCGGCCAGAAGAAAGCCGGACCGCCTCGCTGGGCGCCACGTTGTGCCCGCTTCCCACGGGAATTGTAGTTTTGCATGACCCAGCATCCACTGGCAGCCCATGGGGACGGCGTCATTACTGCTTCGTCCACTTCCAAACGTCTCTGCCTAATATCCGCCTCTCCTTTCCTCTCCTTTCGTCCTCGTTGCCACCAAATCACCTCCTATCAAGCCAGCTTTCTCCCTGTGGACACAAATTAGTCTCCTTAATTCCGTGTGGCGCAGGCTGCCCTTCTGGGTTGTCGTCATACCCGAATAGATTCCTTCCTTCCCTAACCATCATCTACATTGTCGATCGTTACGAACTGGCGCAGACTATCACATTGGCATCGCCAGAGATGTCCTGGGAGCTACTCGGCCCATAGCGCGTGCTACCCTCCGCAAGGCAAGAAACGCAATGCCTGGTGACAGAGACTCAAACAAGGGCGAAGCTGCGCCGGAAGCCAGCAATCCTTTCACCGCGGACCACACAAAGCCTCGAGAACCTTCGCCTTTGCGTGCCTCCCGAAGCTCCTCGTCAATCCCTCAGATCTCCCGATCGCGGAAAAATTCCCAAGAATTCAGTCCGACTAGGAACACCACCCTAAGCGGCACACTGTCCACCATCCCCTCGGCTGCAGCGGTGCAGCGAGCGCTGTCGGCGCAAAGACCAGTTTTACAGCCAGGAGCTGGTCTCGAAGCTTCCTCCGACAGTACGCGAGCCCGGCCATCGGGAAATAATTCGCCCGCCTGGCCTACATCACCGAGGTTGAAGTCGCCTCCTCCATCGCTGGCAAGCCGACAGACTCTACCCAAACGGAGCGACAACGACCACACTCCCTCCAATACATCAATGAAACGCCTCACGAACATCTCAGCTTCTGACGATGGCGGCGCTACACATACACCCGATAACGGAAAGGAACAGGCAACATCCTCCCAGTTGGCTTTACGCCCTCCTGGACGAGGGCCCAGTGCAGCCAGTGGGGGTTTAGAGCCTGTGGCCGAAGGTAGCATCCCTACCACTCCCTCCATCAGCCCCGAGAACAAGCCATTAGGGGATTCTAAGCCCGAGGGTTCGGGCTTAAGCCAGCATTCGGTATCAGATGCTTCCACCGTTAGGAATGGTGATGGGAACGATCTCAAAGCAGCTGCCAGTAAGGCTGAGAACGATGCTAAAGCACGAGTTTCCAGCAATTCGCGCACCGGCGCAAATCTGGCCAAACGCTCACTCACCAGTCTGACCTCGGCCAAGGCCAAAGCGCCTGATCCCCCGAGAACGATGACCATTGAAACCGAGCCGGTGACCACTACACCTCAGTTACTGGGAACAGAGCGGCTCACTGGGAGAGATGGAAGTGGCAGCGTACGCACAAAGCCTAGCAACGAAACTATCCGACCCAAGAAGGAGAAAAAGAAGGCAACCCGCAAAACACCCTCGCTTCATTCAGGAACAGTCACCTCAAAAGCTGACATCTTCGAGGCCAAGGTAGCTAGTGCGGTGGACGAAGCAGACACCTCCGACTCGGACGAGACATTTGTCTACGAATCGAATCCACCCGACAGCCGGTCGCATCGTCATCACTCAAGAACACCCAGTGCCACTTCTTTAGCGAGCACAGATCATCATGGTCGTAACCGGCACGGAATGCGGTCTGGCAGCAACGCGGTAGGCGCCAAAAAGAGTATGAAATTTTCCAACTATAACAACGGCCTCGACGAGGGCGAAGATGGCCGCAGTAGTATTCGCAACGGCTCTTCACACCGACCTCATCACATTGGCCGACACGGCAAGGCCGCCCACAGCTCAATACTCGACTCAAACTCTCCTTTCAGCCAAGCCAGCAAAACCAATTCTCCAAAAGCTTCATCCGCCAACTTGGCGAAATTCTCGCGGCCTAACAGTCCCAAGGTGTCGAACGGCCGAGTAGCATCAAGTCCCAAGAAGGGTGATGCCTTCGACATCTATGACAATCCCGCGGACGACGAGCGTACACCCCTTGTAGGAGGTTCGGTGCGAGTCAATCGAAATCGACATACTCGGCGATCTGGACTTCGTAACACTGACTACTTTGACGAGACCGATGGCAGCATCTGTGGTCGTCTGGGCGGCTGTATCCTAATTGGTCTGGTCGTTCTTATCGTGTGTGTTGGTATAGTCACCTTCGTCATTGGCTTGAATCAGCCTTTGGTTGATGTGAAAGTTCGACACCTTCAAAACATCCTTGCTTCCGAGCAAGAGCTCATGCTGGACCTGCATGTCGATGCCATCAACACAAATATCTTTGCCATCTCGGTTAATGACCTTGATGTGAACATCTTCGCAGAAAGTAGCCATGTTGGCAGCTCCAGCGACTATGAAAAGGAAAAGAAAAATCTCCGCTGGGCAACGCGGATAGGGGAGACCGAAGATGATGACCGCACCCTTCCTTGGCCCTTCCCAGCCGACGGTATCGATGAGGGTACCGATCCCATCGAAGAGGAGCCTGGGACGCAGAAGATGCTTCTCGGCACTATCCTTGAGTTCGACTCTCCTCTGACGTTTGACGCATCTCCTCTGCGCCGGCGACGATCAACCTCAGTAGGAGAAATCCGCCTTGCGAAGCCCGGCAACAAAACCGAGGTCGGCGGATCTGCACGCTGGGAAAGAGTGCTCCAGCATGATTTCAACCTGATCGTGCGAGGAGTCATCAAGTATCAAGTCCCCCTGAGCTCGAAGATCAAATCGGTCAAAATTTCCAGCATAGCTACGGTCCATCCTAATGAAGACGATGGAAGCAAATCTCACACGTCACTAGATGAATGAATCACGACAGTCGATGAATCTCGTTTGTTAGCGTTATAGCCTGTCAACAGGCGTAGACAGTGTCCCAAGATACCCATCGAGGAAGACGGAAAAGCGTTGGGCTCACACATCGCCGAATTTGGCTACAAATTGGAACAAGGGCGAGGAAGGAAGGGTCCGGACCGAGCATATAAAGGCACTGACCCGGGTCTGATGCTGGATTTTGTACGTTAGCTTGAAGCTGGAAGGAATTCCCAGTGTAGTTTAAACACGTCGTCTTGCCTCTCGAAGGCAGACCCAATTCATTGAGGCAGAGGATGAGGCCCATGCAGCCCACGCGAGAATTCGGAGTCAAGTAAGCTGCGCTCGAATGGTTGCTGAAACTGGAATCCTGGACAGTGTTGCTCTCCTGATCAACTTCCGCTCAGGCAGTCTCAACCGGTGGGCGCAGAAAGTGACATGGGTACATGGGTACGGGCAGGCGCCCGTTTGGGAAAGGATGAAGTATGACTCTTTCTCTCAAGCGTGTGCCCAATTCCTGAGTCCATCGTATGCGTTGTACAATGTCAGCAAGAGGCAAAAAGCTGCCCAACGAATGGCAGATGACATCGACGGCAGCTAATTGAGGCCTTGGAAGCCACTGCTGCAAGCCTGGTTTCTCTGCATGCACCGCCTCTGCGCGATCCCAAAGTTCCCACCCGTTCAACCTGCATCCAGCCTCCGCCCACTTTCAGCCCCGCCATTTCTTGCCTGCCTACCAACTCTTCACTCTACCTCCTTCGTCATCCGCACCGTCTTTACCTACTTTCTTTCCCAGCTCTCCTACTCCCCAATAAATCATTACGATCAACACCATCTAAAACGTTCGAAAGGCGGATCGCGCCACATTCCCGGCGCCTCCGGCCGCTTGAACTTTACCTCCACCATTACTCAGCCGCAACCCCTCTCATCATCGTCCGCCCAGCCTTGCCCCGTGCGTTGGCACGATAAGCCCCAACAATGGGTTCGATTGCCTATCGCGACCGCGAGCGCGACTATGACGCTCGAACCAGTGTCTCATCAAGTCGTCGTGAACGAGATGGTGGCTACACCACCGTGAAGCGATACATAATTAAAGATGACGACAACCGCTCCTCCTTTGGCGGCCGTGACTCCCGATCTTTCGTGCCCGAGCGCGCAGGCGAGCGAGTGGAGGAAACCCGCATTATTCGTCGCGAAGCCGATGTTGAAGAGCCTCCACGGCGGGAGATGCGCAGAGAAGAGCCGAAATATTCGACCGAAGAATTGGTGATTCGCCGCGATCGTGACGATGACCGGAGGGATCCCTACTATGATCGCCGACCTGCCGAGCGCTCCTCTGATCAAGAGCTCATCATCAGACGCACCACGGAAGAGGAACCCCGCCATGAGACCGCCCTCTCCCGATTCGATGATCGTGATCGCCGCGACTACCGCTATGGGGATAACTACGAGGTCGGGCCTCCTAGGCGTGGTGATTTTTATGAACGCGATCGCGATGTCCAGCGATACACTCGCACCACGGACTACTATCAGCCTGCTCCTCAGCCACAAATTGTGGTTCTCAAACAAGACCCCATCATTATTCGCGAGCGCATCCGTGACGATGACTACCAGGTTGTTCGCAAGACCGACATCGATGAGGAAAAATCGATCGTCCGCAGGGCTCCAGAGCCGCCTAAAGAGGAAGAATATTTCTATGAGAAAAAGGTGCGCGAGCGCATCGACGATGGGCGCAGGCGTTCTCGCTCGCGTGACGATGATTGGCGTGACCGCCGAGTCATGAAGCGAGAAGTTAGCCCGCATGATTCAGTCTCCCAAGTAGGTGGTCGTCGCGACTACAGCAGCGATGACAGCATGGTCTACGTCAAGCGTACCAAGGAAACAACTGTCGAGCGAAGCCCTAGCCCGGACCGACGCAAGAATCTGGCCGCTGGCGCTATTGCAGGTATCGGTGCTGCCGAGCTCCTTCGCAATCACAAGAAGAAGGAAGGGCGTGACGCCTCGCATGGCGTCGGTCGTCTCGGCCGTGACATCGGTGCCGGTGCTTTAGGTGCTGTCGCCGCAGAAGGTATCAGTCGTGCTCGCTCTGCATACCGCAGCCGAAGCCGCCGCCGCCGCTCTCGATCCCGTTCTGGATCGAGCGATAGTGGTCGTGCTCGACGACGAAGCCGCAGCAGAGGCCGCGGCGAGAGTCGCAGCCGTTCCGAGTCTCGCTCCAAGCTAAAGACCCTCGGTGCGTATGGTCTTGGCGCGGCCGCTCTCGCTGCCGCCGCTGCAGTTGCTGCGAAGAAGATCAAGTCCAATAAAGAGAGGGATGGCTCAGTATCTCCTCACAGAGGCCGCAGCCAGTCTCGGCACAGAACAGATCGGGTGGAATCTATGCAGGAACTGACCAATGATCCATCGGCTGGTGATGATGCTCGCAATCCAAAGCATCGCAATAAACGCATGGCTGAAGCTGGTGCTGCGGGTGCTGCTATTACTGCGCTCATTGATAGAGCTCGCAGCAAGTCTCGAGGCCGCGACCGATCTCGTTCCCGTATCAGGACGGCGGCACCGGTCGTTGCGGCAGGTCTGGGCAGTGCTGCCCTTGCTGGTCTCTACGAGCGGAACAAGGCCAAGAAAGAAGCTGAAGTCATTCAGAAGGATGAGCGCCGTAACAGATCTCGTTCGCGCAGCCGTGCTCGCTCAGAGTACACCGAAGGCTATCGAGACGGACCACTCAATGATCCTGGCCTGATTGAATACGGCGACGGCCCGATGCACGGTAACAACTATGGCGAGGGCTACTACGGCAGACCAGCGCCGCAAGAGGGTTATTACGCCAACCAAACCGCCGTGGTTCCCGCTCCTGGCACTGCAGCTCCAGCCCCTTATGGCGCTACTCGTGATTTCCGGGACCCAAGTCCCGGATATGGCCGCGAACGACGAAGCAGGTCTCGAAGCACAAGCTCATCTCCAGGTGGACGTCGCCGCAGTAGCAGACGTCGTGTTGCCGAAGCCGGTGCGGCGGCCGCGGCAGGCGCTGCTGGAGCATCGATGTATGAGCGTTCGAAACAAGAGAAGCGCGAGCGAAAGGCTCGTAAACGACGTGAGTAGTCATTCGGATACTTTGGCTTCAGACTGATGAATTTTAGGTGAGCAAGAGCAATACGGCGACCCGTATGAAGAAGGGTACAACCCACAAGCCTCGCACGCGCCGCCTCCAAGCGATCCGTATGGTGCGCCGCCGCAGCCTGGATACTATCCTGAAAGTGGCGCCTTCCCACCACCACCTGGCGCTGGACAGTACGCACCCGACCCAGCAGCTCAGCAAGCTGGCAACTACATGCAGCAAGGCTATCCGCCGCCCCCACCAGGAGGCCCCGGGATGCCTCCCCCACCTGGTGTTGGCTACGAGCCATACGCATCCGGCGCCAACCCATATGCGCCACCTCGGGGCGCAGACAATGTGAGTGTGCCGAACTATTCCAGCCCGGATGGTACGTCTGGTACCTTGTTCTTCTTTACAAACCGTCTCGTTCCCATCATCTGCACAGTACACTAACTCCTGTAAAGGTCTAAACTCTTCACGCTCGGTCGATCCCGGCTCATTCCCTCCACCTCCGCCAGGACCTCCTCCTCCCATCACTCCCGCAATCAGTGTGCAGCCTCCTTCTTCCACCCCCGACACCACACAGCTCCATGTCCCGCCAACCTATGTTCCTCCCACCAATCGCGCCGCTTCGCCTCCTCGCGAAAGCGACCGCCGCCTGAACGACTCTCCACCACAGTCTTCAACTCCCCGTCCCCGTGCCGTATCACAACCCCCTCCTGCCTCTGGCTCTACCTCCAACGGTCCCCGCAAATCTGTCCAGTTCGCTGCCGAGCCGGACGTCCAGCCCGCAGACCCGCCTGCATCAGAAACTTCGATGCCAGAGACTGGGCGAACACGGCATCGCCGTCGCGATCGCGGATATGAGGCAGGTGATGACACAGACGAAACGCCGGATGATCAGCGGCGCAGAGCTAAAGGGTTAGAGCCACAAGACGTTGCAGAAAGAGATCGCGGCCGAGAAGGCGATGGTGATGGGGAAAAACGCCATCATAGAAGGCGGCGGAGCCATGACCCCTCGTCCTCTTCTCGCCGCGACAGGGATAGAGACCGTGATCGCGACCGTGATCCCACTTCCTCTTCGCGTCGCGACAAAGACCGAGACAAGGGCAAGCAGAAGCGTCGGGACGACGGCAACAACGACGGCGGCGACTCGGACGCCACTGAGGAGCTGCCTCCGCGCTTCGATAACGAGGGACGCAAGAAATCGGAGCGGGGCGAGGACCCTGTGGCGGATCGCCTTGAAGAGATCATCAGTGGCAAGGGCGCTGCGGGCAAAGTGTTTGGGAATTTCGTTGATGGGCTGTTTGGGCCTGGGGAGCGGAAGAAGAGGGATCGTTGAGCATGGTGTCCAAGATAGCGTTGACGTCTGACGACTTTTCATGAGAGACGGCTTTTCTTTTCTTTTCTACTTTTTCTCTTGCGGTCTGGGGAGGAGGGCCAGCTGCTGGGGTATTTTTTTGGATCGGGAATATGAGACGCATGGGTGAAGAGCTGGGACATCAAACTCAACCACACCCACGCATTTTCATACGATTTGGGACATGTGAGTGCACACAGCCGACCAGTTGACCAGTCAGTCATGCGAGCAAGCAAGCAAGCAAGCCAGCACAGCCAACAGCCCAACGAAGTAACGACTTTTTCTTTTTTTGACAACCAAGCCAAGTCTCTCTCTCATCTTTCATCCTCCTGCCCTTTCTCGGGAGGTTTCATATCTCGTTCGATCCGGTGAGGTTAGCCACGGCCCATTGATGGGGCGTTCGGATGGAGGGGGGGTCGAGCTATAGAGACGTCTCACGATGCTCTATTGCAAGGCGGTAGGGGATGGATGCTGAGCAGACATGGCAGGGAGAGAGGCAAGGCAAGTCAAGGAATGAATGGTGCTGGACCAACGACTTCACGACCCTGATGAGTTTGACGAACGATCATGATGAAATAGAGAACAAAACCAACATTCATGCCCAGCTAGCTGCATGCACTATCTAGCCCTTTTTCAAAGCTGTGCCCTTGATTCGTTGCTCTTCTGCAGCGGTCGGAGGGACCGTCCGATTTGGGGGGCGAATATACATGTGTGTATATATATACACATGTATATATGCCCTCAGGCCTAGTAAGCGTGCTGCTCTTACGCTGTGCCGCCGCCGCCATAACGTTCCGTTCGGTCGGGTGAGCGCATTGCACGCCACTGGTACGCAAGGTGGTTAAGGATCCAGAGAATGACTCTGAATCTGTCCAGTCCAGAAACGGTGGGAAGGAAGGGCAGGATAGGCAATGGGGCTCTGGTGAGGGACACAGCCGAAGCAGTTGAGACCGAGTCAGGGATTATCGCGGAGACCGCCATTGGCATAAAAAAAGCGATTCACTATTGCGGGAGACGGAGGCCTCTCTGAGAGGGTAGTTCGATGGGCTTCACTGTTCTGGATTTCTCTTCGGCGACTCCATCTACGGCGCAGGAACATCCACTAATCTATGAGAAGTGCCCCAGCTCGATCCATGAGACTGCAAGTCTTCGAACTTCCACGCGGGGCTGTGACCTACAGCATGATTGCAACCGGGACATGAGGCTGTTATCGACACAAGGCGTTGCCTTCAAGTCACCTCCGCTGGTGTCGACCATTTCCATCCATTATGTTGGAATGATCCGGACCGAGAAGTAAGGCTCAGCAGCAGTGACCACCACTCTACCATTTCACAATCAACTCGGATCATTGTCCTCGGATCCCGCCCATCATCACATTGTCATCCAGTCGCTCCTTACTCACCAGAATCCCGGTGGCTTACTGTCCTTCGCTGCATACATGCTCTTCACCGGTGACCCTATCCCACCTGTTCCAACAGGTTGCGTCCCTGCAGCTCTTCTTGCTGCGCCCTTTTGACTAGCGCTATCTTCCGGCCCAAGTGGCGCTTCACTCAAAGCGGCCATGGCACTCACTGCAACAGGAACGATTGCACCACCAAGCCCCTTCTGGTAGTAGTTGCCCTGCTCGTCAACTACGACCTCCGCGCGTGTGTTCATCCTCGTACCGTGGATCGGCTTGGCAATGTCGCTTCCCACCACAGAGCCAGGAGGTGCCATGATACTATTGCCGCCAGAACGGAGAACACTCGCAGGCACACGAGAAGCTGGTATCAGAGGGTGAATCTGTGACTGCATACCTGGTGGCAAAGACTGCTCGTGACGAATGCGGGCATCGAGTTGACGTCGCATCGTACCATAATTGTGCATACCAACGAAGTCAATCTTAGTCAGGACAGTGACGGTGGTATCGAGAAGACGTCGGATGCGATTGTCTTTGAGCAGGGATTTGCCGGTGGTAGCGGCGTCAGTAAGCTCACCCACCTCGAGTGCCTGATTGGCCTCGAGGGCAGAGTTTATGGTCGTGTCAACTAGACACATTTCATAATGAACGAAGCCTTGTTGGACCATCACTTCGTAGCTGTACTCGAGAGCCTTCCAGAGACGCTTATCGGACGGCGAAACCCGAGTGCAAAGAGTCTTTTGCTCGGTGACGCGAAGCTGGATTCCTTCGTGCTCCGGTAGCAAGCACTCGTGCAGGCTGACACGCTTCATCTGAACACTCTTGATTGTCAGAATGTTGCCTGAGGGCTGCTGAAAGTACAAGCTAAGACCACGTCCTGGCGCGATGTGGATCGAGCTCACGAACCTCTCAACTGTGTCTTGGATCTCGAGAGGAGGATTGTGCCAGAACTCTGCTCCTTGCAATATGGCGCAGGCATCCCAAACCTGAGCCGGGCACTGCATACAGACCATTCCGATGTTGGCAGTTGAGTTGCGAATCTCGTACGTCAAGTCTTCGCGAACAACAAGGAGAAAATTCTCCCCGTTCTTGCTCTGACAGTGAAACTCGTAACAGACGGAGCTCGGGCCAGGGCGGTGTCTGTCGAACAGTTTCTCTGTGGAACCCAATGGGGATCTCGCCTCCAGAATCCTATCAACGTCTGCTCCATTCGTAGTGATTACGGGAGTGAAGTAAGTCAAAGGAGGTTTGACAGCTGAGTTAGATCCAAACACTTCATACCACGTCTTTGAATCGAAGCCCTTAGTACCGGCCTCAGGATCCGCAGATAGAAGCACCTGGCCAAGATGAATTCCAAAGACCATTCTGCCACTGAAAGCACGGCTGTGCTCGAACAAAGGCCGAAGCTGGTTCTTCAGGCCCTCAGTCTCCTTGACACGAAGCTCTTGCTGCACTGCGTCGCCATTGGCACATGCCATATGGCCATTCTTGGAGAGGAGTTTCTTCTTGCCCTTTGACATTCCCTCATATGCAGGGCCTGCCGAAGCAGTTGCTGCCGAGCTTGTGGCAGGAGCCGGACCGTATGCATCTTCGATGGCTTTTTGTCGCTTCTGCCGCTCAGTCAAAAAATCGTTCTGTTTCTTCCCGCCCCGCTTTTTGCCACGGTTTCCTGCTTTCTGATCCATAGTCTGGTGGAAATGTGGCTCCTGCCTGGTGGCTTTGCGCTGCTTGCTACCCTTCTTCTGCCGGGCACGTCCTTGAACGGTAGACCACTCATCAGTAGATTCCTTACTTGCTTCGATCGCAGCTTCAAGCTCAATTTGCTCCCGTAGTCGCGGAATCGCTTCTGCTGCTCGGGCATCGACGTTCAGACCAGTATATCTGGTATGGTTCTCCCAGAACTTGCTACTCTGATCGATGGAGCGTTGCGAGCATGCTGCAGGTATACGTGGTATATCTGAGCCAGCGACCGGTACCAGATCATCATCCAGGAAATTCGGCTGTTGCCCACGGGCTTCGGTCTGCTGAGCATTGTGTCCTCCAAATCCCGGAGGTGGACGAAAACCTTGAGAAGTCGAAATGCCAGGCTGTGGATCACCTCGCCACGCATGATACTGACCTTTCCCGCGACCACGCTGCGGTATACTAGTTGCTGATCGAGAAGCAGCATTGCTGCTGGGAGGCAGGTGAGAAGCAACGGCTCCCTGCGACATGCTACCGCGGAAAGAACGAGTCGTTGGAGACAGAGCGCGTGAAGGAGACGACATACCCAGATCGCAATACGGATCACGGTCCCGAATCTCTGGCAAACGCTGACTCGACTTTGTACCGTCATCTTCGCTATCGGAGCCAGCCTTGGGTCTGCGCCGTCTTGGACTCTCAATGCGTGGAGCAGGATCAGGGATAACGGGGTGTTCATTGAATTCAATGCTCTTTGCGACATCAGATGAAAGAGACAGTAAATTAGATGGGGCAACACTTGGGGCCACATGCGCTTGATATCGACTGATGGTAACGGGAAGGCCAGGAAGGAGTTCTCCGTCGTCTTCAAGCCCAGCATAATCATCGGAGCATGGCAGAGCACTGTGGTTAGTCGGCGACGTAATCGATTCGTCGACATGGCCTGGACTTGGTGAATACCCTGGGTCGACTTCTGAGGTCTCTTTATCCATGCCTCGTCCGTCCTGAGCTTCTTCCTCATCATCTGAGTCGGCCGCAACTCTCCGACGGCGTCTTGAAGCTGGCTCTGCCGGAGCGTCTGGTTCTATAACATTGGGGTCTTGTACACTGTCAACGGCAACAGCCCACCCTACAAGCTCGGCAGCTTTTGAGGGTTGCAAGTATTTCTGCTCCACAAGTGTAGGCCCAGCAACAGTCTCACCTTGCACCGTCGAGCCATTCTTCGATCTAGGCTCCATGTTGGCCCGGTTCCCTGCCTCTTTGAACTTGTAATCATCCCATAGCGAGAATCCTCCATGACGGTTTGTAGGGGAGATGGCATTCGTGTCGAGGTTAGGGTGCGGTCTGAGAATTCCATCAAGCAATATCCGACCTTCGCAAAGGTACTTTTTGGCTAGATTTTGAGCAGTATGCGGCGGCACAATCACCCGATCAAATGCTGGACATCGCTGAAAATCGACTTTTTGGAATCCAAGCAGCGGTCTAATAGCGTCGTCGGTGGTGACCAAAACGTTGCCATTGGACCTTGCAGAGTTGGAGTCGCGCTGCTGATACTGCAGCTCCAGCAAAGGCTCCAGGTTCTTTAATTTCTGTAGGGCCAGGTCGAAGTTGCCGTGCACCAGGCGAACCTGATTCTGAGTCGGCTCTGGCAGAATCTCTGTGCCCGTCAAAGCGAGGACTGACTCGGCAACTGCTCGAGTCAAGATTTTGATGTTATCATTGACAGGGTGCCACTCTGTGAAGGCGTGCTGCATGGCGCCCAGAGCGTCTTCGTGACGTTCATCATGCTCATCAAAGTCGATGTCAAGAAGGTCTGGGGCACGGAAGCCGGAATATTCAGTAGCGAGACGAGCCAGAAAGCCTTCGAGTGGACGGAGCTTAGGATCGATCAACTCATTCTCTTCCGCCTGCTTGAGTGTGTAATGCTGGAGTTGGCGTAATACATCGATTGGAGTATCGTCATCCATAACATCCAGTTTCTCGATCTTGAAGACCTGACTAGTGTGAGCACGAAGCCGGATCAACGGCAGAGGACTTACATGATGGCTGTGGTCGTAGCTCATGAAGGGTGCGTCGTCGGAGCTGTCGGCATAGCACTCGCGAAATGTATCGATTATATCGTCTACACCAGCTGGCTCGAAGGCAAACATCGAGCCGAAGAAGGTGGTCTTGGTGGCAGCCATGACTGCAATTCGACCATCCTAAGGGGGGAGGCAACCGGCCCACAGAGTCTCACACACTTGCTGAAGTACAGGAGAGCTGAATGAATGAAGGAAGAAGTCGGTACAGATACAGGAAGTAGGGAATGCGTTACGACATGAAAAGGTACACAAACAAGATAGGGCATGCAAGAGAGGTAACGCGGGGTAGTGCACACGTAATTGCCGCTCTGATCAGATCACAGGAAGGGAAATTCTGAGGCAAGTTGTAGAAGAGTAATCTCATGCGCAGTAAAAAGTGCTTGGGCAAGCAGTTGGACCGATGCTACTATCTTGAGGACCCGTGATTGAAGTATCTTCCTACCTGATCGGATCTGTGAGGGGATCCACATCAACTTAGACCGTATGCAGAGTAGTGGCAGGCAAGCCTTCCCTGGTTGCCTTTTTTCACGACATGAATCTTTTCAACTACAAGGAGCTGGCGGCTACATGGTCATCTGCGAGATTCGTGATACTGGCATACCTGCTGCCTCACTTTGCTGTTCAAAGAACGCACTTGCTATTGTAGGACTGAGGAATTCACACCTGCAGCAATAACCACGGCCGCACGTATCTATTAACTATATCCATAAGTCTATCTCATGCTGGCTAATCATGTACCATTATCGAATGCCGTGGTGGTACTCTGCGATGTCCTCATGATATCATAAATCATCACTGTACGAAAAGCTCAAGAGAAGTGGCGAGCCTATCGTCCACTCTTGGTATTCCGTTTCAACAGCTTATGCCTTCGTCCTGGCGACTTGGTTGGCGAGGGAGGTACCTCCCCGGTGCTGTCTTTCGATGCCGCCTCTACTGGAGGCGGCATGATTTGCTCAACGCGTGGGTTGCCATTGAAGAGGCCGTCAATGTTCATGACCCATTTCATCCTACCAGTCGTCTCAGTCATGTCTTGTAGCTTCTGTGCCATAGCAGTGTTGTTCCCTTCGGCTCCTTTCCGGAGGTCACTGACGGCCGAATCGATTTCGTTTCTGTATGTTTTGAAGTTGGAGCTGAGTTTCTTAGTGAGCTCCTCCAGTTGAGCAATGGTCTGTCGTTGTTGTTCCGCAATGATCTCGAGTTTGCGTTGTTTTTCAAGGTCCTCCTCTCGCTGTCGTAACAAGGTTTCGAAACTGCCCTTGATCTTATCAAGACCACTTTGATGTCGGTCGTTGTCCATGTTCCGACACGAGACTATCACGTCGTATTCTGACTCCTTCTGCTGTGCAACAGCTTTGGCATGGCTGGCTTGATCTCGCCACTGTTCTTCGGTCATGCTCGCTGCTCGCGCCTGTTCTTCTGCACGGCCGGTCCGCTCACGCTCCCTATTGAGCTCTTCACGCAGGTCTTCCAATTGCCGCTCTTTCCTCGCCAACTGCCGCAAACTGGCTTCGTGGGACTGCTCATAGTTGCTGTTTCGGTCCTGCAAGTATTGATTCCGGGCGTTCAAGGTTTCATTGGCCTTTTCCGTTTCATCATGTCGCATCTTCAACAATTGCTTCTCACGGTGCAGGCGGTCGATATCGCTCTGCAGCCTCTCGATTACTCGGCCTGATTTTCCTGTATTGGCATGACCTATGGCTGATGACCAAGCGGCATTTTCGGTTGTTGGCGACTGATCTGGAGGGATGGCTGCAGTTTTATTGTCAATCAAGCGCTCGGTGGTGAGGGTTATCATCGCCATACCAGTCCGTGTGATCGAAGCCACTCTACCCGTGTTTGTTCGCTGCATTTCCGGGGGGCTCAGTGGACTTTGCTCCCTCGTGTATCCATTGACTGCTGCCATGTTACTGCCACCCGGCTGGGCATCGCCAGAGGGCCCTGCGGAAAGAGATGGTTCTGGTGCTGAGCGTCAGACCTCGTCTGGGCTGGGTCGAAGCGATGGGAGAGGCCGCACCTGGGGCCACTAGAGAGTCGAGGCTTTTCCAATGGACAATGACGGGCGTTGCAGTAGATCCGCGAGACTTTGATCTCATGACAGAGGGGGCACAAGTAAATCGAAGCGTTGTTTGCAATAAGATCTCGCAAAGTTGTGCAGACTAGCCATGGTCAGCCTCGAGCTATTCGCTTGGGTCACTCAATGGGGACTGACATGTGGGGTTAGGAGGAGTGCCTCTGGAAGACGGATGGGTCGCGCTTTCTCGATGCAGATGATGCGCAACAAAGACGGCAATGCAGTTCAGACAATCGACAATGAAGTAACTTGAAAGGTACAGACTGGCAGTGCCATATAATTGTGGCAGCCTGCGGTAGGCGCAATGTGATGATTTTCCCCTGTCCTGTTCGTCAGACCCCAGACACAGCCGTTGCCCGGACGGCTTGTACCGGCCCCTGAAAAGCGTGTTGTGGACGCGTCGTGGCCAATGACGTGGGCCGGCAGGGCCTGCACTACTCGACACGATCACCACTTCCCTACTGCGAATTTGCTTCCGAAACAAAGGGAAAATTGTGAAGCTGCAAGCAATTTTGTATTGTTCCGAACCAATCTTCTTTGACACTGGTGGTGCATATATTCAATGGTATCCTAGATTCGAGCGACCGGGATGCGCAAACGTTTCCAACGGTTATGGCTTCGCGGCAACCTGAGTCTACCTCCACCCCAAGACCTGCACTCCGCACATGCAAGCATTGCATTAGTCTGTATTATTGTTGACAAATGGCTCGCTAGTTCATCAACACGACAGCTCCCAGTACAGCCATGGCGAAAGCAGCAGAGCTACCTAGCTGCATAGCACCCGAACCAGCATCCGGTGCGCTGGTTTGTGCTGCACCCGTCTCAGATGCGGAACTTGGTGAGCGCGTGGTGGTGGCAGTGGTCGATCCCGTTGTGCTGGAGTCAGTAGTGGTGGAGCTACGACACAATCAGTACGTTCACAGGCACATCTGGGAGAGCGGCATTTACCTTTCGGTGCTGTTCGAGGTAGACGTTGAGGATGAGGTACCATTCGTAGTGCTCGAGGATTCTCCGCTTGTTGTCGATGTCGAGTTGTCCATGGACGTCGATGTCGCTGAGGAGGAGGAGGACGAGCTGGAGCTGCCGGATCCCCCAGAGATGGTGAAAAGGCCGCTGTAGTTAACATCGCCCTGGCCCTGCGTTATCTGAAGTGCATAGTCGCTGCTCATATTAGCCTGGTTGTACTCGCGACAGGTTGGTAGTGTCAACATACTCCGCATCCTCCAGATCCTCGTCAACCTCCCAGCTATACGAGGTGCCGGTAACACCATCGGCAATGGTCTCGATTGTCTTCAGGTCGCTCGCACTCCCTTTGCGGAGGGTCAGGGTGACAGGCTAGCGCATTATTAGCAGTTATAGAATGTCTTGTTCGTGCGCAACATACGTCGCCGTTTCCACCGCCCCACGTGATGTTGTAGGTATCTCCAGCTTCCAACGCGGCGGGCAAAGAAGTGAACGCGATCTTGGTCTGCGCAAGGGCAAGGCTCAGCAGCGAGGCGCTGGCCAGAACGAATCGCGTGAGCATCATGGTGGGTGGACGATGTGAGAAGTAAAAGCCTGGAGCAGCGTCAATTGCTGTGCGATCCCACCGTCCTTATCAAGCAAGTCATACCTTGTGTACCGTATGCGGTCGGCCTGTGCTGTGTTGATGGAGAAGGAGAATTGGGGAGCACGCCAAATGAGTGGACAGATTTCCAAGAGGTAAATTTAGAGAAGGGCTGTAAAGGCAAAGTTGTCGGGAGTTACTGTCGTACGGGACTTGTATAAGAGTTGGAAACCGGGCTACACGTGCGCCCCCTGGTCATATTGTTCAACCGAGTCGTAATGGCGCGCGCCCAGATTGCGATCGGCGAGAAGACGCATCGAGAATTGCTGTGGCTTTTTCGATCCAGGAACCCGCCCAATCAGCACGGCTTCCACCCTAAGCTTTGGCCGGAGCCGCTTCTAGTCTCCCAAAGAAGTTTGCCCATGGGCATGGTGCATGGGGCCCGCGGGCATGCTCCGTCCAATTTTTCTCGCTTAAAAGCTACTCCAACATCGGCTGATCGACAGGCAGCATGCGTGATTTCAACGCTCTGATGTCAACGCTCGGGTGTTCAACCAAAACCACCACGTTGCAAGCTTCAAGACTGTCGAATGACTGGAAATGTAGTAACATTATTCATTGCTTATGCCACAACTGTCCCCGCCAATTTTGCCGGCTGTTGCTTCGTGGTGCCATTCAAGCTGTCCATAGCTCGGAAAGCGGTCCTTCACCGTTGTTGGCCATGTTCTTTTGCTGGCAACCGCAATGGAGAGCCCAGCCAGATCAGCCAAATTCACTTCGCAATTATCTGGAGTCCTGGCCCGCCAAGTCAAAGCATCTCGCAAGACTGGTAGCACGATTGCTGGTGACAGGTCCCTCAAAAATCCGCGACTGACACCAGCTGATAATACATGAGTAAGACTGACTTCACCTTGCGACAGACCTCTTGGCGCGCCATTCGGAAACATGGCCGGCACATTGAAGGGAATAAACTGGGAGTGCGATCCGACCAATTCTGGCGCTGTCGACCACGAAGCTACATCTTCTGGTGGATCGCCCATGAAGAAGTCCAAGGAGAAGGCCGTACTGTAAGCATAGCGCTCAAGAACGATCTTTATCGTCCACTGTACATCGGCGTTGTTGAAGCCAAGGTTCCTGATTTCCTGTGGACTGATATTGCTGAACGCAGCTGTCACCGACGTTGCTCGTCGTGATGATCTCTTGAGTCTCCTCTGCGCCAGGCCTGGAGGATTGTACTTGAGGTTGATCTGTGTTCGCACGTAACTGGCGAGTGAAGTGCCGTTCAAGCTCCAGTCTGGGATGTCCGGATAAGCATAGTTGAACAACCGGATATTCCGCACAGCATCATTGGTGAACATCGTTGTCCCATTATCAGAATGGAATGGTGCAAGGCTGGAGTTTCCGGAGTCTATGCTGCCAGGAAGCTCGTAGTACGTCCCATACACGTTCACTGTGGGTGTAAAGTAGCTTGCTGGATTCAGGATCTGCCACATGGCCAATAGCCGATCGACATTGGCGTGGTGTAGCCAAAAGATAGGATCGAAAGCCGAGATCTCCGGATAGAGCATGTGACCATTGCCACCAACGATGTTGTGAATGTTTCCATGGATATTCTCGACATTGTTGCCTGAGTTTAATCGGCCGTTGGGAGTAAAGCAGGAGAAGGATACGTAGTCTGTCACATCCGTAAACAACTGATAAGTGCTTGCCACGATCTGTCCGGCATTTGCCAGCATTTCAGCGCTGGCGGCAGTCTGATTGCTCTGCCGAGTCTCGCTATTCCAATGACGAACAGTGAAGGGTAAGTCGGCCAACTTCACCTGGTCTCTTGGAAAACCGTTACCACCTGCGTCCCATTGAAAGCTGTATTTGTACAATGGATTCTGTACTGCTGTCCGCCCAGCAGGCGTGTTAATGATGATTGTAGCATCTTGAACGACAGCGGGCAGTGCAGGATGCACAGCCCAGTCCCAGAATGGTAGTCGCAACGTCCAAGCTGCTGTGTTGTATACATCTTGCAAACCGCTAGGATAGGTTCTGGCGATCGCTTGAGCCTCAGTCCAGAGGATTTGCTTGGGGAGTTAGCTTTGTTCTGCAGCATCGGGTCGACTGCGTACCTCCATTAGGGCCAGATATGGTCGGTGCCAGGTCGGAAATGGTGTAGAACCATGCACGCAAAACCCTGGTGAGTACGGATTCGTCCCACTGACCCCGTCCCAGGGAGATCTTGGGTATCCATGTATGCCTATAGTGTCAAATCTGAACAGGCTATATGATATCTCTGGGAATTACCAGCAATTTGGAAGTAAGATAGAGGGTCGGATTGGTCTCTTGCCTGGAGCCGACTCAGGGCCTGGATGTAAAGATCGAACGGTGGACCGGACTGCGAGAAATCATTGATGTCGAGCCGATAAGGTCGAACCCCTGTGGTTGCGTTATGACTTCCACCTGCGCCGGTAATCTTGAAAGCGACGGCAAGGTTCGACAGAAGGAGGCAGATAGCCAGGGGAATAACAGGGAGAGTGACTGCCATTCTGACGATGAAAAAACACAAGAGACACCCACTGGAAGACTTGTAGAGAAGTCCAAGAAAGTTCACTGCATGAGGCAGGTTTTCAACGGGTGGGATAAGAGCAATCGAGTCAAGACCAGCCCGGTGTATACTGCTGTTCGCCATGCTGCTTGCTGCAGGAAGCCGTTGTGGGTGCCTCAAACGCCGGCATTTGGAAACAGCTCGATTCAAGTACCAAGGTTGCTGAAAATCGAGACTCGCTCATGTCTAAGTCGACATGAAGGACAAGCTGATCACATGTGCACCAATCTCTACCGTTCACAACCACTTACTGCTCAACCCCAGAAGAGCGCATGCGATCAGGCCGTGGAGTCGTGCCCTACCTACCCAGTCGAACAAAGCTCGAGCGATGAACTTTCGTAAACGCAATCTTAGCAGGTGTCGTACACAGGCGGACAACAAGAGACTCGCGTTCCCCCAGTTACCGACAATGCAGCTTGCTGCAGTGCGACATGCGCTCACACGTTGTGACAAGGATATGTACAATAAGTCTGCCAAACGCGGCTTACCTGAAGCTACAGGTGAGGACTGACGGATAGCACATTGTTTGCACCGGTCCTGATTCCCAGCCTGCACGGCTCTCATACCTCCACGGCATCCTGTTGCCTGTGTTTCCGTTGAGCTCAAGCACCTTTGGGCAGATCCAAGTTCTAACCACCGAAGGTAGGTGTGTGTAGCAAGAGAATACAAGCAATGCGGAACCTGCGGCTGAAGCGGAGACCACGAAACCAAAAAGTCGCGCATGTCTCGGCAAAGCTTGCATGAATCTTTCTGGCCCTTGAGTACCTTTCCGCTGGCTGCAAACTACCCAAACACTTCTCTCAGACCTGACTGCATGCGCGACTGATTCCAGCACAACAAACGGGTCTGACGTCGGCCTTCTACACTGTGAACGCAGTCGACCCCTAGTGACTTCTGCTATCAGCTGCCACTACCAAACACCTACAGCCACACACTTCACGTCATGGTTGAATACACTCCTCCTCCAGAGGACTTGTCGCGCCTCAACCCGATACAGCGATACATGCAGAAAGGCCAGCTCGACTGGAACGACTATTTTTACCTAGTAATCATCGTCTTCGTTTACATCCTAGCTCGACCAGCCATCCACAAGTTCTTCAGCTGGGTCCTCGGCGGAAGCAAAGAAGAGCAGGAGGGCCAGGAGGAGAGAGAAGCATACTACAAGCGCAGAGCAAGAATCGGGCCCAACGCCATCCGTGGTGGCAAGGATGAGCCAGCCGACATCGACCTGGACATGCCCGCCGGCAAGACATCTGGCGCAAATGTTAGTGCTGAGGGTGCTGTGTCCAACAGGAAGACCAAGGGTCCGAAAGGCGAAAAGTCGGAGGCAGACAAGCTGTTGGATTGGGACGATGAGCCAGTTCCTGCACCCGCTGAGGGTGGCAAGTCAGACGTGATGCAGTGGCTCAATAAATGGGATAAGGAGGCATCATAGTCTGACAGAAGCATACACTTTCATTCTCTTTCTTTGGCACCAATGGCAAGCGTACGCCGACTGTTGCATCTGGAGTTGTACACGGCCCGACCACACGGGCGATCAATTACTGTCCCCCGCAAAGACGTGCATGTTCTCCCGCACCCGGGGGAAGCCCCGACCTATTATACTTCAAGTCGATATATTTGACTTCGCTGGCTGTGCACAAGTCCGAGCAGGTGCGGATGTTGTGGACGCCTTGCCGCCGATCGATGGCCCGAACAAACGAGCAACTACAAAGCCGTGACTGACCCGTGCGTCTGTCTCCTATAGGGACAGCAACCTCGTCACACACCTTGAACTGCTCACCATGGCCACAGCCGATGTCCTTCTGCCCGCAACACAACCCCTTCCCTCCCATCTCGCCGCCAACACAGGACACGTTCCTCGCTCTCAGCTAGGATGGCTCCGTCCCACGACCTCCGATACCTCCATAGACGAGATGCGCCGTCGGCTTAGCACCGACGGCTACCTTTACGTTAAGAACCTCCTGCCCCGAGCCGACGTCCTGAAGATGCGCGCCCACTACTTCTCCCAGTTCACCTCCACCGACCTCCTTGACCCTTCGTCCGACCCAGGACTGGGAATCTACGACCAAACCTCTGATCCAGCAACGCACCGCGGCATCGGCGGAGGCGATCCATCGAGCAAGGATCTGGATATCCTCACTGAAGCGCACACGACGGAGCACTATCGCGCCTTTGTAGGACATCCTCAGCTCAGGCAGAAGGTGAGGCAGCTGATGGAATGGGAGGAGGATGTGCTGCTGATGCGGACCATGCTCCGACACAACGTGCCCAACGGCAGCGCGACTGGCGTGCACTACGACAAACTATTTCTCAGAGGCGGCGAAGCATTCTTCCTTACGGCTTGGGTGCCAATCGGCGACACGGCGCACAATGGCGGCGGTCTGATCTATCTGGAGGACTCGGTCGATTTAGGCCAGGCGATCGAAGACGACTTCAACGCCAGGGCTGACGCACAGAACATGGACGTCGGCCAGAAGATCTCGGCTTTCAACGTTAATATGACCGCGACTGGCATCCTGAGTGATCACCCCAAGGAGTTCGAAGCTGACCACCAAGCGATCGCAGAAAGAATTGGGCGGGAGCAGAAGGGCTACAAGTGGTTGGTGGCCGACTACGAGGCTGGAGATGTCGTGTTCCACCACCCCTGCATGGTTCACGGGAGCGGGAGGAACGAGGATGCGGCGGGACGGATCAGGCTGAGTACCGATCTGAGGTTCTACAACAAAGAGGACTTCGATAACGGAACGGCAGATACTCGCTGGATGAAGTTCTGGACTATTGGTGACGGTCTTTAGTCGCTTTAACGAATATTGAACATGGTCACCCGCGGTCCCAGTCTCTGGCGCCCCCGTCCCATCTCTATATCTTCCCTTTCCATTCACGAGGCCTTCTCAACAATCCCTCTAATCACATCACCAACACCCTCCGGATTCCCAAACCAAGCATCATGTCCCCCGGCCACCTCCACCGTCTCCATCAACCTCCCCTTCCCATCCTCTGCGCACGTCTTCCTTACCCCCTCCACTATCCCCTTCTGCATCTCCACCGGCAGCGACCGATCATCCAACGTCAACACATACGTGCTATTTCCCTCCCGCCACGCCTCGTACCCCACTTCGCCGTCAAACGCCTGGATGCTCATGGGCACCAGCGCCTCCACCAGCAGGTCTGCCTCTTTAGGGTCCGAGATATCGTGCGCGAATAGCTCTCGGCCTCCGGGCGCGAAGACAGTCTTGCCATCGTCCGAGAGCTCCAGGATGTGCGGAAGCTCGCCGCCTGCGAGCTTGCGCGGCGACATACCTAGTGGTAGGGCCATGGAGGAGAACTGCCTGAACGGTCAGCAAGCCCTCTATATCTTCAGCCCACGACAGGCTGGGGAGGCCGGCGAGCAAGAAACCAGGACCGGGCCCGCCCGGCAATCCCAGCACTATGTCTCCCCCCCCCCGGAGAAGAGACTTGGACCAAATGCTGACACACACAACCAGGACCAATGCTCCGCCACGCTCGCTTCTCAAAAGGGGAAAAGAGTGGGCTTACGTAAATCTGATGCACGACCCCCCCAGGCTTCCCCTGTGCTTGGCGGGAAGCCTTGAGCAAGTCCTTGCAGGCCGTGTTGCCGGGCACGCCGCCGTAAGAGTGGAAGAGCACGACAACGTCCTTGCCCGCATCGGCGTGCGTCGTGATGGCGGAGGCGACGGCTGCGACGTCCGCTTCGTACGTGGTGGGGAAGGCGGCGGAGGTGGAGGGGTCGATGGTGATGAGGTTGGAGGGCAGGTCTACGGGGGTAGCGGTGTAGGAGTGGGAGGTCAGGTAGGTGGTGAGCGGGGCGAAGGAGCGCGCGAGGTGGCCACCACCGGGGACGAGGACGATGGCCGGTTTTGGTGGCGAGGAGGACATGGTTGCGGTTGCACTTGGGTGTTGGGTACGCGTGAAACCAGCGTGTAGATTTTGGGGAGATCCAAGTTCTGTGTCAGTATCTTGAGAAGTGCAGTACGTCACGTATCTATTTATTTCTCGTGGCTCTTACTAGTCACCGTACAGGTGCTTCTCGCCTGTCTGTCCTCCACGGACCTTCCGGAAGAGTGTTTCTTAGCGTTACGGTCTTGCGAGACCTGCTGATGCAGTATGATCTTAGCTTAGGCCTCCTGTACCAGACTGTCGGGACACTAGCAAGCCATGGCGCTCGGTAGGCATGCATCGGAGAGAAGTGTGCGAAGCAGAAAGCAGCCTCCTAGCACGATCCATTATCTCCACGTAGCAGAACGAGCAAACATCTCGACTGTGGGCTATCGACAGTGTGGCTTAGGATTGAAGCGATAGAAGCACGAAGATTGCATGCTGTGCTGATACTCGGTGTATGGAGTCACTAGGGGTCGACAAAACTGACGGGAAGGCTCCTGGGTTGACGAGATAGAAGCTCACAGTCAAAGATCGACAAAATTCACCAGCGGGCTCTCCGGACATACAACAGATCATTTTTGGTAGTCGATGAAATTGACTGGCGCCCTCCTCGGACCCGCATCACGGAAGCTCGAAGCGCTTATGCAAGCTCTCGACAACATTGCAGCAATGAAGAAGGACATTGAAGTCGTCAAGAAAATCACGCAGACAACCAAGGAAACTGCAAACCAGACTGCCGAGGATGTTTCGTTCATCAAAGCCCAAGTCAAACTCCTCCAGCCACATCAACACGAGGCCAATGGAAAGGAGGATTGAGGGTCTGAGAAGGGATTTATCAGAGCCAACTTCAAGGAAGACGGCTGATTAGCGGATTATGCAGCTCTACAACGCTCCCACATGATTAGATTGCCTTACATTGAATACAGTCTGTGCAGCGCCGATTCATGGCACATCACTTATCAACTTCACTGGTGCTGCAGAGGGAACCACAAAGGGTCGGTAGTTCAGAACCGCAATTGAATGCCTTGTTATACCTTCGTGGCACAGCTTCCAATGTTCGAGATATCACCCTGTTGGGACGCAGTCCGTAGCCACCGTGCCGCTCCATTAACCCGTGCACCTAAGCACGCCTTTCTCTGCCTGAACGCCCGACCATTCCTCTCCATATCGCGATCTGAGACGGGAAACTAGAAAGCTCCAAGAGTTTGCTCTCACAAACTTGATCCCGCTCTCGAGATGTGACCAGTGGCTTTACCATCCTGAGTATGAGCCGCCCGGCACACGTACAAGCTGTTGAAAAAGTGTTTCCAAAATACTCCGGACGATATTGCAACCACAATGCTGACGACTGCCCGGGAACGCGCGTTTCGATTGACCACAAGTTCACATGGAGCGTCTTCCAGCGTTCCGGCCGTCTAATTGACCTAATTGGCACAAGACTCGGGTGCGAAGAGGATAAGACGGTATGAGAAGGTGTAAAGGCTGAGAGGTCGTAACATCGCTATTGCACACCCTAGACCTGCAGAGCGTCTGGACGCGGGAGTCGATGAACTCGCCATATGGTTGACTGCGTGTTGTTCGTCGTAATTTTAGAGGTAGATCTCGATTGCAGGCTGTTGTTGAAAATAAGTAGGTTCTGATGATGGCTGTCCAAATGCTGTTTATTGTGTTGATTGTTTTTCGTATGGTAGAGTCCTGGATGTAGCATGATGGAGAGAGGACGCGAGACAGGGCAAGGTCGTCGAGATAGTGGAGAGATGTGGCGAGGCAGGAAATGGCTGCAAGGTAGCGGTGTGGGAAGTGTCTCGTTCTGTCGACAACCAAGGCTCATGTAATGATAGGCAGTCGGATATACCATCGGAAAACCCGTAGCAGTCTCGAGCAGGAAGCGCAACTTGATACGCAGAAAGATAGAGGTAGCTGAGTTGAACTTTGGGCAGCTTAGGTTGGGTGCTCAAGTCGGCTCTACAACGTTGCGACTGACCCTATCTCTGGGAGCAACAGGTAGTAGCTCTTGACTTCCGACTTCATTGCTTATCTCAATTAAACCACGTTCCTCTGTTGAACCGTGTCGAAAAGTTAATTATGAGTAGAACGCGCTTTTCTGGAAGCTCTCAACCGATATGTCGTGCGGCTTACCCTTGATCTCGGGGGCGTGTACGCTAGTGAGGCTCTTCGTTCGTTCGCCGAGCACATCGGTGCCCTTTAGTGTTGTCGTCCTGCTCCCTGGAGCGCTGGCTGTTTCGCTGCCAGTAGTAAGAGCTTGCTGTTGTCGCTGCACTGGTCGTTGAATGGTTTGCAGGTAAGGGCTTGGCACGTAGCCTACCTTGCCATCCCGTGAGCGGCATCGCCACCATTCAGAGGCGTTGCCCATGGGATCCGTCTTCGACAGTACTGCTACCAAATCGCCCTTCCTCACCTGCAAATCCATCCCCACGGACTGGTCTGAGGGCGTGTAATCGTACATGACGCGACAGAAGTCGAGCTTTTTGGGATCGAGCGCCACTTGCTCGCCGTTTTGGTTTGTATAGCCGACAGACATCTCTTGTTGCTTTCGAGCGGCCTCTTCTTGGCTGGCGGCCATGGAGCGTATAAGCTTGCTCATTAGATATGGCAGGCCAAAAACGGCAATTGCAAACATGATGAACGGCTTGCGTGAGGGCCGGGGAGGGGCGGGGGATCCATCAGGGAGCGTCATTGGGCCTTTGCCTCCTGACATGAAATGAGAGAACGCTTGTGGAGTGAGACTCGTCGCATCAGCTGGTGGGGGCCTTCCAGTGATTTTGGCCAAAAGCGTGCGCATCCATCGCAATAGCGCGTAGATCCCCAAGACGGATCCGAGCGTGTGTCTTAGGTTGCCGAGCTGCTCGGCCATCGACACCATAGCAAAGAACGACGAATGGGTCGTCATGAAGGCGCTTTCTAGCATTTGCGCGAACCCGCCAAAGGCTCGCACGACGCTCTCCATGACCTGGAAGGTTGCCGCGGTGTTTTGATTCCAACTCTGGGTAAGGCTCTGGTCATTTGGGCCGCCTGGCATCCCAGGCATACCGCCGTAGCCGCCGCCATACATGCCGGAACCGTACATTCCGCCTCCCATACCACCCATGCCATAGCCACCGCCATAGCCACCGTATGTCGAGCCGTAGCCACCGTACATGCCGCCACCCATGCCGCTGCCATAGCTTCCGAATCGATTGTAAGGACTTGAGTAAGGCGACGAGTATGTAGAGCCATAGGGATTTGCAGCGTTCGGGTTTGCATAGTTGGAGGCCGTCTGATTGATGACGGAGTTGAGAGTGTTCGGTCGATCGGGCAGTGATGGCGCGGCCGCGTCGCCCGCAGTAGTCGGGGCGTTAGCGGTCATCGTCGACGGTAAAGAAGTACTTGTGGGTGTAGCAGCTGGCAGTGTGTCAGTATGGCGAGCCTCGGTTGAGGATGGATTTGTCGTACTCGCAGCTCCTGCGCGCTCCCACGGTTTCGGCGGGGAAACTGTGCTCATAGTCGACCTTTCATTGCTAGAAGGCAGCGCAACGATCGTAGAGGTGAGAGACAGGTCGGCGGCGAGGCGCAGGTGAAGTAGGAGGCGCAGAAGAATATGAGACTTGACATATGAAGAGGAAGAATCGTAGCAACCCAGCCACCAGCCGTTGATCTTCTCATCGAGAGCCGCGGCTCAGGTTTCGGCGAGTTAGTCCGCATGAGGCAACACGCCCTAGCCCTAACCCTAACTGAGCTACGCAATGCGTCTCCATCTGTGCTGCATGCCATTCACTGCCACGACTAGGCGCATACAATAGATCTACACCCACGTGCGACCCGGAGGCTTTGACGCCGCTCTGGTAATATACACTGCTTGAAGCTACATCGGAGATAATTCAAGTCTTTGGACCCATAAGAAAAGCCTAAGCTATCCGTTATCCATACTATTCGTCTACTACGTTCAGCGGTCCCATTGAACCCACCCCTTCGACAATCTGGCTTCACTTGCCTGACCACGAACGTCGCATTGGTGTGCACAGAACACAGGGCCTTCAACGAGTCTCTGTCGTCCCTAAGAACCCTGTCACTGAACCTGTGCCAGCTGGGTACGAAGACATGAGCATGATTTCCGACCCTCGATGACCTCGTACCAAGATGATGGCGGAAACGTGCTGCCAGACGATGATAGTGAAGCGGAAGATGCAGCGATTCTGCGACGTCCAACTACGCTTCAAGAACCAACAGACGAGGCGACAATTACCCACGCGGATGATCCCGATATCCTCCCGGACCTCGACGTCGACGATGTGAACGGCGTTCCTGGCTCGGTGGTGCACACTGAAGCTGAGATCGCGCAGGAGCACAATACACACCTCGACGATGAGCCAAATCCAAGTCTTGACGAATCTGCCTCAAATCCAGATGATACGCCCTCCGTCCAGGGTTCCGTGCTATCGTCTCCATCCCGTTCACTTACGAGCCCCGCTCGCAGAGGCAGTCCTTCCTCTCCTCATCGTCCCTTCGATCGCCGTTTCCAGTCTCGGCTGAGCAGTAGCTCCCTGTTGACGCCTAGGACAGGATCGCCGGCTTTCTTGACTGCACATTCGCGTCATTCGTCGGTAGGAAGCATTGCACTACCACCTCCCTCAGAGCCCGACGAGAACGCGGCACCGTGGGATGTTATCCGTTGGAGCAAGCTTCGAAAGCTCAGTGGCCAGGCCTTCTCGGAAGTCGGAAAGAGAAATTTCGGTTTTCCGACATGCATGGCTGTAACAGACAGCATGGTCGTTGGCACTTCGCGCGGCATGATCTTGGTCTTTGATCATCAACAAAACAACAAAGCTGTCATAGGTGCCGGCACAAAAGCTGTCGAATGTGGTGCGGTGACATCGTTAGCAATCTCTGCCGATCATACAACGGTCGCCGCAGGGCATGCGACGGGCCATCTCTTTACGTGGGAGATAGCTCGCCCGGCTCGACCATTTCTGCACATTCCTCCCATTGATGCATCACAGCCGCAAGCGCGAAGAGGCGATGGGCATGTTGAGGGCAGTGCTGTAATCCATGCAGGTTTTCTCGGCTACAGACGCACTGCTCTCGTTTCTGCAGACGACAAGGGCATGGCATTCTCGCACCTGGCTACCCGTGGAATGGGTGCGGTAGGACGGACAATGAAGACAACGAGGATACTAGGCCGCTACACTGAAGTCGTAACTCGCGCAGCAAAACCACTTAAGAAGAGCTCGGTCCTTGCTTTCTCGCCTCTACCGTTGGGCAACGTGGAGCAGAAGACTGATGGTCTTGGCCTGGTCGCAATGTTGACTCCCTACCTTCTAGTCATTGTTTCCACTACTCCTGTCGCTCAAACGCAGCACAAGGCCGCCAGACCGAAGGAAGTTGCTGCTCATAGTGCAATGACCGCCGCTCTCGCCTGGTTCCCAGCAATTAAGCTCAAGGGCGCTGAGTCATCTGTGTCTAACAACAAGCTCGCCTATGCGTGGTCAAACGTACTCACGATACTGGAAGTTCATGAAGTGCCTCCTGATGAAGCTGCGGAGAAGGATAAGCCACCTGAGCTCCAGTTCCTACCACGAAGTCGCTACAAAGCCGAAGAAGCTATTGTTGCCCTCCAGTGGCTTAGTCGATCCGTCTTGGCTGCTCTCACCATCACACAACAGCTCCTGATCATTGAGGATAGCTCCATGAATGTTGGGGACTCATTCGACTTACTTCCCAAGAATCTGTATCATGCCGACCTTTATTCCCATCAGCTACAGGCTGTAATTGAGAGTCATGATGAGGCCGACACTTCGCTGCATGGCGTTGTAGCCGACGCGTTCCACATGAGTGTACGAGCATACAAAGGCAGGCTCTTCCTCCTCGGATACAATGAAATATGGTGGGGAAGCTTGACCAATTGGGCAGATCGACTCCTGGCTTTGATGAACGTGGGTGACTTTATCGGTGCGATCCGCCTCGCGACCAGATATTATTCTGGCCTGGGGGAAAAGCTAACCATAGGTCTTCCTGAGGATGAAGAGACTCGGAAGACAACGGTTGGTGAGAGGCTGTTCGAGATGATGACAGCGTCTCTGAAGTATGCATTCGGGAAGAACCAGCAAGCCGGCAATGAGCCCATCGAGGAATCTCAAATGGCAGAACTTGCAGAAGCTGCCATTTCAGCATGTCTGATCACGGACGACCAGGACTTCCTATTCGACACCGTCTTCCCTTGGTATGACGACCATGGCCAGGCACCGCTTTTCATGGACGTTCTCGAGCCACACATTCTGAGTGGCGCAGTGACCGAGATACCGCCTCCGCCTCTCAAAGTTCTGATCGACTACTTCTCTACAACTCACGCGCCATCAAAGCTCGAGGAAATCATATGTTTCCTCGACACCAGTTCCATGGACATCGATCAAGTCACCAATCTCTGCAAGAAGTACAATCTCTACGACGCTTACATCTATGTCTGGAATAATGCTTTGGCAGATTTCACAACGCCTCTTAATGAGCTGCTCCAAATGGCGCCCGCGAAGAACGCTGTAAACGGACATGCAGATTACGATGTAACGCGCAGAGACAACGCCCAAAAGATTTTCCCGTACATCTCCTTCATCCTCACCGGTAGGACGTACCCGACAGCGACACCAATGACTGATGCGCTGTCCACGTCAGCGAAAGCGCAGATATACGATTTCTTCTTCACGGCTGTCCCTCGACGCTCAAGCCCCAATGCCCGGCGAGATCGATCTGCTTCCAACGGCACGATGCCTTACTCTACATTGACTCAAATTCTCAAATTCGACACGCCGAGCTTCATGAGCGCCCTCAACGAGGCGTTTGAGGACAGCTTCCTCAACTCAGGAGAGGAAGAGGCTGCCAACGGCGATGCAGCACATACAGTCACCCTTCAAAAGACAACGTACAACCGCCAATTCATTGTCTTGGTTATGCTAGAAGTTATGTCGTCGGGTTTCGATGCTGAGGATACTATCTATCTGGATATGTTTGTTGCACGGAACCTCCCCAAGTATCCTCAGTACATGCTGCTATCAGGGACGGCGCTTCAGGACATCTTCACTCGACTTTGCCGCTACCCGGAGCCTGAGATGAGAGAAGATTGCCAGCTTAGCGTGGAATACCTCTTATCTGTCTACCATCCTTCCAACGCTCAGTCTTTGGTGCCATCGTTACATGAGGCTGGTTTTCATCGAGTCCTGAAATCTGTGTATCGACAGGAGCAGCAGTACGCGGATGCTGTGCGCATGTATCTGCTTGACGAAGATGACCAAGATGGGATCTTCGCTGTGTTGACTGAATTTTTGGCCCCCGGCTCATCAGTTCCAGAGCGGCAGCAGAACAGTATCCGTAGTTTTGTCCGGGAACATGCCTTCGAAATCGCCAGGTTGGATGTGCATCGGACGGCAAGCACCATGGACCAAGTCGCACCACAGCTTCATGAGCATTTCCTTCGGATCATGGAAGACGATGACTTTGGTCAATTTCAATACTTGAATACCCTGTTCGAGTCCGTGGATGTTGCGGGTGACCTGCGCCCAAAACGCGAAGCCTCTCTTCTCGAGGCCTACATCCGTCTGATGTGTCAGTATCAGCCCGAGGATGTTTCGGATTTTGTGGAGACACTCCGAGAAGGCGATTTGCGCCTCGAGGAAGTTATCCCTGCAATGGAGCAGACTAGGGTTGTCGATGCCGCCGTCGTGCTCGAGGCTCGCTCCGGACGGGTCCAGGGCTCGATGAAACGACTAACAGCACATCTTGCGTCTCTCGGAAGCGCTTTGCTTGGGCTCTTGGGCAACCGGGAAGTGTCTGATATGGATCAGGACCACACGATTGATGAAGTGATGACGTTGATTGAGAAATATGGCAAAGTTGGTACTTGGCTGTGCCAGTGGCAGAGCCGCATCTATCAGAAATCACGAGTAGTGACCAATTCTCCGCGTCGATCAAGCATCATACAGCAACCTCTGGCATTCGATGAGGCCCTGTGGGTGGAACTCATCGAGGTCGTGGTCGGTATCGCACGTGAGGTGTCCATCGATCCTGGAAAACAGAAGAGTCGGGACGGTGACGACGTGACGATGACCCTGCGCCAGATAATCCAACAGGTCTTTACAGCCTTGCTTACTGCAACAACGGCAGGCCGAGACAGTGCAGGAGGGGCCAACGACCTCTCCTTCCTCCGCATTTTACGCACTTTCCTTACGAATGCAGCAAAGACCACTCCGTCGCTGTCGGAGCTGCGTCATGTCATCAGCTCGATATTCGCCGCTTATGCCCACGAGCGGTCGCTACTGTCGTTGTCGAATGCAATGCTCGACAAGGACGTCTTTGTCAATTTGCACGACGTCCACCAGCTGCGACAGAAGGGGTGGCGACCTCGCGGGCAGGTGTGCGAGGTCTGCCGGCGTCGAGTGTGGGGCCCTGGCCTCGGCAGTGCTGTCTGGGATGCATGGCAGAAGAAAGAGGAGCAGAGGACCTTGCAGAAAGCGTGCCACTACAGTCAACCAGACGATGCTCGAGCCAAGGGCAAAGCAGCGGCCGAAGCTACGACCGACGAAGATGACGAGGACACAACAGGACAGTCTGCCCAGAAAGCATTGGGACCTATTGTAGCTTTCTCATGCCGGCATTTGTATCATCACGGGTGTTTGACCTCGAACGAAAACGCACAGGACGCTGGACAGCTCGGAGTGGGCGGAGATGTACAGCTAGCGTGCCCGGCATGCACAGCGAAACGGGCATAGGCGTATGGTCATAGTACTGTGCAGTAGTGAAAGCGTCCCTAGCGAATCTAATCAATAGACTGACAGCCGGGTCATACGAGCCGCTGGGTCACAGTGACAGATACACGTGCTCTCCTGGTCTCTCGGGCCTCATGGTGGCACCCAAAGCGGACTAGCGCCGAAGCCCCTTTCTTTGCTTTCACAACGGCGAACATGGCACCCAAGGCTTTCTTTCAACCTCGTATCCCGGCTCATCAATTTAATTGGGCAGCAGCATTGCCCTTTCATCTCAATGCGATTGTACTCTGACAGTCATGCTTGGTACGACGCGGCCGTGCATTGCTGCTAGGGGCGCGAGACGCGTTTCAGTCGAATGGAATGTGGCGTGGGCCCTTTGACCTCGCCCCATCCTCATCCGCCCAGAAGGCTATGCCACCGTCAACTATGCCCGGCCCTTTCCCAGGCTCTTCAACAGTAAAGCCAAAGCAGAGCCTCTTCTCTTGTGGGTGTCATGAAGTCTCGGAACCGTCGTGTCAGGCATTTATCAAGCCATGCGTTGAAATGCGGTACGTACAACGGCATCTCGAGCTGGTAACGTGGTCGTCATCCTGTCAACTAAGACTCCATCCCTCGAGCCATACTCGCTATCGCCGAGATTCAAGGCTCATCTGCCCAGTGTCCGATGACTCGTTTCATCCGACGCCCTTACATATGGCAGCAGGTCTAGAGTCCAGCTCCCTTGAATCGCGCCGCATCATTGGTTCCACCCTGCTTGGAACAATCCACCCCCTTTCTCACTGCCTGGTGGCGCAAGTACAATAGAGTACAAAATGCTCGTCCCAGCGACAAAGCACGAGACAAAAAAAGGTCCCTTGTTTTTCAGTGCTTTGGCGTGATCAACGCAGTCTGCTGATCAGCCGTCCATTCCTTTGGCAGTCAGACGCTCGTTCCTCGATATAGTCATTCGTTTGCCTTTCACTTCTTCACACACGCCTGTCGCACAATGCTGCCGTTAACATCAGTGTTATGCTTAGGCCTGGTATCCTTGAGCCGAGCAGGATACATACTCCAAGATGACTACAGCCCAACGAACTTCTTTTCGCAATTCGATTTCTTCACGGTGCGTTGTCTATTCGATCCCCTTCCTTCTCCCATGCCCTGCTAATGGCTCTATAGGCCGACGATCCAACACACGGCTACGTGAACTACGTCGATCAAGCCACTGCAACAGCCAACGGTTTGATCAACACCAACAATGGGACCGTTTACATGGCTGCCGATAGCACCAACTTCGCATCAGGTCGCGGCCGCAACTCGGTGCGCATCACTTCTCGTAAGGCCTACAACACAGGTCTCATCATACTCGACCTGGAACACATGCCTGGCGGCGCCTGCGGCGAGTGGCCAGCTTTTTGGACCGTAGGGCCGAACTGGCCCAACTCCGGCGAGATCGACATTATCGAGGGCGTCAACTCGCAGTCTTCCAACGCCATGGCGCTGCACACGTCTTCCGGATGCTCCATCTCAGCGGGAGGCGGCAACGGTAGCGGCTGGGGCAATGTCGGAGCACAAAATGCCATGAGCGGCACCATCGTTACCCCAAATTGCGACGTCGCTGCCCAAGGGCAAGCCGCCAACGCCGGCTGCAGCATCAAGTCGTCCGACACATCCACCTATGGCTCCGGATTCAACGCCGCTGGCGGCGGCATCTATGCCACCGAATGGACGAGCTCCACCATCAAGATCTGGGCTTTCACGCGGGGAAACATTCCAGCCGACATCGCCAGTGGCAATCCCATACCGGCGAATTGGGGCACGCCCTTGGCCGTCTTTGGCGCGCCGTGCCAGATTGGAAACTATATCAAGGACCAGAACATCGTCTTTGATATTACTTTCTGCGGCGACTGGGCAGGGAATGTGTGGAACACCGATAGCACCTGCAGCGCCCTCGGCAACAGCTGCCAGGCATATGTGCAAAGTAACCCGGCGGCATTCAAGAACAGTTACTGGTCCATCAACTCGCTGCGTGTGTACAGCCAGCAGGGTGGCGCAGGACCAAGCGCTAGCGGCTATCCAGGGTGGCAGCCGCAACCTACAAATGTGCCGCAGGGTCACGGTCAAGGGCAGGGCGGAGCCCCCCCCGTTGGACCCGGCCAAGGGCAAGCTGGAGGGCAGCAGGGTCAAGGTGGTTGGGGCCAGCAATCTTGGCCCCAGGGGTCTGGACGGCCGGGCTCTGATCAGCAATGGGGACCGCCGCAGTCTCCAAACCCTGGTAACGCGAACGTCAAATTCAGTCAATACCAGGGCCAGAGCCGGCCACAAAGCCGCCCCAATGGTAACAACTACGCAGCCGCCCCCAATCAGAACCAGAAATGGGGCGGCCAAGGCAACTACTACTTTCCCCGACCCGTGACTCCTCGCTCAACAGTCGAAGCTCCAGAGGAGGAAGTCTTCGAGCGCGCCGTGTCTCGGGACGCCCCATCATCGCCGCTCAACAATGTGGTGGAGGAAGCGGCGCCCGCAGAACTTGCCGAGCGTGAAGCAGCCCGCGGCTACGCACCCTACGTCGGCGCCAACGGTAACATCTACCAGGGTCAAAGTCGTGGCCAACGTCCACAAAACCAGGCTCAAGGTCAAGGCCGCCGTCCGCAGAACCAGGGTCAAGTTCAGGGCCAACGTCCGCAAAAGCAACCTCCCAAGCAGACAGCGCCGGCAGTCAAGCCCAACGCTGCAGTCAATGTCAACAATGCCAACAACGGCAACGCTCGCCCCACAGTCACAGTGACCACAACCATCACTTCTGGAGTAGTGACTAGTACGTTGAAGCGCGGCATCAGCACGACCAGCAAACCGGCGGCGGCGGCGGCAGCTAAAGCAACAACGCCACCGAACGCTAATGCGAACGTCAAGGCTGCTCAGCAAATCCAGGCCCAACCCCACCGTCAGGCCCCGCAGCAACAGACTCAGAACCAGGACCAGAACAAGCCCGCCGCGGCCGCCCAACCGCAACAGAAGCAGCAGCAGGCGCAGCAACCTCAGCAACCCCAGCCGACGCCAACAGTCACGGTGACGAAGACACTCCTGGAAAAGCAAGCCGCACAGCCTTCTGCGCCGCCAGCGACCGCTCCGGGCACAGGCGCTGGATCTGGAGGAAGGAGACCGAGGCGAGCCGCGACCGTGGATGAGGAGTCACAGTCACAGCAGTCACAGAAGCAGCAGGAAGAGGAAGAGGAAGCGGAAGTCATGGTGGAGAAACGCCTGCCGGCTCAAGCACGGGCAGCAGTGGTGGTGGTGGTAGAGGAGGAGGAAGAAGGAGGAGGAGGAGAGGCGAAGCATAAGCATATGGGGAGGCATCAGCAGAAGAGGCGCTTACGGTGATGATCATCGGATGTGGTGGTTGTCGTCGCTGGCGACGATGACTTTGATTTTGCAAGGACCGGGGGGGTAGATGGTGTCAGGGATTGTTTCTAGGCGGGTCGCGACCTGGACGGCTTGATTTGGGCGACAATCGGTTTTCGAGGGATGGAAGAGAGGGTGGTCCGTCTCATGTGACTTGACGATGTTATGAAATAGACAAAAGGCAGCAGGCAGCAGCAACAACAAGCGAATTTGATCCATCCATGCAAAGAAAAGCAACGGGCAAAGCAAAGGCGCAATCCCTGGCGGAAGAGACCTGGATAATGTACCCTGGCCAGGCGTATAGAACAGAACAGGGGGGCTATAGCCAGAAGGAAACTATTTGCTTCTCGAATAGGAATACGCGCTTTGAGCTGTAGCTACGATCTGCGACGCTTCGATCACATCGCATTCGTATATTCCCACATCATCTGATTGAGCTGTGTTGTGGGTAAGCGTGTGGACAGGTAGTTTTATGTGGTGGTGGGGTTCAGACAAGGCCATGCGCCGCATGGTGGCCTCTTTCTGCTTGGAGGGTTGTGCTTGGGATTTGGGGATGTGGTTGTTCGGCAGCTGCACCCGCTGCCACCTCCCAGTTTGGTGCTCGTGCCGATGCCTGCTGACCTACTGGCCTACTGACCTACCCTGGTTACCTTGGTACCTACCTGCCAGCTGCTTGCCCTAGGGGAGAAGATGACTTGCTGGGACTGCGCGGTGAGCACATGCTGTCTCGTACTCTATAAGCCCATCGTGAAAGTAGCGAGAGGGTGTCTACTCCCTAAGCTGCTGCTTGCCGGTGCTGTGGCTGTGGCTGTAGCTGTGGCTTGCCCCCCCTTTGCAGGCAGTGAATGAAGTTTCTTGAGCTGCGGGGCAGCCATCCACCGATTGTGAGGGGCTGCTCCCATGACAGTGACCCCCGGAGAGATCGAGAGTGCCAAAGATCAATTACTAGGTGATTTGGAAGAAATGTTCTGTATAAGTAGTATATCCGACAAAGTCATAGAACCGTCGGCCGGGGACGCCGATATAGAATGCTGTTTTTCAAGCCAACGCTTTCCCCCCCTCTATCGCGGAACTTTTTTACTTGTGCTCCCAGAACAGATCAACCTCCTTGCCCTGCAACCAATCCGCCATGGCGGCATACATATCATACCAGCCCTTGTTGTTCGCATTCGGTAGGCCTTGCAGAATCTTGTGTCCCAGCGTCGCCTGCGCCGCGCCCAAATACTGATAGCCCTCGGTATACTTCTGGAGCTCCTCCTTGGGGAAATCCGGCACGGTCTTGCCGTCGACGGGGACGACCTTGTCCTTCTCGTAGAAGAGCTTGACGAACTGGGCCTTCCACTCGCCGTCCTCGATCTTGCAGAAGAAGATGAAGCGGCAGTCGCACTCGACGTCGACGGGGATGCCCTTGAGGAGCACGCGCTGCGTGATGGTGGCCTTCATCTTGCCGATGCCGCGCTGCTTGGCCAGGTTGACGTTGGCGAGCGTGCCGTTCTCCCGGTGCATGATGAAGTCGCCGTTGGCGCGCCCTTTGATCGAGACGTCGATGAAGTCTTGGATGGAGAGACCGCCGGACCAGGCTGGAGTAGACTGTCAGTATGTGTGGGCGTCAAATGGGCAGTAGAGGCAAATAAAACGTACTGGTCCAGACATAAGCGCCCTCCTTGGTGAACAAAGAGCGGTAGTTCTGCCACTCCGAGGCATCGCGGTAGACGGGCCAGCCTTTGCAGAGCTCGGTGATGCAGTATCGTGCGAGGATCTCTTCGGTAGAGCCGTTGATGTGCGAGGTGACGACGGGCTCCGACTCCTCGGGTGGGACGTTGTAGAGCTTAGACATTTTGGAAGATTGTGAGTTTGGTTCGTAGAGTAAAGTCTTGGATGGTAGTAGGGTCTTGAGTCGCAGGCGATGCAGAGGCCAGTACAGGGAAAGTAGAGGTTCAACAACAGCCGAGCAAGGGAAAAGAGCACCTTCTACTTATATTCCCTACATCAGCAGAGACCAGACAAGCAGAACACCCAACAAACGACTGCCGTTACACGTCTCCGAAAACCCCAAGCCGTGACGTGCGCGGCAGAACCGTACGGCAGCGTGTCTCGGGATCTGAGCAGAGTCTGGCACTGCAGAACCGACTGTCTTCCCCACAATGCTCACATTGGCAGTGTAAGCTCGGGTCTACAACCGCCATTGAGAGTCCTAGAACGCCCCTCCCATGGGGAAGAAGCTTCCGCGCGCGTGCTCATGATGGGGGAGCCAGGAGGGCCTGCAGGGAACCAGTGACCATAGCAACTCAGCACCCTAGGGCTTCCCCGACGTTGCCCCTCGTTGGAGGTGGGGGTAGACCGGATGAGGTCTTTTCCGCTCGCTTCAAACAAGACGCCGAGAGCGAGACTGGAGCAAGCACACCAGTACTCCGTATATTTCTACTCCAGACGACATTGAACTCCATGTCAATCTGTCTAATCTACAACTAGCATACAGATGTATCATACAACGCACAACCATAATGCAGTCCCAAGACAACCGCTCCTCTGTGGTCCTCAGCCCCGCCAGCAGAAACGCCCGAAGCACTCGACACACATTGACGGCATCCGATTCGAGTTGCTGCTCTTCGAATAGATGGCACATGCAATACACACCGGCCACTGATCCAGGCCCTTCATCGTAGCCACAAGATTGCCGTTCTCGATCAGTTGGTTGATCATGGTACTGTCGAACTGCAGCTGCCAATCCGGAGCATTGGTCCCGAGGATGTGTGCTGAATTCGGTATGTAGATGATCAACGCCTTGTCCGGGTCGTCACAGCCGAAAAACTTGGGTGATTTGATCGATCCTTCGTCTGCGAGACTGCTGGGCTTTGGGGTGGTAGGCATCCGCCAAACCCCCAGCTGTTGCGCTCGAAGGTAGGTATTATAGAGGGAGGAACCATCCGGTAAGAAGTCTTGTGCACTTGTTGAGAAGTCTAGAGCAATGATCACCGAAATATTGCGTGCATCAACAAGCAGCGGCCACAAGGGCAAAGATTCGCCACCTTGGCTACCATCTACCAAAGACAAGCTGCCCATGTTCGTAGTCGATGCAAACGGCCCGGGGATGATTGCATACTCATCTCTGGGAGACAGGCCATGTACCATCCCCGTCATCCCGATGATGTCGTTGTACAGATTTCCAAGCTGGCCCATGAATCTGTTCGAGGCTGGTATGGCAGAACAGTAATCGTTGAATCGACCAGTGGACGCAGCGACGAGGAAACCCAGGCTGTCAAACCCCTGAATACAAGTGTTGGGAGAGAGTGCAAATCCAGCCATTGTTTCAGATCCCATGAAGGCTGTTTTACTGAAGCTTCTGATGCCAGAGTCCCACGAGCCGAATTCGAAAGGATGAAATTCATATTGAGGTGAACGCAGGTCGGCATGTATGCATCCACTGATGTTCTTCCTTGGATCAACATTGAGAGCGGTGATGACGGGAAATGGGCCGCGGTGATCCAGGAATGCACTTGAGTTGGCGATACCAGAGAGCGTCTGATGTGATTCATCACCTTTCAGCACATGGGATGCGATGACCCTACCCAGCGTGTCGACCAGGGTAGGTGTATAGCCAGCAGTTGATTTGGCAACCAGATCCAAGTTGAAAGCCGCGTACATGGCTGGTAGCCTATGCTGCATTGTGGGAATGAATGAAGGGTCATCAAACCCGGCCATCCACAAGTCCGACAGCAGTGAACCAATGGTGGAATCCTCGTTGCCGGCCAACGCAGCCACAAGCCACGCACCAGTCGAGGTTCCACTGTGGTAAGTGACTGCCTGGTAGAGACCACTGATGTTGCTGCCCTTGTCGCTGACAGTCTTGTCGCGGGCATCCATGGCTTGGATGGCACCAGCACCATTCAGCATCGAGCCGATACCTCCTCCGCTTGAGGCCAGACCTAGAGCAGGAAATTCGATGTTGGCCAGGTCGAAGGGCTCCTCAAGGTGGTCGCTTAACAGGTGGAAGTAATCCATCAACGCCTTGTTGGCAACGATCGATCTCGAGCGTCGATACTCCTCCTCTGGAGCCGATAAGCCATTAGCTTCTCTGGATAGACCTGATGCAGGACATGTGGCAGGAGTCGGTGCGTACGGCGTCAGCCTGAGAAGTGATGGAAGCGAGTATGTTCGCGCAGTGAAAAGGAGAGCGCATACGATGAGGCTACAAAACATGTTGGACATATTCGTCCGTGGCGAGACGTGTAGTGAGCGGACAGAGGAGATAAGTCCAAAAAGTTGCAGAGGCAGGAAGTGAGAAGAGGTAAAGAGCAGACATGTCGACAAAATCTGCATCAGGTTATAGGGGTAATGCCTCTGCTCTGTTGCACCTGCCGAGGGCACTTTTACTCACCGTGCAGGAGCACTTCCTGCACACCTCTGCAGCCAGAGATGGCAAGAATGAACCACGTTGTGTGTTGTCATCGCGGCTCCCTGAGAACCCCAGAACCCAGTCGATCATCCCAACATGGCGCATCCCTCCACCTCGCCCCTTCGCCGTACACCATCGGCTCGCCGTTTGTCGACAATCCTCCATCTCGGACACAACCCGTGCCACACCGTTCGTTACATACACAGTTTCCACTCCTCTCTCTAGATCTCTGGTATGGGATCCCTGGGCCCCTGTTCGGGCTGCTTCCGGGGATTCGTGGCACACTGAATGTTCGTCTGCCACCACAGTTGCAGCCACCACAGCCACTGCTACCACTGCTGGCTGATGACAACGAGGATGAGGATGACGAGTAGCTCAGGCCCGGACAGGGACTCAGACTTCCATCGCTCCGGTTGTCTGGCCAATGGACATGCCTGCCACGACCCTGTAATGGAGAAGTTTCACCCGTTGCGCTCACGACCGGTCCCTGATGCTGCTGATCAAGTCGAGGATCGAATTGCCCGTAGAGCAGTGCTGCTTCATCGTCAGGGCAGTACTGAGCGGGCATGTGTGATTGTCTGCGTCTCAGTCGTGGCATGCATGGTGGTGATGTCGGGTGGTTGACATCCGGAGGAGTACCATGCCCGCCACAGGTCTGGCAGCAGCTGTCGCATCGTCCTCGAATGGGGAAGATGTGTGGACCTCCATCGTCTTCGATGGACCATATTGGAGGATTCCGGGCATGAATTCGACCAGGTGAAGAGCGGATGAAGTAGTTGCGGCGGTTTCTGCTGGGGCCGCGCCGCATGGCGTATGTCCAGTTTGGGTTGAGATGGGTGAAGCCATTCGGGTTGTATTGGATTTGATAGAGTGGGAAGAGGGACATGCTGCGCCTGCCGCTGGCTCGGGTGCTAGTGCTCGTGGAGAAGGGTCGGAGCCGTATATCGACGCTAGTGCCGCTGAGACCATGCAAGGGTGCCGTGACTGTCTCTCTGGGGGGTGAGTCGTCACTGCTGCTAGGACTGGTCCAGTCGTTGTTGCCCCAAAAGCGATGGAGCGATCGCATATTCAACAGTGCCGTCACGGAAGGATCTTTAGATTACGCCTCGAGTGTACAGCTGCGTTTGAGACTCCTCCGAAGAAGGCTTCCGTTTGAGAGTCTGTATGTGAATCCCTAAAATACCGCCGTAGCATGCGAACGGGGGACAACAGAGGAAAGAAAGTCAGAGACACCAGCCATAACCAACGATGGATGCTTTACCTCTCCCAAACAAACAGCAACCGGCTTCCTCTCCCCTCCCCTCCACTCCCCTTGTGCCGCCAAACACCAAGTAGATCATATGCAGGTACACAATGACCCTGCTTGATCAAACATGCATGATCACAACGTGGGCGCATCGTCAGCCTGCCTTTGTCGTTGTCGAGCAAGGTGCAGGTGCAGCAAGCAGCACACCCCGCCAAAGGTACCCCTGGGCACATGTACCATCGCCTGCCATTCCGCTCTTCACAGGGAGCGTCAGACGATCTTCCAATACTACATGCATCTCAATTGAGAAGGGCCGGGCCGACAACGACGACCAGGCGCCAGAACCTGACATGCACCATGCACCATGCACCATGCACCAAAACTTCTACATGGCAACGCAACCACGCGCCCCGCCCACACAGACGTCGTTTGTCGATGAGAGACGCGGGGCGGCACGCGTACGACTGACTGTGCATGACTTTTTGATTCGATGCATCTCAGCAGACCCAGGGAGGGGGGGGGCGAATCATCTGGGTTGGGCGCGGTCATGTGAGCCTGAGCCTGAGCCGGAGCAGAGTAGAGCCGTCACTTTGGCTGGTTTGTCTGGCCGGTTTCCCCTACTGCTCAAACGCCGCGCGCGCGCAACATGGGGGAGTCTGTAGCATGATAATGTGATGGTCGCTGTTTGATTGCGAGCAAATGGTGATTCAAGGTGAAAACACTGTATGCTGTCATCGACTATGACACGAGGGAGTGCTGCCTCTTTTTGTGGGTGTCATTGCCAAACGAGGGTGGGAGGTAAAAGGATGTAGTCAGTCGGACGGTTTGCGTGGTCAGGAGGTCGGTGGCCGGAGACTCTTCGGCAAAAGATATTCAGGCAGCGAACTCTTCTTTATTGAAGCTGCAACGAAAGCCAGCGTTTGCTGGTGTTATTACAAAAGCGCCCACTGCGCTCTAATGCTGAGTAGCACGTTCCTTTCCGGTTACAGCCTGTAGCCCGACCTTTTTCAGCTCGTGCGTTGTGTATCTTTTCCCCGCTGCTGCCCTTAAGTCCCAGCCACTTGTTCGTCGTTAACCCAGACTGATGCCGCTGTTGCAGCATCTCGATCAGGCCTGTTGTCCTCCACATAAGTGAAATCAGAGAGCATGCTAGCATTCGTGGTAGTATTGCAGTCTGCTTGCCCATGCAAGGCGGGGTCCTAGTCGCAGCATATCGATAGGCGTGGCCGTAGACACGTGGCTGCTCTGAACGAGGAGCAAGGTGCCTTGCATCCGCCAGCAAAGTCCTCTAAGCTTTAGTGCGGAATGAAGATCCTTTTGCCGCAATCCTTGCGCAGACCAGTAAACATCCAGTAAGGAAGATTGTGATACCGCTGAACAACTGGACGCCCAGAAAGCTTCCGGTGCTCTTGTAGATTGCACCCGACACAGGTGTGCCACACAGCAGACCGAATGCGCTAAAGAAGAAGCATTGACCCATGCGTGTTCCCAGAGTCCGTGGATCAGGAGTCAAGGTGACGACAGCAACTGGTGGCATGCTGACGAATCCGCCGCTAAAGAATCCGTACAGGATTGCAAAGACAATGATGCCGGGTAGGTTATGAATGCCGATCCAACAGAAGGCCAGAATTCCCGTGATGGCTGCGCAAGGAGTCAACATGTTCAGAGGGCCAACGCGGTCGGCCAGGAAGTTGGGCAGAATGCGGCCCGGAACCGATGCAGCGTTGAGGATGGGCAGCAGATAGAATGCAAAGTTCTGCGTGGTGAGATTCTCGGCAATGGCGTATGATTGAATGTAAAAGACTGGTCCATAGAACCCAATGAAGCCCAGAAACATGCTGACGCAGAAAAGGACATAAGGAACTTCGGTAAGCGCGGAGAAGTCGACGAGTTTCCGACGCCCTTTGGGCATGACGCGCGGTTTCATGACGAGAACGGAAAACCAGAGAGTCACAAGTGAGATGAAACCGCATGTGCGTGTGGCCCATCCGAAGCCGACGGACTGCTCTAGCCGGCGGAACACAATAGGATAGATGATTCCACCAATAGAGGATCCCGAAGCTGCAACTCCGTTGGCTAGAGCCTTTTTGGTCGTGAAGTACTGCGGGAGGATGGCAACACTAGGGACAAAGACGCAGCCGTTTCCGAGGCCTATCAGAAAGGCTTGGGCGAGCATGACCTGCCAGTAGGTGTGTGTGAGACTGGTCATCATGAACCCAAGGGGAATGAGGACACTGCCGGCGATGATCAACGGGCGAAAGTAGCCTGCATCATATACAGGACCCGTGATGACGCCAACGAGGAGCAAGAGGAAGGCTTGGATAGAGCCGATCCAGGAAATGTTGGATGGTGACTCTGACCAATACGGGTTGTTCTCGTAATACGTTTGGAATACGCCGAATGTATTGACCGTTCCCCTAAAGATGAGAAGACTCAGGAGTCAGTATGTGTTCAGAAAAGGAGTAGAGGTAAGGCATCAGGCCCGATCCTCGCTCATGAGTCCTAATACAGTAATGCAACGGAACTCTCGAACCTTCCCGCAACATCAAGCACAGTGTCACTCACCAGCAATTGAAAAACAGAAAGAATGAGCCCGCCACCTGCAGCCACGCCTGGAACCCGCCATTGGGAGCAGGACCTGGCTCATCGTCGTTCTTGGCCGGAGTCGTTGGCCCTGCTGGAACGTTGGAGAAGCCGGCCTCGGCATCAATGGCCTCCTCGACAGTCGACGTGCTACTATGAACAGGTGTCAGGCGGGCAAAGTCCTTCTCAGGGTCGTGGACAGCGAGATATTGCTGTTGGCGCTGGTGTTGCGGCAGCGGCTGTGGCTTTTCCTCAGTGGAGAGGGCCATCTATGCCGAGGGATAATGATGGGGCTGAGTTGCTATTGGATGGAAGTCATGGTGCTGGAACAAAAGAATGCTGACTATAGTGGTTGATGATATGAAGTCACTGGTACGGAGACGAAAGACGGCAAAGAAGGGCTCCATGCAAGTATATGAAGCGTTTGCTCGAGTCACGGCCAATTTGGGCGTGTCCTTCGCGACTTCGTAAGAGCGAGTTGCTGCACTCGGCGATTTCAAAGCAAAGAGTCAAAGACCCCGTATTCGAGAAGTGTGGGGAAGTGCTATCCGACCCAATAGATGTATTAGAGCCGTACAGCAGCCCCTCCTCGGCTAACCAGCGATGCAGAAGAGTCTACTTGAAAGCGTGGATCTAGGATGCTTGCCGCTTCATGCTAGATTTGACATTTGCTCCAGGCACCACGTGGTCGCCTGTGTTATGCACACGCTAGGTACGTACGGCAGGTCAATTTGATGACAAAGCTAGCAAGTAGACTCCCGACCGACCGCGTGGCTCTGAGTCTTCTTTCGATGCCTGGTGGCCTTTGCCTGTTCTTGTCCACTTCATGCGTATAGTGCGGGAGTGTTGCGTCGCCGCTCGACAGTCTGTCATCTCCACCCCTGAGGTGTCATCACCATGGTGTAGTAGATGCCGGGCGTTTGAGCAGATGTTTCCGACCGGGCGAGATCAGCAAACGACCTCAATACAACCCCGTCATCGACCTGCATGGTGCAGACCTGCAATGCGTGGTAAAAATGTAGATATCTGTAGAGGAATCCCCCCAGATAAAAAGCCAAAAGGACGTGCAAATCGCTGCAAAAGCTGCCGCCCACCGCTGGCGCACCAGCATCTTATGGGCCGACCGGCACAGCTCCAAAAAGAGCCTTGAGGCACAACTCGATGAGAACGTCGTCGCTGACCTTGTCTCGTATCGTGTCCCCAGACGGTGTCATAGTCATTCGCATCAAATGCAGTCGTCAATCGGCGTTGGAAGCGATCCTGTTCTCGCACGAAATGCCTCTTGTTGCGCTCACAGCAGCTCCTCACAGCTCCAGTCCTCGTACCATCCATCGGGCAAATACCGCCTAATGATGAGTGGAATCTTCTTCTGATTCAGCTCCTTGATCGCAATCTGTAGCGGGTCCGTCTCGCCCTCCAAGTCCACCAACACCGGCGCATTCATGCTGATCTGCAACGCCCTCGTCCCCAGCACTCTCGCCCGCTCATACTTGGTCATGTACGGCGTCGTTGCCCTTTTCTCGTCGGGTATCTTCTTGTCGGCCTCGGTTGTCGGACGAGGGTTACCGCCCGCTTGCTGATTCGGGTCACCGATCGTCACCACATTGTCTCCATCTGCGTCCTCGTCGGCGTCCACTTCGACATCGAGTTCGGGCTCAGGTGCTTCGTCGATGAGGTCGTCGTCCTCGGCTTCAAAGACATCCTCCTCGGGAATATCGGCGCCTAAGCTGTAGGAGTCGTGTTAGCTGGACAATGCGCCAGACAAGAGGCAAGGGGAAGTTGCGCAAAAAGTCGTTGTGACTTACCCTCCATCATCGCCGTTGTCGGACATTGCGAACAGAGCCTGTCAGGCTAATTATGAGACGATGAAGTCGTCTCTAAGATCAGGCTGAAAGTGCGACTGCAGCAATCAAAGCGACACTAGGGTAATGGTGGAGGAACGTGTGTTGTTGTCGGGACTGGAACTTTTTTCCAGTTCACTGCAGACGTGAAGCCTGCAGCCTCGTCCCGCTGCCACTCAGCCTTGCCGCATTTGGCAAGTCCAGCCGAGGTTGAAGTACACTGAGGCAGCACTTTCACCCTGCAGGCCGACACCGAGCGAAGCATATCAATACTCGAAGCAGCTTGCATCCGTCAAATTCTATTGTGGTACAGGGCCTCGCCATCTCTAATGCCGTATGTGACTGAGTCCCCCATGCAATCAGATGCTCCACTCAGGCTGCCTTCCCTATGCACCGTAATCCCATGCATTATTTCTTGTCATCCAACTCGTATCAGTACATTGCCGCCTACCGATAACTCTGCCCGGTCGAAGGCGGTACATTCTGTCCAGCTCCTCTCATATCATTTCGCACCTCACTGGCAGCAGCCTCCACTTCCTCGAGCACTTTCTCCCGATTCCACTCGTCTCTAGTCTGCCAGATGACCTCCATGAGCGAACTGTTGACCTGCTCCAACTGCTCCACTGTCAAGTCCATACAGTCTCTCGACAGCTTGTACACAACCCTGTTGAGTTCGTGTTGTGGCGGGCGTACGAAATTCGGTAGCGGCGAAGGATTGAGAAGATCTTGGAGATGTGTACTTGGTCGACGGTTTCGCTCGGATTGCTCAGCCTTCTTCGTCGCACCATCAAAGAGCGGTACAGGGGGTGCTTGCGATCCAGGAGTTCGCGTCTGCTGGGAGGGATTGCTATTTTGCGGCGCGTGCGAGTTTTGAGAATTCGGCAGTTCTGTATCACCAGTTAGACATGGGTCCTCGGGCTCCTCGTGCCTCGTGCGGCGCTTGAACAGTTCGTGGAGCATACCTGGTTGAGTAGCCGGCAAGTCACGCCCGACTGACTCGTCAAAGTTGAACAAATTCGGCCCTGACTCCTGAGTGCTATGCTGCGGTCCAGACGATTTCTTGTCGCCTGGAGTATCAGTGGTACTTGCATCGTTCTGGTAGTCTGCTGCCTGACTACCCCGTTTCATAGACGTGATGCCACCAGTTTGCGAAAGTGGCTCAGACTGACCGAATTCTTCGCGCAGTTGTTGCGAGGGCGCGGTGTACTGGTGGAAAGGCCTTGGCTGAGCTGACGCGCGATTGTCAAATGAGCTCGAAGAATGCGTTCCATCACTCTTCTGGCCCGACGTGGGTACAGAATTTGTGCCGCCCATAGGCGTGTCATCGTCAACATCGCCTCTATGGCCTTCGCTCGAAGTCGTGCCGTTAGTACGCTCACCAGAGTTCCCAGCAGAATCGTTTTTGTGAACGCCATTGGTCAAAACACTGGTCGATGAAGGTCTTGATGGCGTTGTGGGCTGGAAGCGTGACAAGAGGTCCGGACCACGTGTGTCTGTGTTGATGCCAAGCTTGATTGGGCCAATGGACGTATTACCTCCTGAGACGTCCGTCCCTGAATTGTGCGGTACATTGGACACGAAAACCGGGGGAGGCATGTGTTGATTCATAGCATCGGCCTTGGCTTTATCCAGCATCTCTTTTTCTCTCGCAAGTTCACGCTGGTATACTTTTTCACATTCAGCAGCCAGGACGGGTTCGCCTACTTCGATACCGCCAATGTCTACCTCGACGTTGGCAAGCAGCTCATTGGCCTTGAGAAGTCGATCGTCATCTCCGATGGTTTTGGCATCTTTGGCAAGACGCCTGATATCGGCTAAAAAGTCTTTGGGCCGCTTGTAGTATCCATTGCTCAGCCTCTTCTCTATTGTCACTGAATCAAGATTGTAGTAGAATTTGCCAGTCGATTGCTCAACCAGACCCGGGACACCGTGGACGTCTTTACCGATCTCAAATGGTCGGAACGTGGCAGTAGCACGAAACTCGGTTGGCAAGTCCGAAGTGACCGTGCCGGGATCGGCTTCATCATAGAGGTAGCGGATTTGGCTCTCATCGATAACGCCAGTGCGGAACTTTTTATGTCTGGTTCGGATCTGGTCCATGATCGGCTGAAGTCGGATCTTTAGCATATTGAGAGCCTGTCTGTCACGCTTCTTCTGAGCCTTGAGTTCTTCTTTGCTTAAGGGTGTAGGCGCCTTGACGGGCTCGGGTGGCGCTGCGGGCAGCTTCTCAAGTTGGCGCTTCTTGCGATTCTTGTGCTCCGGGAATTCTTCTGGCCGCATGGAGATATACTCCTTGATTGGCTCAAAGAATTTTAAGATCTCATCTAGCTGCGGTTGTTGAAGCAGAAAGCGATTTTTCTGGGAGTAACCAAAGAGCTCCCGTCGCATATCATCGTCAACATCGTCATCGTCATTCTCAACGATGCCGAGTAGCATAATGGGATCCGTAGATTTGATGGAGCGAAGCAGCCCGAGAAACGTCGAAATGATATGCGGCCCAAGTGTACGATACCACTCCTGCACGTTCGGTATGTAGATGACACTAGGCTTGTGAGTTTTGACTTCAGCGAACAAGCGAATAATGGTAGCCTCTGGTCCACTTGTACTGTCGCCATACAGAATCGACAAGTCCAAAGACTGCACATGTACACGTTCAAAATGGCTGAGTATGGCGGCTGCCAGATACTGCTGGCCCATACCAAGCTTGCCATGGAGCAGCAAGCGAGGTCGGAATACTCGTGCAGATTCAAAAGCTTGCTGCATGCGCTCTCGACCGAAGGAGTGCCCATCTGAAGTATCCTCATACTGTGCCTCTTCTAAAGCAGTCAAAGCTTTCTTCTGCGGCATGATTTCGTCGAGTATACGAACAATATTGCCAAGGGGCTGCTGCAGAAGAGGTGCCACAGTGGCTGGAAGTGGAGCGGCTCCAGATGATGCTGAACGTTCGGAGGAAGGCACCATCTTCTTGACAGATATCATGAAATCCTTTGGTGTGACTTCTATAGACGATGGATCGATCAAGAGCTTTTCGTTTGAAGCGTAGATTTGTGGATAGCGTCTCTGCACTGCATTCAAAGCGGCTTCAGTGCACAACGCTCGTAGATCAGCACCACCGTAGCCTTTGGTGACCTTCGCGAGCTCATCCTTGACTTCGGGAGCTAGAGGTGGGTTCCAGCCACGTGTGTGAATGTCGATGATAGCACGCCGCGCCTCCGTGTTCGGTAAGGCGAAATAGAACTCGCGATCGAAACGCCCAGGTCGCCTGAGCGCAGGGTCAATCGAGTCAGGTCGGTTGGTCGCGCCAATGACAATGACTTGGCCTCTACCGTCCATCCCATCCATCAGCGCTAGAAGGGTTGAAACAATAGACGCGTGGATTTGCTCTTGCTTGCTCGATCGCACCGGTGCTAAGCCGTCAATCTCGTCGAAGAAGATAATGCTAGGCTGATTCTTGCGAGCTTCCTCGAACAGGAGCCGGAGCTGACGTTCAGCCTCACCAACCCACTTGCTTAGAGCATCGGCACCCTTGCGCATATAGAAGGTGACTTTCCGGCCCTGGGAGCTGACGCTAGAAGCCAAGGCGCGAGCGAGAAGTGTCTTTCCCGTGCCTGGTGGACCATGGAATAAGACGCCTCGTGGAGGTGTGATTTTGAAACGCATGAAGATCTCAGGATACAACAGAGGCAGCGCGACCATCTCCTTGAGTTGATCGATATGGCCTTGAAGGCCACCAACGCCATCAAAATTGACGTTAGGGTCGACACCCAGAGGGTCTGCATCAGCCAGGGCTTGTTTGTCTTTCACCTTGCCTAGATTTGCGGGAGTCCCAGCGGGTGCCTGATCTGCTCCAGCTTGTGGAAACAGGTTGAAGCCAGAAGGACCGGCAGTAGTAGGCGTCATGCCAACAGCACCTCCGACAGGTTTCGGCTGCTTCATGACTTCGTCGTCGCTGCTGTCGGAGTCCACATCTCCCTGAGCTCGTGGCATCGAAGGACCCCCTAGAACTGGTGCCGGCCCGCCAGCACCACCGAATGGTCCGTATGTGCTGAACAAACTACGTTGCCAGCTACCAGCGCCGGGTTTGCGAGCTCGCTGTGAGGGCGATGGAGCAGCCTCTTCCTCGTCTTCGATGACAGGCAGGGTACGAAGCAAGTCGTAATTCTTTCTCCCACCACGTCGAGTGCCTCTGGGTTCAAATGTTATTTCGTCACGAATTGCTCGCGACTTCTTCCCATCGCGCTTGAGCTCCGCAAGCTCAGCAGCCAGATCTCCATCTTCGTCTGTGACTGGCGATCTTTGACGCGACACAGCCTTACTACGGAGGCGCGTCGACCGACGGCCACCGTTGCTAGAGTCATCGTCATTGCGTTGAATCTCCCTTCGCTGTGAAGGCTCTGACTCTCCGGAGCTTGACACATCCATTTCTCCCTCCTGCGCGTCCTCGGGGTCGAAGTCACTGCTTTCTTCCTGGCCTTTTCGCCTAGTCCTCGAACTGGCACCTGATGCAGCATTGCGACGGTTGCGACGCAAACGTTTCGAGTTCTGAGGCGAGTCTGGCGGCGCGGAATCGGCCTTGCGCTTGTTAGACGATCGAGTAGATCTCCCTCGAGTAAGTGGCATATCGTCATCGTCGTCCTCTTCATCTTCTGCAGGTGGATTGGTTCTCTGCAGAGGATCAGGTGAGTCTGGCTCATCGTCTTCAGCAGCAGCTTGTTGAAGGTCGCTGACCAGTCTCGGAATCGCGATATCGTCGGGATCTCCCTGCGCCCTCGGATCATTTTCAAGGATCTCATGCTGAGACGCTTTGATCTCAAGCTCATCCATCTCCTCTTCTTTGGTCAAGTTCGACTCAGGCTCTTCGTCCTCATCTATCGTACTTTTGGATGGGTACTTCAGGCCTTTCCCGCCTTTAAGGGCTCGGGGAGGGATGCCTTCAGGATCGCGTGAACCTTCCCTGACGACCTCTACGTGGTTGCCAGAGTTTGTCAACGCAATGATCTGGTCGTCTTCGTCGTGAGACAAACGACTACTACGACGAGTAGGCCCGGTAGGTTGGGCGGTGCTGCTAGGTTGCCTGCTGCCAGCTCGTGTAGATCGTGCTTTGCGTGCTTCACCAATCTTGAGCTTAACGATCAGACTCTTACGTGGTGCACGTATTTTTCGAGCTGGGAGGATTTCTTCTTCTGAGGACTCAGAACGAGCAAGTTCGTCCTCTTCGTTGGAGTCACCTTCGTCGTAGGTCTGCGTTCGCTTGGTCGCGCTGCGAATAGGTCGTCCTCTCTCGTTGGTCTCAATTTCTTCGTCGTCTTCGTCTTCGAAAGAGTCTTCGTCGTCAGACACGACGTCTTCACTGTCACTGTCTACGTCGGAACCCTTATATCCACCTCTTCGATGTTTCTTTCGCACGAGCTTCACGGTGCCACGAGCTCGAGTAGGGCGGGACTTTGAGGGGCCAGGCGCATTATCGTCGTAGTCAAAGTCGTCTGAATCCTCAGCCTGTGCGATTTCCTCCAAAGTCTGGTGTTTCTTGCTGCTCCGCATTTGGTCGACACGTTCGCAGGCTACTTGCCTGGAGGAGAAGCTCGTTCCTTCAAACAAAGATTATCTTGTACACAGAGAAATCATTACAGCGACGACTGTTTTTCTTGATATCGCAGTCGGTACGGCTCTCAAGCGGAGTGCTCGCGCGTTGCGCTCAATGACGCTATTTGCAAGGGCCGAGAGATGACTGGGCCCTGGCAGGCTAGTAGCTGACAAAGTGATGCGGCGGAAGTACGAGCGCGTTTAGCCCGTCGCGTGACAACAGACAAAAACGTTGACTGGCGCAGATGTAGTCACCGCCCTTTCAAACAGTACCTGCTGATGCGCTTGACAAAGACGGGAATGAAACGAAGGAGAAAGTCGACTGCGCATCGTCGAGAACTCGTAGGCTACAAGCAGGCCAGCCAGGCGCGCTCGGGTCTTGGCAGTGGAGCCACTTCTCCCTTTCAGCCAATCATAGCTCGTGTCTCAAGGCATGAGATGTGAGTCTGCGCACGCATTCGCGATGAAGCTGGAACTCCAACGGACGACGAGTTCAACATCTCCTCGACATGGCACTTGTGTCGCCTGTGAGTATCGCAAAATACGTAATGAATGTCGAACACAACATCCTGAAGGTCTTGGGCAGATACGACCCCAAATGAGCGCGAGCGACAGCTCCGTAGAAATGTCGAGATGGACTAAAGAGGAACAAACGACCTTTTATCGCCGTCGCTCATCATGCGGCTCTGCGGAGAGTGGGTCGTACCTAGCACGTTGCCGCCACCCCGGATTCTGGGTGTCCGGGGTTTCATCACGTGACCAAAATCTACCACCACGGCATGCCTCACCGCATCTCTTTGAAAGATACAGTCTGTTCCCGTCTAGCTAGTCTCTTTTCTGTCTGGAAATTTCTTCTTCCTCGCCTTCGTCCTCTGTCGTCGTTGCCCCGTCCTCCACCTCTGTTCCGTCATGCCATAATACCGATGCTTGCCTGCTCAATTCTTCTATAATGCTACTCTGACGCCGGCCCATCCGTGCCTCGTAGGCGGGTGGGTGAGCTTCCTGACCTGCTGAGGACACATTGTCGTCGCTAGAGTCAGGAAGATCAAGTTTAGTCTCCTTGTCCTGCTGCTCCAGCGCATGTGAAGGGCCAGCCGCATTGGTGGCAGCGGCTCCCATTTTTCGAAGGCCGTCCAGGATCACATTTTCGACCTTCATCCGGTTCGAAATGAACTTGATCTTCGGCCAGCAGCTTCGTTCTCCAGCTTTAATCATCCGTTCAAGCCTGGCAGGACTTGGGTCACTCAGTATATACCAGAAATCGCTGAGTCTGGTTTTGGGCCAGATGGTGATTGTTCCCGAGAACCGCTGCAACCAGATCTCTGACCAGTCCGAGCCTAATGGTCTTGGAAGGAGCTCTAAGTGTTTCAATATCTTCAAATATTTTTGCAGGTCCAGCTTGATGGCAGTCTCAATAGAAGAGCCCAAAAAACCCCCCCGCCAGCCCCTCCCACGCCGATGGCTCACAGGTCGGCCAGGAGATCCTCGAGGCGAGAAAAAGAATAGGTTAATGTGAGGATTGACTTGTGACACAATGGAAAAATTGACGTTGAAGTGTATGTTCAGCGATTTTAGGGGAATGTCGGTCCGCAGACTGCCGTCTTTCCACTTGTTACCGAAGGAGTAAGGGCCCAAGGTTCCATCTGGGTATTTCCGCATGAGTACAATAGGGTTGAGTATTCCAGGAACAGCAGCCGAAGCCAACACCGCCGACCAGATCACGCAGTCGGGAGAAGTAATGTGGTTGTTGAGCAGCACTGGTGAATGCGGATCAGATGGAACGCAGGAGACATTGAGAATGCGTCCTGTGCGTTCATATGCTTCTCGGAAGGTAAGCGATCCACGACAAAACCACGCTGCCTGCTTTGCCCAGTCAAGAGAGTCAAAGCGCGCGCCCGTACGCCACCACCTCCTGACCCACGTTGTAAAGCCTTCGTGACAAGCGCGTATTCGGTATGCAAGCGCGGGCACTAAGAGCTGCTTCAGCTCGTCGTTTGTCCGTGTGCAAACGAGAGCGGCGACTATGGCACCACCGGAGGTACCTGTAATGATCTCTGGCAGCTCGCCAGTTTCGAGAAGAGCCCTGACAACTCCAAAGTGGCAATATGCAAAAGTAGCTCCGCCGGAGAGTAGAAGTGCTGTTCGGCCAAAGTTCAACTCGAGATGCCTGAAAAAGGTCCCCTTGTCTCGATCGGAGATGTACTGGCTGTGCAAAACCGCCCGGAGGCCTTGCTCGACATGGTCGGTAAAGGACTGTACCAAGTCCTTGGTGCCGTAGTAAGTTTCGCTGTAAAGCCGTGGGCTCTCAATGCCAACGAAGTTGTTCTTGATGCATGCCTCCAGTAAAGCCTTTAGTTCGTTAGTTGCCTTCGCCTTCAAACTGTCCTGGGTGTCCTGCTCCATTGTCTGAAGCAGGGCGACAAGCTGGTCATTCACGCGACCCACGGTCTGGTGATTGTAATACGAATATGGATCGGTTCGCTTCCACTGCTCATTACTGAGGTGATTGTCTAGCCTCTGCGCCGCCTCTTTCCATTCATCGTACGAGTCGGCGTGCTGGAGTTGCCTTCTGATGGTCTCACGCTTGCCCACCCATGAGAATAGGTGTTCATACGCATAGATGTAGAGCCTTGTGAGATTATAAGCAGCGAACTTTATTCAGTCAGTCTTGCATCTAAGACCAGAGTTGGAGACGTGTGATTCCACTAAGGGCTACACGGGGGTAGATCTCCAGCTTGGAAATTCTCCCAGGTATGGAACAGTCATAGCACCTAGTCCTGACACCCTCTAGGAGGCAACTTACAAGAAAAATAATCCAGCTGAGAACACCGAACAGCAGAGGGTAGTAGAGGAGAGTATAAACGAAGCCTTCTCGAGTCTCGTCCTTGGTCCGTCGGGCCTCTCTACGCCGCTTGGCCTTCTTGATCTTTTGACGGATAGGGCGCCAATCGTTCAGCGCTGTGACGGGTGTCGTAGTGGGAGCCGCCAGGGCATTTGAGAAAGCCTCGAGCTCATCATTACTGATGAAGTCGATTTCAAAATCTGGCAACCCATGCGGATCGTATGGCCTGTTGTTGAGTAACGGCTCCTTTTTTCCGCCGTGAGGGACCATATTGAATGGCTGCCGGATGGGGGATCTGTCTGGGTTCAACGTTAGGCACTACTGTCTAGACAAACGGGCATCAACTGAGAAGGAAAGCTCTAACATATTGAGTTGAACAGCAAACGACTTGCTGGGTATGCGGGACAAGGAGAATGTTTCGTCTTATTGCTGAATCAAGACGCCTGGCTTGAGCGACGTCACCACAAGGCTATCTGTCAGCCTCGTTCGTGGACTGGCCTCATGTGGCTCGTGCTTCCGCGCCGTCAATCTAACCACTCCTCCGCCATATTACTTGATGCGTTGAGGCCAACGTGGTTCAGTCTCGAGATGGCTACCACAATCTGGAGGTTCAGCATCACTATCACGAAATCATGTTCGCGCGTGGACCTGGACCTGCTTTCTAACAGTAGACACACACTGGCTGATGAGTTCTAGTTTTGAGATACTCGACGTTCCATAACTCGCAATGATCGATATTCGATTTGCGCAAGCACGAATGCGTGGGTGTGAAAACAACACAATGGCCCAGCCTTGAGTACTAATACTAGACGAATGCACGTGATGTTGCAGACCCAGGACATTCTTCGCGGGTTCCCGTCTGCGTCCCTTGAATTCTACAGCTCTCCCAGCTTTCCGCTGTGTCCGTTAGACCCAACGGTCAAAGATGGAGCTGCCACAGGTGTTGACGCAGATGAGTGGTCAATGGTAGGCCGAGCACCCCGTCTACGAGTACTAATACTTGAGCTCTACCGATTGTGCACACAATCGGCAATGACTTGTGAACTCCCGAACAACGATAACGAAACTAAGGTTAAAACTGATTTGACTTTGTAGTGCCGGTGCAAGCATGGCATCTATCCAGAACCCGGTTCATTGGAGTCTGCGCGCCTCAGCTGCTGTGCCTCGCCATGACGAATTCTGAGATCTGACAATGCTCATGACAGGTTCATCTGTAGACGAGAACATCAAGTCTTGTTCACACATAGAGCAGACGGTTGTTGCGGGTGGTTTATCTCATTGGGTCAGTGCCCTCCTGCCGGGGTCCATAGGTCACTTGACGCCGAGTATAGCCGCTGCACCAGAGGGAGCGATGTGACGATTAGCCTCCACATGCCTGCGCGAGACCTGACAGCTTGTCAAAAACAATGGCCGACAAGTCAATTACGCTGCCCCATGCTGCGATAGGAGTCCCCACACTAGGATCCCCCACACCACTGATTCCCAGTGAGGCGAGTTCAAGACGAGCATTCGCAGGCGACTGGCGGCCACTCTGCAGAATGACATTCCTTTGCATAGCTTATGCAAGACGTGCACTCGGCCAGCGCTCGTGCCGGCATTGCCTGACAGAGCTGCCCGAGCCTGTTACGGCCTTCGCTAGCAGCTTCAGCGCTGCGGCTCGCGACTCAAGGATCTTGCATTCCAGCGCAGCGCCAAATCAATGCGCCGCTGCTGTCAGGAATTGTGCCTTCAGGATATACATAATGCACGTAATGTACCAGAACGCGAGACCCTGCAGTCGGTCCAAACCATCTTGGCCGCGTTCTGATCCCTTGCTGACAACTTGCATGTCCGCCGGACAGCTGCTGCGCTCGACGATGGTGGGTTCGTTGGCTCTAAGCTTCCGAACTAAGGTCAGCTGCTAGCGTCGTCTTCTGCACGAGAAGCGTCCTACCGCGTCAGAACGCCTCTTGGAACGCAATCTTTGCGCTGCAACGCCAACACGTTGTGCTATGCTGCAACATGAACAGAGTGCTATGGTGCGCAAGGTTCGGTCTGAAGTCGCCACAAGGCTTGGGTTTCACCAATCAATCAAATGCTCTGTTCTACGGCATACGAGGCAAAGATGGTTTGCACAACAGAGGTTTAGATGGGGGGTAGGCGTTGCGTGATTGCCGCAGCCTTCGAGTCACCCCAACAATAGACAGTCTTTAACATTGAATGCTACTGAATAGTGCGGGAGATCTCCCGGCGAAAGTTTGCCTCTACCGATAACCCTTCTTCGCTCTGATTGAAGCATATCTGGAGTCCGTCGCACAAGTCATGTCGGCAACGAACCTTGTTTCTTGCGACATCAGTAGAACCACAGCGGACAGGCTCGGCACGTTCAGGTTTACGAACTCGAAAGAGGACCCTGTCGTCGAGGGGCCATGAGGCGAGCCATGGCGCGTGTTGCTAGGCGGTAAGGGCGAACATCTACAAACTCTAGCTTGACCGCTCTATCCGCAGGAGGCTTGATTACTGGTCGGCATGGCACGTTTCGACCGAAAGAGTATCACCGGACGTTGGTGCTCAATCAACAGTGTGACAGCAGGGAGGCGAGCTGCATTGCTCGCACGAAGGGCTTGAGGATGGCTCGGGCTAGATTCAAACGCCAAACGCAGCCCACTGTAGAAAAATGTGAGGTCAAACACGGTCAAGGTGGAGGAGTCCATTGTTCAATGGCCGTCGACGCCACTGGAGATCTCCGGAGGTGACGTCTGCCGACACTTTGTCGAGTGTATGTAAAGCGGAATATGTGCTGTAAACTCAGAGGTCAAGCCGTTGGTTTGGTGATATCAGAGGTCAGCTAGAGCAACGAGGGGCAATTTATTTTCGCAAGTCGAGCTTCGGCTCCGGTGAAGCGCTGCTTCAATGTAGATCAAGGGTGTCCTGGAAGTGGAGCGATTGAGATGCATGTGAGGCCGACTAGGTCTGCAGAATGACCGCAAAAGCACGAGAACAGGCGGGATTGGCTGGCGCTCCAAGCACCTCTTGCACCATGCAGACCTGTCAGACGAGATTGGCGCTGGATGCCCGCGAGCAGATGACCGGTGCCTCCATGTTCGGTCGAAGGCATGACCGGCTGAGAGCACACACCGACACGCCTTGCGGCTTCATAATATGCTCGCTCTGCGGAATGTGGCGAGAGGAGGCGTCCTGGGAACGATAACATCCTCGTCATCTGCGCGCTGCACTGCTCAGATGGATATCAATTTCCACTGTCGCCAACGATCTTGGCCGTATTGACAGCCTAGGGCCGAGCCAGAGTCCGCGCTTGGGAAAGTCGTGCAGCTCTGGGCGTGGATAGCTGCCCGTCATCTGCACCCATCTGAACCAATCTGCAAATCAGCGAACCCTGAAGCACACCTGTGACCCCCACTGCACTAGGCGCAATTGTTAGCGACCGATCCCTCTTCCCTGCCCCTCTGCATACCCAGCTGGAGGGGCACTCTTCGCTGGAGGTGTCGCTGCCGCTTCGTCGGAAAAGCCAATCTCAAATCTCCTTGCCCCAAAAATATTGTACTGGAGCAACAACCAGCATCCAAGACGAGAGACTCGGTGCCGCTCCACCCACAATCTACAAGCTCATTATCGCAGGTCGACAGATCTTCTCTACCTACCACGACCGGTCACACTCCTTTGGTCATCCTCTAAAGGCCTAATAAATATCCTACATTCGGGGCTCCCCAAATTCGTTCAGCCTGATTGAGGCGCCTCAGGTCACACACCACACCTGACCACACCCTCGTGTCCCGCTCACCATACCCTCCACTACGGCGAATCGTTCCCTGCGCGCTTCCAGAAATACAACACTAGGCTGCCCTCTCAATACTGCTGCTGAATCATAGCCTCCGCAGAAGCCGTCCGCGATACTAGGCATCTGACGCGCAGCCTGGCTCCCAACGCCATGATGGCGGGTTCCGACCGTCCTGATTCGTTCTGAGGGGGCTCTCGCTCTGAATCATATTGCAATTTGGTGGCGGCACATGAGGCCTTGTCAATTCTATCAAATCCACTCCTTAAGTTAGCGGGCCGAGCCTGTCCAACATCCACTGTTACCCACAAAGAAACAACCCTCGTCCTTTCTCTGTTCAATATTCTGGCTCTAGGAGATGGAAACACTCCAGAGCGAGGACGGACAGCATTTCGTACAGTCGCTTGCTCGCTTCATCCGACAACATGAAAAAGCCTTGGCCAACAGCCTGCAGCTCTCCGTACACAGGACGAACTCGTCCACCACGAGCACCTCTCCAACAACGACCAGTGTCTCTGGTCTGGCCTCCACAAAGTCTTCCACTCCGTCGGCCGCGTCAAGCTACCCGCTGGCGGCCCTCTCCAATTCATGGGTGTTCCTCAAATTCCTCAATGTCAAGGCTGCGCACCTTACCCTTACGCCGCATCATTTGTACTATCTTTTGTCCCAGATAGAAGAGCTGGATATTGATGTCGGGCCCATGAATGTTCGCATGGAGAGCATTCATGCCGAGCTCTCTCAATCCAATTACATTTCCTTCCTTGGGCCCAAGAGCAGCAAGCCGCGATCTGATCGGGACTCCATACATTCCGTGTCCAGCATGCGAAGCGTGATGTCTAGCATGACCACCTTCTGGTCAACCTTTGTTCGCTCTGCCGACTCAAAGAGCGAGAAGGCTAAGGCCCAAATGGAGACCGATCTAAAGTATCTCTATTCTGCCTTCACCAAGCTGCCCTCTCTACGACTTACCGCAGATCACCGCACGCCGCTCATCAAAGGATATGAAGAGTTTCCCTTTGATACTGCTGTCCCTCTCTGGAGCTTCAAGAACATTCAGCAGCTAGATATTGTTGACCTTGACTTCCGCTCATTTCAAGGATGGGACCGCCTGGCTGAACAACTCGTTATGCTTACCGTCAAACGTGCGAACCTGGATGATCCGACTGAGTTGCTCACCGACATTGTCTTGGATGACGTTGAGAAGAAGCGCCGGCGATCCACGAGGGGTGGCCAAGGCTCTCCGACCCCAACCGCTTCCTGGACAGTGCCATCTACTCCTCGAGGGGAGTATGCACGTTCTCACTCTGACCCTGGCTCGCCTGCAGATGGCAGTCCCAAGCCTGATGAGCATGGCTTTCACAAAGACAGCATTGCTTTAGCTGGGAGTGCGTCGCCCAAGCGTCCAAGTGCAGCTCGGCCTACTAGCGCATATCGGCATGCTCGAGCACACTCTACGAAGATCAATCGGTCGGGCTCGGGCAGTTCCAATTCGAGCGAGGCCTCGATACATCCGCAACGTGCAGACAGCAGCCCCAGTCTCTCGGGCTTGGGCATCCTTCCCACAAATAAATGGCACCGGCTGAAATATCTCTCTTTGGCCGACAATGGTCTCATGCATATCACAGCCAAGAGTCTATGTCCAGTAGCCGGGACTTTGAGGTCGTTGAATTTATCGAACAATCTCTTCACAGAGATACCCGATGCTGTGGCCTCATTGACACAGTTGGCTTCCTTAGACCTATCGAATTGCATGATAACATCGCTGCAGTCGTTGACAAAATGCCCACTTCCAGCAATTAGCACTCTCGTGCTCAAGTCAAACCGTCTACAAACCTTGACAGGAATCGAAAGACTTCTGTCCCTGGAACTAGTTGATATTCAAGATAATGCACTTACCGACCCGGATGAGATCAGGAGACTGACCAATCTACCCAACTTGCGCAGCATTTGGGTCAAGCATAACCCGTTCTGCAGAATTCACACCGGATATCGTGTGAAGATACTCAACCTCTTCCGTGCAACGCCCGGCTATGTGGAAGACATCATCATTGATAACAGCGGGCCGGGCTACGCGGAGAAGAAACAGCTTCTCGATCGAGTGCCTGAGAAGGAGCACAAGATGCCCACGGTGAGGATAGCACCAACACCACGTGTGCTGCAAAGCGAGCCGGCCGAGCCCGGCGCCGCCGAGGCGCACGAAGTACCCCAGATATCGAAGCCGTCGACGAGGCGTAAGAAGCACAGTCGGCGCAACATTGTGGACCTGGCGCACGATGACACGCCATGGCAACCACATTCACCCATTATCGGCCGATCTCGCCCGTCCAATGACTCGAGACGGTCGACAGATGGAATCACTGCCGGCCGAACCGAGCGCATTCCTGAAAGAAGCGTACAGATAATGCAGTCCATGAAGATGGAGCCCCAGCAAGAACGGCGTGCGGCGGCTGCCGCTGCCGCTGCCGCTGCAGTTGAAGATGAAATTGAGATGAATCCTGATGAGACATTGCAGGATGATGAGTTTCGCAATCAGGCCGAGGCTCTGCGACGAGAACTCGGCAGTAACTGGCTGAGCGCACTGCCCGACCAACGATGGCACGCCAGTCATCAAGTGGATCTTCAGCGCATGCAGCAAATACAGCAAATGCAGGGCATCGGTACCGTACCTGGTCTGCATCGAGCAAACACGATGGTAGCGACAAGTGGGAGGACACTAGGATGACACAGGCAGAAGGCTGAGAACGTATGAAAAGACGATATGTGTCGACCGAAGATTTGAGCTTCTGCTAATTCTCGATACCCCTGTGCGTTGAGTATTCCACTGAGGTGGATGTATCAAGAGATGCTGGAATTTTGAAGGATGGCTCATGGTACGAACCGAGAGGATGTTTTGAAGATACCACATTTGTTGATTAGCATGGCGGCGGCGTTTTGGTCGGGGTCCTCTGCTCTGCATTGATGATCATGATGATGATGCGTAACGGCAACAGACATGGTCATTGGGATGATGAATTAAAGACTTTTGGGTTTGTCAGATACAGCTGAGGCATGTACAAGTGGTAGACCACTGCCTTGATGATCAAGTGATTGACGGGAATGTTATAAGTACATGGCTCCAGCAGCAATCTGTGCGTGAATAGTGTCCCGATTACCAGATTATATCTGTGCTCGCTTCATTTGCTGGGTGCATTGTCGCTCGACCAGGTGACGAGAATGATTGGTGAGGAGTGAAGCAGAAGACAGTTGACAGGTGTTGCTTGCTTTTGGCTGCAGCTGCCAGTGCTCATTCCAACAATTTGAGCTCAAAAAGCAAGGCAGAAACGAGCAGTAACGATACCTTCCCTGAAGTACCTATGTACCTGCCTGTAGGCTCTAGGGTGGTGCGACAGCCGCAGCTTACGAGGCATCGCCCCCTAGACGCTCCCGTGGTACAGCTGGTGCCGCTGCTTAGCTCTAGCGCATACACTCCACGCCACAATCGTGGTGGAACAGTCAGCCCGACATCCTCACTCACCCTGGCCCGCACCCGTTCAGTCGGACCCCATCCATCATCCAACATCCATCAACCACATTAGCCATCCGCCGTGAATACACGTCTCTGAGGTGTAAAACTCCAACTTTGATCACATCTGGATTCATCCCTTACCGAGTGACTCGTTTCCCCGCATCGAGCAAGGCGTGTGCGTTCTAGATTTGCCCTCAAACAAAGCCGCGCGACGAACAGCGACACAGCCCACCTGCTCCTCTAGCGCCAAGCAAAACCCGACACCGCAGTTAGAAAACAGCAAATCCGCCCATCCAATTCCATCTCATCCCGCATCGCCGCCCTCTACATCGCGATTCCAAAGCCTCGACGCCGCCGACGCTGCACTCATCGATCGATTCTTGACGTTTCCCCGAACAACAGCGTCTCTGCCGCCAGAAGAAAAATTCGATCGACCCTCTGTTGTGACCGCCTCCCGCATTCGCCGAAACACCTTTGAGGCTGCGGTTCCACAAACAGTATCACTCTGATAGCAGCAACACGACTTCGATAGGCCATAAGCCAATATCAACCACGTTCTAGAAGGCTTTGAGTCTTCACAGCCGCCGCTGACGGAGCCGTAAAGGGCTGTCTCACTCGAGTTATCACTGCGCGTATGCTTCTCCTTGCTCCACCTGCGTTGCGTCAGCTGCAATCGGATGTGTCTCTCCCAACAAAGGCCTCAAACTGACTTTTGTCTTGTTCGATAGACCAGATTACCATCACTACCAACTGCGGTCACTTCCAAACCGTCTGCTTTTGACCTTTCGCTCGCTTCGGCCCCCTCCGGTCGCCCACCTCCCCCGCGCCCTCGGCGATCTCACCATGGCCGATCAAAATGAGATCGACCTAGACTCTGTCATCGATAGGCTGCTCGAAGTGCGTGGCTCTCGCCCTGGCAAACAAGTCCAGCTACTTGAAGCGGAGATTCGCTATCTCTGCACTAAAGCGCGTGAGATTTTCATCTCTCAGCCCATCCTCCTAGAATTGGAGGCTCCCATCAAGGTTCATTTGTCCGCGCAGTGTCGCATTGCTGTGGAGGCTAACAACGAAATAGATCTGTGGTGATATTCACGGGCAATACTACGATCTCCTGCGCCTCTTCGAATATGGAGGCTTCCCTCCCGAAGCCAATTACCTCTTCTTGGGCGATTATGTCGACCGAGGCAAGCAATCGCTCGAGACCATCTGCCTACTACTGGCATACAAGATCAAGTACCCGGAAAACTTCTTCATCCTGCGCGGAAATCACGAGTGCGCCAGTATCAACCGCATCTACGGTTTCTACGACGAGTGCAAACGTCGATACAACATCAAGCTCTGGAAGACATTTACGGACTGCTTCAACTGCTTGCCCATTGCCGCCATCATCGATGAGAAGATCTTCACCATGCATGGTGGTCTGAGTCCCGATCTCAACTCGATGGAGCAGATTCGCCGTGTTATGCGCCCCACCGATGTGAGTCCCGCCACCCCCTTTGCTTTGTACACTTCCAGCACGCGGCAGTGGCACCATACTAATGTCTACAGATCCCTGACTGCGGTCTACTCTGCGATCTGCTGTGGTCTGATCCCGACAAAGATATCACCGGGTGGAGCGAGAACGACCGAGGAGTCTCCTTCACCTTTGGTCCCGACGTGGTGTCGCGATTCTTGCAAAAGCACGACATGGATTTGATATGCAGAGCACACCAAGTCGTCGAGGACGGCTACGAGTTCTTCTCCAAGAGGCAGCTTGTTACTCTATTCAGTGCTCCCAACTACTGTGGCGAATTTGACAACGCCGGCGCCATGATGAGTGTAGACGAAAGCTTATTGTGCTCGTTCCAGGTACGGATCCCGTACCGCCCTCTCAAGAGTCTTACTAATCTCCTTGTCTAGATCCTCAAGCCAGCCGAGAAGAAGCAAAAGTACGTTCTAGGTTCCTCTGGCAAATCCAACACTTCCCGCAAAGGAAAATAATCGCCATTGACACAATGCCCCGGCTGATTCCCATACGTGATAGCAGATTCGGAAGACGATAATTGCTCCACCACAAAGCGACTTTGCCCACCCTGGTCGCCGGGCCTTCGGAGGGGCCATGCAAAAGAACGACAGATGCACGATTGACTTCCCAAACCGCAGATTCCCTCACCCTGGACTACTCCTGAGTACAAACAATTGTTTTGCTGCATACTCGATACACCACCGGACGCGTTGGCCATACTCGAACGATAAAGCTCAGACCATGTACGCAACGCCATGATTGGGCGAGTCTCCTCTCGTCGCACAACCAAACATTGTAACTATGGCTCACGCATACCGGCTGCTCGGGACGAATCCTGTTGACGGAATGCCGCTGACTGGATTGGGTGTTTAATTCAACCATTTTCGTTTTACCTCTAATGCTCTCGACGACGGACCTTCGACAACGGATTGGCTGGGGTCTGATTAGGCGAGCTGGCAGCCGGTATGCAGGACGCAACTGTGCAGCTAGTCAACCGGAACAGGAGTGGCGCGCACGATTCACAATACGTTTAACTTGGACGCAGACAGTAAGGACGAGGCCTGGCAAGCATGATGAGCGATGCTGCGATAACTACTGCGGTACTGCGCGCGGGCTGTCTTTGTTTGTTACTGGTCTGTATCTGGTCATATCATCACCGACACTGGCAATCGATTCATACTCCCTCATGACTCAATTTGCGGCCTGTTGTCTACTTGATTTGCTTTTACCGGAGGAACATGTGTATGATTAGACGTGAATTGGTAGGGGAACACGAATTGCTTTACATTGAGTGAGCGTGTTTGTTTTAGCCCACACTTTCCATGCTTTTTATGTCTGTTTATCTCCTCTGCCGCGTTCGGTTTCAAGGTTTGATTGGTCGTGGTAGAATTTTGTTGGTTTTGTGTGTTTTCCCCATGACCATTGATCCTGCGAACCTCGTTGTACTCGTACAGCACCGCACAGCACCGCACAGCACCGCACCGCACCGCATCTAGGAGGAGAGATTGGCGACAACCAAGCGAGTCCTTGCCCGTGGCTGGTCTTCAGCTACCCTGCCCCCAACCAAAGCAACGCTCTCGCCGCCACACGATATTGACGTCACCGTCGCAGGCACTAGCCAGCCAGCCAGATACCCATCTGTGTTCCCTTCCCTTGGGGCCACGCTCGGCCCTTTGGAACGTTTCTTTTCCATGCTCTGCCTCGAGGAGGAAAGCTAGGGCTGTGCGCTACGTGAGAGCAATCACTGTTCCTGCTTCGTCGTCATCAGCAGGCATCTCGAGGCTTCGTTTGGGGCTGTTGTTGGATCTTCTTCGCTCGCAGTCCAGACTTCGTGGGACCTGTGCGGTGTACAAGCTCCTCCGCGCTTGCCTTGCCTCGCCTTGCTCAACTGCCTGCTTATTCCCCACATCGCTTCTTGCTTGAACTGCTGGTTGGTGTCCAATGTGATGGCTAGCGCCAACATCTGCCCTCTCTTGTCTCCCTTTCTCTCCTGCACCCGTGGCAAAATTCGAAAGGGCGTTTTGTCATTTACTATCAGTAGGACAAGTTCGATCGAGGACCTGCACTTCAGCAGAAGTCGAGGGTATGACTGAAAGGGAGACGTAAATCCAAAGGCCAGGGTTTTGTGTTCCAATTCACCCACCGGCCGATATAGGCGACAGGCGGGCTCTTCGGATTCACCAACAGATGATACGCGAACACCTGCCACTGTAAAGTCCACAGGGACTGCCGGTGCATCTTGACGACCCGCCAATTTCGTTTCTCGTAGTGTGAGGCAGGGAGCATGCGAGGAAATCGGGCTCTTGGGGAACTAGCAGAGGTCGGGAACAATCGACTGATGGGCTCCCCGAACTCACAAGAGACCACACTCATAAGCCGGTGCTGCGAGCCCCAGGAGCCTATCCGTGGGTCTTGTCGACTGCAGTTGGCTGGTCTGGGTTCAAAGTTGTATTTGAATTCGCTAATATCTAGGCTTATCACGCTCTCCATGCAGCACTGCTCCATAGCTCCCTCAACCCATCTCTCCCAAGCTGCTGTGTGTGTTTTTAAACATACTGTGCCAGCCACCGGATGCCCTCACCATAACCCTGTCTCATCACAACCGAGCACATGAAGACCTCAATTGGCCGGATACCCTCAAGTGGCACCTTGCCCTTGCCCGTTGTCTGATACAGCCCCAGCTGATGTCGCAGTTCATCTTCAGACACAGCGTCTGGGTGGTCGATCTTATTGCCGAGGATCAGGAAAGGGGTCTTGCCGAGGTCCTCCATGGCGAGCAGAGCATCGAGCTCGGCTTTGGATTCGGGCAGGCGCTCGTGGTCTTTGGCATCAACAAGGAAGACAATGCCGCTGACTTCAGGGAAGTAATCACGCCAGAGGCGGCGTGCTGAGCAGGGTGTTAGAGCAAAATTATGCGAGATGGGAGGGGCAGAACGAGTTAAGGACTTACCTTGCTGATGACCACCAAGATCAAAGGTTGTGAAGCGGTTGTTGCCAATGGCGAGTTCCTCGGAGGCTGTTGGACTCGGTCAGTCCACCCTTCGGAGGGTCTGTGGAAGTCAACTTACTAGGATGGAGGGTGGGTTGGAGGATTGCCACACGGTCGTTCTGAAGGCGATGTTAGCGGCTGGTCTTGTCTCCTTTGTCCTTAAGTGTGAAGGGAAGATGGCTGTGGACTCTTTTTCCAAATACAATATAGAGGCCTAGGCCCTGGAGGCGTTGGTGTGACATGTGCGATCTTGCGTACCTTCAGCATGTGCAATAGCGTGGTCTTGCCCGCATTGTCAAGACCCAGGAACAGGAGTTTGGCATGCTTGTTTAGCAGACCTAAGGATGCGAGGACATCGTAGACTGCCTCGCGTTGTCAGCATCTTCGATAGGCAACTTGGTATCAACATACACCAGTTGATAATCCACATGATTGCGGTCAGCGATATAGAGTATGAGGGTCCCAGTAGAGGATATCCGTGGTAGAGACGGGAGGGCGCCTGCTAAATACGTGGCAGAACTGTTGTTCGACGGGCGATCGATAGCGTAGTGAAAGTCAAGTGTGGTCGCAAGGTCTTTAAAGATCGCACCGATCGTTTGAGCATGCGGATCTGGGAGGCGAGGCCACTTCTTTCAACAAATGGGCGCGACCGACTCCGCTCTGTACAGGCCGACATAAATGCTTGGCATACGGTGGCCGAAAGTGGTCTTGGGCGCAATGTGAGAGTACTTGGCGAGACTGATTGCACGATTTCCTCTACAATGACCTCTTGTCAATTTATATGCTGCTTGAAAAGATGCTCAGAAGAGATTCAGGCTAAAGTGGGTGATGAAGACACAGAATTGGTGTTGACTATGTTCATTCGGCGCGCTCGCTGGAGTGCGCCACTGCAGCTATATCAAGGCTGCTATGTACTGTGCGTTGGAGGTAGACATTTCCAGTTACCACCCGCACGAGGTTCTTCCAAGTAAAATCTGACCTCTATATACATCAGATGCCTCGGGTACCGTATAACGCCGTTGCTTGCTATGCCCTTTGCAAGTAGAAATGCTTCGCAATGCCATACCAGCCAATTCCACGGTCTGTGTCCGTGTTAGAATCCAATGCTTTGATCTCAAAGACCATCATTGGTGAGGCAAGTGCCCGTGTAACAGATCCCGTCATAAGAGACCTTGAAGAAAAGGGCACGATGGCCCTTGGGTATCGACATAGGAAAAGTCATTCGTCGTCGTGGAACATCTTTAGAGAGAAAGGACGACCTGCGCCGCCGGGCCCTGGGTTCCATAGCCACGGTTACGCTCGGCGCACTCGAGGCCAAGTTCCTTCATCCGCACAGCGCCGCGGCCTGGGACCTGCTTGCGCTCAGCATACTCTTTGGCGGCCTTGCGGCAATGTTGACGCCAGAACTTCTCCTTGCGCTTCTGGCGTTTGCGTTCGAGGCCCATGACGATGTCAACAGGCCCACGGACGTGAAGGTCAGACCGAGGAGGCTCTTCAGTGGCCGGGGTCACGGCTCCGGAAGCGACATTGGAGATGGACGGGCTACCAACATTGAACCGCTTGAAGAACGGATTAGGAGTGCGCGGTAGTGAAGAGGTTCTCTCCCGATGACCACGGCCAAACGGACGCTGGCCGATCTCCATGTGTGGGGCAACAGATGGAGCGAAGCTAGGCGAGCCTGGTGGAGAGCGCAGGCGCATATGAGGCGGGGGACGCATCTCAGAGTCGTTGCGATGATCGAAGAGGTTGTAGGCTGGCGGAGGTGGTGAACGACAACGAGCTTTTGGTGGCGGCGACCTATTGGTGTTGCGCCTAGAAAGCCGAAGTTTGGGAAGAGGATGCTCGTTTCTTGGCGAGGGAGGAGTAGGGCTCTTCATTTCCCGGGGAGTCCTGGACCGGGCGGCACCATCGAGTTCAGCGAATTGATCCTTCATCCACATCGGACCGCCGGCTCCTGGAGACTCATCTTCGTCCTCCTCATCCTCCTCGTCCTCTGGATCACTGGTGGGGAAACTGGGATCAATATCCTGAGGAATAGGAATGTGCTTTTCTCGCTTTCTTTGCTCGAGGCACGAGATGTAGGCAGCTTCAAGTGGCCGATCCTCGTCCAGGGTACCGCAGACGAAGTCAGTGCTGTCAGGCAACTCGGGTGTACCAGGACGCATGCGGGGCAGCTTGGGTGGGCGCTTCATGAAGAGTGGTCGCTCCGATGATCTTGCTGGGCTGTCCGAACGCGGGATAGATTCAAGGGAGCTGGCTCGCGAACGACCGCGGTTGCTGAAGTGGCTGAGATTCTCCGTACTGGTGGCACCAGTGGTCGATGACTGAGCAGCAGGCGCCCAGAACTGATGGTCGGAGCCAGCATCACTCTCGTCGTCAGAGTCGGCAAAGCCAGCCTCATCATCGGAATCGTTACCATCGTCGGACGGTGCGAAATCATCCTCTTGAGTAGGGTCTTCATCGATGTCGTCCAGTGCTTCAGCCTCCCGTTCTTCTTCTTCGGCTTCCTCCTCGGCCTCCTCGCCAAGCTTTCGGATGGCATTTTCCTTCTTCATGCAATCCTTCACGGTGAGCTTCTCTTTGTGCTGCTGGGCGCTGTTGACCCACGCGTCGGTTTCATCGTGGGAGCTGCCGAACTCATGAAAGGTCTGTGGGGACACGGGTGTGGTGGGAGAGGAAGCCTTCTCGGATTTGGGCGCAGTCTGGGACTGTTGTTCGGTCGAATCGGGCATGGCGGCAGGCGCAGTAGCCGGTAGAGGCTTGCGTTGTTCCCGCCTGGGAGCTTCGATGATTGTGTCCTGTACATCGTCTTTCCGAGAGGGACACATGAAGGTCAAGGCGCACTTGCGTTTGGGCGGTTCAGGCTCGGGCTTGGGTTCCTCCTTCTTAGGCTCTGGCGTTGCAGCTTCGGCACATGCAAACATGATACAGCGTCGGCGACCAAGCGTCTTCTCGACTGCAGCTTCTCCAATATCAGCTACAGCGGCCTTCTCGTCCTTAGTGACTGGGGCAATCATGACGCTTGTTGAGCTGGGTTTGTGCCCAGGCAGCCCGGTGAATCCATTGGGAACAGGAGGACTCGGAGAGCAAGAGCGTGCAGGGCTGTGATCGCTGATCAGCTCAGCCGTAGAGGCCATGCTGGTGGCGCTATGTGAAGAAGCGGTCGATAGACCTCTGCCGGTGTACTGCTTGTGTTGAGAAACAGCGTCGTCAGCCTTCGGCTCTCCCACGATTGCTCGGGTGAGGAGAGACTCGCGTCGACCGAACGAAGGCATGCGGGAAGAATTCTTCGGGTAACTGATGTCCATGGGCATTTGGTGTAGCAAGGAGACTCGATCTGGGGGTTCGTCGACGTCTGCAGCCGCATCCTCTTCGGTAACAGGGACCGTGGGAGCGTTGTTGACGGAGAACATCTTGAATATGGACTGCATGTTTGCTGATTCTATGTTCTTGTCTCTGAAAAATGTTTCGTGTTTGAAAAAGCTGATCTGATCGAGCAGTCGACCAGACTGCGGAGTTGAGGTCTCTTCAGCGGTAAAGAGACCGACAGTCCTATAATCTTGATTGAGACATGGCGGGTGTGTGAGACTGCACGAAGTCGGCGAGCTGGTAGGAGTTGACAGCCGGTGCGCGTCTCTGTGGCGGTTGCGAGGCAGTAGGCGCAGATCGAGGATGTGTTGGGGCGAAGGCAGATGGTGGCGAAGATCGATAGGGTATGGGTGGTTTTATGCTCTCGATCTCGGCGACAATAAACACCTTGTGATTAACAGAAGAATAGAAGGCGGCAGAAGAAGGTAGGCGATTGTAGAGTAGGAAGTAGAGTCCGATGAGGGGAGGGTGGTAGCAGCAGAGAGAAGGATGTGGGTGAATTTGGAGATTTGAAAGCAGAAGGATGGGCAGTGGCTGCGCAGGTGCGGTGCGGTAAGCAAGCGAGTTTTCGCAGGCGCGCTTTCACTGGAACCTGCTTGCCGCAGGCAATTTTTGCTGGCGCTGTGGGGTGGGCACTACCCGCCCGTAACAACTGGCACTGGGCCGTGGATCGGGTCTATTAGGCTCTAACGCTGACATTACGACTCCTCCACCGTCACGGCACTCTTGCGTCCAGTGGAAAAACCTGGATCTTCCACTCACCCACCAATCGTCAACAATCGAATTCACATCTTGCTGGATCAGACGTTGCACCCGGCCAACGCGGGGCCGACACACGGAATCCGTTACGACTGTGTACGATTCATGCTTTTGTTTTTTTGCCGTCGGAGGCAAACACTGAATCGGATCCTCATCAGCAAAATTGTCATTGTTGTCATGAGCCTGGATGCCCGAGGTTATGGGCGCAGCACACCCTCATATTTGCTCCGCCAATCTGGCAGCATGCCTGATCGTGGCTATGGGTACTTACTGCTGATGATTTCTTGGTATTTGTTGTTATTCCGGGAGCCTGTGATGGGCGGTGGTTTCGTCACCACACCAGATCCTGCCTCGTCTGCGTCGTTGCGTGTGGTCCCTTGGACCGAGGGCCAACTTGAAATTGCTCTGCGCCTGGAAACGGCATCGCTCGCTCGAACCCTTGCCGCGCCTCTTACGTCGCCGATCGCGTTCCTTGCGCATGCCCTTGAGTTTCAACCTGCTTGTTTGGCGAGAATGGCGTACATTGCCCCCACCTTGGGTCCCTACCTATGGCGCCAACAATGGGCTCTGTGCGTCGGCAATTATTAGGAACGGACTCGAGGCTTGGTCGACCACCCCACTTCAATCAAGTACAATCGCCAGTATGGTGTAAAGTGACAGCAATGGCGAGTTTCAGGTCTTACACTGTCGCCTATGCAAAGTAAGAACGACCATGGTGCTGATTTCAGGCTCTACAATTCGCCGCGGTAGGCGGTCGTCCGGTCAGCTCATACATTCCTCAACGAGCGGGTGTGTGCGTCGACCGCTCCTCGCCTCACATCTGATGGTGGTGAACAACATAGGCGTGTGACTGCTTTGGCTAGCAACGCCTCGGGATATTTACGAGAAACCCTGACTATCTGCATGCACCCTCGTGCAGCTCATTTTAAACAATTGACGGGCTCGCTTCGCTCGCCTGCATACAATGGCGTGCTGCGTCCCGTGCCCTTTCCTATGCCGGCCACACCGTCAGCGAAAGGTGACCTTGTGCCGCTTGTAGCTGGTTGTGTGTTGCGTCCTCCCCCACGCCTCAATTCACTAGAAGTACTCCACAAATCACCCAAGAAGCGGTCTACAGAGCTAGTTCGGCGTGGCAGAACATTGCTGCCGCTACTACTGGTACCGCCACGCATAGGCTTATGCGACTGTCGACAATAACGACTGTATCGGTCATGCTGTCATGTTGTCATGCTCAACGGGTTCTTGTGCAAGGGCTAGAACAATCCAAATGGCGACTTCAGGCAGTAAAAAGACTGCCCGATGCCGGCAGGAGAAGTCCCAAGATTCGCCGAACGTGGAGGTTTGACCGCCAATCGCCGCAGGTGAGCAGGTCCTGCTAGAAGAACTGGTCTGGCTGTAGGGAGTAGATTGGGGTGAAGCAAGCTAACCACCACAAGTGCGAGCGTGCGCGCGCTCAAGCCCAGCCCAAGCGGGCATGTGAGATTTTTGTCCTTGTATGAGGCATTTACGACTGACCAATTAGCGCTCGAGTATAAGCGTCTTGGGATCCTCTCGAGTTCCTTCACGACTTGATGCAGGCAAGCTACCCACATCCACCAACGTGCAGCAACCTCACCATCGCCGCCCCTCTACAGTACTCCACTCCATTGAGCTTCTCCTGCATACAGTCGTGCATTTGTTAAGATTGAGCTCCAACTCCTCCATGCACACTTTCGTATAGCTGTGAGCAAAACCCACAGCTCTGCCCCCCTCACACGGAACTTCTACGACAGATCTCGGACTTTGCATGTTCCCCTTGCGGCAGTCAACTGACCATGTGCACGTCGATTGCTCCCTGGAACTCTGACCGCCAAATGGATCGATGATCAGTACTTCAACCGTACCGGATTCGTTGGTTAAGGTAGCAGTGCAACAGCACGACTGCTACCGCATGCAAGGGGTCGCGCAAAGCTGCGGTACCGCGTTGTTGGACCTATGTGTCTAAGTCGAGGTAAGTGTACGCTCGTGCGCAGGGTCCGGGACTTGCATAAGCGACCCTTGAGGCAATGCGACCTTCATTCGCTTGCCTGAGCTTTTGCTTGTGGCATACATAATTATCTTCAGTGCCTGGGCAATCTACATAGTCCGAGCTACACGAGGTAAATTCAGCTCCACCACAACATGCATTATTAGCTGAATCAGGCCTTGAACGCTCTCGTTCAGCAACAATAGCCGAGCCTGGTTCAGGTGAATACTGTAGTCGTAGCTGCTCGCGTTTGGTGGCTTGTATTTTGTAAATTGATGGATTCAGGTTGAGGTTGGTGCCCCGCAGGCTTATTCTATTACTCGCCACACTGGTCTATTTTGATGTACAATGTAGTATACAAGTAGATGATGCTTTCAGTCGTATTTTGCACACAATAATTGGCATGTGTGACATGTGCCGGATATCGTTCGGTCGACCCCAGCATATTAGGTTAAGGATATCAAGCATAAAAAGAACGTACGAGAAGCATACATCGCACCTCGCCCACGAAAGCTGCCGCAGGGTTCTACTTTGGGAAAGCCACTAACCTATCTTGGACAGGCAGATTCAAGAATGCCAAGCTGCATAGTCTGCGTGCTGGCGCGGTGATCTATCAAAAGGATCTTTCACCAAGACATCTTGGCCAAGCACGACCTCGAGAATGGAGAAGGTGATCGCCGCTTGCGACGACAACGACGACGACTTTGTTCTACGTAACGTGGCGATGTGGCTCGACACGTAGCCGAAAGTCGAGGCGCGACCAGAAAGTCACAGGTACTCGTCAGCGGGGTACTTGGCGCGAATGAAAAGCTGGCGCCTTTTGGAACGTCGCAAGCTCCCAAGCCTTCGCTCGCAGATGGTCATGCGGTAGCAGAGGTGCAAGAGCTAAGCAAGTCACAAATCAATATGCAGGCGGACGTGGCTTCACCATCACCGGAGCTGATGCGCTACGTCAAAGCTCTCGACGATCGGGTGTCCAACTACGCCCGGTTCTTCAACGCTCTCCTGGTCAAGTCGCCCGACCACAACCTCTTCTTTCAGGATCTGCGCGCATTCCGTGAGCAGGAGCACATCATTGTACTTCTCACTGCGCCAGATGTTGACAGTGCCAATCTAAAGGACATCTACAAGGAATGCACACGTCACTTCCTCGCTTCCCGTTTCGCCCATCCTTGGTGTCGCAACGAGTACGGCAAGACCAAAGATGGCTTCTTGCAGACCGCCAAGGGGAAGCAGCGACGGGTGCAGGCGAAGTTGAAGGAGGAGGAGGGCTTACACAAGCTGCTCGTCCCTATCTGGATTCCGTTCAGAAGGCGGATGATACCGACTGAAGGGGAAATGAAGCTGTTTTTGGAGCATGAAAAACTAGAACAAGCACGAATGGTCGAAGAATCTTGGCGCAAAAGGGAGGAAGATGAAGCGTTGAAGAGGCTTGCTGATGAGGTGGACATGGAAAGTGCCGACAAGGAGAACACTGACAAGGAGAAACTTGACAAGGAGCAGCACGATACCAAGCCGGTGTTTCGACTCAAGTCTCCCATCAGGAAGTCGTCTGGATCAACCTATTTCGACGCTGAAGCCTTCGTTGCCGAAGACGACAGTATGGTCGGCACACAGCAACGAAGCGATGGTTCCGCGGAGGCGGCAAGCCTGTTCGTCGGCATGGCAGCTTCCAGTCTCCTCGCCAGCAACAAGCGGGTCCGAAAATACTTGCTGAAGAGGGCCAAGAAGTGAAGCAGTGAACGGTTCTCTGAGTCTCGCAACAGCTGCAACTCTGCAGTACCGCACCCTGATCGATGCATTACCATTCTGTTGCCACCTAGACTCGGCGCTCAACCTCTCGTCCTGCACACGTCGCAGCAGAAACCGGCATCATATTGTCGCACCACTGCCAGCAACCGTTCTTCGATCTCTGTGCCCTTGCTGCTCAGGAACTCTGTTCTACCGAGCTCTTCCGCCGACCTCAGATGCCCGAGATTTGCCAACCTGCATCGTCATCGGTGCAACGTCAAGCCTTCACATAAGCATCTTCTGGATCGCACAGTCCGACCAAAGTATGTGTATCTGCCTTCTTTCTCCAATAAGCGCTGTGGTGCGGGGAGTGAAGCAGTTGCTTTTGTCCCCGCACGATCCGAGCACCCTACGTCGATAGAGGGGCACCTCCAGCCTTTCGATGCCGTTCTTCCCTGGTAGCGTTCTGCCCCAGACAGTCAGCCGCAAAGGAAAGCCTCGACGAGGAAAAGCCGCCACTTCTGAACGCGTGTTCAGGCGTTGTGATGTAATTTGCCGAATTCGTATTTTTCATCTGGATCGCCCACAGCCACACCTTATGGCCCGATCGGCTGTGACGTACCTCTGTACTTCGTGTCGCTGTTTACTGATCTACATGTGTAGCAATACAGCTTCTACAACATAGGCTTTACTGTCGTCAAACGATAAACACTTCGCAAGCAAGAACATCCTGAGCCACGAGCGTCCGTACTACCGGCGCCCGACATATAAACGTTGACTCTCCCCATCCTCCTCCGTGAGCATTACTCGGCGTCCAAGTCTCTACCAAGCACACACGCGAGATCTGATCCAGACATCGTACCCAGCAGTCATATAGCCCACCGCAAAGATGCCTATCTATGAAGTCCACCACTCGTACCCCTTGACCCACGAGCACAAGCAAGGCCTCGCAACCGCCATTTGCAAGCTTCACTGCACCGCCTTCGTAAGCAACTTCCCACCATCTCCCAAACCCTGCTATCGCTTCTTGCCCTTGCAACACCACCCATATAACACCAACACCAACAGACATCCCTTATCTGAGCCTTCCCTTCATCCCCCCCAAACACCCCTCACGCTCCCCACCCTCCCACAATCACCAAAAAAACTCACCCTCCCCCTCCTCATCCAACAGACAACCCCCTCCTTCTTCGTCCACACAATCTTCAAGTCCCACGACGCCTCGGACCGCAGCTACTTCGTGGCCGGCCAAGCGCGCGAGACCTGCACGAACCGCATCGTCGCGCAGGTCCGCACGTCCGCCAAACGGTCCAGGGCCGACTTCGACGCTCTCGCCGAGAAGATCGAGACCGCGTGGTACGACGAATTGAAGGGTGGGCCGGTGGACGATGATGAGAAAAGCAAGAACAAGGGGAAGAGGCCGGGCGAGGTGGATGAGTCGGAGAGGGAGGCTGAGGCGAAGAGATTGTTGGTACGCTCTTATCTTTGTTTTTTTTCCTTTCTCCCTGTATATGTATCGTCTTTCGATATTTTCTTTTGGGGACGGCTCTCTCTCGAGTCCCCTCCAACCATCCCCCCCCCTCCTCCACGCCAACAGTGTTATTTCATGCAAAACCCCAAGCTAACCCAAGTCCCTTCCTTTTTCATCCCACAGATGATCACTTTCTACCCCATGATCGCAGCGCGGGAGGCGGGCATGACGATCCCAGAAGCCGGCGACGAGGCGGCCTTCTTCAAGGAGCAGATGCCGTACATGAGGCGCATGGCGGACGAGAAGGGCCTGGAAGATTTCAAGGACATGTTGCAGGAGTTGGAGGAGCGGGAGGATTTGAAGAAGCTCGTTTCCTAGAGCTGAGGCCGAGATCCTAAAGGAGGTGGGAGGAGAAAGTCGTACGAGAGGATCAGTGGGAGTCCAACGTGTGATGTGCTCTTTCCAAACACGGGCTTGGGTGGTTATTGGTGCAAGACTGGGAGAGAACTTCGACTGTCGAGTTAGGTGGGATTTGAGAATGAATACATTGCGTGAATCAAAGGTTTTGCATACGTACATATAATTGCAAACACCAAGGCATAGACTGAGGAGCCTCCAACTTGGTGCGTCTTATCTACTATGCTAGAGCGAATTAGTTGGGTACAGACACCCATAATGAGCTCTTATCACACTTGTAAGGTATGACTGAAAAGCATATTCAGAACTGAACAGATAACGTCATAGTCATGCCCATCGCATCTCTAGAGCCCATCCAGAACGTCCATGTCTGCCTTGATAACAACCTTCTCCATTGATGCCTGGTCTGGTGTGCCCATGTTGATCTCCAGGGTTAGTCTCCGACCACTCGCCTTCGAGGGGCTCCGGCTTCTGTTGGGAGAGAAATAAAAGCTTTGCTCGACACCGTAGCCCGAACTTCGGGGAGTTCGTTTGACATATTGACGGCCACGTGTTGGTGACGACGGACTTCCTTCCTCTTCCTTTGCGATACCTGGCCTTGGGTGGAGGGCGACTTGCTTCTCGTACATCGAGACTGAGACTGGAGTTTGTGGACCATCATTGTTACGCGGGAGACCTCGTGGCTTGGAACGCATCAGTCCGGGCTCGTCAGGTTGTTCCTGCTGCAGCATGATAGCTGCAGCCTTTTCCTGCACGGGGACTTGAAGAGGTGGCAATTTGTTGGGCTTAAGCGGACTCCAATCAAGAGCTTGCTCCTTGATATTGCTCGATCTGACCTTCCCTGAGGTGGCTGACGGTTGCCTGCTTCCCTGTGCAGCAGATGACGGCCTGCTAGCAATTTGCTGATCCTCTAGCCCAGCCAAAGCAAGCTGCGCGATCCTCTGCGAGACGATGCTGGGCCGCGAAGGCGGATAATGAGCATCTCGCATCTGTGGCGAAGCGGCCTCGGCGGTAGGCTGGGGATTCGACGGTCCAGTCTTGCTGGACGCCCACATACCGGATGGCCAGCCTCTTGACGGTGCGCGGTGATAGTCAACACTCGGAGTAGTCGGCTTGTTCGGAGAGGGCGCGAACTCATGGGCGGTGTCATATGCTTCTGTCTCGTGTGTGGATTGGCCTCTCTCAGATGTGTCGGACCGTGCATCGATACTTCGGCCGAACTTCAGTCGATGCATTCTGGCTTCTACTTCTGCCGTTGGAAGGTGGGCGGGTACCGCGATCCAATCATCCTTGGTGTGCAGATGAGCTCGGGGAGGAGACATCTCAAGCTGATGATCGTCATGCTCGAAATGAAGGCTCTCAAATAGAGCTGCCCTTTGCTTGACCGGGCTGGAGTATCGTACGGGCATCGCCAATGACGCATTGCTGTAGGCTCGTGCTTTGGGCAGAGACTCGGGCGAGATAGATTGCGGTGAGCCAGCCGATGGGACAGGCCCCAAACCAGGTCGTGCTCGGAGCGGACTGCTAGCTGAGTAATTCATCAGTGATGTCTGTGGACGGGCAAAGTGTCTTTGTTCCATGAGGTGACGCCGTGGCGGGAAGTTAGTGGTAGTTGGTTGTCTGGGTTGGTGAAGCCTCTCCAGCCCTTGTAGCGGCGACCGAGGGCTTACCACTCCGCTGGGTGCCGGAGATGCTTCGGAGCTATGCTCAATGATTGCAGAATCGAGCATATGATCAAGCTCGGCCATCGTTGTATTCTCATGTGCCTTGAGTTCTCCACGCTGTCCTATCACACCAACGGGTCTCAGGCGAGCTCGAACTCGATCAAGTTCAGATCGGGGGCTTGGGGCGTCATGCTGGGAATTCTCGGTGAACAGAGTGCCTGGCCCGTCTCCCATTATGATGAAAGGGTCGTCGTGATCCATCTCAGATGTCAAGCCTGCCGTGATTGGTGGGGGGTTTGATGAAAGAAGTTCGCATTTGGATGACATATCTTGTGGACTGCGGAGCTCAAGATGGGAAAGGTTGATTGGAGGGTGACCGTCTCTTCTCACGCCATCGGTACCGTCCCGTGAACTCCTCTCAGCTGGCGAGGCAAAGCTGGTCTCATACCGTCGTCCATGTCCAACAACATCATCAGATATGAAAGTATTGGTTGAGATTCGCGGTCTCCTCGAAGAGCTTTGCCGTGGCGACTTTGTTCCTTCGTGTAATGCTTGGACGCGAGCCGCAACGGTGCCCCGTGAGGATCTGTGGATGTTAAGAGCAACGTCAGAGTTAAGTCGGAAGCTGTCTCACCTGCTGTCAACAGGCATTGAGGCGCATCTCCGCTTTGAGGGCTGGCTGGAAGGTGGTGTGTTCAAGCAGATGTGTGTGGAATGCTGTAGATGCTAGTAGTCAATGTTGTAATCCTGATAGCAAGGCTTCGGGCAGGTCAGACAGTAATGAGTAGGGAATGGCTAAGTCGCCCGGTTGGCGCTTTCCATGGCTTCGCGTCACCGGCAGGTGGGGTTCAACATGTTCGGAGGGACTGCAAGAGCGATTCTAAGCATGGCATTTCTCGACATTGGACCATGACTGGCCTTGCAGCTGCTGCCATTCTGCTCTTCATCTGAGATATATTTACAATACGCTGCGCAACTCTACTTCATAGCAGCTTGCAAAGATTCGAGAACCTGAAAGTGTTAGCATGTTGTATTGTACACCGCCGGAGCAATCTCACCTCAAGCTCGATCTTAGCCTCAGCAATGTCCTGCTCACTTCCACTGCCGCCAGCAACCTTTTGCGCCTCGGAGATCTGCGATCGGACAGCCTCTTCACTGAAATCTTCGAGAGCGTAACCCTCAACGGCGTTGATGCTCAATTGCGAGTCGGGTTGAACAACGGCAAAGCCGCCAGAGACTGTGTCCTGTGTCAGATATTACCGCCTATAAAAGTTGAGCCTGTCTTACGGAAGAACTGCTTGCTGCCACCGGCTTCCTCAATGACCTCGACCAGACCGGGCTTCAGCTGCTCGATAGAAGGGACGTGCTGAGCGAGGATACCCATCTCTCCAGACTCGGCGGGAATGTTGACTTGCACACTGGGCGGAAGATTAGCTTGGGATCGGTGGGTGATCCGGATTCAACTTGTAGCGTACACATCTTGAGATTTGTAGATAGACTACTTGAGTGTCAGTATATCTGTACCATCTTTCTTATGCCGTGACTGCGACCGGACGCATCTGTGAGGATCTAGAGACGTACAGTATGGGGAAGAGACAAGGAGAGCTTGATCTTGTCGGAGACGGCGTCGGCGTAGCCTCTTCGCTGGACGGGGGCCTTGAGAGCGGTGCGAGCTCGCAGAGCGGCTCTCGAAGCACGGAGGGCGCTCATGGTATGGGTTCGGGAGGTATATGGGGATGGGAGTCGTGGTCTACAGCTACCGCAAGCTTTCGCTGAGGTTCGAGCTCTGCGCTCAATTTCCGCCAAGGCCAAGCCGCCGAGCTGGCTTAGTGGTAACTGATCATAAGTGGCAGGTTTGCCGAGATGCTCCCTCCTCATGGTGCCCCAATTCAGTCTGTCTCTGCCCTTCAATCTTTCTACCTGTCAATCACACCTTATGCTCCCTTCACTTGGATCTTGGATCTTGGATCTGCCTTCTGCAACTCCTGATGATTTCACCCCTTGTACTTCCGCTACAGCCTTTGCACAGGTATCGCCTGAAGTGGTGCTGGTCAGTTTCTGCGGATTGCCAGGAACTAGTGCTCATCTTTTAATAAATGCTCATCATCTACCAACATTGTCAGTCGATCAGCACCTGAATCGGTTGAGGTGCTCGTAGATGCGAATGCTAGGAGTGCGCTGTTGGTTGCGAAGATCTAAGAGTACTTTCAACGTGTATGCACTGCTTCGTTATTGGCACGCTGTGTGTCCCTCTCCTCGAGTGAACATAATCTCATATACCACGGTCCAGGCCAGCCTCGACTCGTACCTTGCCCAGAATCTTTTGTGGCTCTTGCGTGCCTATGTGAGTACTTGTATGTTGATGCCACGGAGCTTCAAGCGAGGCTGGATCGGGCAAGCCGGACACGCCGAGGTTCAACGCGCACTCTCCGCCTTTCCGCAGGACACGATCCTGGCATCGTGGAAGTCGTGGCCTGCAGGAAGTATGTAGCTGCCCAGACAAAGGTTCCTATGCAGTATGGACCGTGAGCACTGGCGCAGCAGTTGACTGAGCAGACAAGGGATTCTGCCGGAGATCGGTAGAGTCAGACCCTATGACCGTTAGGGCGATGCTGGTCGGTGCCTAGCCGGATAGCCAAAATTTTCCGCTCTCCTCGAATCCGTCAGCTTCAGGACCTAGGACCTGAGCTCACGTGCCCCCACTTATAACAACGTGCTGGCTGCCGATGAACCGGCATCTCATGCATCACCGCAATTCCGTTTACCACGCTATAGACCCAAGAGGATCCCGAAACATACTTTTGGCCGGCCTCCATTGCGTTCAGAATCTGGCCCAAGAAGATCGACTCGACCGCTTGGAATTCCTCATTTCGCGGTCGCTAAACACCCCACGTGCCCTCTTTAGAGCCAATCAGTCAGCTCCTAATGAACGGAGCTGACGAGGTCAAGGAGCTAAGAACCCCGGCATCTGGCAAAGTGATAGCCTATCCTTGAAGCGGTCGCAGCACCAGCCCGCCAAAGCTGTACCCATCCCACAAAGTGGCCAAAACGTTTGTGCAAGCACCAATGACTTGAACTGACGTTACAGTGGTTGCACGCTTGGGGTCAAGTCAAGTCGCCTTATCTCTTGCTCGGGTGCCATTCTCCACCAACTGATATTCAGACGAGCTCGAGTCTCGCGTGCCCTGCATAAACCCCGATGCCCGCAACTGGGCTATATAATTTCTGTCAGACTCTCACAGTTGGCGCGCGTGCTTAATGTCTCGCGCTGGTAGATAAGTGGGCGTAGTCTGAGCAGATTGAGTTCAATCAGAAGCATTCCAGAGACACTTTGTGCTCGCAACCTACGACAAGCTCTCCCAGCCTCTTTTCAGTAATCGGGCGAACGCCGTGAAGACGATCGCTGCTCGGCTCTGGCGTTTCAATAAACCACTCCGCGTGCGTGTCGCGCATTCCGGGCCTTGTGCAACAATCGTCCTGTCCCAAAAGCACCATGGAATACAGTCAAGAGAAGGAGGCCATCAACAGCCATGGCGTCGGGAGCGGCGAACGACGCGGCAGTACCGTCGGCGAGAAGTTGCGTAGCAGCGTCTCCGTCCAACATACTCAAGAAGGCGCGATCGAAGGCCAAATCTTCTCCATGAACGATGTCGACCCAGTGCTCGATGCAAAGATGCGACTTGTCAATGAGGTACTGCGTGACTTACTCCTTCGTTTGAACACTGCCCTGACGCAACTCTAGACGATTGATGAAATAGGCTGGACAAACTTCCACCTCAAGATGTTCTTCCTCAACGGCTTTGGATATGCGGCAGACTCCCTCGTTCTGCTCCTCCAATCCGTGACTGCGGGCCAAGCAGCTCTAGAGTTCCAACCCTCGTTCACCAGGGGTCTGACTGTCGCCGCGTACAGTGGTATGCTCGTTGGTGCTCTTTTCTGGGGTCTGGGAGCCGATGTGATTGGACGTCGCTTCGCATTCAATTGCTCGCTCTTCATCTGTTCCATTTTCGCCATCGTTGCGGGCGCGTCCCCAAACTGGTACGTTCTAGGCCTCTTCGTGGCCTTGACCGCATTTGGCGCCGGAGGCAACTTGGTTCTCGATACTACGGTCTTCCTGGAATTCCTCCCCGGCAAATATCAATGGCTTCTGACCCTCATGGCTTGCTGGTGGGGCATTGCGCCTGTGATTGGGGCTGCATTCGCTTGGCCCCTGTTGTCACTACCTCAGTATATTTGTACTGAGGACGACGACCCTTGTCGGCGCCAAGACAACATGGTGAGACCTTCTCCAGTCCTCTGAATGCAAAACTGACCGTCCGTTCATAGGGCTGGCGCTACATCTGGTTCGGTAATGGAGCCCTTGTCCTGGTCTTGAGCATACTCCGTATCACCGTGGTACGCCTCCAGGAGACGCCAAAGTACAACTTGGCCAAAGGCTACGATGCGGAAGTGGTTGAGACTTTCCAGTCGATCGCCAAGAAGTACAACCGACCATGCAACCTCACATTGGAACGTCTCAAGGCTTGTGGTGAAATGAAGTCGACGTACGGTGGATCTCGCTTTGGCTTTGGGGAGTTTATGGCACATATGAGAGGCCTCTTCCAGACCAAGAAGCTGGGACTAAGCACATCGTTGATCTGGCTCTCTTGGACCCTGATTGGTCTCGCATACCCCTTGGTTAGTATACCCGAGACTGCTCCCTCAGTTGTTCTGACGAAACCTGAAGTTCTACGTTTTCCTTCCTGAGTTCCTGGCCTCTCGTGGTGCAGAGACGGGAGAGGACTCGCCCTATTACACATGGCGCAACTACATGATCTCCAACACATGTGGCATCTTTGGCCCCGTCCTGGCCGCATACCTTTGCGAACAAAAGTACTTGGGTCGTCGATACACCATGGTTATTGGCGCTATAGTAAGCAATACATTACCACGGCACGAGAGACAACGCTAACCACAGCAGATCACGATGGCCTTCTTTTTCGCCTATAGTGCCGTCAAGACAGCCGCGCAAAACTTGGGCTTCACCTGTGCCATCTACTTCTGCATCAACATCTACTACGGATGCCTCTGTAAGCAATTCACTCGAATCAGATCGAGGCCGGCACTAACACGAATGTGCAGACGCATACACTCCAGAAGTGCTGCCTTCCGCCCACCGTGCAACCGGTTACGGTATTGCCATTGGTTGCAACCGCGTCATGGGTCTCATTTCGGCGTTCGTTGCCACGTATGCAAACACTGCCACGAGCGCTCCGGTCTACCTGTGCGCCGCGCTTTACATTGCCATGGTAAGTACCATTCTCGCGCCGGTAGGCAGTCATCCTAACGATCGATAGGCCCTTACCGCCATTGCGATGCCATTCGAACCGTATGGAAAGCGATCCATGTAAAATAGAGCATGATAAGTCTCGTCGATGACTCGCAAGAAAGGCCAGCGGGGATCTTGGTATATGACAGAATACTTTTCCCACGACTGTTGGGCGGCATCATCTACGTCTTTGTTATCGCAATTTTCTCCTAATCATGATGATCGTGCGGCAACAAGGTACTGACTTGCCCCAATCCAAACAGCACCCGTTGACTTTCTATGCCGGGCCTGACTCGAACCAATGTCCGTTATTGCAGTATGTGGTCTCGCCCAGCCTTCCACAGCGGACGACTCCGCGCTGCTTGGTACGCTTATCTGTGCTTATGAACGAACGCATGCGTCCTCAGCGACCTTCCTGAAAGAGATGATAGACACGAGCCAACTGAGCTTGGTACTGGTGGACGCTTGTGGGCACTGGTCGCCCGTACGTTGCCAAGATTCGCTTCCTCCCCCCGCCCCGCTCCAGTCCTCTTCCTCTGTCAATCTACTCCTTATCATCCTGAGTTCCGCACTTTGATCCTCGCCATGCATCAAGCGCTGTCCGCATAACCAAGAATCCTGGTGCCCAGCCTCGCATAGGTACAAGAACGTTGCTGTTTCAACCAATGGCTTAGCTCAGGTGCTTCGCACTTCGCCACATTTTGCCTAGAAGGCTGCACTTTATACAAGATGGGCATTGATTCCTTCCTGGATCAGGTAGGTCAGTCGATCCACAGGAACGGCGCACCGGAAGTCCTTCACCGTCGAGCTCGTCCGCGTTACACCAGCCTAGCTGATATCTGCGCACAATGTATCTTGACGTCGTTGTGGTCTTCCTCGTGCTGCCGCTGTCCTTCCCTTCCTGCTTGAACCGAATCTGCGTCCGTTGCGGTGTCGTTGAGCAAGCTACTTGCAGACAACAGCACTGATCAGACAACATTATCCGCTATGGCCGATATCGAGCCATCAACCTCGCCACCGTCCGAGAAGCAGGCCGTTTCGCAGACAGCACATGACCGATCAGCATCACCTGTGGCAATCGGCCGCATGTCCACCGAGTCAGCAGCAGCCGCGAAGAAGATTTTGGAGCATTCGGGCGATCATGATGAAGCCATGAAAGCCTTCGCCAATGGCGAGGTCGTCGAGGTAGATGCTGCTACCAATAAGCGGCTCCTTAGACGCATCGACAAGTTCATGATGCCTCTCATGTGTGTTGGTAAGTAAGGTCATTAATCTGTGCACCCGCAATCGCAACTTACCTCGGATTCAATGTCAAGAGGGCAAGCAGCAGAGGAGCAGCATTTAGACTACCGGAGCCGGCACTCTTGCGGGAAAGTCGACTGCGCAAGAGCACGAGCTAACAAAGTGTCAGTCTACGGTCTTAACTATCTCGACAAGACGACTTTGTGAGTGTTCGGACCACGATCGAAGCGATGACCGCTGAACCAAGCAGATCTTACGCATCCATCATGGGCCTGAGAGAAGATATCAACCTCGTGGGTGACAACTATCAATGGCTAGGTGGGTTTGTTGCGCTGGCTCTGGGACTGCTCTAACGCGAACAACAAGGCAGCATGTTCTACTTTGGCTACCTGGCTTGGGAATGGCCCACGAACTTGCTTCTGCAACGCCTTCCACTGGCGAAGTATAGCGCACTGAACGTTATCCTCTGGGGCTCGATGCTGGTCTTGCATGCTGCAGTAGGCAATTTTGCCGGTGCCGTTGCCGTGCGGCTCCTGCTGGGTGTCTTCGAGAGTGCTGTTACGCCAGGGTTCGCCCTCCTCAGTATGTGATCCTCTTCCGCCTTCATAGAACTTTTACTGACCTGGCCAAAGCTTCCCAGTGGTGGACGCGTTCGGAGCAAGGGTGAGTTATTTCTATCCCGGAAGCTCTCAGCGAGCAACCTGGCGTCCTGGTCTATTTCGCAGCTGGAGGAGCGAATTCCCATTGTGGTGGACTTCCCACTATCCCTAGCCCCTTCCCCATGGTCTCTATCCCATTGCTTACAACCCCGGTCTTGACCATGATTGCTAATCCAAAGCCTCCTATATCTTCAGGTATCGTACTTGTATCTGGTTCTCCTTCAATGGCTGGGGCCAGATATTCGGCGGCCTAATCGCCTATGCCATCGACGTGGGCGCGCGACGCCACGGCTCGGCGATCGCGCCCTGGAAGACCGTGTTCATGGTCAACGGCCTCATCACCGTGGCTCTCGGCATAGCCTTCTACTGGATCATCCCCGATAATCAGCTCAACGCCCGCTGGCTCAGTGACCGTGATCGCGTCCTTGCTGTAGCCCGCGTGCGGAGCAACCAGCAGGGCATCGGCAACAAGCACTTCAAGAGATATCAGTTCATCGAGGCTCTGAAAGATCCCATGACGTGGGCTTTCGTCTTCTATTCCCTGGTCGCGGACATTCCCAATGGGGGCATGAGTCAGTCCATCGATGTAGGCCCAGGGCCCTATCATTCCTTTACTGACACCTCCCTATAGGCAACTTCTTCTCCCAGCTCATCGTGTCCTTCGGCTACACGCCCTCCCAGTCTCTTCTCTACGGCACGCCCGGCGGCGCAGTCGAAGTCGTCGCACTGCTCGTGTGCGGCTATCTAGGCGACAGATATGGTCAGCGCATTCTCTGGTCGATGGCGGGCCTCAGCGTGGGCATCCTGGGCTTCATTCTGATCGTCGCGCTCCCGCTCGACATCAAGACCGGCCGACTGATCGGCTTCTACCTGACACTCGCGGTACCCTGCCCATTTGTGGCGTTGCTGTCGCTCATCAGTTCCAATATCGCCGGCTACACCAAGAAAACAACGGTGGCGGCCCTCTACTTGATAGCGTATTGCGTGGGGAATATTATAGGTGAGTCATTCTTCACTCTTCCACTGCATCCTCCTGCCGTACATGGGCACTAGGTTTTCTCTGGCTCCCCTCTCCAGCTGTCCACCATGCACCTGACGCTGACCCTAACGTGTCTTCGACTAGGCCCACAAACCTTCCGCCCCGCCGACGCGCCGCACTACCGCCCCGCCCAGATCACCATCCTAGCCTGCTACGGCGCCTGCATGATCGATCTGGTCTTTATCTGGTGGTACTACCGTCGACAGAACCAGCGGAAGACGGCCCTGCGTGCTGCGCCTGGGTATACAAAGGTCGAAAACCAGGAGTAAGTGTCATCCTTCCCCTTCCTTCGTTTTGCTTGTCTTGCAATATCCAGCTAGTGGCCGCATGGGTGTGGCATGGTAAAACATATGCTGACTAAACATGAAACAGGTGGCTGGATCTCACTGATAGGGAGAATACGGAGTTTGTGTACTGCTTGTAAGGGAAACAGATGCAGCGGAAGATGGACTGCTAGGACGGGGGAGTGTAGTCTCGATTTCTTCGCCAACCAGATCAGGTGTCGAGTAGTCCTCGTTCTTTGGTGCAAGCCGTTGCAATTCGAACAAGCTGGCAGGATCGAAGGGCGAGTCTCGGGAATTATGATGCCAGGTTAGAGATCGCGATTGCCCGATCGGTGACATTTCTTGAACGTAGCTTTATTGAGCGGTCGAGGCCTATGTCCAGATCAGGCATGGAAGGATTAGAGGATCCTTTTCGATCCGCGGGGATCAACGGTACCCAACAACATCGTTCCCGTTCCTTGCTGCCATGGCACTCTGAATACATGGCCTGTGAGTATGGGTGAACCTGATCAGAAACCGTCACCCTCCGTCCAATTCCTGCCAGCAGCCCCTGCTCTAACGGCCGGGTCCTTGCCTCTTGCGAGCGCTTTCTGCCGGCCGTCTTCCATAAGTTGTGCAAGTGAATCGATCTCGGTCGTCAGCTCAATGTCGCGACCCGCGGGAGGCACTTCGAGCTCGAGACTCTCGATGGTGCCCGGATCTGCAGTTTGCTGGTATCGGTCAACCACGGAAGCCTTATGACGCCATTCGTCTAGTTGCTGCTGCTTCATATGCTTCTTGTACCGAAGTTCAAACCAGTAATCAAAATCCTTGTTGTCCCTGAAACAGACACCATAGCCATCACAGTAGCAGCTGTACATGTCTGGGCAGAAAGTCGCATTCTTAGTGAAGATGGCCTGCCAGAGGTACTCAAAGACACGACCGGAGACGTCGTCGAGCAGCTTGGTTTTGAGTAGCCACTCGCGGTAGAAAACGAACTTCTCACGCGGAGTGGACTGGATGCGAGCTTTGGATAGGGCGAACTGCGCACAGCAGGGCTGAGCTACGACTTCCGGTAGAGCGATACCAGGGAATAATTCTGTCCAGGCTTGGGCCATGACGGGTTCTTCCACCCTTAGCGAGTCCTTGTCGACAACCCCCGGGTGCATCCACGCTGGACAGCCGGGATCCCACTCACAGCGCAAGTTCATGTAACCCTCGCGTGTCACTCGTGCCGAGGATAGGCGCCGGACAGTTTCTGGCCCGTCGTGTTCAAGCAAACCAGCTTGGTGCCATGAGTTTCTATGCGCGTGCATGAAGATGGCGATGTCGGGCAGATTGTCATAGTGGTCAATAATGTACGACAGGTAGACCATAGCTTCGTGCCCTTTGTTCTTTGGTACTGTCAGGGCCGCGGACTTGTCGTCCGGTATGTATACCTTGACTATTGCGCCGGCCAAGTCCTCGTTATACAACCAACCCGCATCCTCATCTTTCATCTTGGCAACAACGAGATGGCGCGTGTAGGAAGGGATGGCATAGCTCGGGCTGGCATCGGCATGACTGACCGAGTAGTCGGACTCCGAAGAGGGATTTGAATTGTTATCGTCGTTGTGCAGGTTCGAGCCCACAGTGTTGGGGAACCTGCGCCATCTTACGGCTCTCGGGGCGCTGTAAAGGTAGACAAGCGTGGTACAGAACGCTACGAGACTAATGCTGAGCAGTGTAAAGCCACGTCTTGGTCCCACCATATCAGGATGTGTTGCGGGTTGTTTGACATCCGCCCTCGCGTGGTCAAAGTACACGGCACTTCTCTTCGTGACGTCTGCAATGATGTGTGGCGGATCGAGTTCGACGTGTCATGCCGGGTGTTCCCTGTCGCGATCGTGAAGGTGGCAAAACGAGCAGAGACGCGTCAAGAGCACGTGTAAACAAACGATAGTGGGTATTGAAATCGAGCGTTTCAATAATCAGTCGCACTTCCGCAAGTCTTGGAAATGGCCATAAGAACTCTCTGCTGCTCGGCAGACCCTACAGATGTTCTCGCAGCGAAGAAATAACACTGCAAGGCAGATGGCACACTGGCCGACATCAAAGGTTGACACGCGTTCCCCAAATTTTGAGTGTCGGGAGCGTGCCGGGGCAAGCCGCCGCTAAAAAAGCTTGAGAATAGTTCAATATAGCAAGTATGGATGTGATAGATGTGAGGTACAGCACCTCGATGCCTACGATCCTGGCTACCTTGAACCAATCCAACGACGATGCAGAAGTCATTAATCAAGCACATGTAGTCTGAACATCTGCTAGACTGGAAAGACTTGACAGTCCCAGCAATCGTCCGGTAGGAGACCTCATCCGCCGTCTTGGCAGCACCCAGCCTCGCCTCCCTCTCACGTCCACCACAGCAACACTTCACTTTCAACCCATATATATCACTGTTTTCGATTTTTACCTCAACAACCAGTACCGGAATCTCTGCTACTGGCTCTGTTTCGAGAGCCTCAGGTCAAGGATTCCACACCGAGTGGTAATCTGGCGGGTTCAATTCCTTCCCTCGACAAAAAAGCCTCAGGTCACACGGTACTGCTAACACGACAACAACTCACTCAGGCAGTACCTAGCAGGGCTTCTTCCCCCCGTTCGTTCGCAGGAGAGAGTGGTCGGGAAAACACTCACAAAAAAGAGAGGTTAATAATTGAAAAACAAAAAAAAAAGAATACGAGTTCGAGATTGGTGGTGGGATTAACAATTCAAAAAAAAAAAAGTACGTAGAAAAAACCTCGTAGTTCAGAAGGTTTCTCAATTATCCGGGTCGTATGCTACCTCCCCGGTAGGATTGAGTTTTTGCTTTTTTGGGGAAGTGGGAGGTAAGAGGAGAGGAGGTACACGGAGGCAGGGGGGAGGAAGGGAGGGTTCGAAACTCGTCGTCCCCAACGGTGTGCACTTTTCACCTTTTTGGTAACTTGAAAAATCGCGGTAGAGATTGTCCCACAAACCTGAAGTCGTAGCCTGGATGGCTTTCTGGGCCTCTCTTGTTTCTGGCAAAGTGAACAACACTATCGAGGATGAAGGCAGTGACCTAGGCGGAAACACGGAGTCAGGGGGGAGACATCTTACTTTCATCGTAGGATATATTACTATCGACCCATCGCAACACGAGTGTCCACGAAAATGGCTCCAGCTTCAGGACTTGTCCCATTTGCCATACCTTGTCCAGTCATCATACAACGTCTTGAAGATGGCCCTGCTACTCGGATCCATGGCGCTGTTCATCGCCCGCATCAGGTCTCGACTCATCGCATCCAGTATGGTGTACATGCCAGGCAGCAGCTTCTCTTTGACTCCCGGGCCAATGTCGCCGTCCAAGCTACACCTGCAGTACTCCATCACCAAATACTGCATATGCTGCCCCGCAATGGTTTTGACACGTTTTGTCTCGTCATTGAGCTCATTGTTCTTGCTGCGCTTACTCGATGATTTTGCGGCTGACACTGTGGGGTTGCAGATCGACGACAGGAGACGTGAGAGGCTCACGGCTGCGGATGCAGGTAGCGGGACAGAGCTGAGCGTGAGCCAGCTGGGAAGGGACCGGAGGTAGCTTGATGGGTCGCTGCCGATGACTGACGGTTGCCGTGCTCGCTTGGTGACTTCGTCCGAGTAGAACAGACAGCGCACAAGTTGTTGCAGAACAGGCAGTAGAAGATGATGCCGGTCTGCCAGCCGGCGACGGAAGCGGCTAAGCAAGTTACCGACGATTGCGCAGACTCGCTCGAAGATGTGTTCCGGAAATACCGCTGGCGATATCCGTGTAGTGTCGCTGCCAGAAAGTAGCAGCGCCATTTGAGCTAGAAGGCTGTCGATGGTCGGTTGACTGATCACACTTGGGTGAGTTGCCAAGATGAGCTTAGTGTTTTCGAGTGCCAGCAGCACATCGAACAAGTCGCGCTCTTCTCCAAGACTCGCAAGACTTGCAACGCGCGCAATGCTCATGCTCAGCCTCGGGTCTTGCTCAGTCTCCTGTGCACTAATTTGTAGCACGATTGACGCAACGATAATCGGTCCGACGACACCCAAGCCTGCTGATACATCAGGTTGTAACAACAGTTCAACGCAGATGGCACGGTCTTCCCACTTGAGACTTTGAGCAAAGAGGTCAGCCTCGATAGCGAGTCGTCCGAACTGATGCTCGTCAAATTTGTCAGGTCTCGAAAGCCTGAACAGCTCATTGAGTCTCCTCTCAATTGGATCGGAGGTGTCAGCTTTGCCGAACTCGGCAAGAAGAGCTCTGGTTTGGTCGGTGATCAAGTCGTTGAGATACAAGGACACGGTGCTGAACGATGGCCTAGCTCCCCGGACTCTCGATAAGAGAGACTGCAGAGCGTCATGAAGCTCTAAAGACGAAGACCAAGCAGTAGGGCAAGCGGCTACCACCCGGAGTATGGTCGAAATTCGCGAGTATGGATCAGCCTCAACGCCCCCTGTGGTGCCACTGCCACCTGCAAGCGCCTCAATGTCGCTAACAAGCATGTTGGTGAACTGACTTTTCAGCTCTTTTAGATCTTTGCTTACACAGGTCTCAATGACCTTTTCTGAACTACAGCAGATATGCTGGGCAAGATAGAGCCGCGGGATGTCTGTTGGCAGCCGTGCTTTTTTCTTCGATGGTTTCATCTTCCTGAGCCAAACCAAGACATCAGCAAGTACTTGCGACTGCAAATCGGGCTTGGAAGGGTTAGCGGCAATCCTGGACCACAGCCTGCCGATGACATTCTCCAAGGACCGACAGATCACGAAGAAGCTGTAAGCGTCTTCCCATGGCTTCTGCTTGCTGATGTTTCCGCCAATCGTAGTCCATTCATCCCAACACTCAGGTCCGGTGAAGGATACAGAATACTGTCCGCTGAGATGGTCCATGGTCGCGAGATGCCGGGCGAGATGCGAAGGCAATTTAGGTGTTGTGTTGTGCTGTTTCAGCTGCTCAAAGAGCGCGTCTGCCATACCCCGCGTCGACGCCGCGTCAAGTCCCTCGAGCAGGATCTTCTCCACAAGATAGTGATGCTGAGGACTTGTAATGAGTGAGCTGCTGTTCTCACTTGCAGACTTTGTCAAGATCGCCCTCAGGTTTTTGGTGGATTTTGCGCCAGTCGTATCGATTGCAGCTACCAACAGATCTTCAACACGGGGGGTCTGTGTCTCTTGCCGGCTGACATCGGCGCCCTCTGATCTCAATAACGCTCTCAGGAAGTCCTGCGATATCTGGCGTTTCGCTTCAAGTAGATGAGGTCGGGCCAAGAGCATACCCACACAACCTGACAACAACTGCTCCTCGGAATGGATCGTCAGACTTCGACCAAGCCATAGAGGTTGGCGCGGATCCTCGGGGCTCCGACAAGTGGCCAGTGAGGCTACAGATGTCCGCAGCTGGTCGAGTGAAAGATCCAGAGCTTGGACGAATGGCTCGTTCTGCTTTGATGCCTCATCTGCAAGGACCTTGAAACGCTCAAGATACTCTTGATACCAGTGAGCTGACCGGCGTGGAGCGGAAGAGCCTTGAGCCGGATGTATCAACACAGCACTTGCTTGTGTGACTTTCTCGTTCAGCAGATCAGCCGGTAGTTGATAGCTAGGTAATGTCCTCTGGATACTGTTGATCAAGTTCCACAATCTCCAGCGCTGGCCTTGATAGTCTGAGCGCTTCTGCAGGGCCAATATCGACTGCTCGACGATTTGAAGCAGCGTTTCGGTTTCAGAGACTGAACGTGTTCGTCCCGTAGTGCGTAGCAAAGCCGATGCAATCGATAGGGTTGCAAATACATCTAGAGTAGACCCCACCCGGCCACTCAGGCCTGCTAAAGCTTTTTGTAGATCCGTTAGGAGCTCTTCACCAGGCGATGAGGCTGTTGACAACGCCGCGAGCCTCGTAAATTCATCGAAGATCTCATCGTCTTCCCAGACTTGGAGAGCAGGGATGTCTTGATCGTCCTGTTTAGGAGAACTGCGAACCCGCATTGCTTCTTGCAGGTTTTCCCGCCAGAGATCGATAAAGTCTTTCAAAGCTCTTGACTTTGCATAAGATGTCAATGTTTTGACAAAGACACCATCTCTCAAGACCTTGTAGTCTTGGCGACTGATTGATGATTGACCGATGCGCGCAACGAGCTCACTCATGGCGAAGGTAGATGTAGGGACTCCCGTGTTCGGTAGCAAGAGGTTTTCGTTTGCCTTGAGCAGATATGACAGGGCCATCGAGGGTAAGGCGAGCTCGTGCCACGAGACCAACGTGGCGGCAATGTAGCTGAGAGCATGTGATGATGGAGTACATTGCGATATGGTCGATAGTCGGAGTAACTCTTCAATGGAGACAATGTTGCTCGTAGGGCCTGCGGGATAAGCGGTGTCGATGATTCTTACTGTGTCGATCCGAGTGAGCTCAAGTTGAGGCAATTGAGGGCCAGCAATGTAGGCCAACACTAGAAGCAATGCATCAAGCCAGTCTTGTTCTTGTTGTCTTCTGCGGATGTCGTACTTCGGCAGTAGTCGAGTAGCAATGTCATAGATATGGTGACTTCGCCCATTCCAGTCCAGGCCAACCATAGATGTAGCTTTTACCTCACGACTTTGTGGTTTGGACCCGAGGACGACAACAAAGTCGCGATAGACGGGCTCAACATCAGCCCAGGTCAGGCAAGGCCGGTTAGACCTCCAATTCTTTAGATGCTTCTTAATGAAACGCTCACGCAAAGGCAGCACACTCGTCATGGCGAGAAGTCTCTCCAGACCTTGAATACTGGCTTTGCGACTCGTCATTGGTGGCAGTTGTGGATCGCTCAGAATGTCCAGGGTTTCGAGGCACAAGCTGAGACATCCCTCGTTAAACACCGTGATCTCCTGAGCCTTTGCACTGTCCGACTGAGCCAATGGTCTCCCAGCCCACATATGTAGTATGGAGTGCAGTTGCGACGCCGAGGCCTCGACGTCTTGTGGACGCTCCTTCAATGAGTGGAGACATAGTTGCAGGGTAGAGGCAAACATAGATGCACAGTCACTGACTGACGACCAGAGGCTTGCCTGAGAATGATCTGTCTGATCTTCGGGTGGGGAGGCAAGCTGAGCACATCGAGCACAGACTTGTAGAATGACGACGTTGAGGTCATGCTCGCTCTCAACGCTGACATCGCCGGGTGGCGATAGCCGACGTCTCTTCACCGAACGCACATTTGTTGTCTGTTCAAGAACATCCGGAGCAGAAATGCTCGGAGCGGAGAAGTGCTCCAGGCGTAGCCGAATGCAGCCGTCGAGGACCGGGAGAGACTTTCGGTCGATGAAGGTCTCGCACAGAAGCGTTGGTGAAATGACGCCGCACAGGTGTAGAAGTAATCGCCAGAGTCGGATATCCAGCAGATGCTGAGTGTATGCTTCTCTGTCTTTGCCCTTGTGGATGACATCAAGCAATGAGGACATTCGTCGAACAAGCCATCGTAGTACCCATTGCTCACTGAATGTATATGGTGCTGTTGACGTATATTGAGTCGGGTCTAAGGGCTTGTTCACGTCTATGCCGAGAATTTCGGTGGCATGAACGATCAGTTCAGACAACGAGGCATCGCTGCGATCCAGGACCTCCAGCCCTCCTTTAGACTGCGTGGATGGCATCGCTGAGTATTGCTCGACTTTCCATAAGCATTCCGTTGACTCCAAAGCGCAGCATTGCCTTACGGGACATTGATATCCTAAACACACTCTACACGGAACTTTTCTCTAAACGTCTGTAGCACCGCAAGGCTGAACACAAGCCTTGTATCACTGCTGCGCTCCGATTGGACGTTGAAGCTTCAACGTTCCGGCCGCAAGCATGGCAAGAGCTTCCGGGAGCTGTAACTGAGCCTCTTCACTGTCACCACTTACAGAATTGTATGTCCCCAGCACACCGGCGTCGATACGACTGAGGTAGGCTCTGACCCTTGACCTCTACTTACCAAGCTCACCCACCCCCCAGCCTGCAATCATGTCGAACGAAAATATTGCCGCACCTCCCCTGCCGTCACCGAAAACCACGAAACCCGTGAGCGAAGCGCTGCTCAATGAGAAGGTACGAGAACCCCGATGGTGCAGGACCGAGAGCTAGCTTTTTGCGGTGTTTCACGGGTTGTCCGCGCCCCACGCGACATACCGTGCGCGACAATGGCGTGAGGAAGCGAATAACACATCTTTGATGGCGGGTATGAACACGTGCTGATATGGGTATTAGTGGGACCGCGCTCTCTCCTCTTTAGTCATTCGATCCGGTCTTGGATTCTCTTTCGGTGTTATCTTCTCAGTACTTCTGTTCAAGCGGAGAGCATGGCCCGTGTGGCTGGGTACCGGCTTCGGTGCAGGACGAGCTTGGGAGGAAGCGGACGGTATGCCCTCGACCCTACGTGATGCACGAGCGAGAATCTGATTGCATACAGCCAATTTCAAGCGTGGTGACCGACCGTTCAGCACAGATGGGCTACGAAAAGTGAGGACGGAGAGATAAAGGCGCGCACTGCTGGACAGAACATCGGGATTTGCGGTGGTGAAAAGTAGAGTATTGGTGCACACGCTGAAGGGCCCTGTGGTTGAGATCGGACTTAGCGTCACCTCAGTGAAGAGCGCAGCACAGAATCTGACGTCGGCATCCAAACTGTACAAAATGCTATCTGCCGGACTTCTCATTCTCGACCTCTCGCCGCAGGCTGTCCAGCTCGGCCTCCCGCTTTCGTAGATGCGCTTCCAAACCCTCCACCTGGTCTGCGACGAGCGCGAGGTCATCCCTCAATCGCTGGAGATCCCCGCCAGCAGCAGATGCCTTATCCGAACTCAACTCAACATGTTGCCTCTGCTTATATTCAAGCAATTGCTGGGCTTCACGTTTGATCAAAGTCCAATTGGTCTTTCCAGGTTGTCCTGAGCCGTCGTTACCCGATCTCTGTTTGCGCCGGCGGTCTGCGGAAGCTTGGGCCGCTTCCTGTTGAGACTCGATGTCTCGCAGCTCGCGCAGTAGTCTGACCTTCTCCAGATCTTCGTCTTCCACGACGTCCGAGAAATTAGTGCCCTTGGGTTGGTAAGCCGAGCCTCCTCGGACTCCAATTCGGCTGAGATATGCATCGCCGAATTTGGCTTTTCGGCCCGTGCTTGTGTCTTCATCGTATTTATTGGGTCTGTTGCGCATGCTGTCTATCTGATAGTCGATCTTGTTGCCCTCGAAGCTGGAGCGTAGACTTGGGGGCACCGATCGAGGTATCCTGTAGCCCTCGTGTCTGTAATTGAGGATGTGCAAGAATGCTAAACAGGCGTCCTTAGCGATGGTGCTTCGTCCGCTGGTGTTGACGAGATTCCACGCGCTTCTAATATCTGTGTCTGGGACGTCCAAACTTCCGTATAGGGTGTGCAAGCTTTCGAAGCTAATCTCTCCGCGCCGGTCCTTGTTTGCAGAATAGATTTCTTCGTATTTAGACCTGTCACCAGGGTTGATGTACCAGTCAAAGCCATCTTTTAGGCCTGCGTCTTCCTCGTCGTCTTCAATGCGCTCAAATCTGGCTGCCTGATGGCCAGTCAAAGCTCTGTTGGCTGCCACCAAATGAGCCTTGCTCTCGGGGACCAGCCAGTCTGGTAAGGAGGCTGGCACATCTTGGTATTCGCCGTTGACGAGGTCGAAGATCAACCGCATCGCGACACAGAATTCTTCGAAGTCCAATTCGCCATCGCCGTCAACGTCGGCGAGGTCCCAGACTCTTTCCAGTTGATCATCTCGCAGTTGAGAATTGCGTAGAACCTCTGCTGCCGCATGGTTTGTCAGGTGCGACGAAGGCGTAGCCGGCTGCTGCACGAGAGAGGCAAAGATCTCCCAGTATCGATCAATCTCCCATTTTTCAATGCGCTTTGCGGCCATGCTGTGGCGCACTCGTCTGGAGGCTCGATACGTTTGGAGGAAGGCGGTCTGCGAGGTGGTTGGGTGCAGTTCTTGTGCCGTCCGGTGATGGAATTTGCACCACTCGAAGCGACCACAATGTAGAATAGATACACTCCGGATGAAGTCTAGATAGAGTCAAACAGGTCTGAGTTGTGAGTCGCACGGCTGTGGTGCAACGATTCTGAGGTGTAGTGCTTAGACTTGCTCCGCGCGAACGCGGCCCCGGCGGAGAGCTCAGCCTCAACGGCGTCTCCACCCATCTCTTGGCTGATATTAGAGTAGTTGTGCTGCAACAGCATGTACTTTCTGTCAGTCCTGGCACTCTTCGTCAATGTTGGCTGTACGTCTGCGCCGCAATGCAGCTGTGAGAGCTGCACTTTCGTCCAGGATTGATGTCGGGCACGCGTGGCCACGCCTTGTACTCGACGATTGAGTACTCGGCTGCACCAAACCCATGCATTATTGTTTACAAACCAACCAGTTTACCAGCCCCTCCGGCTTCCGAGCTTTGGTTTGGCGAGCGGTATCCGAGATTCGAGCTGATATCTGCATGTTTCAACCGCCGTACCGCAAGGCCAGCGCTGCTATGCATTTGCTGGGATCAGAGCCTTGTAGAAATTGCAAAGCGAACCACGTCTGCATCCGGGTTTGACCAAGCCTGATCACTACGACTTCACGGGTTCACCACTCGTCATGAGCAATTCACGGCGAGAGTTACGCAGCATATGGCCAGATCTAGGATAACATGCGAGGGGTGCAAGGGTCTCGTCGGGCCTGGGCTGTCGGTAAGGTGTTGCTTGCTGGATAGAGATGCGGAGAAGGAACCCCTTTTCTCGCCGCCAGCGGCAAAGATGATGACGAGCCCCCAGCCGACAGGTTGGAGCAAAGTACCACGCCATGCATTCTTCATTACGTTTGGCAACGTAAAATCATAGGCAGTGGTTCGCGGCGGAAAGCTAGCAGACGGAGATTTACATAATGAAACGAAACAGCTGAGAACTGCAAGTGCGTGACCTTGTTAGTCCCAAGACAGCAATTTCCTACTGTGCAAGCATCAACATATCAAGAATGGCGCGCTTACACCGAATAGTGCATTCTCGCCCATTTCAAGTGAGGGAGTCAATCCTTTAAGGAGTGCACGAATGGAACATGACTGGTGGAGAGGATATGCGGCACACTGCTGATGGCGTCGAGCAGCAGTTCATCCAAGCTGAATATCTGGCCGAGCCGTACTCGGCAAAATGCTGTAGGTAATAAAGAGGCTTGCCTTGGCGCTCGTGGGCCCTAGCAGGTTGGCACAATGACCGGCTGCATGACTCGCAAACTTTGAGGATGAACGGTTGTCTGTGCCGGCTCCTCCGGGCATCACAGGTGATTGTTGTGCGTCAGTCAAGTGTGCGGAGCAGCATACCTGTGCTAGTGGTAGCTGTGATCATCACAGGCCCTGGAAGAGGATTAAACTGTAGATCTATCCAGTAGTGAGGTGGCCAAAAGAAGGGGGGAGATCTCTGACCCAAACACATATTCGCACGGCAGAATCGTGTCGTTGCGCAAGGTTTGCTGACGAGATCGGGCGATCGACCAAAGAAGCAGCTCGGAATGAATCGTGACACGATCTCTGACATGAAAGTCGAGTCAAGACGCAGCGATGGCCCGGGGTGGTGGCTAACAGCCTAAGCGCCTGAAAGCCTAACAGACTAGCACCCGTTGGCTCTGCCCGTGCGGGACAGGGAGGCCCCATGGAGCAGCTGATTTGGGACAGAACCAGAGTGGCGTCTCCAAAAGTGCAGTCTGCAGTCAGTCGATCGAAGCTCATTCGAGCAAGAGCTTCCCAAAGCGCCCAAGTCAGTCGCCGTAGCCTGGAAATTAACCGATTTCTCAAACTTTGACCTCGTAAAGCGGTTTCATTGGCACCAAGGCCCAACGGCCGCCAACGCTCTCGCACCAGGGCACTCAACCGTGATCCCCTCACAGCCTAGCGCATGTCCCTTTGACGTGAAACTGCTGCCCTTTCGACCTCTTACCTCAATGTCGTCCAGTCGATCACGCACCGTTCTCCTTTTCGTCTACCCACCTGCCACGAATCCATCGAGGAAGGGTTCGGAAGAGCCGCCCCACCCCAATTTACCGGGCGCCGTTTGGATTTGTGCGCTGGAAAGAGACTCCGGCCTGCTGCAGAACCATGTACCGGTGACCGCGGGGTGATCGTTGCCTGGAAATTGTTATTCGCGCCCGAAGTCTCCATGGAGCTGGTAAGTTTGACAGACGCATCCGACTAGACTTGTCTCTGTGTGACGCCAACATGCAACTTGTACGTGATGGGCGACGGTCCAGCACAGAGTCCTCAGCCTACTGTATGATTCAATTAGTGCCTCCCTCAGATTGGGTCAAGCTCCACCATGTGGACAAAGGTAGCTGAGCAGGATAGCGACCAACTCGCCATCGTCCCGAGTGAGAGCCGTCCCAGCCAAAAGGGCACGGTTCAGGGCACTGCCGAGGGTATCTTCCTGGACACTGTCGCCTAGACATGCTCTGTAACATGATCTAGATCGACCCTGGGATTGCTCTGCGACTCTCCTGTCTTGGGCGGCGTGCTTCAGCCTCGCCCAGAGCGCCAAGCCGTTGGGTATTTGTCAAAGCTCCAAAGGTGCAGAAAAACGTGAAGATCGCTGTGGTAGGGATCACCCTTGTCCGTAGATCGATCCTCGGGCTTGGTCGTGGGGGCAGAAGTTGCGAGGCTTGCTAGCTTAAGCTCGGATCATGCAGAGGGCACTTTGCGCTGTGCAGACACTACTGGTGCCGTCGTTCGCTTCTTCCCACGCGATATCGCAGACTCCATCCATCCCCAAGGTCTTTCTCAAACCCGAATCTTGCGACGAACAGAGTGACAGGTTATGACCGTCGCCTGTCTTCACATTCGGATGTAAAAAACCCTTCCTCTTGCGGGCATGCTCGCCTAAAAGACCCCATCCCTCGCGAGCAAATCGTGTGGCAAGGAGGCTCTCCGAAGGGGCGCACCCTGGTCTACCCTTTTACCTACCTTCCAGTTCTAACACGATACATGGGTCCGTTTTTGTCATAGCCCTTCTTCCTAACCAAGTCTTGCTCGATGATTCGGCCTGGGGTCTTGAAGACAGAGTTTGTTGGCTCTGCCATGGCTTGATCTGGTACTGCAACTAGCTCGTGCAGTAGGTTTCTTTGTCTTGACCCTCTCCACACCTCCATCACTACGGAGTATGTACTCTCTACGGGTACGCTTTTGGTGAGCAACGTGTGACGCCGCTAGAGTTTCCCCCCTTCCCATGTCCATCGGGCACCCAGGGATATGGTCCGCGGGCTGTTGGTTGCGTCTGCCGTGTGCGCGAAGTCGTGCCCTAAAAGTATACCATTTCGCCGGATCTTTACTGCCATTCATCATTCAACCTTTTCATCAAGCAGCCAGGCTTCACCCACCGGCCTGCTAGCCTGAAATTCAATCCAATTCGGTCATCCACTCGGTCAGATCTAAATCGCGATCAGATCTTCCCACTACATCAGCAGGGCGCTACCAACCGTTGCAGTACCTGGCAGAGTCCTCATCAGGCCCACTGGCCCTTGATTCGGTTGGCTGTCCACCATCCCTGACCGCCTACTCTGAGCCATCTCTTTCTGGGCCTGGATCGGTTGACACTTGGACACCACCCCGCTGGTTGGTCATATACTGGCGCTGCTCTCGTTCAGTCACCCTACGGCAAACGTCTTCCGGCCTATACATTTCGACACCCTCAATCAGGTCTCTCTCTCATTGTCTGCGTTCTGAGTAACTTGACCTTCATTTTATGTCCGAAATGGGCCGCTCTACTAGGAGGGGTCCATGGCTCCCCGACGAAGACGACACACTGGTTCAGCTGGTCCACATCCAGGGACCAAATAACTGGGTACGCATTTCACAGCACATGCAGCACCGATCGCCTAAGCAGTGCCGGGAACGATACCACCAGAATCTGAAGCCCAGCCTCAATCACGAGCCCATTTCTGCTGACGAGGGCGAATTGATCGAGCAATTGGTCCACGAGATGGGCAAGCGTTGGGCTGAGATTGCCCGAAGGTTGGGCAACCGCAGCGACAACGCCGTCAAAAACTGGTGGAACGGCAGCATGAACCGTCGGAAGAGGAGCAACATCCAGCAAGCGGCGTCCGCTCGTGGCGTGGGCTTGCGCCCGGAGTCTCTTTCTGCGACAGCACCTTCGCGTCCTCTAACGTTACTGCACGAGGAGCGACGACAAAACAGTCCCCCTCTCTCTGCTGGGTTTCGACCGCCGTATCTTCACCGGCTACCCACGTCAGAGCCGGACCGCCCAGAGCAGGCCCGTCGCAGCCTTCCAGATGCTCTTTCGTTGCCCAACCTCAACCAGCCTTTCACTGCGGCCGCGGCACTCCAGCCTTCACCAGATCCTTTTGCGCAACGACCATATCACACACCTCAACCTTCCTCGGATTTCCGCTTAGCGCCGCTTGAGTGGCGTAACAGAAGCCAGAGCGAAAAACTAGGCGAATCCGTCGCGATTTCGCCCGCCACTACCGATTATTCTCATCAGCGCGCACCTTCGTTGGTTTCAGACCACCAGTCTCGATGCTCTATTTCACCCAGAACAGTCTCATCGCCGCGTCCGAGTCTCCCAGCCCCCATTCAGACTTCTCGGACATTCTATGAGCACCACCGGTGTCAAAGCTATGTGTCTATTGCGTCTGATGGCAAGATGTACTCTCAGGATGAGGGCTATGTGTCGGCTCTTCCGTCCTCATCCAGCATGGACGCTGGCCAGCGTCGCTTTCCATTCGATGCTCCTCTCATATCGATCTACTCACCCGCCACGGATAGGCGACCAGATTTCCAACTGCCTCCACCGAAGCTCTCATCACCCACTGAGCGGGACAGCCGCATGAACGTTTCACGTCTACTTGATTGAATATTCCAGCCGGCGGTCAAAGTTTTACATTGCAAACTTGTTTCTTAAGCAGTTCAGCACCAGAAGTCAAGGGAGAATCAATTCCTTCATTCTGGACAGATTTTACGATCCATCTACGGAAGGAAAAGGGTCAACAGTAATACCCAAGTGCATGAAGGATGATGAAATAGGCCACAAGGACGCGGCCCACTGCAGTCTATTGACTGGCTTGTGTATATATAATTTACCTGGGAGGGTCGATGCTCATTTCCGTTGAAGCGTTCGTTCTGTATAAAACCCAGCGTCTCCAGGCATTGAAGCCCAGCAAAAAGTGTACAATATCAGATCTACGAGAAGTCTCTGTCAAACAGTCCCACGCTCTCGTGCCCCTGGATGTTCGATTCCTCACACTCTGAGGACAGTGGCAAGGCTGTGCGCACGATGTTCGAGCCGCGCCAAGTCCCACGACCCTGATTGATGCAAGGGTATCCTGAGCAACAGTCACCAGATCTTGCACTCGCGTTGCCGCCATGGTGTCAAAAAAGCATTCAGTCTCGCTCTACGGCACAACTAGCCAATCATCCCAAGTTGGCGGGTTGCGTTGCGCGCTTTCGCAAGCTCGCGAGTCAAGTGGGACACAGCCCTTGATGACGGTACATGTGGATCTTTCCCAGCGGCTTTGTGCTTCTCCACCCCTTTGCAACTGGTACTACGGACTACTCTTCTGGTTTTATTACATGTGGGGCACCCATCGCGGCGGCAAGATCTGATGAGATTGCTACCGCCGCCCGTTTTGAGACGGGATCGTCGCTTTGGCCCCAAGAAGTGGATCTCGCTCAAGTTGACAATATTTGATTGGGCCTACGGAGTAGTCACTACTGACCACCACTGCAAAGCACTCCTGTCACAATGTCTCCAGGATACCCTGGTGCAACTTCGGGTACGCATGCATCGCCCATGCAGAACCGAAACTCGAGTTCGGACTCCCTCGCCTACAGACCTTGTGTCCATGACCCTCAACGCGTCCGGAGTACTGTACTGTACATAGCGCCCTCCAAAGAACCAGGGGTCGGCCCCTTCGGGAAAGTCTATTAGAGTTTGGGAACTGGAGGCCAGGGTGCTGCATTTGACCTCCGGCCAACCCACACGATGTTTCCCCAACGTACAGCACGACTCAAACTGTGTATATCAAACACGGGATGACACCCTCAACATGTGCCTCGTGCCTGCCAATGCCCCTCTCTCCAACTCTGATGACAGCCATAGCGCAGATCATTTGCAGAGCATGTATCTTTTGTTGCACTCGCGCGGAGTCGACAGGCTTACCGCCGTCGGTCACCGTCCACTGATTGACCAATCAGCATACTTCCCTGAGTACCAAGGCTGCGGTCCTGTACTCCCCATGCACTCCTCCTGCGGGCAATCTTTTTTGGCAAGGTTATAGGGGTCAGAAGCTGCACCGCATTGCTTGCATATTGGTACGGATTTGCGGCCTGCCTTGCACACGAACCGGGATCAGCGATCAATGTACTCTCCTGAAAAGTCTGCTTGTGTTTTGCAGCCCGTGAGTGGATTCTAAACATCAACCAAGATATTCTACTTCATGTGGCCCATCCCAGTCAAGGAAACTATGGTCTGGGCAGATCCGGTACGCATATTTCACGCCTATACACTACGATGACTGTGGTCATTGGCTGCTGGTGTGCCAAAATCCTCTCTTTTCCATTCCCAAGGCTGAGTGATTGACGACTCCGGCTGACTTTTGGTCCGTGTTTGTGACTTTCTTGGAACATAACCATATATTTTGTCTTGCTAGGCAATCACGCCCAGCGCAGACCCCGCGGACCGAGGAGGCCCAACAAAGCCTATACCACACACCTCGAGCGTGGTTGATCTATACTTAGTCGGACCGTGACAATTTCTCTGCCGGCCCCGAGCAAGCTCGAACTAAGTCTCTGTTTGAAGCTCGCTATTACGTGTGTCAAAACCACGCGGAAGTCTACAGCACGAGGCAGCGGCCATGTTGTGTCTTGGAGGCTTGAACAAGGCTCCAGCATGATCTTTGATACTGTACATGTGGAGATGGTCTCACCATTGGGTAACCCTCACGGGCAACTTTGCTTCTTCAGCCACCCTACATACTCGTAGCCCCTTGTAACGCCCTCTAGCCACCCTTTTCCCAGTCTCGGCATTGGCTCCTGCTTGGACGACGTTCCCTCGCCGTCTAATCGCCCGTTCCCAACGCTGGTGTCTCAGGGTGACCGGCGCTACCCGGGGTCATCCTTGACCACAGGCTCGTGGACTTGCGGTATGATCCGATGCCCAATTTCTCCGGAGTCTCCTACTATGTATATCTTCCCTGTTGGTCTCATTTTCATACCCATAGCCTGCGCCTCCGGAAGAACTTTGATGTTTCACCACGACCCTCTCTCTCTCCCTGGCGCTAGCCCCAAGGATCTGACGGCAGCAGACGCCATAACTCATTTAACTGTCCGAGCACGCTTTCTTTCCGTCGCGTGTGGAACCTTGACTAGCTACGCCATCAACGGCAAAGATCTATTCGCCGTTGCAAGCTTTCGGGCTATCGACTTCTGATACTGCCGGACAATTCAATAGCGCTCAGATCTTGCGACAGCCACATTTGGATGTCAAACCCCCGCCGTAGTTGCCGAACGGCGGCTTGGTATTAGCCGGGTCGAGGATTTTGTTCTCCCCAGGTCGTTGCAACTATTGATGTGGATCGATCCACTGAGCATCATCGGAGGCGAGATCAAGCGAGTGTTTGATGAACACGCTAAGTGATAAATCTCCGACAGCCTACGTAAAGACGGGTGATCGGTGCTCGACGCTGTGTAAGGCCCATGCGACAGCGAACGTGAGTCAGTAGGAGTGACTGAAACTCCCAGCGACCTCCGTTACCTTCGATGCTGGATCCCAGCTGTCCATGTTCTTTCGGCGCCGACATCCTCAAGTTCAACTGGCTACTTCGTGCAAGGCAATGCTGGTAGTCGATGGATTCGAAACACTTTCAGTTCCCGAGTCCTTCGGCTATCCTTTCTCCCGCCTCGATGCGAGCCGGCGTCGTGCGACCACCATTGTCGAGTCGCATCGCACAGAAGCCGAAGAACGCATCCATGCGTGTCTCGTAAAGTGAGACAACCTCGTAAGTCACGACGACTCCATTCTCTTCGCTCGCTGCGGCCTACCCGAAGAGGATGGCCACCGGCGATGAGCATCCGGAGGAAGACCCATACTCGCTTCTCGCTCGGCTGCCTGATGCCAGTGTTACAGGTGTTATTCATAGGCTTCTGCCGCTTGGACATGCCTGTGCCTGGGCCCGGATTCTGTCTGTTCCGTCGGCTGCAGTAGGCGACTGCCGCCTCCGCCTGCCGATGGACGCGCAGCAACCACACTAGGGGTAAGTCGAGACGTGAGCCTGCTTCTACAAAGAACATTCACGAGCTCCATCATTGTCGTTCCGGTCTCACCATGTGCCTTGCGCCTCCGCTGCGCTTGTTCTCTGCCTACTGCACGGCTGAAGCAGCGGTCTTGTTGACCGTTCCCTGCATGCACCTAACCACCAGCCGCTTCTAAACCTTTCCAGGCTCAGCCGTCGGAAACCGCACGCCATCGACGCGTCTCAGCGATCACGGGAGTCCCTTTGTTCTACCGCGCTGGTCCTTGACATTCCTTGCTACAGCACGAGCCGACGCCAGCCCTTGACTGATGGACCCCTGAGTCATGAAGAGCAAAGACAGACCCCCTTGGAATTCCCACTCTGTCCGACGATGAGCTCCAGTGAAGCGTCACTCGTCAGACTTTCATCTAGTCCCTACTTCGCCCTAGCCCTGTCTCATGCTGAGGGTGCGCAGTGTGGTGATCTGCTTGGCCATCAATCAGCCTGGCATGCCGTTTGGACGCATGAATGACCCAGCGTGAAGGGAAACGCCCTGGACTGGAGCGCAGTGCTTCTACTTCACGCTCCGAGATGTGGGAGTCGAGTTGCTGGCGTGTCGCCACTCACGTGTAGCTTGGACGTGGAGTTGGTCTGCGGCTTATTCGAAGCTCGAAGCACTTACCCGCAGCGCCATCAGTGCAGGATCTTGACTGAAATAGCAGAGCGGTTAGGTCTGCTGCACCCAGGCGCGGAGACTATACAGCTGTACATAGTGTCAATAGGTGAATCGTCGTTGTTTGGAAGGTGGCAGTCTCACTTGCCGTAGTCGCAGATTGACGTCGAGGGTGAAGATGTCGCTAGCTGTAGTCTGGGAGGTGAATCTGCAGCCTTGTCCATCGAACGAGAGACCTTCCTAATTCGGATGACCGAAATTGTCTACTCATGCAGCCTTGTCGTCATTGCAGAAACCGCGGCCGAACTTCATGCGCATCCTCCCTTTGCACGCACCACCTGTACATCGCCATTTCTTCAATTGCGAGCACGTTTTTATTTCATGCTTTACACGCGTCTCAACCCTGTCTTATTAGCTTCCTCACCTGTACAGCTCTTATCTAATCTCCTCCGACGCTCCTCTCACCACAACCGCAACTACCAAACAGCAACAACCAATTCTCCCAATTCGTAGAGACTCATGCCGTGCATCCATCCTTGAAACCGCTTGATTGTCCCTATCTCGCTGCGGCCATTCGCCTGCTATGGCAGCGCCCGGGTCGTCGCCGGCCGAGATGCTCTCTCAGCTGGAGGCGGCGCGCAAGCTAGCCCTCGGTGACCCGCAAGTCTACAGTCAAGTCGTACCGGGCGTGCTTCCCCTCATCGGGCCTAACGCCGCTCTCGACGTGCGGCGATGGGGTGCCGACTTCCTCGCCGAGTGCTTCGCCAGCCCGGCGTTGCCAAATGCGCAGAAAGAGTCGCTGGTCGCCGACGTGCTGCCTGCGCTGCGCGCCTACTTGGAGAATCCGGCCGAGGATCAAGCTGTCTTGCGGAGTGCCGTGCAGGCGGCGGCTAGTCTATATCCGTTGGTTTTCAGAAGAATGTATGTTTAATACCGCTTGGTCGCGCAAGCTGCTTTGCTGTGGCTGCGTCCCTGTCTGCGAGTCGTTGTTTGGTGTCTAACGTGTGTTGCCCCTAGTTCCTCACATCCTGATCAAGCGCCGGTATGGCAGACGATGATGGCCATTAAGTTCAACATCTTGGGCCGTATGGATAGCGCTCCTGTCTCGATAAAGATATGCTGTGTCAAGTTCCTACAAAAGCTAGTTCAGGTTCAGACGCCAGGTGTAATAGCCGATCCGAGAGTATGTTCTGAACATTCTGGAACGAAAACTTGTCTAACACCTTTCAAGAGACCAGACCAGAACGAGACATCTCTTGCTATCGTACCACGCCAACACCCACTTCTTCCCCTGCCGAACCTCGAGGCCGAAGGCGCAGGTCTACTAGATCGATTGCTGAGTGTCTTCCAAGACCCGTCAATGTGAGTCTGAGCCCCTCCGCCGGTCTCCGCCCTGGCTGACAGAACTAGGGATCCGATCATGGTCGATGCGACTCTGAATTGCCTGGCCGTGCTGATTAGGACTCGCCCGCCAGTGGCTAACAAAATACTTTCGGCGATCCTGAATTTCAATCCCTTCCGGTCGGCATCTACAACCATGACTCCACGACTACATGTCATCTATCGATCTATGGAGCGGACGACCTTTGCACTCCTGAAATTTGTCCTCAAGGCAGTGCCGAACCATGCAATGAGCGAGAAGATCCAGCACTATATGTACCGCCTGCAGCAGCAGCGGGTACAGTTCTTTACTGGTACACAAGGAGTCAAGAGGCCGGCTGAAGCAATGGATGGGACGGAAGATGCGAAGCGACAACGGATAGCAGGGCCACAGATCTTCCCACCTATGCCACCTCCGCCCAATAGTGTTGCTCAATTGTTCACTCTCACCGAAGACACCATGCTACACCAGTTCGACGTAAAGCTACTGCCTGCCGATATCGTTAGCAATGTTGTGTTCCTGCTTATGCAGATGGCCGAGCCCGGTAAGATGGAGCCCGCACTCGAGGCTGTCAGAGACCGATATGAGCGTCTCAAGAAAGCCAGCCAGCCAACGCGTGTTCCTGATGTTCCCATGGCAGGCCCGACTGGCATCGACGACGAAGATGACTATGAGCCAGACTTCCCCCTCGGCCCCGAAACTACGGCCGTTCCAACAACTGAGAAGGCACTCGAGCAACTGGCTCAGCCGGCCATTGACCTCGGACCTTTTGAGCTACCGAAACCGCCTCCCATGACCGAAGCTGAGGTATCTGCTCTGTCAGATCAGACGGTCAAGCACGTCTTTTCCCTTGTCGCTGGATACGAACCATTTGCGACAAGCACTACTCGACAGAAACTAGGCTTCAATCGCCTCGCCGCTTCAGCCAACGATCGTGATGCTTGGATCACCATTCTAGCCCGGCTTGCCACACGAACTCCTGCTTCTATCGATGAGTATGACGAGACCGACAAGGGCGATCTAGCAGCCGCGAATGGTGTTATGGTCAAGACCGAGGCTCGACGACCCTCCGCCCTCGCCATGCGGATTCGCGAGCACCTCTTTCTCTACGTCCTGGACGACTTCCGACCTCGGCTGCCAATCGCCATCTCCTGGCTCTCCGAAGAATGGTACGCCGACAAGATCGCCGCCAAAGCCTCGCCCGACAACGCTCTCCTGGCCTCCCTACCGAATTACACCCAATACTCCGAGCGCCTCCTCGACAAACTGGTCCAGTACCTCGACGCACGAGACCAGAAGCTCCTGATCCGCTTCCTCAGCGAGATACCCTCGGTGACGCGCGGCATCCTCGGCTGCGTCAAGGGCCTGGCGCGCGACCCAGAGCGTGTGGGCATGTTCGTCATGGCCATGCAGTACCTGCTCATGTTCCGCCCGCCCGCCAAGGAGCTGGTGCTCGATACCCTGCACGAGGTCTGGACGGAGGGCGATCCCCAGACGAAAGGCGCGGTCAGTAAAGTGTTGATGAGGTGGAGGCCCGAGGCGTTGAGGGACGGGATAGCGGGGAGTCTGAAGAAAGAGAGGGAAGGAGATGTGAAACGCGAGGTGAATGGATACGATGGCGCTGTGGAGGGGGAGGGAGAAGTGAAGAAGGATACGGCTCACGGAGGGGGGATCAAGAGCGAGCTTCCTGTTGGAGGCGAGTAGTAGTACTGGTATGCCAATTAAGTGAGCTGAGGCCCGGATCTGGAAGAGAGAGGGATTTGCCTGCCTCTGTACCACTACATTCAGTTTTTCTGGAGATGGGGAAACTTTTTCAAATATTTGGGCCTGTCTGTCACCGTGGCCTGCCCTTTGCCAAAATCCATCATCATCATCAACAACAAATTCACATTCCCCTTTTGCGTCGCTGCTCTGTGTGTTGCTGTCTTTGTGGCGTTTCTGTTTCGTCTCCAGAATCCTTGCCCGACAGCTACAGTACAGCAAAGACACACACGATTTGCACCAGGGGCCAGGGTGGTGAAGATCTACTAACAGGGCCAACCAACGCTTTACCGCATGATTTAAAAGATTGGAAGAAAAGATTCGCCAGCCCGGTCTCAATGGGACGACGACGACGACGACGACGACGACGACGACGACGATGATGATTCTCGGGCGCGAAGCGAGATTGAGAACGCCTGTCGTGACATGCTATGTAATTACAGATGCAAATGTAAAGTCACGATCGATGCGTGCTGGATCATAAGCCGTGTAGCTTGTGACACAAAACGCAAATCAAAATCAAGTTCAAGATCAAGAGCAACGTGGTGGCGTGGTGGCGTGGTGGGTTTTGATCGAGCTTGTGAAGTAGATAGGTCGGTCGGTCGGTCACTCGGTAGGTTGGTGAGTGCTCATTCATCGCTACTGCTCTGATACAGGCGCATGCATGATATACATCCAGCCAATAGAACAGAAAAGAACAGAGAGCCTGCGCCGATACCGGGGAGTTCTGCTTGAAATCGCAAACTGGTGCTTTTCCCTCGAGCCCTGGTGTGTCCCGCAACCAATGCGCCATTGTCGTGCCTGACTGCCTGCCTGCCTGCCTGCCTGCCTGCCTGCCTGCCTGCCTGCCTGCCTGCCTGCCTGCCTGCCTGCCTGCCTGCCTGCCTGCCTGCTTGCCTGTCGGCAATGCCGTTCGCTAAGACTCCTAATGCCTCCAAATGCCAAATCTAGTCCATCACCACGAAAGGAATTAAGGTATTACAGCATGAGGCCCCAATCCCAATCCTGCGACGTCATGTCCGCTCCCTGGCCCCAGCCCTGCATTCCCCCAGCACCTGCTTCACTACCTCCTCCTCCACTGCCGCCGCCGCCGCCACCGCCAGCGAAGCCACGCCCGCCCCAATGCGACAACAGGCCTTCGCCGCCCACAATGCCACCGTTGGTCAGCCGGTCGACGTACACGTCATATCCGTCGATCGCCGTGTCAATCTCCTGCATCCAGGGATCTGTTGGGCCGCCGTCAGCTGCGCCGGAGGCCTCGCCCATCTCTTCTTCCATCCCCTCTTGCACAGCCATCGGTATCTCAAAGCGATACTGCTGGCCTCCAGCAACGTTCTGCTGTTGCTGCTGTTGTTGTGCCTGTTGTGCCTGTTGCTGCTGTTGTTGTTGTTGTTGATGATGCTGCTGTTGCGGTGGCGGACTGCGGCTGAAGCCGCCTGCGCCGCGGCCGGCCTCCTCTTCCGGACTGGGGCGTGGCAGACTGTCGCCGCAGAGCCGGTAGAAGATGTCGCGGCATTTGTGGGCTGAGGGATTAATATTATTCATGGCGGTGATGACGTTCAGCGCCGTGAGGACTTGGGTACGCCATGCGGGCGCGTCGGCGTGCGTCGGCGAGCGGCGTAGGCAGTGGATGGGTATCAGGGCGGCTTGGAGGAGAAAGTATCTGTTGTTGTTGACAAGGAGTAAGCATTGTGAGATCAGGAGCGGTCTTGCAAGGGGCCAGAAGGAGGGGGAAAGGGGGGAGGGGTAGGACATACAGGACGTACCACGCTGCGAGGCGCGTGTGCGTTGCGGTAGTCCAGAAGCGGAAGAGGCAGGAGATACACTCGTCGGCGGCCGCGAGGCAGCGTTTGGTGGCGTGGTTCTCGGCGTCGGTGAATTTTGTGCCGTTGGGCAGCGGTGGTCCGGAGCCATCGAGGGGCGGGAAGCCGTTCTGCGCCCAACGCAGGAGGAAGGGACGGTACATAACCACGCGCATAACACGGTAGCGCCAGCGACCTAGAGAGTGGCCAAGAAACGTTTCGCTAGGGAGAGGGAGATCTTCGTCGCGGTAGTGGGCTGGCAGGCTCTTGCGCCAGCCTTCGATGCAGTCGTCATCCAGGGAGGTGAGCTCGTCGGCCGTGGGGACGGGCATCGAGATGAGGCGATCGTAGATACGCATTGTGCGCAGGTGGTAGGATGACTGGGTGGTGACATAGGTATAGACGGTGGCTTCGTTGACTTCAGGTGGAAGGTCGGTGGACGAGGCCAAGAGGTCGCTCTCGCGAATGTTAAGTGGGAATGGCGTATCGACACCAACACGAGGCCAATTGAGCGGCCGACCGTAGGTCACAGTAGCGCCAACGTCGAGGACGCAAAGAGACCACCAAACACGGCGGCGAATCTCCTTTTTGAGAGGGGTTGTCTGCCACCCGTGGACTTCTTTGTGTAGACCGAGAGAGATGGCGAGCCGAAGAGCGAGGCCGCCGTAGTTGTAGCCACTGTTTGGCCGGTTGCGTTTCTGGAGGTAGTTGGCGGCCATGGCGAAGGCTTGTACGAGACCGAGACTTCCGGCTTCAAGAGACTCGATGCTAAGAGAGCTCTTGACGGCGTTAAAAAGAGTCATGTGGGTGTCATCGGAGCATGGACTCGAAACGAAGGAGCCAAGGGCAGCTACCAAGTTGGCCAGGACATGCCACGAGCCTTTGGGGATATTATTTAGATTCCTGTAGTGTCCGCGAAAGGTCGGTTCGTGTAGTATTGGAAATGTGGGATGGTAATGCAGGAAGTAGGCATCGATCAGGGTGTCTACAAACTGCCGCGTGAGTAAGGGTTGCGCTCTGAGCGCGGGCCCTGGTGAAGCGTAGTCAGGGATGTCAGATAACTGGTGACCGCGATGTTCGCTCTTGAAGCCAGGATGGGAGGGGGAGGAGCCGTTGCTGCTGCTTGCGATAAGCCGGAGCAGCGAGGCCCCAGATACGGAGCCTAGGAAACCTGTATTCGTATCGTTGGCGGTCAAAGTGGCCATTCCATCGGTGAGTTTCGGTATTTCGGGGTCAGCGTCGAAGCTAGCAGTTCTCCCACGGGTATCTCCAAGCGTCCACAACGACTCTCGCTCGTCCCACTCGAAATCATCATCAGCTGCGAATGGCACGGCTTCGAACTCGTGGCCAGATTCTTCTGTGGTAACGGACCGAGAGGGCACCGGCCTATCAAAGTTGGAGTTGAAGTTGCCATCACGCTCGAGGTCCGCACTACTTGGCGACATGCTATCCCGTCGTCGCGAAGTTTTAGTTGTCTGAGCGGCTGTGTTCAGCATCGAGTCTGGGAACGAGCCCTGTGGTATTGACGGCAGGGGACCATCTGGGAGCCCCTGCGCCAGCATCTGGTTGACCTGAGCCTCTGTCAAGAACGTCCGCAACAAGCCCTCGGCGCGTTCCAGGCGTTCTTCGACTTCGGTGAGATGCCTAGGTTGTTCAAGTCAGCAATTGATTTTCGTTCAATACCCGAAAGGGCCGGCAGGGTATGACAGACTTTCTCGTAAGTGCCGATCTGCTGTGCTTGTCGTAGAGACAATGCCGATTGTATCGCTGACAGACCGAACAGACCGGCAACTTCCCATCACATTTTCCCTTGCGTCGCCGGCACTCGCGGCAGGCCTGTCCGGCGTTGGAGACTGACCGGCTGGGCCGCGGAGGCTCGGGAGCCATTGGCTGCGATGCCATGTTGAAGGGCGGATGCGATAATCCTACTGCAGTGGAATACCAGGAGCGTTGAATCGGAATCCGAGATTGAATGTGGGGAAGTGCAATGCAGTTTCTGGGCTCCGGGGAAGTCTGAGAGGTAACCCGGCTCGGCTGCACAACTGTCAACCCCGCAAATTGCACGGCCACAACATGGATGCCTGTCAGCGCAGTAGGCTGCGGATTAGCGTGCGTCGCTCCACGATATATGGCACGAACTGATCTAGGGTGGCTGATGGGATAGGTGGCACGACCGTACAGTAGGTAAGCCGTCGTGCTCCTGGAGAGACCAAGATTGGCCGAGCAAAGGCTTGGCAGCCGCGCACGATGCGGCGGGATGACAGAGCCGTGGTGGGGGTAGAGTGGGGGCCAGAGTGTCAGGTGCAGGGTATATTGTGGGGGTGAGAGGTTGACTGTGGCCCGAGTGATTTTTCATTCGCAAAGGTGACTGTTCGCCGTCGCGTATAGATCTGTGGGTCGTCGTCGTACGGAGGTGAGAGAACGCCTGCTCAGATACGCAGGGGCAGGCACGATGGCAGCCTATAAGAGGCCGACCGCAATGGTCTCGCCGGTGATGGCTGCACAAGTATCATTCAGTCAACAACAAGCAATTGCAAGCAACAGAATATCCTTAAGTGCTCAATCTAAAAGGCCACATCATGGGCTCAATATCGACAGCAGCTGAGATCTCTAAGGTCTTTGCTACTGCTCCGAACGCTTTTGGTCCACGCTAACAAAAATCGCAGATCGGGGTCATCGGTACTGGTGTGATGGGGAGCATGCTCTCGTTGCTCTTCGCTGAGCACGCTGACATTGACGTCTTCATTCACGATCGCTCTGAAAAGAGCATGCAGCTCACAGCCGAAAAGGCAAAGCATGCCGGACTGGAGAAAAGGATACATGTTTGCAAGGACTACGACACTCTTTGTGGAAGCCTGGGCTCACCCAAGGTCTTCTTCTTCAGCCTACCACACGGCCGCCCCGGAAACGCTGTTGTCGAGACCCTGGAGCCTTACCTACGTGCGGGAGATATCCTCATCGATGGCTCAAATGAAGACTTCTTGGTCACCCAAAGGAGACAGGCCGTGCTTCAGCCTCTGGGCGTGGCATACGTTGGCATGGGTGTTTCTGGTGGCTTCAGCGGCGCAAGGAATGGTCCCTCTCTAATGCCAAGTGGTGATGAATGGGCCCTGGATGCGCTCATGCCTTTGCTTACCAAGATCGCTGCGAAGGACGACCAAGACAGACCTTGTGTAACGAAGATTGGCAGCGGTGGCTCCGGTCACTACGTCAAGATGGTTCACAACGGCATTGAGCACGGCGTCATGTCCGCACTCACAGAAGTCTGGGGTCTCATGGATTCGAGCCTCAAGATGACTGGCCACGAGATTGCTGATGTGTTCGATGGCTGGAACTCTGCAGGAGAGCTGGTAAGTCATGTGTAAGACCACCCTGAGTCGGGCTCATCTGTCGCATAGAGAGACAACTTCCTCGTCGCCATCAGTGGCCCAATTTGCCGCACCATGAACGATACAGGCACCGATCACCTTGTTCACGACATCGGCGACGCCGTGGTTCAGGACGCCAACAATTCGGAGGGAACCGGCGTTTGGGCCAATCTCAACGCCGTCTTGGAGCACATCCCCGCCCCGAGCTTAACATCTGCACATTATCTCCGCGTTGCGTCCGCAAACGTCGTGCAGAGACGAGCCATCAATCGCACGCTAGGCACTGTCGTTCCAGAAGAGATTAATTTGCCCAGCGAACAGAAACCGGTGTTCCTCGAAGACCTCCGTCAAGCTGTGTACACGGCTGTCCTGACTTGCTTCATCCAAGGTCTGGACCTCCTCTCTTCAAAGTCCGATCGCGAAGGGTGGGGCATCAATCTCGAAGAAGTCTTACGAATCTGGCGGGCGGGATGCATCATCAAGTCCGACTACATCACCGAACTGTTCGAGCGCCACTACGCCCAGCATCCCGGCCAGCATCCATTGACGGGCCCCGAAGTCTGTGCGGAGATCAAGAAGAACTGGCCATCCTTGAAGCGCACTGTGTTGAAAGCCGTCCAAGTTGACGCCCACGTGCCAGCATTGTGCTCTTCCCTGGATTACCTAAAGTACATCGGTTCGACAGACCTACCAACGAGCTTCCTAGAGGCACAGCTGGATGCCTTTGGCGCTCATGGATATGAGTTGAAGACCGAGCAGAATGACGATATGTCCAAAGGGAAGCGACATAGCGAATGGTCACAGTAGGTGGTATCAGGAACTGGAGATCGAAAGGAGGAACATGACTCGACCAGGATGTAGACCAAGACTGGCGGCCCCTGATGGGTGTGACGGTGAACATTGTATCAAGTCAAGGGATGACTTGCCAGTAGAGTGCCACCGCCCTCTAGTCGTACTGCCAGGATTTACCAAGATCTTTGACGTCCAAGTGGCAGTGGTGTTGACGATGGCCTAAATCGTACTCAGGCACTAGTAAGCCTGACAGGAGGTTACAGAAGCAATAGATGTGAGTAGAGGAGCCATGCGCCCTTATCCGGCAGACTTTTCTGGCGTTCAATGCTCATGGAAGATCTAGATGTGGTCCAGTTCCATCGACGAGGGCGGATGCTGAGACTGTTTAGCTAGTCCGGACCTGCAGTATATAGCCGATACTTGCACCTGTAGAGAACACGATCGGGCGGTGAGGATGCTGTCAGCCTTCAGTCCCTGCAGAATGATGATATAGCCCGAAGGGGTTGATCGTGATGCGAGATGAGTTGGAGAAGTGCGCGTCATTGGAGGCATCCGATTGGTCGGGGACTCCGTTTCCGCCACGCTTTTTCCGAAATCTTGTTTTGACCTGGCCTGTTCCTTGGCGTCTTGACCTCCTTGACGTCGCCTTCAGCTGGGTTGGCAATTGCTTATAACCTGTCAAGAAGCACGCGTTATTTCTTGACCATTTCGCTTAGTGATCAATGGATCTAGGCAATTGAGAATAACATTTCAGAATGCGTAAGCAATCAGCTGGCACGGATGGACGTCGCATGTGCTAACTCTTGCAGACCGAATCAAAAACCACGCGCATTCGTCCGCGAAGACGCACAGATTCAATCCCTGGTCTAAGGATCCTGGTGTTGCTACTGCTGCTGGACTTCCTCCTACAGCCAACGGCGATGGCGAGCCCGAGAAGTCGACGACCAAAGTCCCTCTTACACGTCGGTTCACGAAGAATCTGCGCACCATCTTCTTGCGATCGTGGATCAACATTCTTCTAGTGTTTGTCCCTGCTGGAATTGCCGTCCACTTCGCCAACGTCGATCCAAATGTTGTCTTTGCCCTCAACGCTATTGCCGTCATTCCCCTAGCAGGTCTGCTCACCTTTGCCACCGAGTGCGTTGCTGCAAAACTCGGCCCCACCCTGGGCGCGCTGCTCAATGTTTCCTTCGGCAATGCTGTCGAGCTCATCATATTCATCATCGCCTTGGTGAAAAACGAGATCAGGGTTGTTCAGGCTGCGCTCATCGGCTCGATCCTTGCAAACTTACTTCTCATCCTTGGCATGGCTTTCGTGGTTGGCGGCCTCCAATACCGGGAGCAAGTCTACGATAGCTTGGTGACGCAGATGTCGGCAGCTTTGTTGGCGCTTGCGGTGCTAAGCTTGCTCATTCCAACAGCCTTCCACGCCTCCTTCAACGATCTAGATATGGCAGACGAACGAGTATTGAAGCTAAGTCGGGGCACGTCAGTCATCTTACTGATCATGTACCTGCTGTACCTGGCCTTCCAACTGAAATCGCACTCGTACCTATATCGGGGCACCCCTCAGCACGTCATCGACGCCCAAACTCAGCCTGGAATTGGACCGGGTATCCTGGCGAGAATGAATTCCTCCAGCTCCTCTACCTCATCCTCTACATCCATCTCATCAGCGACAGGATCGCAGCGTCGTGTCAAGAGAAAATTGAGGATCTCCAAGCTTGGCAAGCGCAGGTCACCAGAGGTCACGCCAGACGAAGAAGGCTGGACCGAGGAGAAAGCTGAGCAGAGCAATCAGAAGACTAAGGAGCAGACTAATAATCCAACCAAGGGAAAAGAGGTGGCGCTGGAGCCCGCCGCCGCTACTGCCTCCGGAACCTCTGCTCGACCGAAGATGGGACTTAAGCAGTTCTCCTTCATCCCCGCTCCACCCGTGTTCCGCTCTCAGGACAACTCGCTCCAGCGCTCCTACAGCGACTACCCGATCCGTAGGCTGCGATCGGACCCTCGCCAATGGAAATCTGACAACATTACCCACTCTCCCACAATGATGTCGTATAATGAGAAGCACTCAGAGCAGCAGCCAGAGACTGAAGAGCCCGAGCTTACCAAGATGGCGTCAATAGTCCTCCTATTGTGCTCCACAGGACTGGTTGCTCTATGTGCTGAGTTCATGGTGGGATCGATTGAGCATCTGGTCGAGAACAGTCCTCTCTCTGAAGCATTCGTTGGCTTGATCATCCTACCCATCGTCGGAAATGCCGCCGAACACGTCACTGCCGTCACCGTGGCTGCGAAGAACAAGCTGGACCTGTCGTTGGGCGTAGCTCTCGGCTCATCCATCCAGATCGCCTTGTTCGTCACACCGCTCGTCGTGATTCTCGGCTGGATCCTGGACAAGGAGATGAGTCTGTACTTCAACCTTTTCGAGACCGTGACGATCTTCGTCTCGACCTTCGTGGTCAACTTCCTGGTGCTGGACGGTCGCAGCAATTATCTCGAGGGTGCATTGCTGTGCGCATGTTATGTCATCATTGCAGTGGGTGCCTATCTTTTCCCCGACAGCGAAAGTCAAAGTCCTAGTACAGCTGGGCCTGGTGGAGGATAGAGTCTGCATCGGAATTCTAGCAGGGTAGAACATTACTTCTTCGTGGCTTAGTTATTTCTAGCAAATATGATAGTCGGAGCTTCGGTAACGACTTCTGCATACATGCACCTTGCTCCCCACTCGTCATTTCACAAGGGCGATGATTCTGTCCCATTCAATTTGACAGTCTAGCACTATTTCCAGTATCGCCTTGCCCTGTGATGGCATGGTGTTCCAACCGTTCGTGCCACAACAGATGCCAAGACTTATTAGGGGACCGTTGGCTTTGGCTGAGCACTCACGGTTGCCTTGATCTTTTCCAAACGAGATCGTCGGGATCACAGCCTCAGCACAGCATCGCAACCCCTGGTATATCCTACTGCCTATGCACGGATCACGATGTCTCTCATCTTGCAACACGGCTGAGTCTTTCGCCCTCCTTGCTCGGTCGCATAAGGTGAGTACACCGCAGCCTAAGCAAGCTCGGCCAATCGAAGCGGTGTCAATCGGATATTGCCCAGACAGCTCGTAGTCCTGGCTGGAGAAAATGTACTTGAAATCTGCTTCCCCATATTTGATGAGGATCCAAGGTGTTGACGGCCTGCAGTCCAAACACGCGATGGTCCTGGACTGATTAGCGCTTCTGGGCACAGCCCCATCTCGAAACACTAGCGTCACCACGATGCTGTATTTAGTCTCAACTTCGAACGGTCGGACTCACAGCAGGTTGAGCTACTTTGCGTCGAACGTTGCCCATTATCAGTAGATGTGAAGGAGACGTCCTTAGAAGGGTTGATGACAACTTCTCAAGAAAACAATGTTGCGAATATGAGCGATCATGGTCATCCCACTCGCAGGGCGGACCACCAGCCAGACGACAATCACCCGGAACACGAGCTGACAGTATTCAGCTCATCAGAGAGCGTCAAAACGCCCGTGTACGCCGAAACCATATCGCTTCTCGACACTAAGTCCACCAACACCCAGGGGCGAGAAGAAGATGCGGATGCACCACCGACCAAGAGTAAAACGAACACGAAGCGCCTCTCGGGATGGAAGGTCGGCGCGGTCACGGGCGCCGGCCTAGCGACCATCGCCCTTGCGCTCAATGTCGCCGCTCTCGTCTGGCTGCAGCAGCACCCGGCCGAAAGCACCGGCCTCGTGGAGGTCTACAGGGGCAGCTGCCAAAAGGTCGAGGATATGCAGATGTGGATGCATTTTGCCATCAACGCCTTGAGTGCGGTACTCCTTGCGTCCTCGAATTACTGCATGCAGGTGCTGTCAGCACCCACGCGTGCCGAGATAGACAAGTCGCATGAATCGGGCAAGTATCTCGACATCGGTGTTCAAAGCATTCGCAACCTGTCAAAGATAGCGCCTTGGAGGGTCTTTATCTGGGTCGTGATAGGCTTGAGTTCTGCGCCGCTCCACTTGATGTAAGTATACGAAGGTATCCTTGGTGGGTCGAGAGGTCTAACGAGGGCAGGTACAATTCAGCCTTCTACTCATCGATAGCGGCCAACAGCTACGAAGTGTTCTTCATGACGGGCGATTACGCGAGCTACAGAGCCGACCAGGGCATGCCGCCCGACGGATCAGCCGGTCGTTACGATATGAGCGCATCTGCAGCGCGTCTTGAGGAACTCGTCGGCATGACGCCGGGTGCGGGAACACTCGAGCTTCTTGATCCGGGAGCGTGTCTCAATGCTTATGCGAGACCTCTGGTCACAGATCGGTCCAACCTGATTGTTGTCACGAAAGGCGAGAGCGAAGGACTCAATGGGACGGCCTTGATCCGGGAGAAGCTGTACAACTTCCCGAGCTCGATCGCAAATGGCCGCACGCAATACGATCCTTATGGATGGTCAGTCACCCTGTCCCACCTTTCGAGAAACATTCCCCTAACCAACGCAGGGTTTGTCATCGCTCTGACAAGATGATGAACCGTTTTGGTGGCAGAGATGCCACAGAGCTACGCCCATGTGACGCGTGGGTCGACAAGATCAAGAACGACATCGGTGCTTGGACTCCGCTAGACTACTCGGTGGATTTCTGCCTTAGCGAGTCAATCGAAGAGCGCTGCAGCTTCAACGGAAACATGCAGATCCTGGCCGTGGTCATCACTTCCAACGCGCTCAAGATCGTCTGCATGCTGATCGTCGCGTTTGGCCTTGGGACCAATCAGCTCATCACGGTTGGCGATGCTATTGCTTGCTTTCTAAAGAAGCCTGATCCCTCCACGCAAGGCTACTGTCTCATGAGCAAGCGGGATGTGATCGATTTTTATAGGCTCAGCGAGGCCACAAACGACTCTCAGGACCTGTTGAATACGCATTTGCACACGAGCAAGGCTGCAACGGGAGAAAACCATCGCTGGTCCAAGGCAGCCAGTCGCGCCCGATGGTCGTGGACCATGGGAAGCATCCTTCTCGCATTGCTGGTCGTGGGCGCGTTCTTCGCCATTGGCGCTGCCGTATTTTTCCAATTTGGTGTTCCCTTCTCGGAATTGGGCTTCGGAAAACTTCACCCGGCCGCGATCATAACGGGCATGAACAGTGGATACCAGGGCTCCTATAGCACGGAGGTGTTGAACTCCGTCTTGATGGCCAACGCTCCACAGCTGATTCTGTCGTTCCTCTATCTGCATCTAAACTCGCTGGTGACCTGCATGTGGCTGGCCAGCGAGTGGAACGACTTTGCCTCCGAGCGCAAAACCCTCAGAGTGAGTATACCCGAAGGGGATCAGAGAAGCACGTACAGACTACAGTTGCCCTACCGGGTGGCAATACCCTTGATGATCGGCTCTGGTCTGTTACATTGGCTGATCTCGCAATCGCTGTTCTTGGCCGTGGTGGCTGAATACGATTGGGACGGATCGCTCCAGGACCCGATTGCGATTGCGACCTGTGGCTACTCGCTCACTCCAATGATTGTCCTCCTTTCTCTGGGAATTGCAATATGTGCCGGAACAATCTGGCTGGGCAGAGGGAGGTATCTCGGTGGTCCAGGGTTTATGCCTTTGGCAGGAAGTTGTTCGCTGGCGATCGCGGCCGCCTGCCATGCGCCTGAAGAGGAGAAGGACGCGCCTTTGAAAGCCGTCATGTGGGGTGCGGTACCTGAACCCAAGATCGAGTTTCAGAATAAGATAGACGGGAGTGTTGTTGGTCATTGCTCCTTCTCGAGCAACGAAGTTGAGCAGGTGGTGGAGGGGAAGATGTACGCCTAGGGTGAAGTGGCGGGTAGGTACTATGAAGATGTAGCTGCCAAGCCCAGCCGATCCCTTCAAAATGCCAAGCCCCTCTCTGTTACGTCGTGAATGCCGGTCGTCGTTTGTTCATTCTACCTGTCAACTGTGCATAATTCTCTCATCTCAATCTATCTATGTCTAAAGCGTCTGTTTGCGGCGAGTCATATATCGCGCCTTGCGCCGAACAGGTCCCCGTGGCTGCGCTAAAACTCTGTCCCATCGTGATCGGACAAATCCTTTGCCAACACCTCGAACTCGGATTGTCCTGTCCACAAAGCGGCTAGTGTAGCATTACAACATGAGAGAGAGCGTATTGTGAGTATGGAATCGTCTGAGAGACCCCTCAAACGCATCAGGCAAGCATGCGAGCCGTGCCGGCGCAAGAAATCACGCTGTCCTGGGGAGAAGCCGGTGTGCTCCCATTGCGCGCGGCTGGGACAAGCGTCATCCTGTGCATATGCAGTCGATCGTTCTGATGTGACTGTGAGTCGGTCCCAATCACCGGATGGTCATCATACGTCAGAACGACTTAATGTGCTCGAGCGAGGCATGGCGCAAATTCATGAGCTCCTCAGTGCGCAGCAGCACGTCCAATCTATTTCGCAGCAAGCTCCCGCCTCAACAACCCACGCATCCGCTGCACCTTTGACTGTGAATGGTCATCCGTCCGGATGGACTTCCTCAACCAGGATCGAATCAGCTGCAGAAGTCTACGCCCTCTACTGTGACTGCCAGCCGCTTCCTTTGCTCGCGGACCTCGAGAAATCGAGTTTTGCGGCAAGAGACACTGGACTACAGCTAGCCGTAGGCTTACTTGCTGGCCGCTTTGATCGAGATGGGCGCCATATCGTCAGACCTACACAACAGCAACAGCAGCAGCTCCACCTTCTGCGAGCAACTGTCATGCAAACGATAGCCGAAGGTCCTGTAGAGCTCTCCACCATCCAAACTCTGTGTCTCCTCTGTCTGATCGAGTTCAACGATAGTTCTCCGGCTCGAGCCAGTACTTACAGCTCTTTGGCCATGGACTTAACATTCTCAGCCGGCCTTGCCTCTGAATATTCTCGATCGGGACTGGCTGACTTTGAGGAACGTCGGAGATGCTACTGGAGTGTTGTGATACTGAAGAATCTATATGGAAACATGGCTGGAACGTTTTCATTCCTACCCAGCGACTATACTCCAAAACACCCAACAAGCACGCAGCCGCCGGCCGGGTCCAGTTCAAATATTACGGAGCCTGGACTCCCTCAGCCTGATGATTCTTTGACAGGCAGAGCGACCACGCAGGACCTGGGCATCCTTGCCTACATGACGTCAATGAGCGAGCTGTGGGCAAAGACTATCCGCTACGCGCAGCGGCGAGGCAAGAGTCAACAGCCTCCGCCTTGGGCCACCGAATCGGAATACCAGCGCATCATGGCCCAGCTAATGGAACTTGAGACCAAGATGCCCTACAAATATCGCTTCAAACCGGCCCGTTTCGCCGACTACACTACTGCAGAGCTCCAATCAAGCCGCACCTTCTGGTCACCATGGCTAGTGAACCAAATGCTCTATCACTCTCTGCTATGCCTCCTGAACCACCCGTTGATCCTTTCTCTGCAATTGCGCAATTTTAGGATGACAATGGTGCCCGAGGTCTTTCTCCAGCACACTGACGATCTTACTCAGACTCATACAAACTGGGTGATCCACTTGATAGATCAGGTAAAAGCAAAAGACTTCCGGCTGACCGACCCATACCCAGCATATTGCGTGGCCATCGTGGCGACCATATTTCTTCAGCAAAGCTATGCAGACGACGACGAGGTTAGGACCAGCAAACAGGAAAACTTCACGAAATGCTTGGAGTTTGTGCGAGACCTCGGTGCATATTGGCCTAGGGTAGCGCAATTGGTAGGATCGAGCTCTTAGCTCTTAGGTCTCTGCTAACCCAACATGTAGGGTAACAAGGTCGAACAGTTCCAGCAAGTTGTTTCTACATCGTCGCAAAATGCAGCGAACGCACCCGATGGCAAGCATTACATCGATCTCCGGCTCTTCTGGGAAATCATTGAGTCATGTTTCACAACAGAGCTGCCAGCTGGGCCGGAACCATACTTCGGAACCACGCTGTTGGCGCACCGAGCGACCCGATCCGCAGACGTGGTGAACGGACGACTACTTCCTCCTCCCACTCGTCTAGATCGCGGTGCATCTGCGGCAAACACACCCAGCCAGAGATTGATCAATCCCGGCTTTGAACAGTTACAGCACAGTTTACCCGTGGTCGATGACCAGCTCAGCGTCCTAGCACAGAGCTATTTTGCACAAGGACAAGATTTTGTGAACCTTGATGATTGGTGGTACCCTGAGCAGGGCGTGTAAGCAAGCACGAGCATCCACTACCCAACCATCAATGGAAGGCGATAGTGGTCATGTCTAGCGAGATCTCATGCCGCCGGCTTCAATACCTCCCCAAATCACGGCTCGCATCCAGTGCCAAGCAGATGGTACGACCGTTATCGGATTTTCGCCACGGGCCACTGACTTGGAAGACGTCCGCACGGCTCTGCGAAGACACATGGCTCAAGGCCCGTTAGCGGCCGAGAGCATGCTGGGTGGGCCGGTGGAATATAGGGTGCGACTGAAGCTAACGGACTGTTCCGCCTTGTGCCGTACCCGCTACCGAGTTTGTGCTGCGGGCGTTACAGACCACATTAACATGCTACTCTGGATTTATGAGATCGCTCAACACTGGACTTTGCGCCCTTGAGATTTTTTGAAATTTGGCCGACGATTGTCAAATGCCAAACATGCCTACCACAGAGTTGAAGCCCCATGACTTGCTCAGATCCTACGGCTTATCTGAAGCATTGGGCTTCCTCCCTCACACTGCACCGTTACGAAGGCTCACACCGGCCTACTATGGTCCTTGGGAAGATGCTGTCGGGGATCTCCCAAAGCTCATTAATTCGCGAAAGATCCGGTCAACCGTGGACAAGATTCCTCTTCTGGAGACTTCGTACCTGAAAACCGAGCAAGAGTGGCGGAGAGCCTACGTCCTGCTTGGGTTCCTCACACAGGCATATATCTGGGGTGAAGACACACCGGCACAGGTTCGTGAAAGTTTGATATCGTCATGGTCCTTGTTGTTGACTATTTCCAGCGGCTGCCACCACAGATTTCCATACCGTTTCTCACAGTGTCGAAGTATCATGACTTGCCACCCACCGCAACATACGCAACCCTTGTCTTGTGGAACTTCGCCTTCCAGTCACCTCTATGCGACGTTACCAACCCTGTCAACCTTCGCTCGCTCCAGACCGTCACCGGGACCAAGGATGAAGAATGGTTCTACCTCATCTCAGTGGCGCTCGAATCGCGCGGCGGACCTATCATTCTGGAGTTGCTCAATTGCATCGAGGCTGTGAGAAGGCGTGACACGGCGGCAATCGTGACACATCTGGAGCGGACAACCTTGAACGTGCAGAGAATTGGAGCTCTCCTAGAGAGGATGTATGAGCGCTGCGATCCTCAAACATACTACCATGACATCCGTCCGCTCCTGGCCGGGACTAAGAACATGGCTACTTCTGGGCTGCCTAATGGCGTGCTCTTCGACGAAGGAGACGGTCGTAGCCAATGGCGGCAGTACAGCGGCGGTAGCAACGGGCAAAGCTCACTCATTCAGTTCCTTGACATTGCGCTCGGAGTTGAGCACCACGCGACTGGCGCGCCTCGAGGGCGCTCCACCCAAGAAGGCGTGAAGTCGAAGGCAAATGCGTACATCAAGGTAATTGCTACCTCTCTTCGACAGAAGCTGATATCACTGACACGCCTGGTAGGAAGTGCGGAACTACATGCCTGGGGCGCACCGGGATTTCCTCGTCTCCGTTGAGAAGATTGCCAACATTCGCGAGTATGCAGTGTCTGGTGATGCACCTGAAGCCGTTCGTAGGGCATACAGCGAGACCGTGACAGAACTGTCTAAGTTTCGGGACAAACACATTCAGATCGTCACGCGGTACATTATCACACCGTCGAAAACGCCGGCCGCGGCTCATGTGAAGAGGAAGACGGGCGTGAACCTGGCAACGGCAACCTCGACCGCCAGCACATCTGCCGCCGAGGGTCCAAAGTTTTATGGAACCGGAGGGACGGATCTCATTCCTTTCTTGAAACAGACTCGGGATGAGACGAAAAGTGCAGCCTTGGCCTAGTGTACCGTAGCCAGATAGATGGAACTTTGTTGAACACGTTGACAAGACCTTGTGCGCTACCTGCTGTGCAAGAAGAGAGAACATCCTGTGGTTGGAGCAAGGAGACAGGAGGCGGACCGCATCCGCCTCCGTATCCGGCGGCTAGCTGACGTCAAGACCTGCTAGGCAGTGAAAATCTTGGCACGGAGGCAACGAGGCGGCGGCTGGCCACGGTACATGCGCTGCACTTTTTCACCAGCCGGTTACATCGTCTGTTGGTTTCCTCTGCACATTATGTCACGATTCCGGATACGGAAGATCAACCGTATCCCAGACTAAGGATATCCTCTGGAGGATTTAGCCGCCTTGGGCAGGTGACAAGACTCGTTGGACCTTCTCACTTCGCTTCATAAGAACGGTCCTCGGCATTGCTTCGTCCTTCCAATACAGCTTGATCATCCTCACAAGAACTTTGTAACCATGTCGCCGCCTTCAATCGCTCAACTACTTCCGCAGGCGGAAACACGTTCTGCCGCCACCAAAGATGGAAGCCATCCACAGTCTCAATGCCCGAAGCAACACCACACTTTCCCCTCAGAAGCTGACTCTCTTGCCTACGCCCAGTCCCTCGATGCGAATTGTCCCATGCGCAAATTCCGCAACGAGTACATCATTCCTTCCAAAGACAACCTAAAATCCAAAGATATCAAGGATCTGTCGGTACCAGCTGATCCTACCGACCCGGCCATCTATTTCTGCGGCAACTCTCTCGGCCTGCAGCCCAGGCGAACAGCCTCGTACATCAGCACTCACCTCAATCTCTGGTCTCACCTCAATGTCCACGGCCACTTCCGCCCCGTGGCCTCCTCTCCGCTCGCTCCTTGGCAAGAGCTGGCAGACCAGGCATCCACACTGTCCGCGCCCATTGTCGGTGCGCAACCCTCTGAAGTCTCCATGCAAAACACCCTGACTGTGAACCTGCACCTGCTTCTTGCTTCTTTCTACCAACCTACGTCCACCCGCCACAAGATCCTGCTCGAGCATCATGCCTTCCCCTCGGACCACTACGCGGTCGAATCTCAGATTCAATGGCACGGCCGCGATCCCGCCGAATCCATGCTTCTCCTGCGCCCCAAAGAAGGGGAGCATGTCCTGTCTACGCAACAAATCCTCGACACCATCACACAGCATGCCGACGAGATTGCCCTCATCCTCCTCCCAGGCATTCAGTACTACACCGGCCAATTCCTCGACATTCCCACCATCACCGCGCACGCGCATTACCACAATCTCCTCATCGGCTGGGATCTCGCACATGCAGCAGGAAACGTGCCACTGCAACTGCACGACTGGGACGTCGACTTCGCCGCCTGGTGCACGTACAAGTACATGAACTCCGGGCCCGGCGGCATGGGTGGCCTGTTCGTACATGACCGACACGGCAAAGTCGAGCGATCCGCCACCACAGACACCGACGACGGCAACGACACCACATCCAACCTGAAGTTCCGCCACCGTCTGACAGGCTGGTACGCAGGCGACCGCGCCAGCCGCTTCAACATGGACAACCGCTTCGTGCCCATCGAGGGCGCCAAGGGCTTCCAAGTCAGCAACCCCAGCGCCATCGACCTGGCCAGCCTAGTGGCCTCGCTTTCGGTGTTTGCCGAGACCAGCATGGCCGATCTGCGCGAGAAGAGCCTCAAGATCACCGCGTACGCCGAACACCTGCTGGGCACGGATGTGCCGATGCTAGACTCGGATAAAGGCCCGGCGTACGAGATCATCACCCCCCGGGACCCAGAGCAGAGGGGCGCCCAGTTGAGCGTGCTGTTCAAGAAGGAGGGGCTGCTTGAGAAGGCGGGCGAGCGGATGCAGCACGAGGGCGTCGTGGCGGATCAGCGCAAGCCGGACGTGTGTCGCGTGGCACCTGCGCCCATGTATAATTCGTACGAGGAGGTCTGGAGGGTTGTGCGCATTATCAAGGAGGCGTGTCGCGCTTAGGAATGAGATCAGCTACGGCGGGTGGACCATGCTAGGAATGCCGTGGGAGTTGATGAGATAGGGGGTCAGAGGTCTGCAGGCTTCATGCGGTCGATTTAGGCGCGCGTGTGTGTGCATAGCATGGCGTTTCAATGGCTTCCATGTGTATCAGACACGACTACAACGAATACAGAAGCATAGCGCGGTACAATACAGAATCGAACGATCAATTAGATCTTTCTTTATCGAACTTCAAGCCGTAGCCGTTGGACATCGACAGGCCTGCGTGGTCTGACATACAAACAAAACACAATGTTGGAGTGCCTCTTGATCATGATCAACACCTCACATGATGGTATGGTGGCGACGATGTTTGTGCAGCCGCCCTAGCCAAGCGCATGTCAATGTGATGCGACTTGGGCTGACTGACCTGATCGAAACCTAGCTGTGGCATCGCTGTGGCAGCGCAGTGGTAGAAGAGACTGGGGAGGAAGTCTGGAGAGTGGCTCCGGGCATGTCATGTGTGGGGTGGCGGGTGGTGGGGGCGGCAGCGCCCTACCTATTGATTGTACCATATGTAACTTGAGCATGGTACGGGATCTATGATAGTCTGGCTAGACGAGACGAGACCGGAAACAGTCCGGAGCACAACACCAATCATGACTGGGTTGAGAAGACGATCGAGCAACGGAATTTGCCTTGCCTTGATTTGACCTTGATCTTGACCTAGGAGGGATTTATAAGCTGTTGGAATTTGGGGGCTAACGGTTCTACAGTGTACTACAGCAGAGGAAAATACGGGCTGACCAATAAAGAGAGGCACCGTAGTGTGTAGAGTCACATCACGGTATCAAAAGTATATAAGAGATCCGTCGTGAAAGCGTCAAAAGGCGTGGCTGGCTGGCTACTGGCTACTGGCTACTGGTACACCGCTGGCTGCTGCCTATGCTGCCTCTACAAGTGGTCATCACTAGAGAAGCCACGCTGATAATCATCACCATCTGTAGTCTCTAAACTACACAACTCTGGGTCATTGTCTGCTGAGATGGCCACAACAAAAGTCTTCCTGTCCGTTACCCCCTCTCACGCCACATCCACGTCGAGCTCGCTGACACACCCACGCCCCCAACAGGACCGGCGCCTCAGGCTACCTAGGCGGCGAGACCCTCTACCAGCTCTCGCGACTGGCACGACCCATACAGCTGCGCTGCCTCGTACGGGACGCACAGAAAGCGGCGGCCATCAGCGAGGCATACCCCACCGTCGGCATCGTGCCGGGCGATCTCGATGACTCCGGCTTGATCGAGCGGGAAGCACGCGACGCGGACGTCGTGCTCCACCTCGCGAGTACGAAGCACGAGGGCAGCTCGCAGGCCATCGTGGCGGGGCTCAGTAGCAGTCGACGCCGGCAGACGCCGACGCCGGGAGGGCGGCACTGGATCCAGATCTCTGGCGCGTCCATGTTCAGCAACGCTGAGGTCCAGGCTGGTAGGTATGGCGAGCCGAGCGACAGGGTGTACGACGACGTCAGAGACGTCGCGGAGATCATTCACGAGGTTATCAGGTCGAATCCGGCGCGGGTGGTGGATATCCTGGCCCTCGATCAAGATGCGGCCACGGTTCGGACGGCGCTCTTGCCGGGGCCCCTGATTTACGGAGAAGGTCGTGGACCGCTGAACAAGCGCAGTATACAGGGCCCCGAAGTGGTGGAATACACGCTGCGCAACGGACGGTCTTTCGCCGTGGGCAAGGGACAGGCCGCGTGGAGCAACGTTCACGTCAGTGATGTTGGCGCCATGATTGTTCTGCTGCTTGAAGCAGCCATCGATGGCCGCGATGGGCTGTGGAATCAGGACGGCATCTTCTTCCCGGAAGCTGGGCTTATGGTAAGTTTCAGGAACCGTCGACGAACCGAGAAAAACGCAGCTGACTGTTTTTTCAGTCTTTTGGAGACATCGCGAAACGCATCTCACAGGCCGCGGTTGAAGCTGGACTCATCGCTTCCGACGAGGTCAAGAGTTTGACGCCAGAAGAGGCCGACCAGTTCAGGCCGCACAGTGCTGTGCTATTCGGAACTAATGCGCGACTCAAGTCATCTCGAGCGAGGCGCGATCTGGGCTGGAGCCCTTCGGGGCCGGCACTCGAGGACACCATTGTCGCTGCTGTGCAAGAGGAGAGTAAGAGAGTCAACAGCGGTTAAGCTCTGCTTTGATCATAGCTGGATGTCGATTTGTCAGGTCACCAGAAATGAGCAGCACGATCGAATTGAACACCGACGAAGGGTTTCCTCCGACACCTCAGCACTTTCATTTGTAAAGAACATCAGGATCTCTCTTTGTTCGGTCAACCCCTTGGGGGCAATTAGGACGCAGTCGTTAGCTCCCTCGGAGACAATAGCCGACCCACGATGATCAGACAGCCGAATCATCGTACCCCTAGCTTCGATGCGCTAGACGTGACAATTTCTCCCACGTGCTTCTGCAGGACTGTGCAATTTCCTGCAGATTTGCTGCCAATCCCTCGTGTCCGAAAAGCCTGTATAGAAAGCCAGCAACGATATAGAGCCCAAAACCCGCATACAGCGCCAAGTGGCTCATGCCTGACCACGGGTACATGCCGATAATGAAGGCACAGGCGTAAAATCTGATCAGCTTTAAAATATGGTATAAAAGTTTATGACCAGTATTGCCGTGCCCAAGAGATTCGATTAACAGAGAACTCAATACAAGCAGGACTGGGAAGAGGGCCACGGTGAGTGGTGGCCAGGACCACCACGATCCTCGGTCAGGTATGAAGATGGCAACGAGCTTGTCGTTTCCCAGCGAGTATGCCAGGACCGTGACAAGGATATAAAACATCAGTTGCACCATGATTAGAAAGACGAGCCCTTGATACCAGAGGCTCAAGGCAAGAAAATCGACATTGGGATCATCATGAACTCCATCGGCAGGATGGGTGTACATTGCACCGACATCAAGTAATGTAAGAGTTCGTCGGGGTGAATGCAACGGCGGCGCGGCGGAGACCACTCCACTCGCAGACGTTGTTGGGCCTGACAGACCCGAAACCGATGAAGGCGTCAAGCGATGAGTCGTAGGCGAAATAGGCAGAGTTTGGGACCGGCGTATGGAGGGACAAATGGCCGTTCCAGCGTCCACAGAGCTCACCAGTGTCGCTTGTGTCGTGCCACTGGCGCCGGCCGCAGACGGCGAAGAAGATTTGCGGTGCGCAGGATCGTGGCGTCCTGTCGAGTCAGGCCCAGTCTTTATAAGAGACGCAACAGGGTTCTGTCATGAGCGGTGGCCACTTACCCGAGAAAATGTACTGGATGACTGCAAGCAGAGGAGCTGCAAGCAAGACAACAGGTACTATTTGACCGAATGCTATTCAGTGGTTGAATCAGTTCCATGTCCGGACGGGGCTCGTAGGGATGCAATGTCACTCGTGGCGCAGATTTCGTGGTACTGCGGACCAGGTCCCAGGACAGAGACTCACTCCAATCACCAGGGTCCTGTGGATATAGCGTATATGTTGCGAAAAAGCGTAACGCCCCCAAAGAAAACTCGCACACAGCCATAGCACCTGGAGAGGAATCCGTTCTGTCAGTCGTGGTAACAGTCCTAGAGACAGAGCATATATCATGCAAGCAAGAGATACTCACCTCACAATACATTGAGGACCAGCACTCCACGAATACTCTCCCAGATAGGAATACTGCGAGAAGTGGACGATAGACAAAGAGTCTGGCCAAGCTGTTGGGTGTCTTTGCAACGTCGCACCACTGATACAGTCGGAGGAGCGCTCCTCTCGCGCGTTTACTGACTCCCTTCCGTGCCCTGTTGACGACGTCAATAGAGAGTGTTTTATGAAGTCTGATAACACGCGACAGAAATCCTAGTCCGACCAGCAATACGGAAAGTATCATAGAGCTGTAGGTGAGGTCGTCGATATCCGTTGTTCGTTCATAGTAGCACACTGCAGAATCAACGGGACGAGGCCTCAGTCCACTGCAGTCGCCTTCGTTGAAGTCACTTGAGACGCCCCAAAAGCCACTGCTCCAGTCGTAATTTCCTGTGGGTACCATGGCAACAATTAGCATAGCAGCAAGCAGACTCATCAGCACCAAGCGCCACGATCTTTCACCCTGGTGATTATACAGATAGTTCCTCAGAAATGTCAAACAGGCTTGATGAGTCAGGCTGGAGAACCAGGCTAGATAGACGAGAAGCTGCCAGTGATAACACTGCAGGCCCGAACGAAGTTGGACAAAGCCGCTAATGAGGATTGAGATGCCGGTCAGAATCTGCAGGTCACTCATTGAGAGCACGCACTGTCTAGTTGGAACAGAGCCGATATGCGGGGTTCGTACGTTCACGTACCTGTTCTAGGGCGGTTTGAAGAGGGGTGTCACGACGTTGTTTGGGCTTATCGGTAAGCTGGACGACATGCCCTCCCGACAAGGACGCCCTGAAGACCGCGCTCAGGTTAGAGAAGATGAGGTCACATTGGTTTGAGCGTGAGTAGGCGGATATGACTGAATTATCGTCTCCCCTTATGCGAAAGGGATCTTCGGTCGCGTCAAAAGTTCGGGCATAATACACAACAATGATAGCGACGACTAGGGCAGCGGAGCCCATGTACCCGATAATGACCTGGTTGCGATCAGTGAAAGCCGATGGGTAATATAGCCTGGCCATACGCCGATGCCTGATATGTCGCCGTAAGGCTCAATGCTGTGTGGGCAGCTAGCACAATCGTAAGCGCTGGACGTATCGTTTGACATGATTGTGCGTGGTGTTATTCCACTTCGTACGGGTCTCTACCCAAGGCTACAGATCGGAAAGCTGAAGGTGAACTTGATCAGGCTGAGATTCGAGGCGGCGCAAGTATATATGGCCGGCCTCGACGACTGGTGTTAGCATGGAGTGTCCTCGCCAGGACCCTTGTTGCTCCAATACCAGCATCTGGGACAGTGTTGCGCCTGCAGCAAAAAGTCTTCGCCAGGCTGGCGGCACAGTCTGACTGGTGGTGATTTGGGCACTAGGCAGCACAGTCCGGGCACATCAATGGTGAGTCTTAGCCGGATTGGCTCTCTGCCCATTGCAAAGTTCCAGGGGCATATGGTAGTGATTCTGGGACACTGAGGTTCCATAACAAACTCGTTTGTCTGGCAGCACTCGCGACGATGCCACTGTGGCCAGATGTAAGTTGTTGAGAATTCATTGAGGCAAGAGGGAACAATGCAGGTACCACGCGGGGCGACGTCGGCGGTGAAGCTCCAGGGTGCAGGTGCAGGTGCGGGTGGAGTCACTCGGCTGCGGGTCGATCATTAATTTTGGACGACCAAGTTCCGGGTCGTGTCATGTCGACAATTATCGGTGTGTGGATGTGTGGGCGTTCTCAACCACCGCACAGCACTAATCTATCGCTCTGTTTACTCAACACTTTGCTGCACCTCGCTGGCTCATCTGGTGTCTGTAACACTTGCCACTGCTTTTGTTTCCTAGTCGTGAAAACTTCGCATTCGAGTACAACACACCCCTCCCAGCAGCACCCCGCCTCGCAACCATGGCCACCAACGGTGTGAAAGCCTCGCCATCTCTACCTCCTGTATACATTGTCGCAGCCGCAAGAACGCCCGTGGGTAGCTTCTTGGGCTCCCTTTCCTCTTTGACTGCTCCTCAACTCGGCTCCCATGCCATCAAATGTAAGTCAATCACACCGCGCCGCCGATACGTGAACTGATCTGTTGCAGCTGCGCTCCAGAGAGTGCCCGAGATCAAGCCCTCAGATGTCCAGGAAGTCTTCTTTGGCAATGTCATCTCGGCCGGGTAAGGATACCTATCTCCTGTGTCGATGCACATCTAACCTTCATGCAGCATTGGACAGAACCCTGCTCGCCAGTGCGCCCTTGGTGCCGGTCTGGAGAACTCCACCGTTTGCACTACGGTCAACAAAGTCTGCGCCTCTGGTGTCAAAGCCATCGTGCTTGGAGCCCAAACCATCATGACTGGCAATGCCGATATCGTCGTCGCTGGTGGTGCCGAATCCATGTCCAACGCTCCTCACTACCTCCCCAACCTCCGCACCGGCGCCAAGTTCGGTGACCAGACACTGGTCGACGCAGTCCTCCGAGATGGCCTCACAGATGCCTATGGCAAGAAAGAGCACATGGGTCTGCAGGCTGAGGAATGCGCACAAGACCATTCCTTCAATCGTGAACAACAAGACGAGTACGCCATTCAGTCATATCAAAGAGCGCAGGCGGCGCATAAAGACGGTCTCTTCGATTTTGAGATGAGCCCTGTTGAGATTCCTGGTGTCCGAGGAAAGCCTGGCACCACGGTGGACAAGGATGACGAGCCCAAGAACCTCAATGTCGATAAGCTGAAATCCATGAAGCCTGCCTTCATCCCTAATGGCGGTACCGTCACAGCGCCCAATGCCTCGCCGCTAAATGACGGTGGCGCTGCAGTCGTCCTCGTGTCGGAGGAAAAATTGAAGGAGCTGAACATCAAGCCTCTCGCAAAGATCCTGGGCTGGGGCGACGCTGCTCAGCAACCCAGCAAATTCACCACGGCTCCGGCCATTGCCATTCCCAAAGCGCTCAAGCATGCCGGAATCAAGCAGGAGGATGTTGATGCATTCGAGATCAACGAAGCTTTCAGCGTGGTAGCTCTCGCCAACTTGAAGCTACTGGGTCTCAAGGACGACAAGGTCAATCTACACGGCGGTGCGGTTGCCATTGGTCACCCTCTTGGTGCCAGCGGTGCCAGAATCGTCTGCACCCTCCTAGGTGTTTTGAAGGCAAAGAAGGGCAAGATCGGCTGTGTGGGTATCTGCAACGGCGGCGGTGGGGCTAGTGCGCTCGTCATTGAGTCACTGATGTAGGATCAAGCTGACGGTCTTTGAAGCCAAATTCCAAGGAGGTGTCAGTCTAACAGCGATTTGCCAGCGGATGTCGAAAAGTGCAGCACTATACCCATGGTACATGAATCAAGTGGCTTGATGGCCAATCTCAGGACTTACACTGGTGACTCTTTCCTGACGACCCAAGCTGCTTTTGCACCTCCAGGTAATATTCGGAGTGTCATCCCAGCTAAATGCGCCTCTTGGCAGGCCAGATGTCTTCAGGCAGTGAATGTCTTGGCGCGTCAGGTCCTCCCCCACGTACAACATGTACAGCTGGAACGAGCGGGAGTGCCGCGCCCTTCAACTGCCTTGGGCTTCTCACAGTCATAGCCCAGTTATTGCAAAGAAATGACTGATGATTTTCGATCCATAACTCTCTCTCATCATTAGGTATTAAGTAATAATACATGTAAAAGTGCTCAGGGGGGGTATCATCAGGAACGCTCAAAGAAAAGGAAGTTGAAACCGTTCTCTCATCGCCCATTACACCACATCCACAGCCTCATCTCATCAATGTCCCTCCTTCCGTTTCAGCTCCAAATCGCCCTGCTCCTCATCCGCCTCCCTCCCCTTCCCCCGCAGCGCATTCACCCGCTGCTTCCACCCCTCCGCAGTCCGTTCAAACACCGCGGTGCCCATCCCCGGATAATTGACGGGACTTTCCCCGCCGGTGAAGATGCAGATATCATAGACGGCCGCGCCCAGGAGACTCCCCACCATCGGGGCAACCCAACACGCCCAGATCCAGTAGCAGGCGCGCACGGTCCAGATGTCCCCGCGCGCCCACACCATGCTGACGACGAGGCGCGGCCCAAAGTCGCGGAAGGGGTTGAAGCTCGCGCCCGTGTTGTAGGGGAACGCGGCGGCGATGACGAAGACGAACAGCCCCACGATGAAGGCGTTCATGCCGGCGCCGGGGGGCGCGTTGCGGTCGTCGCCCAGCGCCAGCACCGTGATCGTGAAGAGCGCCACCATCAGCGCCTGCGTGCAGAAGATGGTCGCGCTGCCGACGCCCGCCGAGGGGCTGGTGTGGAAGACGGAGCTGGTGGCGAAGATGGCCTCGTAGGCGTCCACGCCGGCCTGCGTGGCGGTGGTGGTGATGGCGTCGCGGTACAGCGCGTACACGGCCAGCGCCGCGAGGAAGCAGCCCAGGAGCTGCGCGACCACGTACCGCCAGATGAGGCGGCGGGGGAAGCCGCGGAACAGCCAGAGCGTGATGGTCACGACGGGCGAGAGGTGTGCGCCGGAGACGCCGCCGGCGATGTAGATGGCTGCCATGCAGGCCCAGCCCCAGGTGAGGTTGGTGGAGACGAAGTCGCCGTAGCGGATCACGCTGGGGTCGGAGACTTGGTTGATCTTGTTCATCAGGTTGGCCGCGAAGCCGAGGAACATCATGACGAAGCAGGCGAGGAACTCGGAGAGGGGCTCGCGGAGGAAGTAGCGGTATTTGGACCAGGTGTTGAGGTATTCCTGGTGGTGGAATGGGTCGTGTCGCGCGGAGGACGACGACTGCGAGCGGCGGGAGTGGGTGCGGTGCAGGTGCGAGAAGAAGCGCTGCGCTGGTGTGGGGTGGTGCGGCGGCGCTTCCCAGTCGCATTCGGTCGGGGCGCGGGCGATGGAGCGGCCGCGGTGTGGCACAAAGTCGGCTTGTGCCTGAAGCTGTTTACGGAGCGCCTCGACCTCGGGCTTGTCCACCAGTGATGGGCGAGGAACTTCTTGGATTGGGGCTAGGGCAGGGCGAGATGGTGCATCGGTCGCGAAATCGTGGGAGGCGTGGTGAGAAATTTCTTGTTCCACTTGGCCGGGGGTTCGCTCGTTAAAAGTCTCGCCGTGCTCAGCAGAAGCATCGTCATGCTGTTGCCACGCGTTGGCGGCAGCGGTTCTCAACAGATCAACTCGCGATAGGTGAGAAGCGTCTTGGGAGGTGTGTGCTGCTGCGGTCTCGGTAGGTTGCACCTCGGAATGATCTTCTGATGGGCGATAGGTCGGGGGACTGTCCTCCCGAATCGGTTCAGTGGTCGACGGACGTCGATATGTAGGACGTCTCGTCGATGGGCGTCTAAGTGGACGTGCTGTCGATGGTTGGTGGCTAACGTTGGATTGCACATGACGCATGTAATCTTGAACATTGTTGACTGTAGGCACTTCACCCGGCAGTGTCTGAGCATCAGAAGCACGTCTCGGTCTCATTCCAGGCCGGACGGTCCGAGGAAGGGGTGCTGCCAAGCCCCATATTGGGGCCCTCTCCTGCTCGTACCGTTCCTGGTAGGTACGGTATTCCGGTTGAACATAGCTGTCTGTTCGGTAGCAGTGTTGCGTAGCCTCGTACGTAGGCGGGCCAGCCAAGGAAAATGTTCTTGTGCGTTGAAGACGTTGAGGATCAGCTTCATGGGGCTGTCGATGCGTGGTGTCGGGGTCGGGGTCAGGGTCAGGGTCATCATCGGGCCCCTGGTTAGTCGCCATCGGGTCCTGCGGCGGCATGGTCTATTGGATAGCCAGCAGGGAGGTTTTCCCAGACGTAGAATATAGCGGCTTGGCTAATAGTCGCCCGGAGTAATAGAAAGGTCGATGGTTGATCGTATTGATCAGCCCCATTAGAACCCTCGGAGCATATATGTCGAAGCCTATGCAGCACGCCATCCTCACAGGCCCGGGAGCCATGTGGCGATATGATTGGCGCGGAAAAGGTCACAATGGCCAAGTTCTCCTCATGGCAGACCTGGCGGGTAAATATGTGTCAAGGGAATCCAAATAGGGTAATCGAGTCCCTGATTTTCCACGTAGCCATATAACAATGGAGAAGACCTGGAGTCTCGAAAGCGCCATGTTGGAAAAACTGAAGAGGCGGAACGGTGCTGAGAGGCGGTGCGAGAAGATTTCAACCAATCACGACTCGAGCATCGAAATTTTTCTTGGACCTTCTCAGACAGCGACACGTATGAAGCATTCTTCTCCCGAAACAGCGTGCTTCGCGGTCGCTTGATGGCTTCAAGATGATCTTCGATCCTTGGATGCACGACGCGTCTCCGAGGGTGTTGATAAAGTTTCGACTATTTTGATCTTACTGCGGTGCTCTGTATTCTCGAAGCACAAAACTTATGTCCTACCGACCTAAGCTGTCGAGACCTCCTCTGGGCAAGACAAGTCCATTTTCCTGGTCATGAGCGAACCAGTCCGCATCTTCAGTCTGTACCGGGACAAGTGCACTCTAGCCAACAACTACCATCATTCCACCACTATCACATCTCTGATGCCATTCACCGCCACTCTCCCGTCATGCTCGCTGCGAGTGGGAACGAGCTCGTCAATGGAGCTCGTCATCGTCGATTAAGGCATGCCCCTTGGCATTTTTTACCCTCGCCGGAGTAATGTTCCGTGCTGCATCTTACCGTATGAGTCCTGATAGCGGCAAACGTTCCCCCACTGCTACCGGCTAGACCCCAGGTCCTTCCTGACTGGTCTGAAGTCATGACCAAGGAGAAATACCCATCATCCTGGAGAGGCTGGGATGACGATATTGCACTTTGGCTTCGCTTGCCCTTGTCCTCGCCGTCTTCCCGACCGTCCCGTAAAGCTTCAATCCATGACTTCAGCAAACATCGATTCCTCACGAATATGAACCCCACAGAGAATCCTCACCGCTCTGGCGCTGATGGCGGGACCGGTGACTCAGGTTTGCGAGCTTGCGGCTTCTACTCATCGTCCATGGAGCAGTCTTCCGTCTGTTAGGGCCACGGTGCGGCGCAGCTTGCGACTCTTGACGTCAAGGCCGTCAATCCATCCCGCATCTACCCAGCACCACCAACTGCTACAAACCGTTTCCGCCGTCATGTTCACTGTGGCCGATATAGGTCTACTTGTGAACTCAATGAGCTACGTTGTGCTGACACCAGTCGGCTCCTTGGCGGCCGACCCCACCCGTGTGAGCCGATGTATATGTTCGCTAACATAGCGAATGATCTTAGAAATCGATCATTCAAGACTAATTGCCATGCGAAGATCTTCCAGACGAGCATGCCTCGAAACGAGCCATCATGCAGGCTTTCGGTTGTACGCTGTCATGCACCGGGCTAATCTGCACAAGTACGCCTCGTTGACCATTGGAATCCTGAATCTAGTCACTTTATGCGCACCTGTAGGGCATATCTGCGTACGCATATCTGCAGAAACGAGCTAACTGCGTGACTTGCACCATGCGTGTTACTAGCAGAAACGGGACCCTTCGATATAATGTGGAAGTCCGCGTGGTCAAAGTGCAGAGGCCAATCTCGGAGTATCCTTGTTATATTTTACGCAAACATCCCGGGAGGTCGGGCAGCGGAAATACGAGATAGTGCACTCTCGAGCTTGGGGTTTTCAGAACTTGACCAATGAACACCAGCAAGTCTTCCAAACGTGGCTCGCCAGTATTTCGTGGCCATGCGGACCGGCCTGCGTGGCTTGAGAGTGGCGTGGAACCTGCGCGCACACATGGGTAATTCAACACGAGTGCCAAAGCAGCCATTGTTGCCCGCATGGTCCCGAGCAACCTGTCACGCGGGGCCCAAGGCAAGCTGTACCTGCGATACATATCTCGGATATTGTCGTCAACTGCAGTGCATGTTCATCAACAATAGTCCACCATTGCTGAAATTCGAGAAGAGCTCACCTGATTGCAGTGCCACTAACGGCCTCGCAGGGAACGAGGGGTTGCGCCACAAACCCCTGCTGCAATCACCACTACATTTATTGCAGATACAGACTTTAGGCTTATCGAGAACCTCATCTACTTTTTGGAGAAGCCCCACGGTTCAAGCAATGACCCTGCGGAGTTGCATTTCCGTTGACCACGGTCGAGCCGCTTCCGCCCATCCTCGGCTGATTTTTGGGCAACCAGCAGCTTGGAATACGATATCCACCTGAGCACTAAAACCGAGCCGCATCCCCCCGATGCACGCGTGTGGCGCAATGACTCCTTATACCTTATGTGAACGTTCGTGCAGCAGCCGTGGCTTGGTGCCGTTGGCTTGGGCTCGTTCATTTCGACAGGCATTCGAGAATGACAGCTGCCGTACAACCGTTCATGCTGTGCAACACTTCTCACAAAAGCCACTACAGCCCAGCTGAATTTGCGGTCTCGAATTTACTCATGACTGTCGTCTTGTTGGCGTTGTTGAATGGCACCAATGCATTGCTCCAGCCCCATGAAGCAGAAGTCGGCGCGTGCACGCCAAATCAATCAGCCATCCTCCTGATGCCGATCTATAAGGGCAAGCCCGACCGTCGGAGGACTGCTCGAGCATGCGATCGCTGCAAGCTCAAGAAGACCAAGGTGAGGCCTCATCTGACTTCGAGCTCAGCAAGGCTAAGATACCCAACAGTGCAACGGCGGGAACCCCTGCGGTACATGTGTACAGTGTGAGTACCACGGCCTGCGAACCCAATGTTGCCACGCGAATGTGAAGCAGTACAAAGAGCTTACGCAGACTGACATGAGAGATAGCAAACTGCCATTGTCAATACCGTCCTCGCAGACCCCAGCGAAAGAAGGGAGACGCGTAAGCCTGCAATTCTGGGCTCCGTCTCAAGCCAGTGCTAAATGAAGGCAGTGCCGCCCATAGCATCAACGACAAAAATGACCATCATTCATACCACGTTTCCCGGCCGGGAAGTCTCCTTCCACAAACGAGTCGACGAATTGGGCCTACCTTCCCAGATGAAACATATAGCAAAATGATTCACGACACAGCACTGACACCTCCGCATGGCCCTGCAGAACCGATCGCTGCCTCACTTTCATGTATTCCCCATTCAGGCCGAAGTTACAGTGCCACGTGCAAGACAGAATCTCCTACCGGCACGAATGTCCTTTTGGGACCTACTTCTCCGGAGCAGAGTCTCTTCCATCATCATTCAATGCCCATGCGGGAAACTCCTAGTCGTCCGATGCCCCACGAATCCCGGAGTTATAGAGGTGAAAGAAGCTCACCTTCAACCAACGGCACGCCATCGTCAACTATATCTTCCTCTGTTCACCAGGAGCCATCGCCCGCGGTCCGAGCCAAGCTGCCAAAGTGTGTCAAACGCCCGAAGTGTGCAACCTCGCTGCGCATTGATTCTCGAGGCGAGGCTCACGTTGATTTCAAGCAAGCTCGACGTGCCAAGAGCGACATGCTCTGTCCGAATGCTACAGAGCGTGCCATAACTCGCCAGGATCAGTCCGTAGCCAGTTCCGAGTCCAGCGCTCCGATGACTCCAATACCGATTAACAAAAATGTTGCAGAAGCCGGTGTTGTTTGGCACCTGCCTGCAGAGTGGCCAAATCAGCCTGCACTCCTATCCGACGCAGCACTTGGCCCACCAAACGGATGGCACTACAACCATTACAATCAGCAAAAGTCTTTCGTGAACCCACACCTTTATCATATGTCTCAGATCGGCAGCATGATGAAATACCACGACCAACAATACTGGAATTTGATGGACCACGACCAGGGTCTAAATCCAAGCACAATCGCCATGAATCAATCTCCCGGTCCATTTTACCCCCACCCAATGACATTCGCATCAGTACCGTGCGAGGTGTGGCCTAGCAGACCCTGGCAATGACAGGCCTCGGGTCTCAAGCGACTTCTCCAAGCCCAAGGCCACATAGGAGAGCCGGGGCGTTGCATGAACCGTTGGCAACATGTTATGTGGCGTCCTGATCGCTAGACTCCAGCCTACGCTCGTACCATTCGCCATCCCCGAGATATCGTGTTGAAGCCGTCGCGAATACTGCTGCATGAAAGGCCTCAACACGGTTCTAGGGTTTACGACATCTAACGATGTATGAACATAGCTTTTACTGCTAAGCACAATGCTGGGAACTGTACATCACCCGGGCGAAAACAGGAATACTTGATAAATTTCCAGCACTCATCGGCACGACCCCGCTCTTCAGAGCACGAAGTCCATTTTCGCACATACTCCGGCATGCTGTAGCAAAGTGTTCCTGCATATGCTGAAATATCCTGCAACAGAATAATATATGGATATATAATCCTCTGTACGAAAGCCACTCTTTCTTGGCAAGCTCGCTCAATCGTCCACCCTCCATTCGCTAGCTGCCGGACCTCATACCTCCCTTCCTCCCCCTCGCCACCTCACAAACCCCCTTCACCATAAACAAAACTCTTCATATTCTCCTCAACACCCCCCCTCTCCTCACTCCCCGCCACCTCCCCGGTCCAAATCACCGGCCACACATTGCTGAACCTCTCCACATCCTTGCCCGTGACCGCACTGCCCGCGTCCGCCATGGCGGCCTTGAAGTCCTCCACCGTCTCCCAGTAGATGGTGGTCTGCACGCCATAGGGTGGGGCCTCCCCCGTCACGGGGTCCGGGCTGGGGAACTGGTGAATGTGCCAGCGCAGCATGTTGTGCTTGCCCCAGACCTTGTCGATGAGCGGCATGTGTTTGGAGAGGTAGTATTCCATGTTGAAGGTCAGAGGGGCGCCGGTCTTGGGGTCTTTGGATGGGTAGGACACGACGGTGGTGATTGGTTTGCTGGGGGTGGCGGCCATGATGGTCACTGCTGGGGGTGTGGTGTAGGGGGGTTTGTGTTGGGCTGGTTGATGGACTGCGGAGGCAACGACTGCTATGGGGACTGAATGGGGATAAATGTTCGGCTCCTTACAATAGGATGTTCAACTAGATATATACCTGCTTCAGTACGGCTAGTATTTCTCAGCCTCGGCTGCCACCCCCGCTTCGGGTGTTCTACGGCCCAGGCCGGTACACGAGGGCCAGATGTGTTTGGGCTATGCGTCGGGGCTGGTCACATGGTTAGATGAGCTGTTGTTGGATTGACCTGTGGCTATGAATTAACGTGTAACTTGTGAGACGTTGCACGTCGCGGGTAGATGGCAGTTGTACTTTGAACATAAATATTCCGGATGCGATCGTGGATGGACTGAGATGAGACATGCCTGGCTAGGCAACTTCTCCCAGTCCAAAATATTCCCGACAATAGCAAGAGCACCGCGTCCACTGTCGACGGCCACAGCAGCGTTGTCCAAAGGTTCGAAAGCGCTCACAGGATCATCGCACCCACCTGCTGCCCCTCCTCCCTAAAGTTCAGCCTCACGAACGACTCCACTTTTACTGCCTGCCAAGACAAGGCTCCGCAAAAAACTGCTGCAACGCTTCGAGGTTCAACAGATGCACGCCGCAGATTTGCAGCTTCGCACTTGCAAAGGTCTGTCTCGGACGAGCGTCAGTACCCTCCAACGCCGCCATGGACGATCTGTATGACGAGTTCGGCAACTTCATCGGCGAAGTCGCCTCCGACGAGGAGGAGGGTTCACAGGATGGCGACGTTGCCGGCCAGAACTACGTCTACGATGAAGACAGCGACGAGGAGCCAGCTGCAGCGGATGCCCAGATGGATGTCGACGAAGAGCCCACCTCCAATGCTGTGATCCTGCACGAAGACAAACAATACTACCCTTCCGCCTCACAGGTTTACGGCGAAGAGGTGGAGACTATGGTGCAAGAGGAGGACGCACAGCCGTTGTCGGTGCCTATCATTGCGCCCGTGGCGCAGAAGAAGTTCCAGGTGCAGGAGGCGGATCTGCCGCCGGTGTACTACTCGAGAGACTTTATGACGGATTTGCTGAGTTTCCCGGAGGGTATCAGAAATATTGCCATCGCAGGCCATTTGCACCACGGCAAGACGGCATTCGTGGACATGCTGGTCATGCAGACGCACGACTTGCAGGACAGGCTCGACAAAAAGGTCGGCCGAAAAAGAGATGAACAATTACGGTATACGGACACGCATTTCCTCGAGCGTGAACGCGGAGTGAGCATCAAGAGTGCGCCAATCAGCCTTGTTATGCAAGGCACCAAGGGCAAGTCGCATCTGCTCAATATTATCGATACGCCAGGTCATGCCAACTTTGTCGATGAGGTTGCATCGAGTATGCGCTTAGTCGACGGTGTGGTGTTGGTGGTCGATGTTGTGGAAGGTGTCCAGGTGGGCGCGGAGCAAGTCATTAAGCATGCTGTGTTGGAAGATATGCCCCTTGTGCTTGTGCTGAACAAGATGGACCGGTTAATATTGGAGCTAAAGCTACCGCCAGCCGACGCCTACTTCAAGCTTAAGCACGTGGTGGAGCAGGTAAACACGACCATTGAGAATACAATCCCTGGTCGCGGCGAGTCGAGGAGATTGTCGCCTGAGAAAGGGAACGTCGCTTTCGCCTGCTCGTCTATGGACTGGATCTTTACTCTTCCTTCGTTTGCGAAGATGTACGCCGACACGTTTGCCAAGGTTGACGCATACGAGTTTGGTCGACGATTATGGGGCGATGTCTTCTTCAATCCTGGCAGCCGAAAGTTCACACGCAAAGCTGTCGAGGAAGGTGCCAGACGCGCCTTTGTCCATTTCGTGCTCGAGCCAATCTACAAACTGTACTCGCATACGATCAGCGAGTCGCCGGAGGACCTGAAGGATACACTTGCCTCTCTCAACATCTCACTCAAGCCGTCTCAGCTGAAGTCAGACGCTAAGGTGTTGCTGAAGCTGGTATGCGCGCAATTTTTCGGTCCGGCTGATGGTTTCGTCGACATGATCACGACGCATATCCCTACCCCAGTCGAGGGCAACAAGAGACAGCTTGAGAAATACTACACTGGGTCACAAACGTCGTCAGCTGCCGAGTCTATGCTTAAATGTGACTCCGACGGCCCGCTCATTGTCGAAGTCACGAAGCTCTTCACGGCGTCTGATGTCAAAAGCTTCAATGCATATGGGCGGATTTTGTCAGGTACCGCTTCTCCCGACCAGCCTGTCCGCGTGCTAGGTGAGACTTTTACGTTGGAAGACGAGGAGGATTCTGCCAATGCGACCATCACCGCAACGCACCTTGCTTGCAGTCGCTACAGCATTCCTGTATCTGGAGTTCCTGCGGGTAACTTGGTGCTGCTCTCTGGCATTGACAACTCAATATCCAAGACAGCCACTGTTGTTGCGCCAGATCTCGAAGAGCCGTACATTTTCTCACCTATCCGACATTTCACCGAGTCAGTCTTTAAAGTGGCCGTGGAGCCGGTGAACCCGTCCGAGCTGCCCAAGATGTTGGCTGGGTTGCGACAAATCAACAAGTCTTACCCACTCATAGCCACGAAAGTCGAGGAAAGCGGCGAGCATATCCTCCTAGGTACTGGAGAGCTCTACATGGACTGCGTTCTCCACGATCTCCGTACCCTCTACGCGGAGATGGACTTGAAGGTCTCAGATCCGGTCACTCGCTTCTGCGAAACGGTCACAGAGACTAGCGCCATCATGTGCTATGCTCTGACACCCAATAAGAAGAACAAGATTACCATGATCGCCGAGCCTCTGGATGACGGCATTGCTCAGGACATTGAGACAGGGGCCGTGAAGATCCGCTCACCCATCCGGCAAGTTGCCAAGTACTTCGAAGAGAACTACGATTGGGATCGGCTTGCTGCTCGATCTATTTGGGCGTTTGGGCCAGACGAAATGGGACCAAACATCCTATGCGACGATACGCTACCATCTAATACCGACAAGAAACTGCTGAAATCAGTGCAAGAAAGCGTGAAGCAGGGTTTCAGCTGGGGCGCCCGAGAAGGCCCGCTCTGCGAAGAGCCCATCCGCAATGCGAAGTTTCGTGTCACGGGCGCCGAACTGGCGAGCGAGCCCATCTACCGAGGTGGTGGACAGATCATTCCGACTGCGCGTCGTGCAGTCTACAGCAGCTTTCTGATGGCCGGCCCGAGACTCATGGAGCCGCTCTATTCGGTGCATGTTACTGGGCCTGCAGACAGCGTCAGTGTTCTCTACAACGTCCTGATGAAGCGCCGAGGCCACGTTGTCTCGGACGGTCCCGTAGCTGGAACGCCTCTTTACGCGGCTAAGGCACTGCTGCCTGTGATCGACTCGTTTGGCTTCGAGACCGATCTCCGAATCCAGACGCAAGGTGCGACATCTGTGCAAATGGTTTTCGACAGATGGGAGACAGTGCCCGGCGATCCCATGGACAAGAGCATAAAGATCAGGCCGCTCGAGATGGCCGATGCCAGAAGCGCGGCCCGCGATTTCGTCCTAAAGACGAGGAGAAGGAAGGGCTTGAGTGAAGATGTCGATGTGAAGAGATATCTGGAACCGGAGTTACTGCAAGGCCTGCGCGAGAGCGGTGTTCTGGACTGAGTAATGAACGATACCCTCGTCGGAAGTTTGGCGCCAGCGCAATTCCTCGGTGCCTCAGTATGAACCGATGGTGCCCCGATGATGGTCATGCAGACCGGCACACTAAGTCTGAGAACCTGTCCAGACGAAAGGAGGCAGCATTCAGGCCCCCTCAAGCCGAGAACTAATGAGGCGCTTGCCCTTACACATTCAATGTCAACCTCCACTGCCATTCTGCATTACGCGTGAGTGCTGTTATGAAATGTTTCGCGAGGCTGACCTTTGAGGAGCTGAAAAATGCAGAGCGGGGTATCAGCTCCTGCAGCCACCCTGCTCGAACACAGACCGCTTCCCGTATCAGAGACTGCTTCCCACCAGAAGAGTCATCTGCCCCGGCCATTCCGAGTTGTTGATCCTTGCCTCTCGATAGCAACGTGTAAGGTCTGGGACTCCACCTTATGGCAGACAAGCAGCAGTTCACATGCCGGATGGCCGCGTGCCGAAGCAGATCCGGATGCAAGCTACGGTCCAGTCCGCACGCTTCTCTTGATGACAGCCCGTAACTTCCAGAGTCACAGACTCATTGCATTGGCTATGAGCTTTGTTCATGCTGCCTCCTTACGAAAGTTACACGAGGGCTGTGCTGAACAAAGCGCCCGACTCTGTTGTAATACGAGCTTCTTGAGACCTTTCAGGTCAGCCTCGCCCTAAGCAGGACGACCCTCACTGCCTGGTGTACCCTGGCATGTGGGCAGCGTCCGCCTCTGGAATGGCCTATGGACATGGCCTGGTACTCATGCATGCAACCGACCCTTACGGTGTCCCAATGGGTGCGAGTCAGACGCAGCCTTGCAGGATTCGCATCTCAGCCGAGCCAGCCACCATAAGCAGACAGTAGTTCACGTTCCTCATGTCGGCTCTGAGGTTGGGCTATGGCGTGCAATCCGCGAAAGCCCCGTCTTCAAAGGGCTGGACCAAGTCTGAAATGCATATATTTGTTCCAGGCCCAGACGTCTGGCCTCAAAGCGTACCCTTCTTGAGCCCAACGAACCATCTGACCTCTTATGCGCTTTTTCCTCTCCTTGACTCGATCTCGCATCTTCCTCCAGCCTGGTATCCGAGCCATGTCTACTCGCAGCGGCGGTAATGGCTTGAACGGCACCAACGGTGCTGCCGCGCCATCCAAGGATCACAAGCGCCTCATCGTCCTTTGCGATGGTATGTCCCCGACGCTCCCTTTTTCGACACACTGCCTACTAATACCCGTCAGGAACATGGGTGGACTCCAACTCCGTCGGCAAAGTCAAGTATCCCACCAACGTGACGCGCTTCGCCCGCTGCATCAAAGCCAAGTACACTACGATCGACGACGATGGCCACAAGCACGACCGCCCACAGGTCATCTTCTACCAGCCCGGTGTTGGGAGCGCCAGCGGCACAGTCCTGCGTGGAGGTGAGCCCACTACTTTTACAACCACCTCCTCCTCCCCCTCCTCCTGCTTGGCTTCCATCTCCACCCCAACACACATCGTAGCTAACCACCCCCCCCCTGCCTGCAGGCCTCTACGGCTCCGGCGTCTCCGCGACCGTCCGCTCGGCCTACGCCTTTCTCTCGCACAACTACGATATCGGCGACGAGATCTTCTTCTTCGGCTTCAGCCGCGGCGCCTACATCGCGCGCAGCATCGCCGGCCTCGTCACGTCCCTCGGCCTCCTCACCAAAAAGGGCATGGACCACTTCCCGCTCGTCTACGCCAAGTACTACGACCACGAGTCGCACATGACGGCCACGGGGCCGGACTCCCTGCCCTTCGAGGCCGCGCACGCCGACTTTGTCGGGCAGTTGGAGAAGAAAGGGTTGTTGCACAAGCAGGCCAGGGAGGCGGTGCAGGTCGTGGGCGTGTGGGACACGGTGGGCTTCCACGCGGCGGGCATGTTTGAGGAGAAGATTGAGTTTCGAAACTGTGAGTTGAGTCCGCGGGTGAGGTGTGCGTATCACGCGTTGGCGCTGGATGAGCGGCGGGAGCCCTTCACGCCGACGCCGTGGCGCGTGCCGAAGAAGGAGACGGTCGAGTTGGCGTACCCCAAGGGTAAGGATTGGGGCGAGCAGGAGATGGTGCAGTGCTGGTTCTCGGGGAGGCATAGCGACGTGGGAGGTGGGCTGGATGTAAGTTGAATCTTTTCGCCAAAAGAATCGATAAAAACACCGTGTTGTGTATGATTGGTTTTGCTAATGGGAGAGAACAGGACCCGAGATTGAGCGACATCACCTTGGCGTGGATGATCGCGCAGGTCGCCAAGGGCGGGAAGCTGGCCTTCACCGACATCGACAGCAAGGATGACTACCTGATCGACTCGGAGAAGACGCCGGGGCCGGAAGCCGAAGGCACGCCCTGGGCGACCAGCAAGGGCAGCGCCAACGAGCCCGAGTGGTACTACAAAATGATGCGCACGTTCTACTCCGCGGACCGCTCGCCGCTGACGTACCTGGAAGAGGGACGCAAGGTGCGTGAGGCCTCGCAGGAGGAGACGCACGAGTATATCCACCGCAGCGTCATGGATAGGAATCTGGATGGGCGCGGGAAGGGTGTGCAGTGGGTGTGCAACGTGCTGTGCGGGAAGACGCACGGAAAGACAGGAGCGTATGGGCTGGCGAGGGATGAGACAAAGGGGCTGCCGCTGGCGCCGAAGGTTGTGAGGGACGTGGAAGGGCCTGATGGGCAAAAGCAGGAGCAGGATGTCGAGGCGTATTTCAAGGGGAGGGTGGTGAGGATCATGGGGACCGATATTGGCGCAGATGACAAGATTGCGGATGTCGAGAAGAAGCTGGGGAACACTGGATTCGTGGGCATGGAGTAGCTGACTGTTGTTGAGATCACCTGAACCCGACAAAACGACGGGGAGGCCTTCCTGGACACTTAGCAGCGGGTTTGGGGCTATGACCAGCTATGACTTCAGCGAGGGTGCCCGTCAATTCTGTTGATCCCACGTGAGGTTCGGAGGTTTTGGCTCGTACTGGCTGAATCGGATATCTTTATCACGTATGTCAATCTTGCTGTTCACTGCAGTTGCGCCTTATACTTCGAGTCGTTAACTGCCGTCCACATTAGTTGACTGCCGCCGCCGTCGCCGCCGCCAGGATTTCACACTGAACAAGTTTACGAGCGATTAGCCTAGGGGTTCGTTGGCTTGACTTGAGTGTAACACCATGGATCGGGATTGAAGTAGAACTGGTCCTTTTGAAACGGGTTCATGTTCTCATTTCTGTCGAATCTGAGACTGCGCTTCGCCACAGCGAGCATTGCGTGCTCACGGCCACAACTGTCCACCCGGCCGCACGTTTTGGTATCGTGTCATCTCCATGGCAATTCCGACCTGTAGGCGTACCTCGTGTCAACCCAAAAGAGTCATTGCCATATCGAGTCATCGCTATCAGCACCCTCGAAATGCAATTCGCAAACTTAGAACACCAGAGCAGCACCCTTCGTCTTCTTGTCACCACCCAGCTCGAAATGCTTGCATCGCTTGAGCGACAGTTGCGCCTTGGTCTTGCATTGTGTGCACTCCAATCTCAACACGACCTTCTTGGTTGTCTTGGCCTTCTTGTGGAAGACAGGCTTCGTCTGACCACCATAACCGGACTGCTTGCGGTCGTATCGGCGCTTACCCTGAGCGAAGAGGGAGGCCTGTGGTAAATTGTTAGTGGTCGGGTTGCGATGTACCAATCTCAAGGTTTCGATCGTACCTTGCCAGCCTTGTATTGGGTGACCTTGTGCTGTGTGTGCTTCTTGCAGGTCTTGCCCTTGCAGTAGGTGCGGCGAGTCTTGGGAACGTTGACCTAGAAAGACTGTGTCAGCACGTAATTTCGAACTCTGCATGCGCTCGTGTTTGCAGATTGAAGGTTGGAGTTTCATCTCTTCCCAGTCACCGCAAGAAGCACCTCGAGGGCGAGTCGGTGGGACAGAACTCTTCTCTTGCCACGAATTTTGCTTCGTGCTTGACAATGTTCTTTCCGGCGACCAAGATCCTGCCTGAGGTGCCCCTCATTGCGCTGCCAGTGTGCTATTATGCCGCTCTTTATTGCCAGTACAGTAAAGGGATCGAGGATCATCGCTTACCATTTTGACAGAGTCGCCGGGGTCCGAGGGTTGTCGTATGTGTGGGATGTCGCAAATGTCGTTGATTGAGATGGAGTTGTCAATCGAGGTCGCAGAGAAATGCCAAGCTCCCACATTCGATTTCACAAGTCACGTGCAATGTCAGTGCTCTGTTCAGCCAAGCAATGAACCGCCAAGTGGCGTGGAAGTCTATTTCAAGCTCCCCGGGAGATCCTCAGCAACAACGTCCTGACCTGCCATGTCCGCGTGTGCCGGACCTTGGCCATCTGGACCAAGATGAGTGATCAGCCCGGTTCAAGGTAGGTGAGGTGGTACTCGACGATTGTCATAGACCTTTCTTTGTATTTGGGCTTCTATTCCTCTTGTCTCAAGGCGCAACCCACTACCATGGCCAAGGTCGCATTTGAGGACCTATCTGGAGCCTCGACTCCCGTGACCAGCAATCCATACGATGGATTAATCCAAGCTACTGGTAATGACACCGTACGCCTGCCTTGGCCAGGCGTCGGAAAGTACTAATCGAGCCCGCAGAAAACGCTCCAAGAAAGCTACCAGCTTCATCGAGAGACGCGCAACCGACAACAGAAGGCCAAGATTCTATCAGATGATTTCAGTGGATGGATTCTCGACGAGCATCTCGTCAAATTAGACGGCCATCAGAGAGACGACGACTATGTTGATCCTCGGAACTGCCTGGTTTTCTGGGGCCGACCACCTGGAAAGGTCAAGCAGCTTATCCACATCATTCAGCAAAAGCTCAAAGATGCAGCTCCAGGTAAATCGCATCTAGAAGTCATCAGTCAATGCCACTGACTCGAGCAGACATCTGGCTCATGCCACTGGATAGACTCCACATTACGGCGATGGAAGTGACGCACTCCAAAACTGCCGAGGAAATAGATCGCCTGGTCAATGTGCTTAAGCCCAACTTCCAGCTGATAGCCGACTACCCATCTCTGCACCGTGCTCGCCTCATCAAACCCATGATCAGCTATGATGCTGCTGCGCTTGCCCTTAGCTTCGTGCCGGCAGCCGGAGAAAACCCAGGCCGAGGCCGCAAAGTCGAAGAGGACGACTACACCTACCATCATCTCCGCCGAGACCTCTACACGCTCATCACTAAGGCTGGCGTTGAGGTCGGGTCACGCTATGTTGTGCCCTCTGCACATCTCACCATAGCACGCTTCAACTCAAAAAACCCTTTTGGCGACGACCCACTTGATGCTAGCGCAGGGCTTGACATGAAGAAGCGCAAGCACTGGATCAGTGAGATTGAGATGATCAACAAATGGTTGGAGGCGGAGTATTGGCCGGACCGCAGTGGTCACGAGGGAGAGGGGATCATGCCGGGCGGAGAATTCATTCCCGGTGAGGAGAAGGGGCTTGACTTCAGGAAAGGCCGATTGTGGTACGGAGGTGGTGAAACGGTCTACCTGGGCAAGGGTCATCATCTTAGTTAATGTCGAAGCGCACTGGAGTGCCGGGTGCCGTACTTCTGTTGACGGCCAGAACCTCCCGAATATAAGCTTCCGAATTCGGTGTAGCAATCAGTGACATTGCCAGTAGTGACAGGATTCTTCCAGTAATCATGGCTGGGAGGCTTCCGAGATACTACGTTTAGTGACATGGCTCCGAGCCTATCATAATAGCCCCGTATGCCTCTGGCTCATCACCACAGAAAGCTTTCGCCGAACTTGACCCTTTTGTCGAGGCTATCATCTAGCCTTCCCGCCAAGCCCTTACCCTCAGGTGTAAATGCTCCCCCGCGCTTGCCTGCGGCTTTCAAATGCGCTCATCACCCGCGGCCTGCCTCCGCTTATAAAACCTCTCACCTTCACAAACACATCTACCAACTGATCCTTGCTCTCGACTTTGCCAGGCGCGAACAGAACACTACCTCTCTCCGCCACTGCGTCCCTCCGCTCCTCCGAACCTGCAGACCTACCCCACCCTTAGCAGCCAATATGCTCATCAAAGTCCGCACCCTCACCGGCAAGGAGATTGAACTGGACATTGAAGCCGACTACAAGGTGAGAGGACCCAGGCCTTAATCGATCGTCACAACGAACTTGCCTGACATGAAATCCACACAGGTCTCAAGAATCAAGGAGCGTGTGGAAGAGAAAGAGGGCATCCCTCCCGTGCAACAGCGTTTGATCTACGGAGGAAAGCAGATGTAAGCGTCACTCATTCCCGACTTCCAAGAGTCATAACGAGTGGACGATGGCAAGAAGGGAGTACTAACACAACTATTAACAGGGCCGATGAGAAGACCGCCGCAGACTACCAGCTCGAAGGCGGGAATACACTGCATTTGGTGCTGGCGCTACGTGGCGGATGCTGAGCGGATAGCGGCCGATTCGAGGCATGAAACGATTCTTGATGCCTGCTCCCCGCGAGCGGCAGATCTATTGAGCAGCCATCACCATACGCATTTTGATACATGGGAGGCGTTCAGCGAGCGGCATAAGAGTGATTGGAATTTGGACCGTGGGAGGGCATTGAAGGTGCACAGGCGGACGAGTGCAGACATGTGGCTACTGTTCGAGCAAGACGACACGCCACGAGCCCGGCGTCGGGGCGAAGGATCATATCTGCAGATGGCATACACTGCTGGGGCGATTCAGTCAGATCAAATCGTAGATCGGATATCTTTGACACGTCCATACATTTCGACGAGCCAGACTTGGAAGATTGAGAACATGTGGCATTATAAAAACTCCTACATCAAGACAGCTAACCAAAGCACATCTAGGCCATGTCACGTCACATCACTCCAGGACGAGCCTTCTTCGCTGGCGAGGACATGAAGAGCGAAGGCGGTGCTTTGCGCTTTGCCGGCATCGATCGCGGACTCGCCAGACGAGGTTCCGGACTGACAGCCCTCCCTGAATTATCTGGCGTTGGGCGAAGGTGGGCAGGCTTGGAAGGCTGCGGGGCATTCGTCGGAGGTTTGTCATGGTCTCCGTCTGAGAACAAGTCGTCCTCTTCAAGAAAGTCGAGCGAAAGTCCGCCAGTGTCGCCTGCATCGGCTCTCGGTGCGGGTTCGTTAGCAATCTTCTTTGTCTGCAGCGCCCGCAGACGAGCTTCGCGGTCCTGGATGAGATCGTACCCGTCACCCGCCTCCCTCGGTCGCCTTCTCTCGGTCTCTTTTGGTGCGTGGAGCGGTGGACGAGATCCAGCCGGTCGGCGAATAGGTACCCTGACAGCTTGCACAGGAGGCTCATGTGGTGGAGAGGCATTCCGCTTCTTCATCTCCTCGACCATTGATCGCGGAGCCACGGCAACTTTGGTCGGATTGTTGGTCGGAGCTTGCTTCATCTGCTTGCCAAGTTTGATTTGATTCCGTTCCCGGAGCATGCGCGCCCTCTGAGCATCCTGCTGCTCTCGCTTGATCCTGTCCGAGGCACTCATGTTTCTCGTTGACGGTGCAAAGTGCCCTCTACCCGTCCAGCCGGCATTCGCCCGTCGCGTAGCGGGCATAGAGATCTTGGTGGTGAGCTTAGCGAGATTCTGGTCCTTCTCCTCTTTGATACTGGCGAATGCAGCCCTGAGCCTTTCAGTTCCAGACGCCATCTCGGCATCGGCCTCTCTCTTCAGCTTGCGGTACGCTTTGTACCAATTCTTTGGATCGTTCGGCCGGTGCGGCCGGCTTTGATAGCTGGGAATGTCACGTTTCATAAAAGCAAGCCAGCATTCTTCGTCAAGACCTATTATCTGTGGTGAGGCCTGCTCTATATTGTACTGGAACAGGTCAGATCAGTTCCGTGTTCCGGCGGGGTCGGCGCTTACCAGTCGTTCAGGACTCTCGATCCTGATTATAATGGGCCGTACGAGGTCCCATGGCAGGTCTCCAATAGATTCGATGCCAGCATGAAACCGGGCTGCTGCCCGTTGGGCGATATTGCGAAGACTGTCAGCAGGCATTGCGGAAGGAGCGAAAGGTGGTGGTTAGAGGTTGTTGCATTGATGGGCAGTGACGACTCTTTATAGAACTTCCATGATGAGCATTTGCACAAGGTCACCAGATCTATAGCGGTCAATGTAGGGTTGGCAGTACATTCATCATGCGGTCCAGCCTGAAAGTGAGATACGAAAGGAAGACGAATGCGGAGGGGCGCTTTAAGTGATGCCATGTGAAGCTTTCGGCTCAGCCCCCGGGCGTGGAGTTCCGCTAATGTCACCGCCCAATCGGCTACAAAGTGCCCGGACCTCGACTGCATGCAGCCAGCAAACAGTATCTTGTTCATCTCTCACTTTTACGTGTGCATCGACAACATGGCTGGCTTCCACCTGCTAGATCAGATTGAGGAGGGTGAGTCAAGTCTCGTAGGTGGTTGTACGGTACTAACTCTATATATAGACAAACTCCATACCGCCCGCCTGCTGCCCGTCGAAGAGCGACCCATAAAGCGATTGACCGGCCACTTACTTGGTCCAAAGACCCCGTTTCAGCAGTATCTCACGCACGACGCCACGCAGACAGAAGGCGTCGATGAGGGCAAGATCAAGGAATGGGATAACGACAGCTTTCTTCTGGGTCTGAAAAAGTTTCGCAAATCCGTCGACTACGAATTTGCTGCGTTTGAAACTAACCTCGCGCGCATTCATTTGCTTCGTACGGCGAACGAGGCGGAGCGCAATCGCTATGCTGCTGAGAAGCTGGAAATCGAGGGCAAAGCTGGTGATGTTCGCGACAACATCTTCGATCTGAGGCAGCAATTGGAGCAGGCGCAGCAGACGCTGACTACCCGCAAGACGTATGATGTGCTGGCGGATCAAATCACAAAGAATCCACGTCTAAAACCGAGAGATGAACAGCATGTCAGCATCGAGAAGCTGAAGTCGGAAATTGAAGAGCTTGAGAGGGAAAGTCAGGAATTGTCTCAGACCTGGAATGACCGGCGCAGTCAATTCGCGAAGGTAGTCGATGAAGCGCAGCGGTTGCGAAGGCAGATCCACAACGAGAAAGAGCCTGGTGAAGGTGACGCTGAAGGTGAAGAAGACGATGACATGGATGGGATCGAGCATAATCGGTCCAACATCGGAACTCCACGACCCGGCGAAGATGGGTCCACGCCCTTGCCAGGAGGCGCCAGTCGGGCCACGACCCCAGGCATCGAGGGTATCGCCACGCCACAGCCAGAGATCGCCTTGCCAGATCAACTTGAGGCTGCAGCGACTCAGAAGGCGGCTGATGAGATGGACACTAGCTGAAAGGCTGGAGGCGGCGTGGCTCATCGATGACTTGCCATGACCTTCGTCTTCGCCTGCATCCATGGCTTCCAGCACCAAAACCATGCCTACCCGAAGACCCGAGGCCATGTTATGCGATTCATCAGCTGCGACTGAGCTGCTCGTCAATGGGAGCGTCCGGTGATGTATGAATGACTTTGATTCACGGGCAGCCGGTTTCGCGCCACATGTGATCTTGGATGGCATCCTGCTGTACCTGCGATCACCATTCATTATGGCTAATAAATAGCGACCACCTCTCCGCTACAACACGATCTCGGCCGTCGCAAGGGGATTGGTTTCTCATCATTCGCGACAGCGCGAAGGGACTGTACCTCTAGCACGCTCAACACCAACACCATGGGCGATTCCCAAGTCCCGTCTCCAGAGAAGAAAGCCAAAGTCCAATGCCCTCCCAACGCCTTCATTCTCTATCGCAAGCACCACTACCCTCTCCTCAAGGAGAAGAATTCGGACATGCACAACAATGAGGTCTCCATCATCCTTGGCAAACAATGGAACGGCGAATTTGCGCAAGTCAAGAACGAGTATATGGCACGTGCAGAGAAGATCAAGAGGAAGCAGTTCTGTCGGACACTGATACGCCGTGGCAGGCAGCTCAGAGTTGAAGGTCGAGAAGAAGCACGCTATCGACAACCCATGCTATCAATACGCTCCAAGGATGCCAACAAGGCTCTGCGCTGTGGTTTTCCGCCTGACTTGCCAGCAATTGCGCTTGGGCGTAGTTGAGACGAATGGGATTGCAGCCTTGCTGAGAGAAGCTTGCAGCTCTTTCGAACGATCGACTGATTTGCTTGCGATAGCGATCTAGTACATCCTCTGCTAGGATCTCACGACGACCCGGCGCGCGCTTTTCGTGTCTGGAAAGCCTGATCTAATTTTGAGGTTGTCATCAGAGAAGAAACGACGCATGCAGGACTGCTGCGGACGCAACGTCCCATGGGGACATAATGAAGTAAAGCAATAATACCATACTTTCTAGGTTCCGCAGCTTAGGGACATGTGCGCTCGCATAGACTTGTACTGTTATTGATCTTTTCATCACAGACAATCTGCCGGCTCCAGTTCACCAGTCCTAGAATGACAAGACCTGCCCCAGCCCAGCCCCAGCCCAGCCCAGCTTGTATTGCACTATGCTTTTCAACAACCGTAGCCAATGGATGGCCCCCCTTCTTATCCAGGCTTCGTTTGCCCCGAGTATTCTTGGGCTTCTCACCGGGATTCGAGTCAACAGAAAGCCAGCATGCTTCTCTACGTGACCTTGTGCTCTCTCCCATGGTGTTCTAGATACCATTTCCCTACTGTGCTACATCTGTTGCTATATTTCTGGAGGACTCAGCGTCCCGCACAGTCGAGCCAAGCCACCAGCAGTATGGTGTTGATATGGGCAAGCGATAAGACTGTGTTAAGTTCTTGGTGGATACATATCACACGATGGCGTTGTAGGTCAATTGGAATCAACAGGGCAGGTTAATGATAGTACATTGAATTACCTACTCGTCAAATTATATTATTCTCTTCTCCGACCATTCAAGGCTCAAAACGCCAACCAGTTGGGTATAATGCGCCTCTCCTGCAGCGCCTCGCTATGCATATCCCAACCCGACAAAAGGAATACCTCAACGATTGCTTCATTTCCTCACAAGGGAATCCGGAGATCCAGGCTGTTTGCCCCCTACATCTGCATCCTGTAGCTGCAGCGGACTGGCATCCTACTGCTTAGTCTTCTTGGCGTCCCACCCCTCCCAGCTCTCCTTGCGGGCATGGCCGTTCTTGCTCTCCTTTGCTAGTTGTTGCTGATACTGTTCGTATTGCCCTGGAGGCATGTTGATCATCCAGCTGGGCGGTGCAATACCAGTCTGCTCATTGATGGTGCTGAGAAGGGGTGGCAGGTTCTGCATGACGTTGCGGATGCTAGCCATAGGATCGCCTGCACCACCTTCGCCGCCAGTAGAGCCGGTGTTCCAGATGGTGAACTTGGGGTTGAGGCCCTGGACAGCTTTCGCGTTGGCAAGAGCCAGCTTCTCATGCACATTGTTCTGGAGCATGATGTACTGCAGCAGACCCTGTGGGCCACCGAATGCTTCAGCCATGTGTTTGTAGGCTTCAGCCTGTGCCTTGAGCGCCTCGGCCTCGCGCATCTTTTGGTGGTAGTTCGCGTCTGCTTCTTGCATCTGGCGAGACACAGTGGCCTTGGTAACTTGCTCGGTCACGAAAAATTGGGCTTCGGCTTCCTGGCGCTCAGCGTACGCCTTGGCATCGGCCGTTCGGTTCGAGGTGTAGAAAGCGGCATCGGCATCTTGAGCGGCAGTCTCGCGGGCGATCTTGGACTTGACCAGATCTTTGGCACGGAGGCGTTCAAGCTCAGTAGCTGCTTTCTTGGTCTCAACCTCTTTCTGAAGCTCAGCATCACGGGCTTCGGCGGCGCGACGTGCTTTGATCTGGTTCATCTGGATGCCCATGTCAAGCTCAGTCTGACGATTTGTGAGTTCAGCATCGGCCTGGGCTTTCTCTGACTTTCGCTTGGTCTCCAGAACTGCGGTGTCGGCGTCGATCTTGGAAATCTCTTGCTTGGTCTGACCACGCTTGGAAGCCTCGCCAATCTCACCTCTCATGCGGGCCTCGGCAACATCGATACGAGCTTGGTTGGAAGCGCCCTCATGGGCTTTGCGGCTGAGGAAAGCGAAGTATTCGGAGCCTGGAGTATCTTGGAGTTCTTTGACGTTGGCATTGTAGATGCAGAGACCAAACTGGTCCAATTCCTTCTGAACGTTTTCGATGACCTAAAGAGTCAGCTTGGCAAGGCCGTTGTACAACGATCATACCTTTTGCTTGAAAATTTGTCGCTCTTTGAAGATTTCTTCCATAGTCATCTGGCCGACAATGACCCGTGTCTCACCCTCGATGATGCCCTTGACGATGTCTTGAACATGGGTTCGTTGTCCAGGGGTGATGGCCTTTGCCTGGCTGCTGGCAGGCTTGGAGCCATCGGGGGCTCCCGTGAGAAGCAAAGCATACTTCTTGAGACTCTCAGGCTGGTTGTTGGGACCTATGGTAAAAACTGCGGGTAAGGCGAATTGGAGCTTCTCAATCGACATGGCCTGTAGATTCAGGGAGAAGTCCATCGGGGTGACACTGATGCGGGCCACCTTCTGCCATGGATAGACCAGGGCTTTCTTCACGACGCGAACATCCTCGACGCCAGCACCTGTGACGACGCTGTTGGGAGACGTCAGTGGAACTGCATTCGAAGACGACGTGGAGGACTTACAGGTATTCGTTGGCTTCCGAAATGCAGTACCTCATGTTGGCGGTGTTGAGTAGGCCGAAGCGTGAGTCAGTAGTAAGTTTGTATAAGAGATACTAGCCGAACGAGTGCTCAAACGATGTTGTGTCGAGCGAATGGTTTGTGTAACGACGAATTGGTCAGTATGAAGGGCGACCTACTTATACGAGGCGCAGAGCCACAGAGGCACGAAGGCACAGCCTCGAGGCAGGTGGAAGGAGATGCCTCAGGTGACCGCAAACATGTACGCCGTGACTGCCTTACCGGACTTTGAAATTGTCCTTTGCCTACAAGGACGGTTGGTACTTCTTGGAAATGGGCACATGGAGGAGCTATGACCCATGACAAGAATCGCCGGGGGATGCTGCGGCAGGGCAACGCCGTTTCAGGGCCCGACGTATCCGCACACATCGAAAGTCTGAGTGTCTAGGAGGTCCCTAGAATTCTCCTCAGAACAGGCAAAATGCGCAGCGCCAACAGAACAAACTAAAGACAAACATATCTCGTTTGCCTAAAGTCCGCCTCGCGCAAGAGCTAGTTAAGTGGCTATGCCTTGCAGCTGGGCGGTGCTAACCGGGACAAGCTTAGTTGGGGCCCTCGGGGCTCAAAGCACAAAACACCGACCCCCGTTCTCTTCCTTCAACTCTTCAATGGGTGTCACGGCATCAAGTGTGACACTAGTCGAAAGATCGCTCGTGCTCGAAAGCACAAACACAGAACAATTCGTGCTCAGCACGTGCGGTAGTATGTGTGTGGCATTCGTGCCGCTATCCGTAGCTTCTCCTTGTGTGTGCTGGGGCTCAGCCCCTCAAGCTAACGGTTCTTTGAAATGCCCACTCCATAGCTGACTGCTAACCCGCCATCCCATCGCTCGTAGCATAACATACTGTTCATCATCACCTCGCGTCTACCATCCACCGAGTACCATTACCAATCAAACATGTCTGCAAAAGCCGCAGAAGCCAACGAAGACCAAATTCCCTCATACGAGGAGTCCATTGCTTCGGCACCAGCACCACAGTATACCGGCTCTTCACAGAAGACAACGAGCACACCTTTCCAACAGCGCATACGGGAGCAGCGACAGCGCCGGATAGCATCCATCCTTCTGAATAATGTCGAGCCAGCCATCTCCCAGCATCTCGAGGATGCTTCCAATGACATGACCCTCATCCTCGTCGCACCCGATGCTTTCCCCAACACGAGCCCTGTAGCAACATCCAGTATCATGTCACCATCCGTCACCAAGCCCACTACTCTCATTCGCCTTGCAGGCGACGACTTACGAACCGCCTTCCTCACCTCCTGGCAAGTCGTGCAAGACCTTTCCGACACCCTCATCCGCTCCATGGTCGATCCCTCCACCATCCCGCAACTACAAGCTCAACTGCCCGAAGTAAGCAGCGAGACTGCCGCTGCCTCTCTACCTGAACGACCACCACCAAAGTCGTGGTTCAAGCGAACTTTTGGCATGCCTCCCGCGGACCACGACCCAACAGGCCAGACAGGCAAGTGGAATCTGGGCTGGAGAAGCGAGGAAAATCCTGCGATGATGGCCAGGACCATCACCACCAACGAAGTGGTCATCACGGCAAAGCTTGTGGATGTTTCGTTTCGCATTGAGAGTGCGTTGGGCCTGCTTGAGTCCACGACGGTCAAGTCTTTGTGGTTGGATGTGTTGGTCCGGGCCTGAAGATGGCCAGCAAAGCATAACTCCTTCGGACACTGAAGAAACTCGGATGTTGTGCGACCTTCGGAAAGCGGCAACATGACATGAAAGAAGACGAAACGGTGCTTCAAAGAATCATTCATAGCATCCGTGCTCCATTCACCAGTATTTCCCACTGCCCTCACCTCCATCATGGCACGAAGACGGTCCTCTCCCTGTCATTGTCCCATGCCTCCTTCGCATCTTCCAAGCCTCTCGCCTTAAGATCCTGCTCCTCGAGTCCCTCCACGGCCGCCACCAAATCCTTGACTTCACCTCCAAATTCCTGCATACTCCACGCGCCTGGCCCACTGCCTCGGATGGTCAGATTCTTGCTTCTGAACACCGCTGACGGAAAACTCGTCTCCAAGCCCGCCAGGCTGCCGACCTGTACGTATTGTGTCGGCACCTTGCTATTCAAGCCGTTGAAACACGCGGTCGCGGCGCCACCGTACAGATAGTCGAGAATGACATCCACGTCGCCCATCTTAGCCCAGTCAGTCTCCGCCGCATTGTCCTTGAGCACGATCGCCTCATCCAGGCCCAGCGCCGCCATCTTCTTACCATCCCGCGCCACACCCACCACTCTGGTAGCACCGAGCTTGCGCGCGAAATGCACCGCCACCTTCCCGCTCTGGCTCGTCACCCCCAGCACCACGACACTCCACCCCTTCTTCACACCCACCACGCCCTGCGTGCGTGTCCTGAGCGCCATCCAACTCGCCATCCCCGGATTCACCAATCCGGCCACCTGCACGGGATCCGCGCCCTCGCTGAGCTCCACCGTCATCTTCTTCTCCACGTTGATCGTCTCCGCGAAGCCGCCGCCCGTCGCGATGGACACAAAGTAGACTCTCTTGCCGTCGGGAGTGAGACCTACGCCGTCGGAGCCCGGCGTGTAGGGCAACCCAGTGTTGCGCGAGCTGTAGTGCTGGCCTAGGGCCTGGCTGCGGACCAGGCGGTGGAGGCCGGAGGCCAGGACTCTGACCTGGACTTGGGTGGAGGTGGGTTCGGGCGGCGACGCGGCGGATGAGGTGAAGGCTGGTGCCTGGCCCCAGGCTGTTGTTTGGATGGCGCGCATTGTTGCGGAGGTGAGGGACCGGAAGGTGAGAGTCGTGAGTCGGCCGGTGGACGGAATGGTGGCTTGAGGTGTCGGTTGCTGGAACTTAAATCTGGTCTGGTTGAACAGTTGAGTTGTAGACCGTGAACGACGTCAACTTTGTGCTCTGAGTGGATGTTCGATCCCAATTGTAGGAAGCAATTTTCAAGAAGCGATGAGGGACCTGCAAGTAGTCAAACACGCTGAGAGGCAGGACCTTCCCACCATTTATACCTCCTCGCCCAACTTAGTCGTTCTACAGAGCGCGGCTTCACGGATTACGTATCTCGCTATACAACATATTGCGTTTACTTCGTTAGCTTCCCTGCACGGCCCGTCTAGCCACGACAAGATCGGCCAGGATTTTCGTTGCAGCCTACAGTTGCAGCAGCAAATTCCACAAATCTGACTACAGGCGCCTGCCATCTCGCACCTCGCTCCAAAACAAGGCAACGCGCCACCGACCAACGACTCGCCCGAAAGCAGCGACCGAGAGAGCGTTAGGTAAGCGGGCTGCGCTGAGTGTAATGCAGCCACACCGAGCTGCAGACACGCCTGTTGGCTAGGGGTAGAATGTGGGTCTGAACATTCGGGCCCGGTCGTTGTCGGCTGTGGTTTTGGTCGGTGATTAGCTAAGATACCTCTTGAGAGGCAGATACTACTGGTTTCGGGGTGTAACTGATGTTATGGAGCCGAGGAATAACCCGAGCCATGGAATGAAGGTACTCGAAATACTGTGCGAGTTACGAGCGGGCTGGTTATAGCCATGCTTTGTGATGCTCTGAGAGCCGACACGGCAGAGAACTGCCGATGATGTAGCTGAGAACAGCCTCACTGTTCTTCTACAATATTGACCGAGTTCCACCGCGCACTATGCAGCTACGAGGATTGCTCAAGGGTGTCTCAACAGATGCTTGATGAATCTGCTGGCTCCTGGGGCATTGTCATATGGTTAGCATCGTGTTCAAGGACAAGTACAGAAGGGACCTGGAACATTGTTCGTGCGTTTCCGACCACACTAAACTCGATTCGGATTTGTTCAGGGCGGCCGCAAGGACTGGAACTTTTGAGCCTCGATGGGTACGGCGCAGACATCAGGTCTGTCAGATTCCTATACTGAAGCTGTCTGTCAGCAACCCGGCACACCATATATCGGTGGCATAGATCTTCTTGACTTCGGTCCGAATTGCTGTCAGAACCTCCCGAGAGCTACAATTGCTCCAACCATCTCTCTTCTTCAACCGACTTCACGAACAATGGCCATCTGCTCCGCCTGCCGTCGGGCGGCTCTCTCGTCGCTACGGCTATCATCCTCACGCTTCATAGCATATCGCACAGTAGCGACCGTGCCGCACACACAAAATGCCGCTCCAGCCAACCCACCTCCCTCGACAGCCCAGCAGTCTACACCAGCCACATCTTCGTCAAATCCCACAGACACACAACCATTCTCCTCTCCAGAGATTTCGCCTCAAAGTACCATGCAAGCTGCCAAAGCCGATCTTAAAAAAATCCCCGGAACCACAAAGCTCCGAGGCTCGATAGAAGGAGGCGCAGAACTCAGGAACATCAATTACATCAAAGGCAGCCCGCCAGTTCTCGCGATGGAGGACGACGAATACCCTGAGTGGCTGTGGACGCTCCTGACTCCCAAGGCTTCAGCGATAGAAGGCCAGCTCGCAAAGGGCGATCTCGCTGGTGCGTTTGTGCCCGCAACACCTCCTGCCTTTCCCACAACCATACCCTTTCCACCATATCAGACCTATATCCCTGTTGCTAACCATTTCCCTCCCTCTCACAGAAATGACGAAAAAACAACGCCAACGCTACGAAAAGAAGCAAGAGAAGCTGCGCAAGTCCATGCCAGTACAGATCCCGCTGCACGAGCAGTCCATCGATCTGACGCCCGCGGACGCATCGGCGACGGAGAGCCTGTCGAAGCGCATGGAGCTGACCAAGAGCCAGCGCGACGCCAGGAGGAAGAGCATTCGGGAGTCGAATTTCTTGAAGACGATGTAAGATTATAAAACCATAGTTATAGTTGGGGTGCGGTTTTGAGATCCGAGATGGGCAATGCGCTTGCTTGCGCCATGTCCCTGAAAGGGTAGGTTATCAGAGCGCTAGCCGATGCCTGTCTGTATGTATGCATGCGTGGAAGCCAGAGTTCAGAAAGGAGAAGTGTACACCACAACATTCATACTCCGCCATACATATATATTGCGATACTACCGGGCTTGCAAACTGCTCCGCGTGGCTCTGCGCCGCGGGAGAGGTAGTGGATGTCACCGTCGAAAGACAGTACAGCCTCATTTCAAAATCATTTTAACAAGAGCAAAAGAAGTAAATACGAAAGATCAAATTACTTTGACCTCTTCTCTGTCTAGAAGACTTGAAACAATCCAAACGCCTATCCATGCCACGTGTGTGCCTTTGAGATATAATGCCCGCATACCTGCCCACATTACCCAGCTACTTTCATCGAATCATGCCATCGTATAAACTTTGCTCCCCCTTGCCCTGCTGTCGCTTTCCTCTGGGAGAGGGGGGTATATCAATCAGTTGCACATCCGCTTGGACCTTCAGTGTAAGACCCTCATGCGTTACTGATGCGCGCAACGCCTACGAGGAACAAGAGGAAACCCCCACAGGATCAAGTCCTCACCGTACTAGCCTTTCCCCAATGGCGTAACCCGCTCCCGCTGCTCTTCATGACCTCCTTCCCGCACGTCCCCCCCGTGAGTCTCATTTCGCTCTCGATGCGTCCGGCCTCGCGACCCCACGCATACCCAGCGCTGAAACTAATGGCGGAGAAGACGAGTACCATGCCAGCCGAGATCACCCAAGATGCGACCGTCGGACTGATGAAGTAGTCGTCGTAGCTGTACGCCGCAGCATTCATTTTCTGGGCGCGCATCTTCTTCGCCTGCCGCTCCTTGCTGCTCTCACGTGAGCGACGTTTGTTGGCCTTGGGTGGGTCCGGTCGATTGCCGTCAAGTTCAGATTCGGGGATGATGCGCATCATCGTTGGTTGTGCGGAAGGGCGAGAATGGATGGGTCGCTCGGCGAGTTTCTCCTTATCTGTGTCGGGTGAGGTTGGTTTGGGACGTACGGCGGCAGCGCAAGAGAGTAGAGTCGTCAAGCTGGCGCGAAGAGCCGCGTCATGATCAGGCTGATAGGATGAAGCCATACCGGTTCTTTCCCTTTCACGATGTAGGTGGGGGCGTGATCGGAGAGGCCGGTCGCGGATGTGTGAATTTGGAGCGGATGTAGTACGCGGGAAATATGAGCCTTGAGATGGCCGGCTGGAGGGCGGGTGAGAAAAGGCGTTCGGTTGAGGTGTAAACACTGCGGTAGGAGGGATGCCGAGGGCAGTACGATTGTCGTCGTCTTCGTCGTCAGAGATAGCGTCACGTGAGAGTTCCTCATTGGAACTACTTAGTACGCGATCTGATTCTGATGAGGAATCTTCGTATTCATCCTGACTGCTGCCGGCCGCGCTCGCTGACGCTGACCGCGGTGGTTCTGTGACAGAACGTCGGGGAACCAACGGACGGGGAATGCGTTCATCTGGTAGCCGACCTGGGCCATCTGCCAGAGCTGCCAGTGATGACGATGAGGATGGTCGAGACGAGATCTCGACCCACGATTCTGTCGGGCATGAGCGTTTCATGACACCAGAATTGCGGAAACATTCTTACCTTCTGTGCGAAGACGTCTGCGAGCAGCGGTAATCATAGATGAATCCGGCTGGTCCTGTCGATGCTGCTCGCCGCCATGGCGTGAGCCGGACGGCTCTAAATGTGACGGCCTCATCGATGTACTTGCTTCTTTCGCTCACCACAGGTGTAGTAATTATAGCGCTTCGGTATAGGCTGATGGGGGTGTGCCCAGTGGAGATCGCGGAGGCACGCGCGCGCAATGGGTGGGAGTTGGGATAAAAGCGATTGGGACGACCGGACCTGGTTCACACTGTGTGCTATTGTTTCAGGATTGCAATTGTTGGAAGTGGTATCGTATTGCGCTCACCGCTCGACGCAAGGCCTGACAGCGAGCAAGCGAGGTGCAGCGGGGTGAAGTGACGCGGAGATTGAGATCCACTCCGAGATAGGCGCTGTCGCAATGTCACAATCTGGCGGGGTAATCGTGGCTGGAGGGGATGGAAGAATGTAACAAAGCTAGTCAACAAAAAGACACGCAACGATGATGACAAGAGTTTGGTGCTGACGGTCAGTGAACGAAGCACATCAAGATCACGGAATCGTCAGTCCCAGGTTGGGTGGGAAGCAGGGAGGGAGGCCGGGACCTTTGGGGGTGCGCTGGAGTTCCTGCATTGGGTCACACGCGCCCAATTAAACCCTGCCAACAACCCTTCACGCGCATATTCGTCACAAGACATTTTCGGAATCAGGCTTAATTGATTGTGCATTTTAAGTTACCCGTGCGCCAGTCAGAAGGCCCATCATCCTCTTAAAGGAATTGACACATCGTACACCGCCTAGGGCGCCTTTTCCGATAAATGACCGAACAACGACAACGACCATCACACACGTGAGTGGTCACATTGGTGTCAGTTCCCGACAAGTTGCAGACGAACGCATCGTCGCTCATGATCTTCGGGCTTTAGAATGTCGTCTTCTTGCCAGAGAAGTCGCCAAAACCACCACGGTTGGTGCTACCACCGCGGCCGCCACGGGGACCACCGCGCCCACCGCGATCGAAGCCGCCACGGCCACGACCACGCCCACCGAAGTCTCCACGGCCTCCACGTCCGCCGCGACCGCCACGGTCGCCGAAACCACCACGTCCGCCGCGGCCGCCACGAGGAGAACCGTTGTTCTGAGGACGAGGCTGCGAGTAGTCCAGACGAATGGGACGACCTTCAATGTACTCGCCTTGCATGGCCTCAAGCACAGCCGTAGCCTCTTCGACAGTGCCGAAGGTAACGTAGCCAAAACCCTTGTAGTTGCCGGTCTCGGGGTCAGTGGGAATGCGAACACCAACTGGATTGCCGTGAGGCGTGAACGCTGCGGTGAGAGCATCTTGTCCGGCTTCGAACGAGAGGTTGCCAACGAACAGCGTATCCGAAGGCTCGCTCAGCTGGTCGGCGTATTGCTGGCGACGGCTTTCCTGGCGCTGATCGTTCGTGGGACGCGGGTTTGAGAAGTCCACGTTCATGGGACGACCATCAAGATCGGCACCATTTTTAGCCTCGAGAGCAGCCGACGATTCATCGGTATTGGAGAACTCGACATAGCCAAAGCTGAAGATGGTTAGCGTTTGATGAGCATTTGATGACTTTTTATAAGCTGGACTTACCCTTTGGAGCGGCCAGTGGCACGATCAGTCATGACACGGGCGCCCTCGACGGTACCGAAAGCCTCGAACTCCTCGCGCAGCCAGTCATCAGTGACGTTCCATGAAAGATTACCAACGAAGAGGTTCTTGGTAGCCTCCTTGTCGCTGACAGCGGTTTTGGCCTTCTTCGCAGGAGCAGGAGCCTCATCTTCGGCCTTGCGCTTGGAGGACTTTGGCTTCTCCTCTTCAACTTCTTCCTCGCTCTCGGAGTCGTCACTGTCCTCCTCTTCACTGTCAGAAGTCTCGTCAGCCTTAACAGCCTTCTTGACGTCCTTCTTGGGAGCAGGCTCGTCATCGCTATCGGACTCTTCGCTATCGGCCTTATCGCTGTCAGAGCTGTCAGCACTGTCGGAATCTTCGGAAGTCTCATTGGCAGCGGACAGCTTAGAACCCATCACGGCAGATTTGCCAGCGGGCTTCTCCACATCGCTGTCAGAATCGCTGGCGTCATCGGACTCAGAATCACTGTCCGCAGCAGGGGCAGCAGCCTTGACTTTGGCGGCTCCATTGGTCTTAGGAGCCTCGGCCTCAGACTCGCTTTCAGATGAATCGGACTCGTCGGAGCTCTCATCAGCTGCGACAGCGGCTTTCTTGGAGCCATTGGCCTTGCCGTTAGTGACAGGCTTAGCCTCAGCCTCCTCCTCCGAGTCAGACGAGGAGCTGGCAGAGGTGTCGTCGGAGTCCTCGTCAGATGACTCAGGAGTTGGCTCCTTCACCTTCTTGTTTTTCTTCTCTTTCTTAGCAATCTCCTTAGCGACTTCCTTGCTCTTTGCCTTCTCGGTCTGAGCAGGCTTGGTGATGCCGGCGGCCTTGGCCTTGCTCAAGACGTCAGCCGATTTGGTAGGCTTAGAGCCTTTAGTAACTTTGACTTTAGACATTGTGCCTGCGATATTGTTAGACACTCTAGAGGATGCAGAAATTTGCTTACTGTTGCGACTGGTGGTGTTTTCCGACGATCTTAATCCCTCAGACCCTCTGTTGCGGACAAAGTATCAAGTGTGTAGGAACAAGTTTGTGTGCGGCACAAAACCTCAAGCGTCTCAAAAGCCCTCAGATATTCACAGCGAAATCCTCAGAAATTTGCCCACTGATGTGTAACTGCAGGTGATAGACAAGCAAGACCTGCTTAACCCTCAGGATATTGCAAAGAGCCCTCAGAGACTTAATTGAATGCCCTCGAGTATAGAATGCCCGTCTAGATGTTGCACAGAGAAAGAATAAAACGTGCGATGGGTGAAGAGGTTGGAGGAAAATGTAGTCGACCACCTCGAAATTTTTCTAATCGATATCCGAGAGACCCTGTACTAGTCTAGAAAGAGATAAGCGCATCACCAGCCTCATCGGCAGGCTCCACGACAGCTTCGAGGTGGAAAGCTCGTTGACTCCACATGTCACGACCAAGTTGACCTCCTGTTCCCTTCACCGACTAATTGACACCTTGTCTGCCCGACCCAGGCAGAATGTCGGCATCACACAAACCCCGCAAGAAGAGGAAGGACATCCCTCTGACGCGGAGCACCACTATCACCGACATTGTTAGTGTCGACTCTGGGAACAACAGCGTGGTTCCCGAGTTTCCTCTTGTGGCATTTCTGTGGCCTGCTCGGGGCACAACTTCGCAATGGCTACTGTTGCCGCTAATCTTGATGGTTGTCGGCCTCTTCAGATGGACTGTCGGATTATGGGGCCATTCCGGTGAAGGGAAACCGCCGATGCATGGCGATTTTGAAGCACAACGACACTGGATGGAAGTCACCATCAATCTTCCGGCATCCATGTGGTACTTCTTCGACCTCCAATACTGGGGACTTGACTATCCGCCCTTAACAGCATACCACTCTTGGCTCTGTGGAAAGGTGGGGGGCATGTTCAGCGATGACTGGTTTGCGCTACACAAGTCACGAGGCCTCGAGGAGCCATTACTGAAGGTGTTCATGCGGGCAACTGTTGTTATTTCGGAGTACCTGGTCTATATTCCAGCCGTGATAATCTTCCTCAGACACTACAGCCGCAACCAGGGCACCGGAATCACCTCGAGCAATATCGCTCTTGTTGCTATCCTGATGCAGCCAGCATTAATTTTGATAGACCACGGCCACTTCCAGTACAACGCCGTGATGCTTGGCTTTGTGGTTGCGAGCATCTCCAGTATGTTTGCCGGACGATTGCTGTGGTCCTGCGTCTTCTTCGTCGCCGCGCTGGGCTTCAAGCAGATGGCACTCTATTATGCGCCTGTCATCTTTGCCTTCTTGCTGGGATCATGCCTGACTCCTCGGATTCGACTAGGACGACTACTGTCAATTGCTGCCATCACGGCGCTCTCCTTTGCGGTTCTTTTCGCACCTCTGCTTCTACGCTGCCTGTACGAGCTGTACCGGAATTTGGATCTACCACCACAGCCCCTACCGCCTGCCCTAGCGGAGCGCGGCATATCTTTGGACCTCAAGTCGCCTGTTGGAGTGGTCTTGTTCCAGGTGGCGCAAGCTATTCACCGCTGCTTTCCATTCGCCCGGGGTCTTTTCGAAGATAAGGTTGCCAACTTCTGGTGTGCGTTGAACACCGTTTACAAGCTACGCAAACTCGCGCACCTTGTTCCCTTGGAACGTCTGTCCATGTTTGCTACACTGGTCTCAATCCTACCAAGCGCATTGATCATTGGTGCAAGTCCTAATAAGACACTTCTGCCCTACGCCCTAGCCTCTTCGGCATGGGGCTTCTTCCTTTTCTCGTTCCAAGTGCACGAAAAGTCCGTGCTATTACCGCTGTTGCCGATGACTCTTCTTCTCGGTAGCGCAAAGGGCCTATCGAAAGAGTATCGAGCATGGATTGGGTGGGCCAACGCGCTTGGGGTGTGGACGATGTACCCACTCTTGAAGCGCGACGAGCTCAAAACGCCATATGTCGTGATATCGCTGCTTTGGGCCTACCTCATGGGCTTGCCCCCAACGTCTGCACTGTGCTACTATACCCCTGGTCAGGAAAACCTCATAGGCCGACCTCTGGCGGATGACGAGCTCCGCACTCCGATTAAGATCCTACACTGGCAGTACTACATCATCATGGCCTTTTGGCATCTACTGGAAGCTTTCGCCGTGCCTCCCGAGGACAAGCCTGACCTTTGGGTGGTGGTGAATTCCTGTTTTGGCGCAGTCGGGTTTGGTATCTGCTACCTTTGGTGTACCTGGAAGCTCATATGTGAAAGTGGGCTTCTGGATGACTATTTTGCTTACCAACAACAGCCTGTCGCAGATGGTACGCCAGCAAAAGCGAAGGAAAGCAAGAAAGCAAAATAATGCTGCATATTCCACGACTGTACAAATATTTTTCTCGTCAAGTAGCATAGCTCGGGCGAATATAATGTCAGCCGCGAGGCGTCATCCAAGGCTTCAAGTCGAGTAGCCTGTGGAATAGCAGCGCTCCCTCGTGGTCGCTCGACGGAAAACCCGCTTGCAGTCCCATGTGCTCTACCTCAGAAAGTGCCACTGACTCATGATAAGTCTCACTTGATTCCCAAAGCCTCTGCCACTGCTACCTTGACACCCTCAGGGTCCTCAAACAAATGCCAATGTCCCACGTCCGGCAGTATTTTCACCTCGCACCCTTCGTGCACAGCTTCCTTGTATTTCTGCGCCACTACCTCCGGACACACTTTATCCTCGCTGCCTGTCATCACCAAGACCCTCTTTCCCCGCAGCTTCGACGCATCCAAAGTCTCATCTTTGCTCCCTGCCAACGCCGTGCACGCCTTCGCATACCCCTCCGCTTCGGTCCCCAGCAAGCTTAGCCTCGTCGCCGCCACCGCCAGAGGCCGCTCCTTTTTGGTCTTCTCCGCAAGCCCAGCTGTGACCACCGCGTCGACGCAACCCGTCATACCTTTCTCACGTACCAGCTTCGCCCTTCCGATATTATTCGTCGCAGCTGCCTCTGGAAGCGGCGTGGGCGGCAGTCCCATGAGCACCAGTTGGCTGACGCTGTCGGGGTTGTCGATGGCGAATTTCAGAGCTACTAGGCAGCCCATCGAGTGCGCAACGACTGTGACGTTCTTTGCGCCGGCATGCTGCACCACTCCTTCCAGATCCTTGGCGAAGCTGCGGATGCTAAGCGTGGAAAGCGCCGAGGTGGGTGAGAGGCCGTGGCCTTCGAGATCGAAGAAGTGGCACTCGCAGGTGCTCTCCAATGAGGAGAGAAGGGGGCCGAAGTACTCGCTGCTTCCGCCCAGTCCATGGACGAACACCACCGACTTGCCGCCCTCTTTACCTGTGCGCTTGTAGTAGATACGTTTGCCTCCAGGCAAGGTCGTCAGAGCCGCTCGTCCGTCGTTGGACACCGCGACGCTCTCGCCCTCCAGCACACCTCGCACTCTATCGGTGGTGGAGTTAATGTTGTTCGGGTCTGCGACTTTGTTGACCAATTCGCCCAGGCCAGTGACTTCAATTCTCACCTCATCCCCTGGCCTCAACCATTTCTCCGGCTTGAAGCCGAACCCTACGCCGGCCGGCGTCCCCGTAGCAATGACGTCTCCCGGCATAATGGTCTGGGCTCGCGACACCGTCTCGACCAACGTCCGCATCCCAAAGATAAGATCTTCGGTGGTTGCCTCCTGGCGCTTCTCTCCGTTGACAAACGTCCTCACCGTCAGCACCTCTGGCAACGCCTCTTTCGGCACGGCGACGGGGCCCATGGGACTAGCATCCAAGAACTCAAGTCAGCGAAAGAATTCCCCTATGACCACTTTACAACCCTCATTCCAAAAGAAGAAAAGGAAGCAAACACATTCCACTCACCAATACCCATCCGCGCTCTTCCCCAAAAAGAACTGCTTATGATCCCTCTGCTGATCCCGACTCGTCACATCATTGATGACCGTATACCCCCAGATCCAATCCATCGCCTCCCTCTCAGGCACCCGATACCCCACGCGCCCCACAATCAACCCAATCTCCCCTTCATAGTCCAGCGTGTCCGCGAACCCCACGTGCGGGTAGATCTCCTCGCCGCACGCAATGATCGCCGTGTGCCGCTTGCTGAAGATGACCGGGTGGGAAGGCATGGCGCCCTTGTCGGAGGCGTCGTAGCCCGAGGCGGCGAACTCGGTGGCATGCGCGCCGTAGTTCTTGCCGATGGCGAGGATGTCGCGCCCTTCGAGTGGGGGGAGGATGGTGACGGAGGAGCGCGGGATGGGTGGGAGGTCGGAGGGGATGATGCTGTTGTTGGGCCCCCCGCCGCCGCCGCTGGCGGCAATGACGGAGTAGAGTGTGCTCAGGGGAGTGCCGGAGGCGAAGGATAGGGGCTGGATTTGGTCGTTGCCGAAGTCCAGGTGGCCGATGCGCGGGGTGGCGTGCGTGGAGGTGTGGTAGCGGATATAGTTCATGTAGGGGTGGGTGGAGGGCATGGTGGCGGAGGCAGGCGTTTCCGGGTCTATAGTGGTCGTTGAGTGGGGAGGCTACGTGGGCCAGTAGTACTGTTGTGTGCGGTATCTCTAGGTACAACAGACACTATAGACGAGAGTGGATCGAGCGGCGTGACACTGGTATTGAGGCCGTTGGCCTTCGTTAGGAGATGTCCTGCACGCTACCGACTTTTCTGCTTGTTAAGTGTGAGCTTGGCCCTCTTGAACCTGTCACTTGGCGAGTTGAGTCTACAGTTCTTGAGAAGACTTTATGAGAACCAAGCTTTGACACAACAGGGTTTGCTGTAGCTGGCAAAAGACTAGGTACTCCTGGCCAGTGAGGGGAAGATGCGGAGTAAGCAAACCTCACTGCCGTATAGCGAGGGGTATGGACATGGTGACGTTGCATGAAGGCGTTCAGTATCAATCGATTAGCCATTAAGATGTACTGTACTATTAATTGGTCCACTCAAGTTACGGCGTTGATCTATCGCAGCCGAAGATCAAGAACAGAGGTGACTTCGATGGCATCTGACCTCAGGCAGTGAAATCTTGGCATTAGTGCTGGCTTAGCCCCGAGAAGCCTGTGGGAATCATGCCAGTGGTAAAGCACTAACTACTGTTAGCTCTTCTTTCACATGTCATGCAAGACCCTGAGCCTTCCTAATCTTATCCTGTTGTGCCTGCTCCGCGGCAGCTGCCTCAACATCTACGGCGCCCGGGACCCTACCCTTGTAGGTGCTTTCTGGTAAAGCATTGAGTGCGTCTTCCTCCTTGTCTAGCTTCCTGAAGCACAACCAGAACCCAATGCCACCAGCAGCGCTGATGATTGCCACGGTAGTGTATAGCCAGATCAATAGCGGGTCTGTGGCCAGACTGACGAAGGCCTGCGCGAGTGCAGAAGAGAAGGCGTTGGCGAAGAAGAAGACGCCCGTAACAACCCCACGCATGTTCTTCGGGGCCTTTGTAAAGGCATACTCAAGTGCAGTGATCGAAGCAAAGATCTCAGAGAATGCAACGAGGATATAGGCCGGAGCCTGTACCCACACGGAGATGTTAGGCGGACCAAGCTCACTCGCACATCCACCTTCACCGAGGTCGCTGGCATTGTTGCCACATGGAGACTTCTGGTAGATATAGTGCTGAATAATCGCTGCAGTCATCATAGACAAGGTACCCATGGCGAACCCCATGGCTATCTTCTTGATAGGTGTGAACCGGAAGCCCATCCGGGCCAAGAAAGGATATACAAACATGTCGACAATAGGGATGAAGATGATGAGTGCCAGAGGATTGAGGTTGTTGATCACATCGTTGGGGACTCCATCAGTCCTCAGGGTGGCAGCCTGGTTGACCATGTTGTTGGTAGATTGCCCGTAACTCAGCCAATAGATCGGGAAGAACGTGAACACGGCACAAGCCTTCAGACCTCGGCGGACCTCGTCAACCCAGGCATCGTCGAAAGTCATCCATTTGGGTTTGTTGGTAACGTTACTAGGCTTCACCCGATCCCAGAAGTCCGGAGCATTGACGTTGCGAAGGAATTTGGCAGGGTTCAAAGACCAGGCATCTTTAAGAGCTAGGCTAATAAGCTGGAAAGACTTGCCTAGCACTGACTCGGTAGGTGGACGCTTGACATAGCGCTTATTGCAGACGAGCATGACCAAGGGACAGAAGAGGAACATTATGGTTGGAAGGGTGAAAGACAACCAGAATCCGACATAATGCTCCGCAAACACCATCGTCAGCTGTCCGACGAGCGCTCCAATATTGATCATGAGGTAGAAGCGCATGTAGATGCGAGACAGAGTCAGCGTCGGGTCGATGATGACGCGCTCTCCAGAGGCCAGTGTCTGCACGTATTGGCGAGGATGGTGCTTCTCATACTGTTCCGCTATCAGTGGCGAGATGTTGCACTTGAACCATCCAACACCAACACCGAAGAAGATGAGACCGACTGCGAACGCGCCGATAGCACCATTAGGGTTGGTGATTACGGATGGGATCGCCGAGACGATGATGATAACGTGTCCAAGCATGGCAATCCAAATGGCGTAGTAAATCGTTCTGAAGCGCCCAAAGAAGGTATCGGCCAGGTACCCACCCCATAAAGGCATAACGTAACTCCAAAAGGCGTTGAAAAGGGTCAGTCCAGTGGATGCTTGCTGGCCAAGGCCCAGGGCACCAGACTGGTCATTGGCACCACCGGCCTGCCCCGCGCCCGCGTTGTTATTCGGTGGAAGAGGGTATGAAATGAAGTTGACGAAGACTGCTGTAGTTCCATAGTACGCGAATCTCTCACAGAGCTCAATAAATCCAATGGTGTAAATCATCCACGGGATGTTGCCGTAAGTCCGACGGAGGGAGACGATATCCTCTGCAGTGGGGTATTGCTCGCCATTTGGGCCGACCAGTGCATCATAGTCGACTTCGCTGTCGGCAGTTGCGATGTCGCCTTTGTAGACAGCAGGTTTCTCAGCCGGGAGACCTTTCTCGACAGCAGGGTAGTCAGCTCGTGCCGCTTCGACGACTTCCAGATTTGGGGCTGACGACATTGTTGCGTTAGTGCTTTGGTACAGTCGGAAAAGGCAGGGACACTGAGATCGACTTCGCATATGGGGACTGTCCGGCATTGATATTCATAGGCAGACTGCACTTATCGGACGCCGTCTGGGCATTGCAACCCTCCATATCAGGCCGCACGACCAGATTTGAAGCAGCCCGTGGGCCGTGTAAGAGGTGGCGATGAACGCTAGCGCAAGGCGTGAAAGACGCGCTTGATGCTCAGCGTTCATATTCCACGAGGACACTATTAACCACTTTCACGCTGGTATAGGCCCGTGAAATCAGGAGGGTGGAGCCACTCCAACATGACTGGTTCGGCTTGGTGTCTTGCCCATGTCTTGGAACGGCGGAACTGACTTGGCACAGGTCCGCCCAGAGAAAGGTCAAAGGTCCCCAAGACAGCTTATCATTTCCGCTTCTTGTGCAATTGGTGGGACAAGAAGTGAGGTTACAGGCAATTCCATGGTCAAGGAGAGCCAGAGCATCGCTTGTTTGCAACCTTCCTTTCGGGGCAGAAAACTCCTGGTAGTTACCTCTGTAATCTTTGCCAACTGTGCCCTTTCTAATCCTTTTGAAGCACAGGTGTTAAGTGCCGTCTGCTTCTGATGTTCGGCTAGATACGGACGAGGCTTCAGATCACGTCACCTACTGGGTAGCCAATGCTGTGATCCTGAAATCATTCTATTCAACTCTCTCGCGATGTCCGGCTCGATTGATCCGCTATCAAGCGACCTCGTACAGTGATCATGCTAGCGACAGGCTCCAAGGTAGTGTAACCGAATTCGGGTCTTCGGCAAGGTCGCTCGCTGTAAGTGGATGAGGGCCGGCTGGCTAGATTGTATATGCCACTGTGTGGCGCCTGGAGCGACATGAATTCCCAATGTGTCTCCAGCTCCAATTCAATCTGATTTGTTGCCAAAAGGCTTGTTGTGGCCGTGCATGCACAAGGCCTGTCGCGTGTCCAGCTGGTACAATTGGATGCTGAGGTTATCAAGACTGGCGAGCGGGCTACCAGCTATCGTCGCTAAGTTTGGATAGACCGACAAATCGTTTCGGTTCTTTGAAGCGATTCGCGACGCCTTCTGTGCGCCCGATGCGCAGCTGTTTGCCGTATCGCTGTATCTGGGAATCACGGTGGAAGCGCCAAAATTGCCAGGAGCAATCTTGGCCAACGAAACTCATGATGACTTGCTGGCCTCCCGGATGCTCTAGGACGAAGTCTGTGCAGTCGTAGACAACATTATCAATGACAATCCACCAGTCGTGTCGCCGAGGATCGCTCGTGAGATCGCCCTCTGCCAACAGCCCCGGTTGCTGCTTGCCGACGACAGTCTCTTTCGGGATAAATGGCAAATTATTGTCAGACAAGTGTGCTGGCACAATGGCGTACTTTCGCTCAAGGATGTCTTGCGGCTGAGCAGATCTCACGGGTCTATCGGGGCGGATTTCGATCTTCTCGACCACGCTTGTGGAGGCCGGGGCCAGCTTGTTGCCAGAAATCCAACCCATGTTATTTTAGGCATGAAGGTGTCGTCACGACTGACAACGAAACAGGCAGTTAAAGCCAGGTCGGTAGGAGGTTGCCTTCTTCAGGCTTCCATTCGGCCGCAACCCCTCATGAAAGATTCTCAACAACCGAAACCTTAACATGAGAGACGGAATTCAGGCATGACAGGTTTGATACGACGGCTTACCTTCTTATATCTTCCCCCCCCCCTGCGCGGTATACCACTGGTATCGATCGAATCATGGCTTCTGGTGATCATCATTTGGAGACAATCAAAGACCCCGCATCTCACGATGCTGCCATCGCTCACGCGCAGGAGCCCAATACGACAGTGGTCATATATGTGACGTCTGGAGCAAATCCTATATGTGCGCAAACGACGCCGAAAGTCAAATCATTGATGCAAAACGACAAACACCAGGCTGTGAGGCTCTTCCAAATGGAGCTGACTCCGGAAACGGCTCCTATGATCAAGTTCGGCATTCAAAACACACCTATATTCATCTTGTATCGACAGCGATGGTGTCAAACAATCTTAGGAGCCGATATGAGGGCGTTGGAGAGATTGCTCGATGAGCAGGATCGTCAATTGCCTGAATAAGAGGCTAAGGTGGATTTGGGAGTTCTCAATAGCAGCGAAATTGACGTCCGTGCGTCTTCGGTTATGATAGATTGAAACGGGTTCCCCTTTGGAACATAGCGGAATACAGGATTGGGCAGCTCATGTGTAGTACATGCTGAGAGACCGTTGCGAATGGGCGCGCGAGGCGTGTACAGCACACGACATCAAATCTGCACATATGGCTCCAAGAGCCACCGTAGCATAAAACCACTTTACGCGTGCTTGCAACGCGTCGCAGTCGCGACCCAAACATTTTTTGGCAGGTGCTCTTACGAGTCCTCCAACGTATTCTGAGCGCCTCCTTCTCGCTTCAATCCGCTGCTTGTATACCCGCGGTCTGTCCAGCATGGCCAGCTTTTTCGATAACAAAGCTAGAGCGGCTGCACAAGCTGTGGCATCTTCCTCTAAAGCCAAACCTGCGGCTGATGTTGCCCCTCGGATGCAGCCATGGGTTGAGAAATACAGACCACGCACTTTAGATGAAGTCAAATCCCAAGAACACGCTACAGAAACACTACGCCGCATGGTAAACGCCTCCAATCTTCCCCATCTGCTCCTCTATGGGCCGCCAGGTACAGGCAAGACATCTACCATTCTTGCTTTATCGAGAGAACTGTTTGGTCCCGAGCTATTCTCCAATCGAGTACTTGAGCTCAATGCATCTGACGAAAGAGGCTTGAGTGTCATCAGAGAAAGAGTCAAGACTTTTGCCCAGCAAGCACTCATTCATGCTCCATCAAGCAAAGAATACCGCGAACGATATCCATGTCCTCCATTCAAGATCATCATCCTGGACGAAGCCGACAGTTTGACACAAGATGCACAGAGCGCGCTGAGAAGAACGATGGAGATCTACAGTAAACTCACCCGGTTCTGCTTGTGCTGCAACTATGTCTCGAGGATCATCGACCCAGTCGCCAGTCGGTGCAGCAAGTTCAGATTTAAGGCTTTGGATGGTGGGCACGCTAAAGAACGGATAGAAGAGATCCTGGGTTTGGAAGGGGTCAGCTATGATAGTGGAGTGGTCGAGAAGGCTCTGTCTGTGTCAGATGGAGATCTCAGACGAGCAATTAACCTATTGCAATCAGCAGCACGCCTCGTGGGTGCTTCTGCAGGCGAGGTCAATGGTCATGCGTCTAAGAAAAGTCGGAAGAAGCAAGTCATCGACGACGAGGATGAGGAAATGGCTGACGCTGATGCGGACGCTGATGCGGACGGCGAAGCTGGCAAGACTGTCGCAATCAAGGTTTCCGATATCGATGAGATCAGCGGCATCTTCCCTCCCGAAATGGCCGACACGCTGATCGCCGTGTTACAAAACGGCAACACGCAAAACTACAACGTCGTCGCAGCAGAAGTCACTGACATCGCTGCCTCCGGCTACTCGGCAAATGAGGTCCTGCTCGCCTTGTACAACAAGATCATCTACGACGATTTAGTGGACTCTCGAAAGAAGAACAAACTCACATTGCTTTTCTCAGAGATGGACAAGCGACTGATTGATGGCGTCGATGAGCATCTCACTATGCTGGACATGTCCCTGCAGATTGCTGGTCTCCTGGTCGAGAGATGAACAGCGCTGCTCTTCCGCACAACATCTCGAACGAGGCTGCTGGATGACGATTGTAGGACTTGATCGCGGCTGCAGAAGTACTCGCACGATTTACGACTAAAGTACCTTACTGAGCGGGAATGGTTCGCTGGAATCTCTAGTTGCAATGACTGCAAATGACTGCTGGATTATTCTTCTGCTGTGTATTCCCCGAATCTGTGATCTCTCAAAATCAGACTTGCCTTCCCACTTGTCCGGCAGGACAGTGAGGAGTGCTTCCACCGAAAAGACGCCACAGCGGTACAAACTTGGCCACATGTAGGGGCTGGTGCGAGGCAACCTGGGGTGGGTATTGTGCAAAACTAACATCAAGGAGACATTTCAATGCTGCCACTGACATACAAGCTTGGACATCTCAAGTCCATTTATACCTTCGTCGTGCTTCCGTCCGACACCAGACTCGAATGCATCTCTACCTCTATGACTGCCGCTTCAGCATGCGGCCCAAGGCTCGTTGCAACCACTTCAAAGTGTATTGTAGTGTGCCAGCTCTGGAGAGCTCTATACCAGAACCGTGCTGAAACGATACCCGGAATAAATAACGAGCTCTAGCAGCAAGGGGAAGATGTTTCCGTTGGACCTCATGGGCGTTCATATACCCCAGTTTCGAGCCCTTCGGAGGACCAATCGCATGGTGGCTCGGACCTGACCGAACGCACTTCTTGGCACCTGACCCCATGTATCAATGAGTCAACTTTGGCCATGTTCATCTGACGGATGGGTCCACCAGTCTTCTACAATAAGTCTATATAGTATTGTTGCTCGTTGCTGTCTAGCTGACCGTACCATCTCTCTGTTTAACACCTATATCGCTCTCATAATGTCTTCGACTTACGACCTCTCCGCCGAAGAAATCAGCAAACTGGCGGCGCTGGCCTCAGAAGCAAAACAGACAGCCTACTGTACCACTTCCAACAAACAAAGCAGAACCTCTCATCTCCAGGACTGATAGCCCCTACAGGCCCATACAGCAACTTTCGCGTCGGCGCAGCACTCCTTTTGGTACCCCTCCACCCCCTCGCCCAATTTCACAACGTATCCACCTCCCTAACCATCATCCTTTTCTTCACAACAGGATACTGGCGCCTATCACACCGGCGCCAATGTCGAAGTCGCTTCCACGCCCGTCGGCATCTGCGCCGAGCGCTGCGCCATCGCCCCCATTGTCGCCTCGCTGAAACGGCCCGACATGCCGCTCATTCGCGGCCTGGCCGTCAGTACCGACATCGACCCGCCCGCCAGCCCTTGCGGCATGTGTAGACAGTTCATCAATGAGTTTTGCTCCACGAAGATGAAGGTGTGGATGTATGGGAAGAGTTGGGATGAGGGGAGCAGAGGGGAGGGGGAGGTGACGGTTATGACGATTGGGGACTTATTGCCGCTGAGCTTTAATGGGCGGGATATGGTGAGTGTCATCTTGCTCGAGGCCTAGGGAGTTTTGGCATGTGAACACGTGCATGTGCATTTAGCTAATGAAGACGATATAGGATAAACGAAAGAAGGCTGCTCCTACGACTGTGTAGGCTGCTCCTCCCGCTGAACTGGGTCGGCTTTGCCCTGGGGTTGTGATAGACGAACGAGAGATCGATTCTGTCGAGTACGTTTGATAGATAAGCAGGTTTCCCCCGCATGCAATGCATGCCGGTGCGTTGGAATCTTGCGACGAACTATGATCAGAAGCGAGCGTAAAAGCCAGTGTAGCATGGGGAATGTCTGATTGAATTCTCCCAAAGCGCGAACCGCTAATCTAGATTCTTCTGTCTATAACCAAAACACCTCCCATGACTCGCTGATGAAGACGGCACACACCACAACCATAACAATGCTACTCCGCCACAAGTACACCGCGATATTTCATGTCCCCACTGCCCAGCACCCGGAACGCCTCCTCAATCCCCTTCTCATTCATCTTAAACTCGTTAATCATGGGCTTGATACCATGAAACGCGCTGAACTCGAGCATCTCCCGATGCGTCTGACGATCCGCCACCAGACTGCCCTGAATCCTCAACGCCGCCAAGATGACCGGCATGACGGGAATATCCAGATTCCCAAAGCTGACCGTCAGCGGATAGATCGCGCCTCCGGGCGCCATGAGCGGCAGGTAAAGCTTCCAATCCGGCATCTCACTCGTACACACCAACAAGTGGTCCACGGGCCGACACTGCAGCTCCCCCTCCTTGACGCCCTTCATGGCATAAAACTCCTTGGCGCCCAACCTCATCGCCTCCTCCCTCTTACTGTCCGTCCCCGAGAACACCACGACCTCACAGCCAAACGCCCGCGCGTACTGGATGGCCAAATGCCCCAGGCCGCCCACGCCCAGCACGCCCACGCGCTCCGTGCTCTTGACGCCATACAGCTGCAGGGCGCTAAACACCGTCGCGCCCCCGCACTGCAGCGGCGCCGCGTGCGCATTGTCGATGCCCTCAGGAATCTTGTACACAAACCCCTCGTGCCACACGGCATGCGACCCCATGCTCCCCTGATCCAGATCCGCCGCGCCGTACATCTTGCGCTCCGGACACAGCGTGTCGGCCCCGCGCAGACACTGCTTGCAGTGCCCGCAGCTGAAGTGGTTGTAGCCCCAGCCGACGCGGTCGCCGGTCGCGTGGAGCGTCACGGCCGAGCCCACTTGTTCAACCACGCCGGCGCCCTCGTGGCCGAGGCCCTGCGAGACGTGCTTGAAGTGTACGTCGGTGCCGCAGAGGCCGCTGTGCGTGATGCGCACGAGGACTTCGTGCGGGTGGATGGGGCGGGAGGTGGTGGCTTTGGTGATGGCGCCGTTGGAGGAGCCTTTGTAGACGGTGAAGTCGACCATTGTGGCGGTGATGGTGGAGAGGAGTCGGACTGAGGGTTGGAGGGTTTGTGTTTACTTGTCAAAAATGGGGGGATTGTTGCTTTGGGTACGCTTCGGATCAATGTAGCAGCAGTAGCAGTAGTAGTAATAAAGACTGGATTTACAAACAAAAAATCGAGGATTTCCACACGGCAGCATTGAATGTCCAGCTTTTTATATCTCCCACGCCGTATCCGCCACTTATTCACCACGTTGCGGGACAGAGATACCACTCACTACGAGTACATTCTGAGGGAACCCACGTATCGTCACGGCTCCCTTGGCAACGTCTTTGCAGGGCAAACCACGAGGCTTTGTCAGAGCCCCGATCTTTTTTTTCTTCTCTCTCCTCAAATCCCATCATTATTTCGAAGCGAGTCCATAGAAAGCCGGATATGCTGCCGCATTGGTCCCTCGCAAACTTTCCCGCAGGATGTGTAGATCCCGACCCAGTCGATGACAGAGCGATGACAGGTTTTGTATGGAGCCTTGCAGGAGAAAATCTCAAATTATTATGGTATGCAAGATCGTTAGGGGGGTGTCGGATATCGGATGGTGACGTTTAAAAGTGGACTAGACCCAGTATTACTTAGGTCCGGACCCGGTACCGTGAAACACAGGTTTGTCAGGTCGTGATTGGTAGACGGCTGCTATACCCGAAGGAGAAGGCCTCGGTTCCTGCATTGGGACAAGCGCCGGCGGTGCCACGTGGCTGCGTTCGTGCCTCGGTGTTTCAGTTCGGTGTTTCGTCGGGAGGATTTTTGTTGGGTGAACAAAGGTGTGTTTGTGTTTCTGGACTTGTCAGCTTCGGACTGTCCAGCATCTTCGACTGACGTAGAGGTTGGCAGCACGAAGCAGCCGGTCTGGCCCGGGGACCCTTGCGCGGCCAACTGTCTCGAGCATCTATGCGCCGATCAACAAGTTTGACATAAGAGCACCGCTTATGCAGCTCGCGCTGGTTGGAAAGCAATACCGGGTCCTTGATTTGGATTCACAGACCGCGGTATCGTTGCTGCGCGTCTATTGCCAGCTATAGATTATGAATTGCCCCGTCCCACCAATGATGCTATCGACGAAACTGCTTCAGAGACCGTACATGAACGTGTACTTTTTGTCAGCGTAGCGCTTGTCCGACGTGCGTTCCAACGCCACCTGCTCCGGAGTCATCCTGCTCAGCTGCGCTTTCCGCCGTTTGTTTACTGCTTGCAACGTAAAGCGGTACGCGACGTAGCCAATGAGGGCAACGGCGAGGAATGCGAGGGTCACGTAAAATGGTCTGCGAGCAGGTCAGCACTGAATTCCGGGCAAGGGCTCTGGGCAGGCTCACATCAGATAAGTCGGAGCGTATGACGCTCGGTAGACCTGCGCTCCAATGACGCCGCCAAGGTTGCCAAAGCCATTCACACCGAGGACCAGTGCACGCTTCCCTGGCTCTGGTGTGTTCCCTGAAAGCCAGGCCACAGTCAGGGGTGCGGATACATAGCTCCCGAAGAGCAGGATGCACAGTCCTGCATACTTCCCACCATTGGTCTGCACTGTGACCGTGATGATCAAGCCGACGAGTGCGATAAGCAATCCTCCCAAGATGTGGTAGCCACGCTCGCGGTGGTGATCAGAGCTCCAGGCAAAGAGATATAGACCCACAGCTCCACAAATATAAGGCGGAACCGACATCAGGTTGGCCTCGATCGACGAGTATCCTAAACCGCGGACGACGAGCGGCAGGAAGATGCTGAATGCCTGCCCAGGAACGCTTGCGAGTATGTTGAAGAACAGCACGTACCTAGTTCGTGTCAGTATTCTGTAAGAGATTCCACCATCAGAATTCGTGAGGCTCCCTTACCACAACTTCCAATCCTTACCAGTCTCCACCCAGTCCCGCCTCGTCAGACGTTCTTTCTCCACGCCACTCTCCTCGTAGACATGTTGGATGTACATCTCGTTGTCTTTGCGAATCCGGTCGACGGCCATAGCTCTGTCGGATGCATTCAGGAACCAAGCCGACCCCGGACCCATGGGCAACCAAAACCAAGAAACTATGGCCAATAGACAGGTCGCAATGCCTTCAATGACGAACAGCCACTGCCAATTGCTCAGTGGCCCGCCTCGGATGTGGAATATACCAAACGCTATCGATCCTCCAAAAGCTCCAGCCACGGCGTACTGCCCATAGAACAACGCGATGCGGACAGCGAGTGAGTACCTTGGGTACCATGTTGAGAGGTACGCAACCGCTGTTGGATAGAAACCAGCCTCAAAAGCGCCGATCAGAAGTCGAATGGCAATGAGCGTCGCTTTGTTATTCGTCCATGCCTGCGCGATTGTCAAAGCACCCCAGCCCATCATGATGATCGGGATCCAGTTTTTGGCACCTAGCAACCTTCCCATAGCAGCTGAGACGGGCTGAAACGTCACGAAAGTAACAAAGAACAAGCTGACGGCCGAATTGAGATCGTCAGGACGAACACCAATGTCGCGAGTGAAGCCTGACAGTGGTCAGCATGACGTTCCCGTGCCGAGGTCGGACGTGTACCTTGTGTTTCTGCATTTCCCACGTTCGAGCGATCCAAGCCGTTAAACAGGTAAAGCAATGAGAGGAACGGGAGTAATGCAACGTCCATCTTCCGGTTTAGAGCCTTGTTCTTGGCTTTCTCCTCAGGCGTCTCTGGAACATGTCCGATGGGGACATTGCTGGCATGACTGAGCTCATCCTGGAGCTTAGTCGAGGCAGTCTCGACTTGGTCTACACGGTTGAACGCCTTGGCAGACTCGACAGCTGTTGACATGTTGGTTATGCTACCGGCGAGATGGAGTCGTGGGGCGGACGTTGTGTCTTATGTACATCGCACGTCGGATGGCTGGCCGTATCGAGTCTAAAGATTGTAGCTAAGAAGGTCTAGCGGTCAAGCAGCATCGACACGGCAGGCAAATTGAAAGTCGTTCGAATGACCAAGTACGACACTGGTTATTGTACTCCGACTGCACCCTTCGTGACGATCCGATGTAGGCCAATTCGTAACAGAAGTGTAGGTTATCAACTGTAATGACCTAGATTGACAGCAACAAGATCGTCCGAGCTGTTCCCGAGCTTAGCAGGTGCGATGTTCGGCCAGGGTGCAGTACCCGAGGACTTCTTGTTTCATAGGTATTTGCGGGGAATGGTCAGACGTGTCCGCTGAGCCATCTCCAACTAGCTGTATTGCACAGACTCAGAATCCAGCAGGATGACGGCCTCAAGCACGAGGATAGCAGGAAATCGGTGCGGGGGGTGGACCATCGTCTCCACGCCAAGCCGTAACAGTGGGGGAGATGGGTACTGTACCCAGGTATGGGGTTCACTTCTCCAATCTGACTTCTCCTGGGTGGCTCGGCTGGCCAGGGAAGTGTAGCCGTATTAGCCTCATCTGCTCGTCAGCTAGTCGGAGTACTCTCCCTCATTGACCTCCTGTTGCCGGGCCACCGTCTGAGCTCCGCAGTTGATCGTGTTATATCTGTGCGGCGGAAGCTGACGGCTTCACCATGTCGCGTGGCAAGGATTCGTGTTGCAGACCAAGCGTCGATAATGGGCTCAATAGATCACTCGCGTGAGGCTTTGAACCGGCGCTCGAAGACAGTCGACATTGGATATGAAGGGACTTCGGTCTCTGTGAATCCTACAACGGGAAAGGTGAGCCAATCCACGATTCGCCTATTCCAGCCCTAAGTCTCCTGCCAGATCTTGGGGTTGACCACATTTCATCCTAAACATGGCATCGTTCTTGCAGAGCCCTATGAGCAATTCTGCGGGGACAAATTCCACGACGCAGAATACGTGCGCAAACACAGGACCCGAATGCTGGACTCTCTGGCGTCAAGCAGCTCTCGAGGATATGGCGTTTCTGTTGATATTGGGCCGCCGTCCATGTCTCTGGTAGAATACGACGCTATGAACCACGCCACAATCAGACAAAGCTTTGGAGATGGAATTCGAGTGTCGATGACAATCGTTGTGGCAAGAGAAGGGCAAGTTCTTCAGCGTTGTGAAGTAGACAACACGCGAGACGTGGACGCTGCCGTGCCATGGGCTTTCGATGCCAACATGAGCGTGAATCGTGCTTCATATGGCCAGCTCACTGAGGGGGGGCCAATAAGCCTTCCGCTGTCTGAGAACCAGGTATCTCACCTCGCCGAATACCAAATACTGGCAGTCGTCGCCAAGCATTTGGAGGCTCACTTCGTATGCGCGGTTGAGATTGACGGTAGAGCGTTGTCATTCGGCAACTCCATCCAGCAACAGACATGTGTGGGTAAGCCTGTACGTGGGCAGATGAAGGGGATCCTCAGCATTCCAGGCAAAACTTCCAAAACCCTGGTTGCCAGATATTGTCTGCGTTCTGGAGTGTCACCAAAGGTAATGCAGGCTGCGTCGTCTTTCCCGAGTGAGAGACCTTCCATTCGCTTCTGGGTAGGCCATGAAACTAGGGCACAGTTTTTGGTTCGGAGGAACCTGGACTACATCCTCGGCTGCTGTTCAGTCGTCATTCCTGGTTCAAGGGAGATCGTCTGTATGCTTACCGACCACGTAGCGTTGCCATTGGGTTGGAACAGGGATAACTAGTAAGTCTGCCGTCCTGTAAAGTTTTCTTAGCTGATAGTTAGTGTAGCTGGCAGGCGCGTTTCTTGATGGATGCACGACAAAGCCTCCATAAAATAGCTGCCAGCCAAGATGCAGCGAGATACACTCAGCAGATTGAGCGAGTCCTGCGAGGGCACCTGACGTGGGTGTTCGATCTTGCCGAACGTCCCCACGGATATTGGCATCGGAGCTATCTTGCGACTGGCAAGCCAAAGGATGGTCCTGTATTCCAGCTTGATCAGCAATGCTACCCCTTCCTGGAATTAGCGGACTTGTATGACATGTTCCCGGAGCAGTCGGGCTTTGTCAAAGAGATGCTGAGCCAGCCTGTCGTAGACGACTTCGTTGGGCTGGTAGCTTCGAAGACCGACGGGGCAACGGGACTGGTTGCAACAGAAGAGACTCCAGGAGATGATCCAGTCGAATTCGAGTTCCATTTCAGCTCACATGTGCTCCTCTGGCATACACTGACGCGCCTAGGTGCTCTGTTACGAAGGATAGAGCCTGGGCAGTCTCAGATTCTTGTCCGGATTGATTCATTGGCAACCTCCTTGCGCAAGGCAACGTTGGCACACTTTCTACAACAGGATCAACAGAGTAGTGAATGGATGTATGCATACCTGACCGACGGTCACGGAGCGTTCCGGATGTACCACGATGGGAATGATGTGGTCACTCTTTTCGCCAGAGAATGGGGTTTCTTAGAGTCCGAGATTGAGATGGCTGCCTGGGAGAACACGATGCGATTCGCGAACTCGAGCAGGAACGAAGGCGGCTATTGCAGCAATGGGCCATACGCAGGGCTTGGCAGCGTGCATTCGCCTGGGCCTTGGCCATTGGGGTATTACCAGACCTGGCGTTTTAGCCAAGTGGTTGGCGATCACCAGCTGGAGCAGAAGCTTTGGAAACAGATATGCGATGTTATGCAACGCGATGGCACATTTCCCGAGGCGGTCGATGTTGTGACAGGCGAGTGTACGAGCAAGGCGTGGTTCAGCTGGCCGGGATCAATGATTGGCAGTGGCTTGCTCCGCCAAGAGAACCGTGGAAAATACCTAGAAGCGAGTTCAGAGCACTGCATCGACTGTTGAGGTGAAGCAGCAATGGGTTCATGATGGCGGGTCGCCTGCCATCCACGTTGCAGTAATGACCTACCATAGATCCACAGCATACAGCGTGTGACCATCAGGATATTGGCGATGAGACGTGTCTCGGAGTGACATACAATGGATATAGAGCTTCCCGTCAATTAGGTTACACTGGCTTCCCAAGTCGCGGCAGCGAGATCGAAGGGAGGCTTCCAGATATTTCCAGTCGAGTCGTACGAAGTGGTTTATTGGGAGAAAAAAACGTGCCTGCGCAACGTGGGGAGGTGGGGTTGTACCTGCCTCGTGCATGCCATTTCTAGTGGCTTGGCAGCCAAGATCCGGGGCTCGGTCTTCACCAGAACTGCTGGCTTCCTGTCCGCCTATCTTCGTCTCCGTCTTCACTTCTTCTGTCCTTCAGAGTATCCTTGTTGGTTCGTCCTTCAATAAGTAGGCACCGGCTGGAACTGGTCTCTCCACGTTTCTCAGAGCGGCAATTCCTCGCAAATGTCGTGTTGATCTTGCGTTTCGTCTTGAAACCTTCCTAACCTCGAATCTTCCCAGGTGCCGCCTTCAGGCTTCTTCACCCCCGTCTGAATCCAACATGCCTGTTTCTGCACCAAGATATGTCTTCGGCGCCAATATCTGTCAAGTCTCAGTCCAAGCGTCTTCCGGTCAACCCACGGCGACATAAGGTGCCTCTGGAGTCCCGGAAGCGTGTCACTCAGGCGTGAGCCATCCAATAATTCTATGTTGTTGCATGTAATGCTGATGCCGCTCTGGATGTAGGTGTAATCCATGCAATGTCAGGCGCGCAAAGTGCTCCGGGGGCCAACCATGTGAGAGATGTGTCAGAGCGTCACGAGAGTGTCAGTACCCCCTCCTCGGAGAGTCCTTGACGGTCAAAAAATCCCAATACGAAGCGCTCCAGAAACAGTGCGAGGTTCTCAGGCAACAAGTTCAGCAACTGGAAAGAAGCAGGACCGTTCCCCAGCCCCATCGGATGTCTACTGGCTCGACCAGCCACCTTGACCCAGAGAAAAGTCGTGGCCATGTGCCTGTACGCCTGGAGGAGCCGGACGCACCACGAGAGGGCCGAATCTTGTTGGACGCTTATGGCCAAAGCCGCTATCTAGGAGAAAGCTCAGGTGCAACATTCCTCAATCACATTCGGGAATACATGGCCACTGTATTTCCCATTGCCTTCAATACTGCCTGGCCAATAACCCAAGCGACGGATACCAAATTCATCTCGGCATTGGGACATTATCAGACTCATGATTCTCGGCCTCTACTCGTTTCATCACCTGATCATCTGATGCCCTCAATTGAGCAGGCTAAGCGTATGCTGTCTGAACTCAGTCACTGGACTCGCAATGGCTCTCACACCGCCATTTCTGGTGGCATTTTCTACTGGGCTAATACCGAGTCGCTGTTGGCGGAATATGAGCTGCACCTTGCCGATCCGCGATCGTCGGAGCTCAGCCGCAACCTTGCACTCATCAACGCTGCATTCGCTGTGGCCTGCCAATTTAACCCCGATTGCGCACCAGAATGGGATGCAGGCGACGGCCAAACATTCTTTGCCAGAGCCCGTGCTCTGGTTGGCAATCCGCTTGACATCGCAAGTCTCAGTGATGCACCCGTCTTGACCTTGCTTGGATTCTATCTGGTGAATAGCTACCGCCGAGATGCAGCTTATATGTATATCTCGGTTGCCCTGCACATTCTGATCGTCCATGGCGTTCACAGAGCCTGGTCTATCGATGAAGATGGTAAGCGAAAATTCTGGGATGTCTATAACTTGGACCGCTGGCTCAGCTGCACTATGGGAAGACCTGTCATGGTTGTGGAGGAAAGCATTCAGCTGGACGTCCCACGGCCTGCTCCAGGTCTGCCACAGCCTGATGGTTTACGAGCGCATGTTGAACTATCCAAGATAACGCACTATATCGCTGCCAACGTATATGGCGTCTCCAAGCATATAGCAGAACCACACAGTACGGCTCTCTGCATTCACAGGGCGTTGAGTATGCTCAAGTCTTGGGAGTATGACCTCCCAGATTCCTTGCGCTATGTTGAACGGAGCAATGATCAGGATCATGCTGCTTACGACTTGCAGATGGCAGCAAATCATTTGAAGATCCTCGCCGTCAGAGCCTGGTTATTCGATTCTGTGAAGAGAGCAACCGCCAACCTCTGTTTACGAGGCCGACGAGACGATACCGAGTCTGCTCATCACAACGAGATCGACCTGGCTGTTGCGGCAGCGAGACAGACTATAGTGATTTTGAGACATCTTGTTGAGATTCGAAAGCCAAACAACCTGGTGCACACGAGCATTCATCACATCTTCAATGCGGCCTTGACACTGGAATTGTATCAGATACTCTGCGTCAGCGACCACACACCCGATCGTGAAAGCATCCATTACATCATATCGCTTCTAGAGATTCAGAATGGGAGCAACAAGCCTTTCGCCAAGGACTGCGCCGGTGTGCTATCTGATCTTGCCTCCATGATGGTAAAGCTGCGCAGCAGCGGTGGACAGCTTCAACACCTGGCCAGGTACAAAGCTGCCCATGAAGAAGAATCCTTACCGGTTGGCGGAGCTAGTCATTGGCATGGGCCAAGTACGTGGGCGCACAATTCCGTTGAACTCCTTCCAAGTCGACTTCCGGGTACATCAGAGACATCACCAACCGCGATGATCAACAGCGAAGATCGGCAGAATGCCTACGACGAAATTGTCTCCTGGCTTTAGGCGGGCCACCTTCGTCCAAGGTCCCGGCCAAATTTGGTATCGTGGGGAAGCTGACCGGGCGACGTGCATGGTGGATCTTGTGTCGAAGTCTGTTGAGACGTCCACGAGCGTAAGCTGGCCGCTCACGTGACACTTGCACACCCACAATGTAGACACTCTTTGCGTGTCTGCATCTGGACACTATAAAAAGCCACGGCAAGGTCGTGGTCCTGAGGCACGTGACGCATGTTTCGCCCTCTCGTAAGCGGCCAAGCATCAAACCGCGTATGGATTCGTCCAGGACCGTATCTGAGCTCGTTCATGTGCCGTGTGGGTAGCGCTTGTCCTGAGCCTTGGTCGCTGCAATGCACTACCAAGTTTGTCGCCACGTTCGAGGGGCGAACGAAAATCCGATGATCGAGAAACAGGAAAGACCCGGTAAGCCAGCAGACCCCTACTGCTCACTCATCACAGCCGATGGGATGCAGCAAAGCGATTGCTTATCCAGGACACTTAAGTGGCTTTTCTCAGTACCGGAGAACCGTCGTCGTCTTGCTTGGCTCACTGGAAGGGAGAAGTGCCCTAATCCTGGCGTGCTTTCAACGCCCACAGCCATGTGTCCTGAAAACGAGAACTGGCGGCTGACGAACGTGGTCCAGCATCTCGCCACATTACCGTTGACATAGGGGATTCCATAAACTGTGCAGTGCTTCCATGCAAGGCCCGTCTTCTTATCTACGACACGAGCGTGCCAAGAACAGTGATTCGCTATCGTGCTTCTGGAAGTTTTCCCACGCCACGCTCTTATCGACGCGCTCCACCACGAGCTAGGATCTCGCTGGTTGCAGAAGCTGCTATGCTCATCTTGCAACAGTGCACTACGCATCTGAGTGGTTGCGGCGCAGATCCGAGCCATCCGAGTGCCCTCGCCAACCGGCGCCTGGCCGCGCCGAGGCTGACGGTTGCATCCAAGCACGCGAAGCTCTCCAAGCAACAACCGGAAGCCGTGGAAGCACTGTGCCACGGCGCATTAGCATGCCTTAAATCCCGCTATACAAAGCTTCGCGATGATTCCTGGTTTCAGAGAAAATCACTGTGTTGATTGATATTCGACTGTTGCGTTGAGCCCTTTGCAAACGCCGCAGTCTTGAACATGGCGCCGGATTCCCAGTCGTCGAGTGATGGCCCTCCCAACAGCAAGGAGGTCTATAGGGAAGCTCCAACCCAGCCATATCATGAAGATGTCGAGTCTGGCCAGCAACAAGGACTTCTACATAAGAACCTGCAAGGTCGACATATGCAGATGATTGCGATCGGTGAGCAGTGCCGCCTTGCGGCAGCGAACACCCTAGGTCTGATCTGATCTCCAGGTGGTTCTATCGGTGCCGGCCTCTTCGTTGCCTCGGGCGGTGCGCTGCAGAGCGGTGGTCCTGCTTCCCTGGTAATCTGCTATGTCATCATTGGTGTGATGATTCTGTGCACCGTGGAGGTCCGCTTGCCTTTTGCATGCACTCTCCTTAGGCAAAATCTAACTTGTTGCAGGCACTGGGAGAATTGGCGGTGCTATATCCCGTCAATGGTGCCTTCTTCGACTATGGTGTGCGATTCATTGAGCCATCCTGGGGCTTTGCCATGGGCTGGCAGTATGCTCTTAGTTGGCTGATCATCTTTCCCTTTGAGATCACAGCTGCGGGCCAGGTAAGGATGTTATCACCTCCTATCCTTTAGCCCACGATCCTCGCTCGATTGTCTCGATCATACTGACTTTCTCGGTGGAGACAATCGACTACTGGCACCATTACAATATCGGCATTTGGATCGCAGTCTTCTTTGCTGTATTGTTTATAATCCAGCTCTTTGGCGTTCGAGGGTACGGTGAGGTGGAGTTCGTCCTCGCTGTCATCAAGATCATAGCCGTGCTTGGGTTCATCATCTTTGGCATCATTGTCGATTGTGGAGGTATGTCCTTCCCTTTCTCGTAAGGCACAACGTGCTCAGCAATAACTAGGGGTGCCTTCCGATGACCGTGGATACATTGGCTTTCGATACTGGGATAGCAGTAAACCAGGCGGCAACAAAGCGTTCAGGAATGGTGAGTGCGATCCTGTTCAAGCTTGAATCATATAGCTCACATGGCGTGCAGACTTCAAGGGATTTTGTTCAGTCTTCACCGTTGCTGCGTTCGCCTTTGCTGGTACAGAAATGGTGGGTCTAGCTGCCGCGGAAGCGAAGGATCCACGCAAGTCTCTGCCCAAAGCCACTCGACAGGTGTTTTGGCGCATCGCTGGATTCTATGTTATCTCACTTCTCATCGTTGGCTTGATCGTGCCTAACAACTCGGACGACCTCCGTGGGTCATCCGGAGCAAATACGAAAGCCTCACCGTTCGTCCTGGCCATCGAATACGCCGGCGTGTCGGGCTTGCCATCTGTCTTCAACGCGGTCATCACCATCGCCGTCATCAGCGTTGCGAACTCGTCCATATACGGCAGCACCCGAACAATGCAGGCACTCGCTTTGCGCGGTATGGGTCCTAAATGGCTGGCCTATGTCGACAAGAAGGGCCGTCCATTGTGGGCGGTAGCCATCGCCCTGGCTTTCGGTATGCTGGCTTTCGTCAACGAAGCCAAGGATGGTGGCGATGTTTTCACGTGGCTGTTGGCCCTGAGCAGTCTGTCCAACTTCTTCGTCTGGGGCTCGATCTGCCTTAGTCATATGCGATTTCGCCTTGCATGGAAGGCAGCTGGTCGCTCGCTCGATGATCTTCCATTTCGTTCAGACACGGGTTTCTGGGGCAGCGCAATCGGCTTCACTATCGTGTGCATATGCTTGGTCGCAACATTCTGTGAGTTCTTTCCTGTTCGCTATTTGAAACAGTGGCTGACGATTGGATACAGACGTCAGTCTATTCCCGATTGGCGGAGACCCCGATGCCGAAGTCTTCTTCGAAACTTATCTAGCTGCTCCCATCATCATTGCCTTGTGGGCATTCTGGAAGCTCTGGACCAGGCAATGGCGACTCTTCACACCGCTGCGAGAGATCGACATCGACACGGGGATGAGAGAGTACATTGGTAGCATGCCAGAGCCGCCGACCAACGCGTTCCGCCGGCTAGCCAAGATCATCTTTTGAGTTTCACCCATCTGCCTGAATCCATGTCAGCCTGGAGGTGGTCATCCGACCGTTGGACTTGCGGAGGAGGACTTCGATATTGAGACGTGCAGGCCACAGGCCGGATGATCAAGGTGCCCAAAGGGGTACAGTAGCTCCCTGCTCGCTCGATTGGGACTTGTCAAGGGCACCTGACGCAGGCAAGACGCCGTTTTGGGCACTACGCTTTTCCAACAGACTTTTCTCAAACACAATTCAGTCTTCAATTGGGGTGCGCATGAATCTGGCTTCTCTGGGCCCAGCCCATCGTGGTACCCTGTGCTCCGCGTCTTCAAGGCAGTTAGCATATTCGCGACACCCTCACGCCTCCTGTTACCATATGCGATGACGTTGCAGCCTCTAGCCAGCAGCAATGTCTCACCTTAGCCTACCTATCAGCTGTTGCTCGCGAATCGGCAGCTGACCCAAGGGCCTCATCCTTCCCAAAATTTGACTCATCCTTGGGCCTGTGGGCCAGCCATGCGGGGTATATCAGCCAGATCGTTGGGTCTGGAGTAGCATCGAGCGCGTTCGGATGTCTTTCAGCCCTAGATCCGAGCGAATAGCGCCGATACCTTTAACCGTGCGTGCCGCTGTACAGTCAGTAGGCCGCAAAGCTGCTACTCCGGGCACTGACCGAAGTACTAAGGTACCTAGCTTGTGAAGCTGCTTAGACTGGTTTGCAGAAGCGCAGCATCGTCGTCTAAATTTGGCCATGCTCAAAAGCTAATACTTCGTGTTCTCCGACAACTTGCAGGCTTTGTCCGGGTTTTACTGGATGTTTATCATTCTTTTGGCCGAAGCCTATTATTATGTTTGGCAACGCGTGCCTGGATCGCCTGGGCCAGAGGCCTTGAGGACAACCAACAGGCTTGACGTCGCCCGGCAGGCAGCTGTGCCGTGCCATTCGTCGTTGCTCCCAAGTGCCGAAACATCGGGTTCCGCTCGCTCGCAGCGACGGCCTCAAATGAGATGATACTTTTACGCTTTTGCCGTCGGGTGCTTCTGTGGAGGGCTGAATGTTACTTTTGTTTTTCGTATCTGACTGGAATTCGACGAAGAATAGGACGCGGCCTTCATATCTCAAACGGCCACATCAATTTGGTCGCTATCGGTGCTTGCGTGTGCTGCCAGGCCACCCCGAAGAGCCACAATCACAACTGACCCTTGCTCGGTGGACCTGTCACCCGTTGCTTAGCTTCTTTCAAGCTTCGCAAACAAGCTCCCTGCCCAATTTCTTGAGCCAGGTTAAACGCCGCTTGGGAGACGTCTGGCGTCACAGAGATCGTCCTTATCGAAATTCCCCCATGCATGTAGCTTTTGTTTGCAGGATGAGTTCAGCTTCACGGTACTACTCCGTAGCATCCCACGGTTCGCTACGACCTCACGTTTGGCCTAGTGAAAGGCGGTGATGCAGGACTTGCTGTGGCAAGGGTTAGCTGATGCGAGCCTACTACTGCCAGTCTAGGCGTTCTTCCTCACAGCCTCACTGCTATACTTCAGTGACCGGCATGTGCGGCCCTGGTCTCAAATTGGCCGGACCCACCAGGTACGGTACACACTTCGACGTGGAGTGACTGGATCCCCAGAGACCGGGTCGCACGGCCAGGCACACTACGCTATCTGCCGCATGACAACTGGCATTGCCCCATGCTTGTTCTCCTATTACTATATCTCGTCTGTGTTCCTCCTCTTGGCTTTGCTCTCCTCCCCGTCTACCCCAACTCCACCGTCGTTACCAGTATCGCCCCGTACCCTCGTTCACCAATACAGTATGAAGACTGTCATCGTCTCCGCCCTCCTGGCGACGACTGCCTTGGCCTACCCAGGTGAGGTCTTGCGCAAGCGTGCCCTCACAGCCAACGACTACGACAAGCGTACCGGTTGCCCCAAGACCCTGCCGGCGGGCCAGTTCGAGTTCCCTCACTACATCACCCAGATCTCCAAGTCCCAGCCAGACAAGAAGTTCGGCCCACAATACAATGGCGTCTTCACTCCTAACGATATCGCCTCCATCTTCAGCTTCGATGTGCCCGCCTCCCGCGCTGACGCCAACTGCACGCTCGAGTTCCTCTTCCCCATGAAGAACCAGCTGACCACATCTTCGTTCGAGTATTCAGGTGGAGGCTCGTTCTTCTTCATCGGCTACAACCCTGGCTCGTGCCCCGGTCCCGACACGACATACAACAATCAGCCCGCGCCCGGCCCCTTCCCACCATTCCCGCCCATCCACATGGAGCCCGGCAATGCGTACACGATTGACGTGGGCCCTTGCTTCGTGGGCGCTGGCACCTGTGTCGCCGGCCAGACATACACCAACGACACCAACTTCAACTATTTCCAGGACTACAATGATTGCCCGTGAGTATCCGACAGCTCTGCTTCCTGCTTGGCAAACCATAGTTGAGTCAACACTTACTAACGCTATCTCAGGATTGGTATCTACACCGAGTACAGCTACGGTCTCCCCAACAGGCCACCCCCATCTTAAGTCTGCCAGATGTACACAACGCATACGTCGAGCCATCTATCCAGCATCAAGCCGCTCAACGAGTGAACAATGCCTGGATACCGCAGCAACCCTCCAACTTCGAAGAACATATGATATATCTATCCACAAGTTGACACGCTTGTAGCTCACCTACACACACGCCTGCTCGCACAAAAGCATCAACAATCATCACCTCTACCGCCACCATTGCCTAGTGATCAACACCGCAGCTCAGCACGAGGCCTTTAACGGGCATGCATAATTCGCTATTTCGAACCTCGAGCTACAATCTAATTCGAACATGTACATGCTTTAGAATAATGAGAAATCAATAGCTACTAATGACCATTATTATCCATTGTCATGTTTTTGGACCTCATTTTGTTTTGTTCTCCCTACCCTGAGTTCTGAAACCGGATCTACGTATGTAGGGTGATGGATGATCCATTCCATGCCCAGCCCAAACACTTGCAGATCCCCGTTCACGCCCAGACTGTATCGGCAATCAACATGCCAAGACTTCTTTGCCTCTCCATCCCTCTGGGACTCCCAGAAACGCCTTAGGGTGGCCAGAGGGTCTGACTTGCAGCAGACTGCTTACGGCGCTGAGGAGCCGAGGCGCGAGGAGGGGCCTAAGCGGCTGCTGAGACGAGCGAAACTCTTGCGGGGAAGAGGCGGCGGTGGCGTTTGCTGCTTGCGAAAAAGTGACAAGTCCCCGTAGGATGGAGGAGTGGGCTGGAACGGCCAAAGGCAGATGATACCTTCAATATGGGAAAGACCCCCCCTTTCCCCAGCAGTGTGAAGCGTGACAGCCTCGTTCATACCAGAACGAGGTCTTCCTCACCCCCTTGCCAGCCTTCCACACCGTCACCGTCCCAGACCTGTCCTCTCATGACGCCCTGTATATACGCCTCTCCCACCAGCAAGAACCGCTTGCTGTCTCCCACGTTCCCCACATCGACAGGCCTCAAGACGAACGGCACCGCCGACCCCTTCGTGACGCAGCACACATCGCCAACTTGCAGAGCACGGTGCGCCGTTCCATAGTAACCTTTTGAGGTCCGGAAGAACCTGCGGTTGTGGAGTGCACGCCTCTGATTATCGAACATGGTGTGTACTTCGCTCGTCAGCTTCGCGTCCCTGTCGAGCGCGCCGTGTGTGATCAGTGCCCGATATGCGTGAAAGACGGCGCGGTGGCGCTGGCTGTCGTCTTCGGCCGGTGAGTCATCCGCGGCTCGCCCTGCAACGATGGCGAGGCTGAAGGCGTGCTCTTGCTCATCTGGAGTAGAACCGTAAGCGCCGTAGGAGACGCCGGCAGTTTGTGAGATCTGGTTCCAGAGTCGCTGGAGAGGTTGGTTCGTCAACTGCTGCTCAGTCGTGAGCTCTTCGGACAGATAGGGCTCGGACGCCCATGTTATGGTGTCGAACAGAACGCCTCGGAGATGTAAAGAACAAGTCTCGGCATGATATTCGCTTGTGAAGCTTGAGCTGTCCGGTCCGCCCGCACGGTACCACATCTCGGGGTAACCAAGCCAGTAGACACGGAATCCTTCGTCCCACCGCGGGACCCACGACGGACGGTGTCCCGTCATAGACTTTGAGTCGGGCGCGTGATCTGAGCACGAGAGGACCGTCCATGGCTGAGGATCTGTTTCCAGTATCCGAACAGCAGTGTCGAGATACACTTGATCAACGGATGCATTGTAGTCCGGGGTCAGTAGCTGACCGGGGCTATCTCTAGCCACATTATCCGCGCTTGGATGGCTGAGAAAAGCATAGACATGGTCTCTGGGGTCTGTGGTTCCAAAATAGCGACCATTGTTCAGAATGCTGACGAAACTAGGCTGGATTTCGGGACGGCTGAAGGACCTTGTATACGGCAGCTCATTCCGCCAGCTCGTCGGGTTGTTGTAGACACGCCAGAGGTCTTCCAAGGTGTCCCAGATCAATCCAGAGTTCAGTATGCCGGTGTGGGCACGGATATCGGAACGTAATGCAATCAGAAGCATGAGTTCGACAAGGTAGGCCCAGTTCATGCACGCGTGACCCCACTGAATGACTGCTGCTTGCGCCAGTCCAGTCTCTTGGAGAGTCCACGTTCTTGTCAGGTACGAATTGGCCATGAGTGTCTTGACTGAAGCCCACCTGACCGGCCCAGATGCGATCGGCCCGCCATCGGCAGGAAGTGGCGGAACGTCGTCAATGCTGCCGTGCATCTGTATTATCTCGTCGAGTGTGACGGTCGTGCGTTCGATCAACCTGAAGCACTCCTCTGCTTCGCGAGTGGCATCATCACCAAGCCAGACAACCACGCGCTCGGCCGCAGCATAGATATCGCCCATCTGCAACACTTGCAAGCTCTTCTCTTGCTTGTCTGCCTGATTAATGCATATGGCGTCGGCCCACATGGCGCGAGAACTGTCTCGGCGGCGCAGACGTGCAAGGGCCGACGCCAGATTCGACCCTACCCGTAACTTCTTGCCATCGCATTCGATCTCCGGCATCTGATCAAGTCCATCGATGCCCCAGACATAAGAGAGCGCCTCAAAGGGCCGTTCAACATCATCGATTCTCTGCAGGCGTAGGTTGCAACACAAGGGCCCCGCACCGGCCTCAAGCAGCAACACCCTTATCCACCCCTTCTCGGGCATGTCGCCATACTGGTAAGGCTCGCAAACAGGAGGAGCTGCCTGAAGTGTCACGTGTCCGGCGATGTCGCGGGTTGCAGTGGTAGTAGTCATATCCCTGAAGGTGGGAAATGAAGAACTGCCTCAAGCAGCGGCAGGATGCGAGGCAAACCCTAAGTATTCGGAGAGAACTCGTTTGACCAGCACTGCATGATGGGAAAGGCTTCGAGGCCAGGCCCTTTCATGTTATCTCGCGCGCGTGGGGAATCGTGCCAAAAGATGCAAACGCCACAGGAGCTGCGACAGAGTCGAGGCCACGGGGAGTGGTGCAACAAGCCCAAGCCCCAGCTGCAAGCTATCAGTTCAGGGGGGTGGCGCGTCGGGTACCCAATGAACTGCGCGAGTGGTGGTCAAAAATGCGATAGGGGCTGCTGGCATCACATGGGGGGTTTTGTTGCTCAACTGAGATAGCTTTTCATATCGTGAGGGACTCTAACCTGGCTCGAAAGCTGCTTCACGGCAGTAGATCGATTTCTCTTCAATATGAGCTGATTTCTGGGTCTCAAGGGCAGGTGTCGCGCTTAGGTTGTACCTCGGCGGATTTCCATCCAAGGTCGTCGCCAGTCCAACCCAGCGGTGCGCTGCTACGCATAGACACGAGATCGTGAACAATCCGACGTATTCTTTGCCCTTGGCACCTTCAGTACGGGATGCAGGCACGTACGGACGAGAAATTGAATGCGGGGCACAGTTGCGCCGACTTCAGCCTGAGGCTGCCTGGCCAAACCCTGCACGACGACAGCCCCATTGGTCCCCCGCGACATTGACGAGCTTGGCGCCATGGTAGAAGCCTGGGGTGAGCAGCAGACAACATGTTGGCGGGTAAGTAGAGGTAAAATCTGCGTCGGGCTCACGTGGGCGCTCACCGCCCGCGCGCCGCTTTTAAGGTCGCCGCACCCTCGACGCACCCTCACCTCACCCGCTCCTCACCTTCCACTCACCTTCCCAGTCAAACCCTCGCCCGTCCGCCGCACCGTCCTCGCGACGTGATCCACCGCGCGACGCGGCGCTCCCAAACCATGTCCCAAAATGGGCGACAGCAGGCCGTTCCCCATTCTGGGACCTCCCAATGCACGGCCGAGCCACCTTTCCCCTGGCATGATGGCAGACACAAATACCTGGCGTCCAGCCGACTCGCGGCTGCTCCCCTCCTCGTCTTTCCTCCTTCCTCCTTCCTCTCCTCTCTCTTTCCATCACCTCTGCTGCCTCAATTAGTGGCTCCCGTCGCCTGCGCCTCTCCGTAGCACCCACCACCCACCACCCTAAGCCAGCCCGTGCCACCTGGCACCCATGGCCGAACCGACCGCCGACGAACTGTTGCTGGCCCGTGCTGAAGCCAACGGTTACCGGCGAGGGGCGCACAGGGAGGCCGATTAGCTCTGCGGCCGTGAGAAACATGTGACCAAGACGAAGAAAGATTAAGACCGCACTCTGAGACGCTATGTCCTGTGAGTTTGGCCCAACCCCTTCCACTTGTACTTTGTTCTTGGGTAACCTTTGACACTTGCTCTGACTCTGTCTCTGTCTCAGATGGCACCTCTCAGAGATGAGGCGGAAACACGCGCAGAAAGGGTTCCCTCCCCCGGACATGGATATGGCGCGTGACCAGTGCCTCCGACCTGGAATTACCGCCCCCGACCTTGTGAATGTGAAGGACTTTGTCCGATTCTATATCTCGACCAGCAAGCCTCGCCTGGATGCCTACCGACTGACCGTTGATTCTATCAATACCGTGATGGAATGGTTCTTTGCTGGCTTCACTCGCGTCACTGGCACCGAGACTGTTGAAACCAAGCAGAGCCAGAAATAATACACAAGACAAACCATACAACAAGGGCCAAAAAAAACACGGACACCGACCAGAAGAAGCACCAAAACTGATATACCAAAACGGGTACGCACAAACAGGGTCAAAGAGAGACATGGCACCAAAAAACAGGCCCCAAAACAAAAAGAGGATGACCACAACAACCACCAAAAAAAGCGAGAACTCCAGACCCAAAACGATCCTCGACACAGTAACGAAAAAAAACCCGCCAAGCCAACATATACTAGACATGGGGACTCAGAGACCGGAACCCACCAAGGAGCAAGCCGCAAGAGAAGCCCTAACGACCACAAACAAACCACACAAAGCACACACCATGAAAGTCCTCGAAGAGCACAACGACAGGACGGGACGCGACCGCAAAAGACCGGGGAAAAGCCTACAAAGAGCCCCACCGACAGACCAGATCAACGGGGGGCGAAAAACAACGGACAACCCAAAAACCAGAGGGACGGATCTACCACTACCCCAAAACTACAAGCCAGCCGGGAACCGACAAGCAAACTTCACGAAGCACAGACGGAGCCAACGTAAAAGACAAGCACAGACTGCTGAACAAGAATGACGCGTGCAAACCCGCCATGCGAATGCCGAAACGAGCTCAAGGTCAATAACAGGCACTTGCCGATCCACAAGAAAAGAGCAGCAAACACCGCCACGACAAAATCACCCCCCAAAGTAAACACATCGCCGTACCCAAGCCAATCCGTCGAAAAAGCACCAAGAAAGAGGCGGACACTCAACACAAAATGGCCCGAGAGGCTGGCAAAGAGAGCAGGAGGAAAAGCCAGAAGAAACCAGGCGATGATGCTCGCACAAAGAGACACGCGATCAGCCCGAAACCTCGGAAAGAGAACGATCGCAAACACCAACAGCAATCAGCGCAAGCCAAAAACCGAAAACTCTACAAACCCACCACCCAAAACCCGACACCGCTCACGAACAATCAAAGCACCCAACACAAGACAAACCCCCAGCCAGAAGCCAGAACCACGGACCAAAATAGTCCACAATGGAAAGAAAAACAACAGCCCGAGCTAAAGAAAGAGATCAACCAAAAACCGAAGATGGACAAACCTGGGACAAGGGAGCCAAAGGAGCACAACAGGCACCCCGACCCGCAAACCTTCAAGAGGCACGGAAAAATAAACAACAACTCAGACAAATCAAAACCCAAATCAAAAACACCGCCAAACACAAACCCAGCGACGACAATCGAAATAAACCAAAGAACAAAAAACAGGCTCACAACAACCGAATCAAAACGAAACAGCCACGTCGCTACCAAGAGCACTCGCCCCGACACCGACCAAAGAGCAAGACAATGACCCCGGACAAGCAGACGCCACACGACCAACAAAAAAACCAAAAAAAGCAGAACAACAACCAACTGAGACGCAAAAGAGCCCGAAGCAACCAGGCAAAAGCCCAAGAGGAGGACCTAGAACCACGAGCCACCACGCACGAACCACAGAACCAGAACACAAGACGGGTTGAACACATAACAAGTCACGACAATCCAAAGGCCACCCAGCTTGACAGCACGTGCCCCAAAACAACCCAACAGAGGCAATGAAAAACGTTAAATCGAGACAGCCCAAACACAGGAGGAGCTCCGAAACGAACACAGCCTCCCGAAGCAGAAGCCCAGCAAACACAATAAGACAGCTACCGACGGGGACATAACAAACCATCGCCCCCATCCGAAAAAAGACCTCCACAACTGCAAACACAGTCCAAGGCCGGTCATACGAGAACACAGGAACAAAAACCGCAAGAAGCACCAGGAAACCCAAAAAACCAAGCGGGGAGCAACAGTCACTCACCGACACACCGCGACGCCCCAGGGCGAAGCTACAAGAGGCATCGCAAAAGAAAAAACCATGAAAAGGCCCGAACCCCTACAAGCGACGACACCAGAGAACCAACAGGGCGGTCACGATGAACAACAAACCAAACTCGCCCGATCGCAAAGCAAATGAACACAAACACGTTGCACGACGTCCAACTCCGACAACAACGCCGAGTTCCCAGTCCATCGAAGGAAAAAAAAAAAAAAAAGACAGACACACCACGAAAAGAAAACCCACAAGAAGCCACCCACAAAGAACCCTAACCCCAACCTACCCGATGGAGCAAAACCACAACTGAGCTGGCCACGCAAACGCAAACAGCCAATTAGACCCAAAACACTCAAACACAAGACGGCAAAGAACACAGACCAAACACACAGAGTCACGGAGGAGACAACATGCCGGCTCCCCCCCAAGCGACGCCACCACTCACCACCAGCCAACGCCCCCATAACGCTGACCAAGAAACACCAATGCGCAGCCGGCAACCCGCCACCACGCAGAAAGCCACAACCAAAGAACTCCGAACAACAAATGCACCAGACAGACAACAACAAAACAAGGATCGAGGAAGACTACAATCCACACGCACCAAGAAGCACCACACCAGAATGCAAAGAATGCACACACACACCCCAAGAAGACGGCAAACAAACCAGCATAAGCCAAAACAACCACGCAAACCCGAAAGCCCCAAAACCCTCCCCCAAACACACGCCGAGTGACAAGAACGGGACAACCCTGCACAACTGAACACCTCAACAGACACGCAGTACCCCCGAGAAGCCCACCAAAACACCTCCCAAAGAAATCCGCAAGAAAGCAGCGACTAGAGAAGGAGACCCGAGTCACGCCCAAACAACACCACAGAAACAGAACCAACTCAACCACCCCAACAAAACACTGCATCAAACCAGCCCAAAAGCAACACAAAACACAGGCAAGAAGACGACCACAACAAACACCCAACAAAAACCCCAGAGAAGGCAAAAAACGAAAGACCTCAAACACAAACAGGACAGAAGAAAAAACAGAACCGCAAAAGGTACAGTCAAAAGCACACAAAAAAAAACAGAGCGGTACAAAGCCAAGGCGATCAAAAAAAAGGACGAACTCCGCACGCGACGCCCCTAGCCACAAACAATATAGCCCAACAACCACAACTGGTGCAACGCCCGAACAAACAAATAAAAGACGCACCCCCGCAAAAAATGCAACCGTTGTACAATACCAGACAAAAAAACGAGGACCAACGATAACAACAAACACCGAGGCCCACACTCCACCGCCACAAAAAACAGCACCAACCAAACGAACCACATGCAGTCAGGGCACTCGGCAAGGCAACGGAACCCATCAGCGAAACTAGGGCTCCAAGCGGCGCAGCATTCGAAAAACGCAGCAGAGTCAAAAAAAACGACAAATCAACCGGCGAGACACAGCCAGCCAAACAGTAAACAAAAAGTAAAAAAACCAAAGATCACCACAGAGCAAATAAAACAAGTAAAGCATGAGCCACAACAACTCCCAGGCCACTCTCCGACCAAGAAAAAAGAGCCAGCACAGCCGCGGAAGAGAACAAAGTCCCCCAAGGCAGACTCCAAGCACACACCCAGTGCGGGAAAAAAAACCATAGAAAAAAGACCACCAAAAGCCAGCAACACAAGCACAGGCGCAAATTCGGCAATTACAACAACTCAACCACCACAGCATAGGTCTGTCACAATGGATAAGCCCAGATATAACCTGAAAAACCCGCACCAAAACACGCCACAACCACCACAACACACTGTCACCGTAACCGAGACAAAAGACAACAGAAAACGCCAAGACACTCACAAAACAACAAAGCCGGTCCTGAGAACGAAGAACCAGCGAAAAACAGCCAAAAGACCGAAGAACAATCCAACAGTCCAAAACAAACAGCAAAAGCCGCCGAAGGCCAGATCATAATACACAACAGACGCAGACAAAAACAACAGCGAAATAACCAGACTAACTCCAAAAAACAAACCCAAACCGAAAACGAACAACACGCAACAAAAAAAGACCAAGGAGCCATCGGACAACCCACGACAGCAAAACCAACAAAAGAAGAAGAACGCTAAATCAACAGAGGAACGAGCAATACCCGCACAACCAAACGCGCTAAAGAAAACAAAACGAAAAGAAAACGCACAAAAAAAGCCCAACACGAAAACAAAGCGCCCACAACCGGAGAACGGACGCAAATCAAAACAAGCAAAGCGCAAAAAAAAGCGCATGCTTCAAATGGCCCCAAGACCAAATCAGACCAATGCAGACAGCCCCAATAGCAGCCCGGACAGAAGGCGAAGAAGCCGATGCCAGATACCGGCAGCTACGAGCCCAAACGCAGAAAAGGAGGAGAAGAGCTCGCAGACCACACAGCACCAGAAGGAAGAAAGCCGTGGAAAGAGCAGACAAAACATACCATTCAAAAACGAACCGCAAAATGAGGCCCCGCGGACAGCGACAAAGCATCAACTCATGCAGCAATCCAACACAGCCTCACCTGAACAGCGCCAAATCGACGGAACCAGACCACACGAAAAGTCCAGCCCAAGCGCTACAGCCCAGCGCATCCGCACCCACGTTAAAGAACAATCAAGCAAACAAAAGCCACGCCATCACACAACCAACCACGAACATCGCCCGAAAGACGGCCCTAGCGCCTAAAAACCGACAAAAAACACCAACCTGCGCGAACGCGGACGGGACAGCAAAGAACCGCACAACATCCAACAACCCGAAAGCAAGACGCACACACCAACGAGCCGCCCCAGCAGCAAGCCAACACAAGGACGCGAAACAACCACATCCTCAGAGACAACAACGCCCAACAGGAACCCTGTGACCCAAAGCAACAAGCAAATAAAAAAGCAACAGGAAGCAGAAAACAACCACGACGTAAACAGACAAAACGAGAGCCACAGAAAAACAAGAACAAAACCTGACGAATGACAACACCAACGGCTACAGGAACTGGAGACACAGGACCACGGCAGACAAAACCCCAAAAACACGCAACGCCGCGCCGCCCAATGACACGCAGTGCCAATCCTAGCAGCAGGGATTCTAGCCAAGATAATCAGTCCACAAACGACTGAGCCAGAGAACAAAAAACGCCGCACACGGCCCCCAAAGAAACAGCACTGAAAAGGTAAGACAAGCACAACTTCCCCGGAAAGACCAGCCAAAACAATCAAACACCGAAGCACACAACGGCGGAAAAGAGCGCCACAAGGGACCGTACTAAGGAAGAAGAACCCGGAATGGGATAGAGAACAGCTCTATGCAAACAACGCACCAGCGGGCCGAGCGAAAAGAAGGAGCAACCCATCAGCGGGCGACAAAAATCACCACACCCACCGCAAAACACAAAGAGTACCGAAAGCACATCGAGGAAACCAGAAAAAAACGACAGACGGCGAGACCGAACAGCAGCTCGCCTATGGCAAAAAGCGCGGACAACACTCAGGAGCGAAACAACCAGCGATACAGGATGCAACTACCACAACCACACAAGGAGCCACGCCACCAGACGCAGTACAGTACAGTACAACACAGCACAAGACTGAGGATGCGGCAGGAGATCCAAGCGCCCAACAGAGGAAAATCCAACCCGACAAAGCGCTGAAAACGAGCCGAAAAATCATGCACCCAAGCACCCCCAACCACAGACAGATACAGACCACAACTAACGCAGAAAACCCATAACAGAGGAATACCAAACCAGTACCCAGAAACACCCGTACCAATACTTCCCCCCAGACCCAAACCGGCAACCCATCCAGAATATTAAAAAATATCACAATCCAGAGAAAGGCGCCCACAACAACCGGCATAACCACAAGGGCCAACCCAGCAGAGAAAAGAAACACCCACAACTCACCGAGAAAGAGACCACCAAACACCTCGGAGACCAGAGAAAGATGTCCCCAAGACAACAGACATGCGAATGACCGAAGACTCAACATCGCAGACCAACCCTCACGAGGACATGAAGGAGCAACACCGCCGGCAGAGGCAGAAACAAAGCAAGCATCCGCAGGAGCAACGCCGACACGACCCGCGGCGCCAGCACCGACGGACGCAGGAAACAAATCGGAACAAACGGCCCCCACAAGGACCGACACAGCAGCCAAATAGTCCGCACCCACACCGGCGGCAGGAACGCACACGACACGAGCATCCAAGCCAAGAAAATCATCGCGAAAAACCTAACACCTAACAACAGAAAAAGAGCCATACTCAGCTCAACAATCACATCTACCAAGAAGTAAGCAAACATCCCCACAAACGCCGAAAAGAAGCCAAACACCGGTCGAAAAAATAACATACAAAACCGAACAAAGCCGCAAAGGAAGAAACCGAACCAACCGCAAAACAGAAAACCAAATCACAACTCCAACAAGCCCAAGAACAGCGAAATAAGAATACAGCACAACCCCCAAGGACACCACGGCCACGACCCTCTACGACCAGCCCCCACCAACACCAGCAACGCAACGCCCGGGCACACCCACACCCCTCACACGAGACAACGTGAGACACCGAAGAAGGCACGCATAATAACAATCGCAACAAGAGCCAAGCAACAGCGCCTACCGCAGAAATCCACACCAAAAGGCGAAAGCGAGAACACAAAACCCAAACGGTACGCCTAAGCAAAAAACGGCACAAAAAGGCACAACAGACACAAACAGGGGACGATAGCCGAACGAACCGTGACATCACAACCAAAAGGCTCACCAACTCACAACCAATACAAGAGAAATTCAACCCGCAATTCAGCCCCCCAGTGGACAGCTACAACAAAACCCGGCACACAAAGCCCAACACGCCAGCACAAACAGCACGCGAACAGACGACCACTAACAAAATGCGCTGACCGACCGCGCGCTTTCAGCCCACTCGACAGCCATACCGAACCGACCCACACAAAGCTAACCCAGCCGCGGACAGCAACGAAACGGAGACAACCACAAACCGGACGAGCGGAAACACCACGGGAACTATAAAGCGACAACTCCAACAAAAAAGAAACAGAAAAGAACACATAGCAGAAAGAGACGGAAAACCCGGCGACTGAACCAGCCAGAGAAGATGAAAAAAGCCACCTCGCAGACAACGGACCTCGGTAGCGATAGCCCCCAAAAAAGAGCAAACCATCCCAAAACTGAGATCTCCACAACCTGCGCAGCCATCCCACAAACACCACAGCCAAAATAAATCCACACGCCACAACCAACAGACAACAAACGCAACACGAAGCAACACAAACTAGCTAACACGAAGCAACGTCAGACAACAGACAAGTAAGCAGCCCCGGAAGCGACAACAAGCGAAAGCACAGAAGAAAATCCAAGAGAACACGGCCAAAGACCAAGAAATAAACGCCCACAAAAAGGCAAGACCAAAAAACCCGCGAAACCTGCAAGGACCCGGATAGGAACCCAAAAAAAGACGACAGACTCCCGACAGCAAAAGCAAGATGAAAAAGACCTGCCTAACCAAAGCATAAACAACAAAAGCGAACAGAAGCCACGCGACACAAACAGCACCACAGAACAACAAGTACGAGAGAAACACGCAACACTAACAAGAAAAGAGGCAAACACAAGGACAACACGACGACTGTCAAAAGAACAAAGGAGAGTGCACCCAAGTGGCCCAGTAAACAGCAGCAACAACCTCAAAAAGAACTGAAGCAAAAGAAGGAAAAAGAACGAAACACCACACACTAACAAAAACACGACCCTCACCCACCCGTCTAAAGAGCACTGCACGGCCAACCCAACAAACCAACCACAATGGATGACCCAAAACGTCAATAAGAGAAGGAACAACAGCACACCAAAGACGGCGAAGCAAAAACAGCCAGACGACAACGGCGCGTCCAGCCACGAGGCCCCCACCGAAGAACAACTCCAGACGAGCTCACCTCACCCCCCGAATGCCGCAGCCACGCAACCCCACCACAACAACCTCCAGCTCACCCAGAACCCAGGCAGCTCACTCAGCCGGGCCGCCCGACCCGACCGCAATGCACCACCCACGAGTCCCCGACCACAAAGCACCAAAAGCAAGCCGCAACAACTACCCGATAACCCACTAACACACCCCCACACGAGACCAGCCCACAAAAAAACCACCAACAACGAAAACAAGGTCAACGCCGTCAGCCCATACAAGGCCCGGCGGAACAACGCAAGGAAAAACCTGAGGAAGTAAGGAAGACCAAACATGATACGCAGCCACAACCAATACAGCAACAACACAAAACAAAACAACAAACCACACAATCAAAGAAACAAAAACAAACTCAAAGAAGACAACCAAACTGCCCGTACCCGAACAGACACCCCAAGAGCACTCCGAAACCGTGAAACCACGGACCAACAGCACAAGCAGTGAAAGGCAAGAACCGCCATGCAAAAACAGCACCCAAACCGCAAGGACAAAAAAATCTCCCACCGCACAAGCCCAAGAAGGCCACAACTCCCACACAAAAAAACCAGCAAAGACACAAGCAAACCACCACCAGAACCACCCCAATAACCGCCACAAAGCCGCCCCACCCACGCGAAAACCCCACCAACCAAACGGTCCAAACAACCCAGAAAACCCAAAACACACCAATCACGCCATCCGGGCCCTCGAAAGCCGACAAAGAGGAGAATGAACCGAGCGACGGCCACGAAACCAACAACGACAGCAACAACGGCAACAGCGCCAAACACAAGGTCCACAACGTCCGGAACCCGCAGCGCACAGACAAGAGACCCAACGGAGCAAAACAGCAAACACAGAACGACAAGATCAAGCCCGACATAGACGACACAAAAGACAAAAAACACAAAGGGCCCAACGCGACCAATGCCATTAGGAGCGCCAGTACAACGGCGGCCACGGCGGCAAAGGCAGCAACACCACATGCCCCCCACACAACCACAGAGGAGGAAAGAGTGGGCCGAACCCCCAACAGGGACTGCCACTGTACAAACACATTGCAACCATAGCGGGCCGAGACACCAAAGACTTTGTGATGCCAGTTCCGTTCTTCAACGTCTTGAACGGCGGCGTCCATTCGGGCAACCCTATGGCATTCCAAGAGATAATGATCGCGCCAGTAGCCGCCAAGTCCTTCAGCCACGCCGTACAGATTGGTGCCGAAGTGTATGCACACCTGAAAGCCATCCTCATCGAGCATTTCGGGCGCTCGGCAGCAGGCATCGGCGATGAGGGTGGCTTTGCACCACCAATCTCTCTACCACACGAAGCTCTAGATCTTCTGAGCGACGCCATCGAAGCCGCTGGCCACAAGGGCCGGGTCAAGATCGGAATCGACCCAGCGAGCACCGAGTTCTTCAACGTGGAATCTATGACCTACGACCTGGGTATGAAATGGGCCAGATCTAACAGTTTATCTCGACAAGATATGATGGAGCTGTACCACAAGCTTCTGGACAAATATCCAATTGTGCTACTGGAAGATCCCTTCGCTCAGGACGACTGGGCAACCTGGACAGAGTTCAACAAGAACTGTCCGATTGAGCTGGTTGGCGATGATTTGCTAGCAACCAATATCGGACGCGTCAACGAGGCAGACCAGAAGAAGGCATGCAACAGTCTCCTTTTGAAAATCAACCAAATTGGCACCATCTCAGAAGCCATAGAAGCGGCCAAGCGAGCATATGCCCTCGGATGGGCTGTCTTCGTCAGTCATCGCAGTGGCGAAACGACGGATGATTTCATTGCCGACCTCACCGTCGGTCTACGAACCGGCCATCTCAAGAGCGGAAGCCCTTGCAGGGGTGAACGTGTGGCCAAGTACAACCGGCTGATGGACATTGAGGATGACTTGAGAACCGAAGGCAGCCAGGCTAGATATGCTAGAGATGCATTTCGGCTCGCGTGGCAGAGTCTCTAGAAAGTGGCTAGGCCCTCAGATACTGAGTTGCTCGCTTCTGAACGGCGGCTTTGGAGGTTGTGCTGCTGGATAGCATTTGTGATGATCTCGGCGAGTTTTAGGCACGTCTCCTCTTCGAGTCGACGGCACATGACCTGGAGGCCTACAGGATGGCCATGGAACGCGCGAGGGTCATCTGGAAGAACGTCAGAAACAAGTACATGCATGTGATTGAGTCAATTCTCACAGTCTGCAAGCACTTTAGCATCGTCGGCGCTTTTCGGGTTTCGATCAAACTGTTTGGCATCGATTGACTCGTTGACCCTGGTCACGGGAAAGGAAATGGCCGTGAAGTCGAGGTAGTTGACTACTGCGCTATAGCCTGTTGCTGTTAGGATATACGATTGCTGTACCAGAGACAATGCTGTCATAGGGAGCTTACCAAAGTAAGAGAGATTGTGTTCATAAGCGGCGGCATTAGCCAAGACTGGCATGATGACTCCTTCAACTCTGGCCAGCGTTGCATCCGTTGCATTGCATTGATCCCAGTATGTGGCGTATGACTTTCGGTACTCAGCTCTCTCTCTAGACCATGACCATAGTTGCTCCGCCGAGAGTTTACCGCTTGAGGTGGACTCCTGGTACCATGGCTGCAGACCCCTGACGGGCGGTTCGCCCGTCTTGTCCATAAGACGACGGATAGTCGAACCGCCATCGGCTCCCAGTAGCCGAAAGTGTGTCTGGACGGCTGCCGCGTGTTGTGGGGGCGACCAAGTGACAACATCGAATTGCTGTGCCTGCAATGCCGCATGCACGAGATTCAGGGCTCTCTGGACAGGAGGCTGTGGACGGACGTGATGGTCGTGATGCAGAATGGCGAACCGCGGTCGTGTACGCCTGAGTGGCATCCACTTGGACTCTCGCCATGGGAGATCTAAACAATATGGATCTTCTTGGTATATTTGTGCACCTAAGGTCAAGCGCGACATATGCTGAAGCATGGGAAGGTCCCAAGACATCAGTGCAGGTGTGAAGGCATGCTCAGGGAGTCCTTCGCTAGCCGAGGCAATGCCAGCATTTGAGAGTCGGCCCTGGCAAACGCGAAGTGCAAAGAGATGGCTAAAAACTGCGGGGATTCGTGCTGAGCCCGCGATTTCTGTAACCCATCCAACGGGAGAGCCACGCATTGCCTGAAGGGCGCCTTCGCCTCCAGCGGCACCTCCGGCAGAGAGTGCACGACAAAATGGATTCAGCGTGGGGCCTGTGACGTTATTGTCGGTGGCGGCGATGAGCATGCTCTGTGGGCAATTAGTCTTACAGAAAGGCACTGCTCCGAGATGACGCATATGGCGGACGATAAGAGCCTCGGATTGCGGCGTTTCTTTAGCCCCAAGCCAGGCAACAAACCCAGACGACGTTTCGTAGCCAGCGATACGATAACGGTCCATGAAGCTCATCGGTAGCCCGTGAAGTGGGCCACGTAACGTCCCATGCTGTTGGTAGTGTTGATCTAGAGACTGAGCGGTCGCGATGGCCTCGTCGAACATTACCTCGGCGAGGCAGTTTGTGAGCTGATGCACAACCGCCGCGCGATGGCAGAACGCCCGGACGACATATTCTGCTGACCAGATTTGAGCATGAATGTTGGCAAGCAGGCTTATGGGGACAAGCTCTGTGATTTCGATCTCCTCCGGCGTCAATGTAGCACGAACCCATTCCCATGCATCAGGACACTCGGCGGCCGATGGTAGCGAATGGAGTCGCCACTCACTAGGTACAAGGGAGTTCAATGAATCACGTTTCCTCTGGGCCAGTGTCGCCCAAGTAGTCTCAGGCATGGCTTGACATATGGGGTTTTCATATGACAGAGAGCAAAATTGGAAGACCGGTAGGGCTACCACCCAGCCTCCTTAGTCTCAGGCACTCCAAAAGGCTGGCTAGGACCGTCACGCCTAGAACCTTCCTCCTCCCTTCGGGCATCTCGTGACGTGTCTCGCCTGTTTGCGCCCACACTCGTACGTCACACGAGTCCTTTTTGCGTGATCTCCACATTCCGTCGCGCTTGCCGCAAGGTCGGGCAGGTTACGATAAGATTCCAGTGTAGCAATACAGCCCTCTCGTGCTCTGTAGCTATAAACTAACTACCACCGATCTCGAAAGTCATAATGTTCTTCATTACGCCTCAAAAAGAACACCTTGTCTACACGAGCGAGACCGGGCCCGAGCACGGCCCATCGAAGAAGCGAAGGCACCAACACTACCAGCCGGAGCCGCCATCAACCCAAGATGTGGCCAGCGGATACTATCCCCGACGTATTCCGAAGGCTTGCGATCGATGTCGAGTGAAAAAGGTGAAATGCAGTGGGGGCAAGTTGTGCAAACGATGCGAGTCAGACGGCGTGGTCTGCATCACGACCGTGAACTCGGAAGAAGAACAAGGTCCGGTAGAAGCGCGACAGTACCATCTCGTCGAGTCTCAGCGCGACCGCCTGCTGCAGATTATCTCAGAAATCCTCCACGGCAAGGATGAAAATGAGGTTGCGAGACTGCGTGGATTGCTCAGCAACATGGGGTTGTCAGTGAAGAATCTCCCGCTCAGCTCAACAACGACCAATGACGCCATTCAACCCGTTGTCTTGGACATGGCGGCGCTCGAGCAAGTCTCCGGCCCTGCGTGGCTCGGACTTTGTACCCAGCTTGAAGACAAAGAGCCGCTCGGCCAGTGGTCCGATTTCAGCGACGTGTATCCCGCAACGCTGCCGGGGGTCTCAACGAACGCAGATGTACCATTTGACTCGGAAGCACTGCCGCAGACAGACACGTTCAACTTTGATGAAATCGTCGATTGGGATTCCTTCCATACATTGGGCTCCGTGGCGAATCAACCATGGCCCGGGCCAGCACCTGACACGGGCGATCCCCATCAGTCCGTCCCGACAAATCCGCATCCGCCATTATGATATTCACATACAACGTCCCCCATGTATGCGAAGATGCTGTGGCGCACTTGCAGTGCACGGCGGCCAAATTTGCACAAGATACGACTCATGCATATTACCTTGGATACACCCAGGCTGGCATTTTCTCTGACCAGCTCAGCCACTTGAATCTCACTACCAGGAATGGATCTGTTACTAACGGCGTTGTCTGTTTGAGGAATGCTTTTGCTTTTGTACAACGACGTTATTCCTGAGTTGCAAGGCTTGGACCAGTCTCCAGGAGGTCTCTATGTTACGAATATGTTACAGACCGCACAACCGCACTTTTGTAACCAAAGCCTTCATGCAAATGCTCCACAGCTGTCAACAAATCCTCGCGCCCAGAGCACACTACCCATAATGGCAACCTGGAAACCCAACGCCACTGCCACACTCATCAGCCCGTATACCCACGCATGCCTCCTTCTGAGCCCGTCCAATTCCGCCACCCAGGTACTCACCGTCGTGAGACAGCCACAAAACCCCTGCATCAACCCCTGAAGCACTGTACAAGCGTCCGTATCGACTAGGTCGTTTCTAAGGACGACGTTATCAGTATGCTGAAGGACATAGCACACGGCTTCAATGACGGTCCCAATGATGTTGGCTGTGAAGGTCCCCAACGGAAAAGAAGGCACACGTGAGTTTAAGTGCCTGGACAAGTAGAAGCGCAGCAGGGCGCCTAGAGGCGAGAAGATGAGTGGCAGCGTGGCCCGCGACCGCCAGGCAGAAGCTGGGCCGGGTGGAAAGATGGACAAGAGGACAGCGCCAATCCAACAACCAAGCCCCAGAATCAGCACCATGCAGTCAAGCCAGCAAGAAATGAACCTTTGTGGAATGCCGGGCATCACGCGATCCGTGGCCAGGGCAATATGCGCTCCCGTCTTGAGGGCGCTAATAGAGACGGCGGGATGGACGATAAGAACGCCGACGACTGCCAGAAAACTGTAACCCCCGTTGCGCTCAGGGATCGATGTCACAGGAATGGTGTGGTACGGAGACGTTGGTGACGCCGAGTCCAAGCGGTTGGCGAGTGTGAGGAAGGCGTCGGTGATGAAGGTTGAAAAACTGGTAAAGCTGCCACAGAACCCAGTTGCAAGACCGATATAAAGAGGCAGAGTTTTCTGATGACGTGCAATATGACCATGCGTCGCTTCCTTGTCGTTCGTGATCAGATGTGTCGGGACCGTCTTGCTAAAGAGTCGGCGATCCTCGAGAAGGAAGCCCAGGCAAAGCGAACCTCCCAAGTTCGCCCAAAGGACGGTCGACGCGAAAGGGGTGGATGGGTACGTCGTCAGCGCCTCCACACCCAGCCGGGCGAGCGTGCCCAAGAGCGAGAAGAAGATGAGCCATGATACGATGACGGTCTCGTTCCAAGCCGTTGCTGCTGTGCTCGCTTGCGCCGAGCCAGCGGCCTTCTCATCCTCCCCCGATCCTTTGGCGGGCACAGATTCTTGACTGCTATGTGCTCTTTCAAGAGCGGTACCAGAAGCCAATTCAGCATCTGCGTAGTCATCTGTGCTGTCGCCGTCGTGTGCTGCCTGTCCTGCTTTCTCTTCCTCATCTTCTAGCGCGTCCCCTCTCTCCCTTTCAGCAACCGGGACCGGGGCGGCGACCTCTGTGAGCCCAGCTTCGTTGCCTTCGGACGCGGCGCGCTCTTCCTCTATTGCTCTTGACTGTTCCCGGCTCAGATCATCCCCACGCTCCTCCAGCGAGGCTGGTGCAGGCGCTGCGAGTTCAGTGAGCCCATTTTCCTCCTCCTCCTGCTGCGACCATCCACGGCTGGATCGCCCGTTGTTTCTTCCTTCTTGTTGTCCGGCCCAACGCTGCTCGTCGCCTGGGACAGTCATGCTTTGCTGAGAAGTATCCTAGTACTGCTGAAACTCGTAGTGTGTGCGCCACTTGTCCAGTACATCTCACTAATGAAAGAGTGCTCGTTGGGTTCGAGTTGGTCGCTTTCATTGGTTAACTGCGGAACCAATCACTCACCGTCTTGTCTTCTCCACCCCCCTACCCGTTTGCGCCTCTGACGTCAGTCCCGTGCTCCCGTGCGATGGAGCCCTGTGGATCGCCGGACTATGCGGGAGCCCGAGACAGCGTCATCGGCAAGTCGGTCCGTTTCGCGGTCTCACCAAGTGGTTGGACGATAAGTTATTCCAAGGGAGGATCCGTACGCTCCGTCACGCCCGCGGGGTACTTCCTTTGTGCAGCATGAGTTATCGGGAATCATAGGGATGCCCGGTGACATCTCTCGAGGCGTAATGAGAAAGGAGCATTGCATGTGCATATGGCTGGGAAATACCTCGTACACACACGGGAAATGGAGGTTCTATCTCAGGGACTAATATTCATAAGCTAGTCTGGCGGTCTGTTACTACAGTAGCCAACCAGATCCTGAAGTCATTCGATAATCCTCGACTACACACGCACCATGCCTTCGCACGTCTTCCCAGCCATCCAAGCCATCCAGCTCAATGCACTGAGCGCCAAACACATCCAGCAGATGTCGGATTCGGATCCCGACCTGCGCAAGATTGTAGGCCATGCACACGTCCATACTGAGACGGAGAGATTTCTCGTCGCGGCTCGAAACCGTCGAAAATCGCCAATGGTCGTCAGGCCTTCGCTATTCACGACTGGGACGCCTACGGAAATATGGAGTGTTGATTCGGTATCTATGGATCCAAGAGCTGCAGCGAGGCAGCCTTCCGACACCCTAGCCGCACCCATGATGGCTGAAACAGATGCTGGCAGTGCATCGCCAGATCCTGTGTCATTACCATGGCGTGCTGGCTCCTCCTCGAGCGGCCAAATCTACGTCGAATCGCTAAAAGCATCCCCTGGTCAGAATCGCTCTCCGTCTGTATCGGTTCGCGAGGTGGATGAGGGTTGAAGATGATGATTTAGGATGTAATAACATTACGGAAATTTGTCCAGATGAGCTTTGATCCTAGGACATTTCTCTAGCCGATGATTGAGACCAGCACTTTCCGTGATGACTGCATTGGCAGCTTTGACGTTTCAATGACAGTCCGTCTGCGCTTTGAAAACCTTCCCTTCTTGTTTGGGCACAACTGACAAAACTGGCAAGCCATGGGTTGTGCATTTCAGACTTGTTCATGCTGTCCTGGGCGACACGACTCTAGGGGGGCACGCAGAGATGCAAGGGGACAAGGCAACGAGAACTAGGAAGGTGGAAAGTGGTTGACGTGTCAATGTCACACTAAAAAAAGAGAGCAAAAGGCATAAAAGCCAAAACACAACAACTTATTCTACACATCGCTTACAACGTACACCACCTGCTACTTTACCTTACAGAGAATACACCAAATTATATAGATCTGAGTTCAAATCCAATCTTTCCACGAAGTTCTAAACACAAACAACTATTACAGTTACTTATACAGTCAACAGTCGCGGTTGACCGCTGAGTTCCCGTCTAGGCGCAGGGCGTCTTCACCCCTGTCTTGATGAGCCACCAGTTGATCGGAACACCCGTCCAGTGCCCCAAAAACATGCCGATCTGCATCATCCACCAGTAGGTCACTGTGTTCATGGGCAATTCCCAATTAAAGATAGCGACCTGGAAGATCGCCATCCAGCCAAACAGTCCGATCTCAAAAAACAGGAGCGAAAGAGCATCGGCTTTCAAGGCGCGGTAGATGATCTTGGGACCGTACTTGCCCAGCATGGGCGAAATGGAGAAGTACTGGAAGACGATGCCGAACGCAAACGCGAATCCAAAGTCGACCAGGAACTCGACCCAGAGTGCTCGTGGTGGTGAGCCTATCGTGGCACCGGTGGCCCAAATGAGCCATTCGCCCACGATGTCGCCCAAGACACAGCCCGCGCCGCAGTGACAGACGCCAATGGTGACTGTGGCGAACATGGGTCGCTGTGCACCGTGTGTCTCGTGGTGGTGGTGATGGTGATCATGTTGATGTTGGCTAGTACCATTCTCAACCTTCAAATGACCATGGGAATCCTCTGGTGAGTTGGCGCTTCCTTCTTCCGCTTCACCTGCGGCCGTGGCCTTCGCTGTGGCTTGTCCTTTAGGAGCTGCCGATCGGCCCTATTTAAGATATGTCCGTAGCGTAATGGGCCATAAGTAGAGAGCGTTGATTATGTAGACCGGGATCATCAC